CCCCCTCCACTCCCTCCTCCCCCACCCCTCCCCATCTTCCTCTTCCTCATCACAAAGAACGCCGCCAACGATCCGGCAAAGATCACCACCAGCCCTCCGGCCACGATCACCCAACTGCTGTTCTTCTTGAGCCCCGAGATGTAGCCCGTATCCGCTTCCGGCTGGACGCTGATGGGCACGCTGCCGTTGTGGTTGGTGAAGTCCACGTGCGACTCTCCCTCCGCCGTGCCGTGGTCCGACGGCAGATGGGCCGTCGGTTTCTTGAGCTGGGCCGTAGACGTGTAGCTGGGAGGAAGCTTGACGATGGTCGTCTCGGGTGCGGCTGGCAGCTTCTCGTGGTACTCGACCGAGTCCTCGGGGAAGTTCCAGGCGACCGCCTTGGATGCGTCGATGGATGCACCCCACAGCGACATGCTCCATGCGTAAATGTTGCCCACCTTATTCGGGTGCGCCGGGTCAAACACACGCAGCTTCCACTCGCCCACCGGCGACTCGTCCCAGTGCTTGAGCGTCATGAACGACCAGCCGGGGAATCCGGTGTCCGCGTCGTCGTATCGTCTCGACCGCGCCAAAGCCGATTTGGTGCCGTGAGGCGAGGTAAGCTCGACGTTGACATCGCCGCGACGCTGATGTGTGATCCACACCCGGACCGTGACGTGCTCGACCGAGGCTAGGTTGGCACCCTTGAGCTGTTCTTCTGTGATCGTGTAGGTCGACTCGGTGCCGGACTCTGTGATGAGCGTCTCTGTCGCTGGCAGCGTGATGTTAGGAGATTCAAGCCAAGCCTGCGGGTTGACCAGCTTGTGGCGTTTGGCTTCCTCGACAAACTGGTAGGCATCGAGAACGCCGTAGCCGTACTTGTGGTTGAAGTGACGACCTGCCTGCGTCTGCTGCCAATCGGGATCCTCGTGGTTGAACTTGACGGCGCTGCGCACAGCAATGTGCTGCACATCCCTCCACGTCAGCTCGGGCCGCACGCTCAGACCGAGCGCAATCACTCCTGCAGCGAGCGGAGCAGCGGCGCTGGTGCCGCCATGGGAGCCCGTGCATCGATTGACCCCGTTCCAGGCGACGTCGGTGGTGTGGATGTGGTCTCCGCTTCCGGAACTCCAGCTGGTGGCGATGATGGCTGAGCACATCTCCGAGTACCACGGATGCTGCCCTTCGCGGTCGACAGCGGCGATGGTCATCGAGTAGATTGAGTTCGTGTAGCCGTCAAAATTGCACTGATCGTCCGACGCACCACCATTGCCGCCAGCAAATACAAAGACGCTGCCCTTGCCGTCCCGTCCGTTCTGCACACCGTTGAGCATGGCCTTGGCGATGAGGCCCTTGGGCGCATCCATGCTACGACCGTCGTCGGGCGGACCCCAACTGCAGCTGTATATGTCGTTCTCCTGGTAAGCGTAGTTGAGTGATGCCGCTTCGTCGACGTCCGAGATGGGACCCGAAAGGATACGGACACCGGATACTTTTGCCTGGTAGGCGACGCCAACGCCGCAAACATCGTTCTTGACGGCAGCGATCTCACCGGCACAGCGTGTACCGTGCTGATCGTCGCTCTCGCGTGGCTCCGGTAGCTCGGTGTGTGAGTTAAAGTCGTAGCTACCTGGCGCGTAGAAGTTGTCCTTGAGATCCGGGCTGTGCATGTCGAGACCATCGTCGATGAGGCACACCTTGATGCCGTTCCCCAGGATGCCCTGATCCCAGACCGCGGTCACGTTGAGGTCGTTGCCCGTCTTGCGGTCGTTGGCAAGATGCCATTGATCGGTAAAGATGGGATCCTTGATGTCGAATTTGGACATCAGATCGGCGGTTTTGGCGGTGGGAATGACGGGAGGTCGTGGTGATGGATCAGCAGACCTCATGCGAAATGGCCAGCCGTCTGGTGCGGGTATGGGATCGCGAATCTCGGGATAGAGGTGGGGCATCTCTGCGGGGTCGTAGATGACGTTTCGCTTGTGTCGGCGCCTGACCTCTTGACGCTCGACCGCTTTGATGGAGAGAGCGGCAGAGTGTTGACGCTTGGAGAGCTTGTTGGAGGTGGTGAATCCAGGCTCTCGCGCTGAGCGTCGAATGTGAGACCATCGCTGCAAGACAGGGTCTTGGTATTCAGGAACATCTGGACGGGTCAGAGGGGATGTGGAAGCGAACGAGGATGGCCCGACATGGTCACGCTTTGCAAGCTCATCCACCGACTCTCGGAGGGGCTTCTCTGAGCGTACCAGCCAGTGATTTGGCAGTTCACCTGCTCGCTCGACAAATTCGGCGCCGAGTGATTCTGCAATGTCGCGAGGATCGACTTGCTCGCCTGCGCGGGCGTGCACCTCGACGACGTAGTAGTGATGTGTGCCGTAGGATCGTTTAGAGGGGAGAGGGACGGTGCGTTTCTGATGTGACCACGGATGCTGCGCCGAGCGCTTGTGATGCTGCACAGCATGTTGCGACCCTGCTTCGTTCGAGCAGCTCCTGGAAGCGAGAGAGACTTGGCCATTGTCCTGTGTCTCAGCGGCTGAAACAGCGAGGATGCCGCCAAGAAGGAGCGAAAGGGAGGCGGACAACTTGATGACCTGCATGGCTACGAGCAGCGTGTCAGCCGAGATGTGAAGAGACCGACGATACCGGCTGTAAGGTGTCTTTGTCGCAGCTTCTTCAAGGATGTGGATGCTAGCTATGCGTCAAGCAACACCGTGCGAGATGAAGGGATTCGCTGTGCTGCGATGTCGTTGAGCCGCGATGAAGATAGGAAGCTCCTACAATCCCAGCAACATGAGCAATGGGACCGGGGAGTGGTTCGGAAGCAACAAAGACCGTTTGCGAGGGAAGCTAGCCGTCGCTGAATGTGCAAAACAGCAGGATGTCGATAGTATGATCAAAAGCAGGGAGGGTTGGAACAGGATCGACAGTGGCAATCTAAGTGGCCTGTGTGCTCTTGAAGCAAAACCAAATTCAGGGTCGTGGTTGTGTCCGTCGGTAGTGCGTGTGACTGTGTGTGACAGAGTGCGTGCGTGAGAGAGGCAGAGTGAGTTGGAAGGAAAGCGCTCAAATCACAGAATAATCGGATCTTGCGCTTGAGTCTGTAAACCGCTTAATTCATTCTGGATCGGCTGGCTGGCACTAGACCCGGCGCGCCTGCCAGGCGTCGAGGAAGCTATGCAAGTGCCACATGCAATCCTTCTGCAGCAGCAGCAGCTGTCCGATTAATTTTGGGTTGGAAATTGCTCACGTCACGGCGACAAGCACAGCAAGGCAGGATCGACCGCACGCTTTTCCTCGCGGTGCGGGTGCTGCTGCTGCTGCTGCTGAATGCAAGGGTTCTTCCTCGCTTCGTCAGGACGCAACACAGCGTTGATCAGCTCATACGATGCATCCAACGAGCTTATGTTTCTCCAGTGATCGCCCCTCGGGTACTGTCGCCGCACGACCAATCAACTTAAAGTGTGGATTCGCTGGCAACAGTTGTGAAGCCCCCGATGATCTGAACCTTCGCAGCGCCGATGTCGCAACCCTTGGCATTGCTTTAGCTCACAACCAGACTTTTCAGAACACACACTCACATGATCTTACGTAGAGATGGGGAATAGCAAATGTCCATGCATAGCATTGCGAAGTGAATGAATCGGAATACAGTATGACAGCCTCCAAGAGCGCGAATGAATCGGAAACTGATTTACAGCGCATCGTGCTCATCGGCGAGCGAGCGCTTGCCCTCGTCTTTCGGTGTAGGTGCATACCGCCTCGCCAGTCCATCGGCTACCGCAGCGACCAGCTCCACTGAGCTCATGTCGATCGCGGCCCTCTTGGCGAGTTGTCTGCGGACCAAGTCAGCCAATGCGCCGTAGTCGGCTTCTGCACCTTCCGTGATGGCTCGACGGCCTGCACTACCGCCCCCACCAAGAATGTTACCGAGCGAGCCGCCGAGCCCGCTGAGGACGCCTTGCAAACTCGACGCGCTCAACGGGCACGGGAACGAGATGTTGCGGTTGATGTTGACCGGCACGGTGATGCTGAGCACCTCAACGTCCACCTCAACCTTGAACAGGAAGCTCAGATCGCCGCCGCCCGATCCGCCCGTCAGACCGCAGTCTGAAGCAATGTTCTGAATAATGCTGAAATCAGGATCCTCGCTTTGGCTGTACCTGATCTGGAACGGGAATACCACCGTTGTGTTGGCGTTGGCTCGGATCGCTTGGTTTGTTACAAGACCATGCCCAAGCGCAGTCGACTGATCCGCCGAATCGTACGCCGTGGCGTTGAGCTTCTTGATGTTGGCCGAGATCGAATTGGGATTGCTGACAGAGATGTCGACACTGACGTTGAAGGAGAACGCACCGTTCTGGTAGCTCACCGCGTTCTGATTCGGCACACTCACGCCCGAGATAGCCACGTTGGGTGGACGAAGGAACATGACGATCAGAAGGATGATCGACACGATAAAGATAATGGCGAGGATCAGGTTGCCGATCAAGATCCTGAAGAACTTGGCAGGGCAGCTCCGCGATGAAAACGCGCGCTTGTCGTCCTTTGTCCAGATCGAGTTGCCGCTCGCACGCTTGGCAGCGTACGGGCTGCCGTAGTTGCCCTTCTCTGCCGACATGTTGTGATCGTCAATTGCACTAGCGCCAGCGCGGGTGTCCGAGTAGTGATGGTCGTCGTCGTAGCTCTGCTGATGATCTCGATGCAAGGTGCGCGCCGGATTGCTGTCGTGGCTGTCACCCAGATCGTCGCGGTAGTGGTCGTGGTCCTGCTGAGAGTAGTAAGGAGCGTACTGATGCTGAGGGTCAGCAGAGTAGGGGTCGTGCGTGTAATCGTCGTTGGCTCGTGGCAAGGTCGATGAGACTTGGGCTCGCGGACTCTGGAAGGCGTACGACATGGTGGAAGGGAAGACCACAGGATTCTTTAGAGGGATATGTGTGTAGTAGAAGCTTGTCGGACGGTGACAACGACCCTGTGTCGCACCGGTTCAGCGTCAGCTACGCCAAGGGTACTGCTGCAGAGCGCAATCGAAAAAGACCCTATTTTAGCTCTTGTCGACGGTGCGAGCGGTTTCGATTGTGTAGCCGATGAAACGTTCCGAAACGGCAACCGTAGCCAGGCAAATCGAGCGAGGATGGATGATTGCAAGACGGCCGCCGCACCAGTTCTGTTGTGGTGCGTCGTCGGTGTGAGCAAGAAGCGGTGTCTTGGAAATCACTCTTAGACTGGAAATTGTGGAGCGTCTTACGCGCTCGTGCTGCGCTATCTCCTTCTGCCCCCCGGACACAGCCTCTGCGATACCATGCGGAGACGGCCAAGTCCAAGTTTCAAAGCTGTGCTGCTCTAATTTTTCGAAATATTTTATAAAAATTAAAATTGATCACCGTCTCAGGGTCGAGCTATATCGCCTCGCCCTAGCCTGTGCTGTGGCTTGCCGATCCACCAGGGTCGATTCGAGTCGGCGTTTGATCATGGCATGACACGGTGAGAATCTATAGAAGTTGACCGTGCCGGCAGCACTGCATTTTTGCGCGACACAGACAAAACCGGTCTCCAACACATCACCGATCCGTCATGCTCATAATTCGATTGCTCAACGTGTAAGTCGAGGATGCACTCTGGAAGGCCGTTTCGTGTTGCAGGCTCTCTGCACAACTTCCTCACGACGCCCCGCTTCGTATGAGGAGCCACTCACTGCACAAGAACAATGAGTGCATCGATGCATCGGTGCAAAGCAAGCAACGCAATTTGGATTTTCGTTACAGCTTGGTTCCTTCCTTCTGGTGGGGCTCTACTTCTTCTTGCCCTTTTTCTTCTTCTTCTTGTTCTTTTTGCTGCTCGAGCCAGAGCCACCTCCAGGAGCCGAATCGTTGGTGGTCTCGTTCGCATCGCCATCCGCTTCTCCTTCCGCATCGTCGCCATTGATATCGCCATCGTCATCATTGTCGCCTTCTCGATCAACATGTGCTTCTGCTGGTGTCACAGCGTGATCCGGAACTTGCTCGGAGGGTTCCGTGGTATCAGTCGGTGAAGGGATCCTTGAGGCGTCGCCATCCACCTTCGCAGCTTGCTCGTCGGCGGGCTGTGCTGCAGCGCTGTCACTCGTCGGGCCCAGCTCACTCGCTTCTGCTTCCTTCGAAGCATCCACGACCGCTTTCTCCGATGCTTCAGCAGCAGAATCTGCGCGGGTCTCACCAGCGGCTGTTTTCGTGAGAGGATCGGAGGTTCTCTTCGGCTCTTCCGACTCTTTGAGCTGCTGCGCGTTGCCAACTGTTCCCAGTGAATTTTGTTTTTGAGGTTGACTTTCGGCCAATGGCTCGCTCGCACTTGACTGGTCGATGTTTTCTGCGACGTTGGCCTCCGGAAGAGTCGTATCCGCTGCTGCAGCAGCGAGATCGACAAGTGCCGTCTCGGATGGTTGTGCAGCGGCGGTGGTAGTCGTCGGAGCTTCAGGTTGGCTGCTGGGTCGAGCCGCCGACGAAGACTGCTGAGCTCGCTTCCTTGCGGCTTCAGCGAGTCGCTCCTTCAATGACATTCTCCCAAGCTTGACTGGCGTTCCTGCTGGCGTCGAAGCACCGCTACGAGCCGGGGATGCCTCAGCTGCAACTGCCGCCGCAGAAAAGCTGTCCTTCTTGGGTGTCGAAGGTCTACGTGTCTCGCTCTCCCCCAAGCCGGCCGAGGCGCTGACCAAGGACGTCTTGATTCCCGCATCTGAGGCCTCATCTGGCTTCGTGGTGGTCGTCTTAGCCACCTGCGTGGCTTGATCCTGTGCCCCGTCGTGCGAGGCGACGGGAGTAGCAGCATCTGCATTGGCTTGGCTTTGCTCATCTTGGGGACTATGGCCGGTATCTGCAGCCTCGTTCGGAGTTGCCTTCTTTACGGGCTCGATCGCGTCGCCCGCCTCAGGGGCCGCAGAAGGGTCTGCGAGGTCAGAAGAAAATTTGCCTCCCTCCTCGAGCACCCTTGCGACTGCTTCGGGAGCAGGAACAACCGGCGCCACAAGATCTTCTTCCTCTCCTGCATCCGTGTCCCCCGTCTGGACGATTACAGAAGCTGTCGACTGGATCTCATGGCCCTTCGACGGCGGCGTGGGCGGTACGCCGCTGGCTTCTTCCTCGATGCTCCTTGCAACCGATGTCGAGAGCCCCTTGGACGACTCGGGAGCGGAACTTGCCGCCTGCTGGCTCCCTAGTGTTGCGCTAGCCGGCTGCTGCTGCTGGATCTGCAGGCTGGTGCGCGGCGTCGACTCCACTGATCGCTGCGTCTCACCTGGTGTAGAACTCGGTGGCACGTCGGTGGAGGCTCGAGGACTGCCGGACTGGTTCAGCTGTTGTTGCTGACGCCGAGCAAAAATGTTCGGGATTCGCGGCTTGTACGTCACCGGCCCAAATGGCGAAGCTGCAGGCTTGTCGAGGGCTGGCGAGCCTGGAACAGACTCGCTATTCGGAGTCGAGGGTCCGGTGGACGCGGAAACATTCACGGCCGGCGCCGCATGGGGGACGTGCTTGGTAGCCAGGACCTGTTGCAGGGCTTCGTCCTTCCATTCCACGTGCTTGAGGACGGACAATTTGGTCTCAAGATAGCGAACATCGGTCTGCATGCGATCAATGGCCCGCTGATTTTTAATCGGGATCTTCTCGAACTCTTGAGCGATACGTGCATCTGTGGCACGCAACACCTGGCCGATGACATGCTCTACAACGACAGGCTGGAGATACTTGCTCAACACCTTGTGCAGTGTCGCAGTCTCCTTTACCAGATCCGCAGCGTACCTGTTCGGTTCAGCGTCTTTGTTTTCGTCTTCTTGTGGCTTCTCGTCGGCGGCCGCTTTGTCTGCGTTCCAATCGAGTGCACTCAGCGTGCGGCAGTGCACCGTGAGGCGATCCGACATGATGGCGACGAGCTTGGCGTGAATCTCGTACTGGTGCTCCTGGAAATCGCGACGTAGCTTGTCAAACTCCGTGAGCATGACGGCTTGCTTTGGCGACAGGTGCCTGCGCACTGTTTCGCGAATGTAGGGGATAAGCGAGATCATGATCGACAGCGACTGTGACGCCAGCGCCAAATGTTTGGCGGTGATGTTCTTGAGGCCAGCGGATCGCATGGCACCAGCACCGAGCACGACCTGGCAGGTTCGCGAGTTGAACTGCTTGAGAAATTCGACCACCCTCGCCATGGCTTCCGTGGTGAGCAAAGGCAAGTTGATCACGACTTTGAGATAGTCGACGAGCAGCGCCAGCACATCGAGACTGGCATGCACGACAAAGTACTGCCGATCCTCGATGTCCAATGTTTTGGTCGAACTGGCTGCTTGATCCACATCGGTATCTCCTGTCGCCTCCACTGTCGCGTCCGACTGACCGTCGCCGGCAGTGACGACAAAGTCGGAGGGGTCTTGGACGGCACTGCTGACGATCTGTCGGATTTGACTCTGAATATGCGCGCCAACGTCTGCCTGCGCCCATGTCTCCTCTTCGACCGCCTTGGCGGCGCGCTCAATGCGTCGACGATGAAAATTAGCAAGGAAGCCCTTGGCCTGACCAAGGACGGTGCCTCGCAAGCCAACGATCATCTTTCGGCAGAGCTGTTCGGAAGACAGTACGAAGCTCCAGCAGAGCTGGAAGACGACAAGGAAGGGCGGCAACTCAAGGGCTGCATGCGTTGTGGCTCGAAGTGTGAGCAGACGTGCGCACAGACTGTGCGCCTGTTCGGCTGAAGCAACCACCACGTCGGAAAGCTTGGCTGGCAGAGCGGTCGGAACTCCTCTTGGCATGGTGGGCGGTGAGGGTAGCTTGGTTGAGGGAGCGACACCTGACGATAGAGGATCGGCCTTGTCGTCACCTACCGCTGTTGTCTCACCATGGCTCGACGACGATTCGGAAGCCAGACCGTTCAAGATGCGTAGGACGAGTGTGCATTGAGCATCAACGCCCTTGAGGCACTCCATCAGCGTCTCGAATAGATTTCGGCTCACGTTGAGGAAGGTGCCATGCTCGAGATCTCTAATGCGTGCGGCAGGTGCTGGCAAGTCGTCGTGGTCGTCGTACTTGGGCAGATCCTCGGCAAGGAGCCACTTGACCGTCTCCGCCATTTCTTCGCCGGACTGCGACAGCGTCTCCTTCCACGTCTCCCTGACTGCTCGAATGGCCACATCACGGTACGATGTCACTGCCTTTTCAATGCCTTCGGTTCTGGCGAGCCCAACGACGAGCGGCGCAATGCGGGAGGCCAAGTCGGAGTCGTGCGAAGAAAGAGTGCGAGCGGAGTGGCCAAAAGGCGATGTCGGTGTCTTTGCCGGTGTAAGCGGTGGCTCTGAAGCTGTGGTTTCTGATTGAAGCGTGAGACCGCCGGACTGAACCGAGTCAGTGGCAAAGTAGATGTTGCCGTCCGCCGATGAAGTGGAAGCATTCCGGTTCTGGGAAAAGTTTTCAAGTCGCGTTTCGATGTCCTGTCGAAGGATCGCAACGAGATTTTGCTCCAGCATACCGGACAAGGCCTGTTCCATTTCATGGAGCTGCGGAGAGACGCTTGCCAGACATTGCAGGTTAGAGAGTGTGATCACAGGGTCTGTCCTTGTTGCGCCGTTCATATCAGTCTTGACTGGCCCATCGTGGCCATCGGTGCGGCGGAGAGTAGACCTGAGTTTGTTGAGTAGATCAAGCGCTTCTTCGGTCTCGCCCTGCTGTAAGAGAAGTTGAACCAGATCGCGACGCTCGACCAGCTGGCGGACGTCCTGGACTACGGCCTGTTTGCGTTCGAGCTGTCGTCGGTGCTGCTGTTGCTGAACAACTTTGAGGCCCTTCTTCGCTTGGTTCTCGTCGATGTGTTCGAGCTCGGACTTGAGATGGTCGATCTTGCGAAGGCAGCTCTCTGCCTCGGCATTGAGATCGTTGAGGTTCTCAAGGGCGGCAAAGAAGGAGGACGACTGCTGGCCGATCTCGATGATCAGATGCTGCTCGATGACGTCGGAATAGTAGCTGAGCTTCTCTTGGAGCATCTCATTCAACGCAACATCGTATTCAGGAGCACCTCCATTCTGCTCTGAAGGGGACGTGGTAGCGACCTTGTAGCGTTCGGTGACTTGGTCGAAAGTGTACGGATTGCCGAGGTCGAACTCCTCGGAGAAGAAGACCTGGGGTACAGCACTGAGGTTGGGGAGACGCTTCCGAGCTTGAGGCGGTGGAACAGCCTGAAGGTCGGAGGAAAGAGAAGCGATACTGTTCGTGGATCGGTGCCGTGAAGTGTGCTGGCCTAGTGGTTCCGAATCGTGCGAGGAATCGTGGGCGGAAGAGCGTCGCTGTTGCCGTTGCTGCTGCTGTTGCTGTTCGATGGTGGCCTTGCCCTGCCGACCCATGCTCTGATTGCGCATGAAGCGGTCCCACTCTGGTCGTACAGAGGACAAGTAGGAGTCGAGCTCGGCCTTTTTGACCTTTGGGATGTCGGCGGGGACATGATTCGGTGTTACGGGCGGGAAGCGAGATGACTTTGGATCGATGGGATGCTGGCGCTTGGATGGGTTGTTCAGGACGGTCGAGACGGCGTTGAAGCCAGTCAGAGCGAGCGCCGGTGAATTGAATCCAGAGACGGAAAGGCTGAGGGATGAGCTTGCCGCACCTGCGGATGAGTAGATACCTCTGCCCAGCCGCGAAGCGAGGACGCTGGAGGCGAAAGCGGTGCTATTGATGGTCGAGTCGGCTTCGGAGCCCGGACTTCCAGGGCTGGTGATACCATTGCGGAAGTGAGTAGAGCTCGCCGTCTGATCGCCCGCAGAAGTGGAAGGCATACCGGCGTTGCGACTCAAAGCAACCGCAGTCTCATCGACGCCCGTGGACATGATGCTGACTTTGCCAGCTAGAGCTCGGCGTGTAGCCCATCAAGCAGGATCCGATGGTCCAAAGCCGTTGTAAGAAGCGTTCCTCGCGCTGTGTCTCTGTCAGCGAGTCGCTAATTATGACAGAGATAGATGACGATGGCGACGACGCGAACGAGCCCGGGTCGATTGGCGTGTCAAGTGTTGGTTGTTGGTTTGTGTGAGGTTACTTCGTTGGCCCTTGCTTGCATCGCTTCCATTGCTGCCAGAAGATTTGAAAATATACTGTTACGGCTCTGCAAGTTACAATATGTCTGAAAAGGTCAGCTGCACGGATCAGCAAAGGCCCAGCCAAATCAGAGAGAGGGCCCGGAAAAGCCGAATTGCACAAGGACGTGTCTCGGCATGGCCACTTCCGCACACACCGAACAGCAGGCTGCTGAGCTTGGCTCGCAGCCCGGCCGGTCCACGCCTCAGCTGAATTCCTCCATCAAGACGGCTAGGCGAAAATCGCGACTACCGACAGTGCCGTGTTGAAGCCTTGTGACGAGCCAGTCGCGAGCCGAAGTTGGTGTGACTGAGAGGCTTCGACGTGTTGACTGCCAGAATCCGAGCTTGCGCAGCCAAGTGACATAGGCGGACATGCAATGTGGCTGCAAGAATGTGCGTGTGCGGCTGGCGTGGCTGGCTGCAAGTTATTTGGTGCCTGACGCTAGACAAGCAGTATTTTACAGAAGCTAAAGGCGGGGGCGCTGACGAGCTTCTTGACTGGACGAAGGAGGTGGAATGAGAATTATCATCAGCCCGCCTTTCGAAGTCCGACAGAACCCTCTTGTCATCGCCACCGGCCAAGACTTTCTGCTCGGTCGGCTTGCCAACCCCAACTTTTGGTGACTTCGGCTCGACCGACGCAACCGAAGCAACAGCGACCCTTTACCGTCCGTCGGTCCTTCCGCTAGAAGACGTATGCTCACTCGCTCCCCACACCGGTCGTCTGTCTCTGTCATTCGGCTCGACGGGAGACATCCGAAGGGCAGCAAGGCCGGCCACACGCACGATCCCTCCTCACCTTCGCTTGCATCCTCGATTCACTTCAACCCCAGTCTCGTCCACCACCCTGTCGATCTGCCTCTCCCTCCGATCCCTCATGCCACGACCATAGCGTCGGCGAACCACTTTCATTTTGGTCGCGATCCGGCCTGCTAATTTTGGATCGGCCGCGACGCAGCAAACCTGACCAGACCATCATCGCCGACCTCGACGCTGCCTCGCTCGCTCGCTCGCCCAAAATGGCGTATCCGATGGCATTCCCGCCCACCGCCATGCGGCCTCTGCCAGGTGGCACTACACTCGTGTCGGCGCAACCACCAGCTCCAGCGGCTGCTGCGGTCATGACCACCGAGTCCTTTGACGCTCCCGAAGGCATGTACGTCTGCACCTCGCGCTTCACGCCACCACCACAGCCCATGATCCATCTCAATCCTGTGCCCACCACTCAACTCGGTCTCTCGGCCGTCTACCCGACGCCTCGAGTGTCTAGCGTCAGTCTTCGATATCCGGTCTCGTCCAAAAAGGCGTCCGATTCCAGCGCAGCCGACTTCGCCTCTGCGCCATCGCTCAGTGTCCTTCTCGAAGCGCCCCTCGCATCCCAAGGTATCGACGCTCCTTCATCGAGCCTCACAGGCGGATTGCCGCCAGGCAGCGCAGGACCATCGGCGGGTATAGCTGGCATCGGTGGCCCCGGCATGGGCTTCTCGGGTCTCGGCGAGACCATGGGCAAGCTCAATGCCAAACCTGCGCGTCCCAAGAACAGTCTCAAAAACACCTCGAGCAACTTTGTCAACCGCATGATGACCCACCCGGACCTCGCCAAAATTCTTGCCGCCCGCACCGATGCCGAGCACTTCACTTTCCTCACCAACGCCCGCTCCTTCTTCTGGCTAGCGGACACGAATGGCAGGACAAAGGAGAGTTTGGCTCGTATCACCTTCGGCGCCTCCCCATCTGCCCATGATGTCAACCAGTTCACGCGCTCGCACGACCGTCTCGACATTGTCATCGGCTTCGTCACTGGCGATTTGGTCTGGCTCGATCCAATTGCCTCGAAATACTCGCGCATCAACAAAGGTGGGTGCATTACGAGCTCGGCCGTCACGCAGGTGCGCTGGCTACCCGGAAGCGAGAACCTCTTCATGGCAGCACATGCAGATGGAAGCATTCTTGTGTACGATCGCGAGCGCGAGGATTCGAGCGACTTTGTTGCAGCTACCTGGGAAGCTTTTGCTGGTGACACCCCGTCGTCATCCAGCGCTGCTCTTCAGTCCGCCATCGGCGTACCCGGCACCCCTTCCTCGGTTGCTATGTCGGCCAGTCAGACCTCTGCATCGAACGCGTCAACTTCCTCGAACCCAGCCGCAGGAGCGGCATCCGGAATCGCGCTTGGGTCTGGCATCGCTGAGTCCCGTCCAATGATGGGAACTCGCACGGTAACGAGCTCGACCACCACCACTACGACGCAGACCGACGTTGGCGACACGAACTTGTCCACCAGCTCCGGCAGCGTCACGAACCTTTCGAAAATGAGGACCGGCGTTGCTCCAGGTACGCTTTCGCAGCGACGGCAGGCGGCCGACTCCGGCTCCGGGGGGCAGCCGCTTCTCCTAGTCACAAAGCCAGGCGCCGTGCCAATCACATCTGGGTTGCCCTCCGGAGGCTCTTTGCACTCGCGCGAATACCAGCAGGCAGCGGCTGCAGCTGCCGTCGCCGCTGCCAACGCGGCTTCCAATGGCAACGGACTCTCAGGTAAAGGCAAAGAGACGTCATGGTCGCGCCTCAACCCTGTCTCGCACTGGGCCGTTTCAAAAACGCGCATCACCGACTTTGCCTTTTCGCCAGACTACTCGCACGTGGCCCTTGTGGCCGAAGACGGCATCCTTCGCATCGCTGACGTCAACTCGGAGCGTTTGCTCGACACGTTTGAATCGTACTTTGGAGGATTCAATTGTGTTGTCTGGTCTCCTGATGGCAAATTTGTGTTGACAGGAGGCGAAGACGACCTGGTTACCGTGTGGGCTCCCCGCGAAGGACGCATAGTTGCAAGGTGTCAGGGTCACACGTCGTTTGTCACCGGACTTGCATGGGATCCTTGGCGATGGTCTTCGGACGATCGAACCTATCGATTTGCGTCTGTCGGGGAGGATTGCAAGATGATCCTGTGGGACTTTTCCAGTGCCGCGCTCAACCGTCCCAAGACGTATGCCCCGCACAACGCCAGTCACCGACGAAGCTCTGTCGGTCTTGGATCTACCTACTCGCTCGTCGACAAGCACGGGTCGTCGGCCTTTGCGCGCTCTCCAGGTTCGGTGTACACTGGTCGACGCATGAGCACGAGCACTGGCTTGGCATCTTCGGCGCTCGCAACCGTCACAGACGACACGATCCGACATCCCGCACTGCCGCGCTCCGAGGTTGCCATCCTTCAACCTGTTGTCACCGTGGATGTGGACGGCGAAATTCCGGCAGGGATTCGATTCGGGCCGGACAAGGTCATGATCGTTCGCAAGAATGCGGCCATCGACACTTTCACACGTCCTCTGCCCAAACGGCCAACCAGCGTGGTGGCTTCGTCGTCAATCGGTGCGGATAGGACTTCATTGCCAGCAGGTGCGCGAACGAATCGGTTGCCGCTAGCATCTCGGAGTGCACGTGCTCCTCCACCGCCTTTGAACCTTGCCGCCAGTGCGGCCATGTCAGGTCACTCTCAGCAGTCATCAGCGACGACGCCGACGACGCCGAGACACGCGATTCACAACGGTGCAGCGGCAGGTGTCAAGAATGGTATCACAGCCTGAATGTAGCTGCGCTACATGCATTGCATTTCATTAGATGATCATCGCATAAGATCAGAAGAGTGTCCCTTCTCGCACAGCGTCGTGCAAAGCTTGTGAAGGGCTAGCGTTGCTGCTGCCGTTGGCGGTGCCGCTCTGAGCTGGTCGAAGATAATTGAGCTCCAACTCGATCAACTCCATCACAGTACGAAGCGTACGTTTCTCCCACTCGCCCCAAATCACTGCGCTGTAAAGCATGGTTGTCCCCGCCCATCCTGCGACTACTGCTAGCAGCACGAATACGGGATTGACGCCACCCAAGGGCTGAAAGATGCTTGCTATGATCAGACCGATTGCGACCAGAAGGGCCGTTCCAAAGACGTAAAAGTGAGACATTTGGTTGGAACGACTGGCGGCGAAAGCTCCGGATAGAGCGTGCAGGGTGGATGTGAGGATCCGGTGTTGAGAGGGCTTGTCGTTGGTTGTGGAGGGTGAGATGGTGTCTAGGATGTCGAATGTGGAGGCGACGCCGAAGTGGTCGGAGAAAGAGCATTGGTGAGCTGGGATGATGTCGGTGATGACGACGGAGGAGGAGGTGCATGCGAGACGACCGCGGCCAGATGCGGATGCTGAGTACGACGTGGAACCAGGTTGCATTTCAACGGGGCCGCGGAAGAGGACGTAGTCGAGCCTCTTGCCTGCGCCCCGCGTTGCACGTTCGTCGAGATTCTTTCCGGTGGTCCAGGTGTTGAGAGGAGAATCACAGGTGACGCCGAGTTCCTCGATAGCTCGCTGTGGATTTGGCGGCGCAAATCCGTGTCCGCCGATCCTCGACGCGTCCTCTCCCTGATCCAAAGACGTCGCTTGCTCCGGTAGCTGAGGATGCGAGTCCAAGAAGCTATCATACAACCCGCCAACGTGTCTCATCAGTCCAATCGCCAACGATGGAGGTGTAGAGTTGAGATCTCCCACACAAACCACATGTCGCCCTCGACTTGCGCTGTTCCGACATTCCTTCGCGAGCTCGAAGGCCTGAGTGATACGATGCGACCTCTTGTACTCTGGACCATCTTCGCCGCCTGCTGCTATGAAATGAGTATTCCAAACGTCCAGCAACCCCAATCTCGGATGATCAACGGTGACACATCCACACGCTTTCCCCACGAACCAGTCCCCGTGTTGTACATGAAGGGGCTGGCCATTGAGCGAATAGGGATGCGTTTTTGTTTCGAGTATGGCCCAGCGAGAGAGAATAGCGAGACCTGAACCAAATGCTCCCGAGTAGAAGAATTTGGAGTGGGGATAGCGGGAGGCGAGCGTGTGCTTGAGGAACCGCCAGTCTTTGGATTCGTACCAGACCTCTTGGAGGCAGACAAAGTCGTAATGTGGAGTCGTGGATGATGCCAGGAGGGAAGCGATGGCTTTGATGCGTTGCAGTCGTAGCTTGGAGATGTACTTGAGACCCCAGCAGTTGAGCGTGAGGACGCTGAGTTGTCGGTCATCCCGTGGTTGGGGTGGGTGAGCAGCATCGGAAGCTGGAGGAAACATGGGCGGCGGGACAGTGCCGGCGACGGAGCTCGATTGCGAAGACACTGGAAGTCTCGGCATCGGTCTAAGTCGAGAGAGAGGAGGGATGCATGGGTGACGGAAAGGAACGATAGCTCTCGGAGATGTTTCCGAAGTGTTGGTCTCTCCATGCGCTCAATGCAGCTGTCGAGACCTCCACACCTTCCTTTGCAAGGTGGGCCGAAATCAGATCGCGTTGTGCTGCCCAAATTTCTGGAGAAAACGGCGGTTCCGATCGTGGAATTTCTCAAGCGAAGCGCAGCCGCCGCCTTTGTCCGGCGTTAGGTATCGGCTTATCTTCGAGCTTCGAGTGTCTTGACTCTCTTCCACCATATCCTTTTCATCGCCTTGCACAAAGGCTCCGTTTACACACATCGATCAAGACCGTGACGCTTCGCCTATCCCCATCCATCAAAAGGCACAGTTCTACATCCTCGTCCAAGCCAGGCATTATTCCGTTTGAGGCACAAACTCGCTCAGTAGACGCATTCGATACCAACCACTTCAATCGTTATAGACTCAGCAACGACACGGTTGCTGCTCTCTATTCATCATGATCAAAGTAAGGACGATGAGGACGCTGACTCCAGTAATTGCTTTCGATACTGACGGATACATTCGATTGACTGCCACCAGATCTGGAGCATGAAGAAGGAAGAAGAGTCGGCCAAGAAGAAGAAGCCAAAGACATCACCGGCGCAACTTAGGGTGCAAAAAGGTATGAGAATGCTACCGCTTTTCTCACGGTACGACGCTGTGTTGAGAACTTACGCATATGAACCTCTGTTGACTTGCGCCCGCTTCCCAGATCTCACCGAACTCGAGCTACCAAAGACGATGAGGACGGACTTCCCTGACCCAGCAGACGTCCTCAATTTCACTCTCACAATCGAACCAGACGAGGGTAAGAAGCAGACCCTGATCGCGACCGTCACCGAGTGTCTGAAACTGACTCAAATATACGATACCCCAACGACGACTTGGCAGGCATGTACAAGACTGGCTCCTTCAAATTCACATTCGCCATCAACAACAACTACCCACACGACCCTCCCAAGGTTAAATGCACGCAAAAGGTAAGTCTCTGTTTCGCTCGCAATTATAGGCTTCAGCTGAGCGCTCATCAAAAGCACCTCTCTTTTATGCATGATTTGACAGATCTACCATCCAAATGTCGACCTTGAGGGCAACGTCTGCCTCAACATCCTTCGAGAGGACTGGAAGCCCGTTCTCAACCTAAATTCGGTCATGGTTGGGCTGCAGTACCTGTTCCTGGAACCAAATGCTGACGACCCATTGAACAAAGGTAAGTTTTGCAACGTTGCGATGGGATAGAGCTTATATCAGGTCACTGACCGCTAAGATGTTTTGCTGGAATTCGTGGCTACAGAGGCGGCGGAGGACCTTCGCAAAGATCGATCCGTATTCGCAAGCAATGTACGAAGGAGTCTTGCCGGTGGCGCTATCAGTAAGTTATACAATCCTCAGCCACAAAAGCTGGACAGAATGTTGACCTCAATTCGCTCTACATCTGGTGTGCATAACAGAGGGTACAACATACGACAAGGTCGTTGCAAAGTGATGGAGGTGTAAGCCAACCGTCATATCACGAACAATGGCGGAGCCGATGTTGAACTCGCTCAAAGGGCATCACTGTACTTCTATCGCCAGCAACACCATGTCTCATACCATTGATCACGATCGCTGAGACAATGCTGTCCCAATGGCGTACGAATACGCTTCGAGCGTTTTGATTGAGCGTGGTTCTGGGGCGACATCTTGCTTTGTCTGGCTCTCTGGACGCAAGAGGCAAGATCGCGTGAGGTGGAGGAGTGAGTCGCGAATTTTTTGGCCATACAGAGCTTTGAGCGTAAAAATTGGACCCTGCATGCTGAAAGCGCACACACCACTGTCCTTTAATCCTCCTGCTCTTGCGAAGTAGATACCATCCACCTTTCCTTTCGTCACTCACAAGCACACATCGGCCCGGCATCTTCATCGCCTATTCATCTTCAGTCTTGAGTATGGGCTGTTGTGCCGCTGAACTTTGCCGTCCGAACAAGACAGAATTTCAAGCGACGGCGCCTCCCAGACCAAACCCCCTACCACGACCACACTCACCATCGTGTGAGGCGAATCTCTTCCGCTACTTCAAGATGGCTTGGCGCTGTTCAGGGGCGACCAACGTCGAGCTGATCAGCAACATGCGCAATCACTCGCTGATCACCTCATCACGCGTATTCGAGGCCATGACCAAAGTCGACCGTGCCAACTACGTGCCATCCAAAAGGTCCGCCTACGAAGATTCACCGCAGAGTATCGGGTTCGGTGCGACGATCTCTGCCCCACACATCCATGCGCTTGCGGCGGAGAATCTTCTTCCCTTCCTCCAACCCGGTGCAAAAGTCCTCGATGTAGGTTCTGGTTCCGGTTACACCCTTGCTATTTTCCACCATCTCGTGAAGGGGAATGGAAAAGTGGTCGGTATCGATCATATCCAAGCACTGGTCGATCAAGCGAATACGAATCTGGGCAAGGACGGGCTGCATGGCGAGTTGAAAAATGGACAGATCGTGAATGCCTGCGGGGACGGCAGGAGTGGCGTGGAAGCGGAAGCACCGTTTGATGCGATTCATGTCGGGGCGGCTGCTCCGGGATTCCCGGAAGCTTTAGTGGATCAGTTGAAGGCTCCGGGCAGGATGTTCATTCCGGTCGAAGAACAGGATGGTTCTGGAAATCAGAACATCTATCAGGTCGATAAGGGGGAGGATGGTGAGGTGAAGAGGAAGAAGATCTGCGGTGTGGTGTATGTGCCATTGACAGATGCTGACAAGCAGTGGAGGTCGTAGCATGCTGAGCGAAACGAACAGCAATCGGGCTCTGATGCAGCGGTACGAGTGCACGAAGCGATCTCTTCCTGATGATCTGAATAGAGCGTAGCATTGCATGTGGTGAAAATGCCAGATCTTTTTGGAGTCGGACATGCCGTAAACGAGGCACAACTGATTCGAGCACCGCCGAGCTACATCGAATCACGATTATTGCTGCTGTTGCTGCTCCAACCACTCTTCCTCATCCTGATCCTTCCCTGGCATGACATCGTCCTCTCCTTCCTTCAACGTCTCGCCGATAGCCTTCTTCAAGAGCCCATACGCCTTGTCCAAATCGTCATTGACAATGATCCAATCGTGTGCGCCCTTCTCCCTCGCATACGCCATCTCCGTGGCTGCCATGGTCAGCCTCTTGTTGACGGATTCCGCCGTCTCTGTGCCTCGACCTATCAATCTCTGCTTCAACGTGGAAAAGGAAGGAGGAGAGATGAAGATGTAGATTGGGTTCAACGAAGGGTGATTTGCTTTGATGAGTTTTACACCTTGAGCGTCGATGTCGAGGATGGCACGACGAGCGGCTGTGCTTCCATCTGCACCCTTAACGCCTTCGGTAGAGACATCAGCGACGGCTTTGGCGGTGGTGCCGTAGCGGTTGCCGCCGAACTTGGCGTGTTCGAGGAAGGCGCCTTGCTGGACGAGGTCTTCGAACTCTTGTTGCGTCACGTAGTGATAGGATTGACCTCGAACCTCGCCTGGTCGAGGATCTCTTGTGGTATCTGCGAAAGGATAGGTGAGACCAACCAAAAAGTAGCAAGAGAAGGAAGGTCAGTCTCTTCGATTGAAGGGTTGTCCGCCAAAGAGCTTGGACAATGACTTACGAGAAACGGAAAAGCCGAAGTCGTTAGGGAACTCGTCAAAGAGCTTCTTGAGCAGAGTGCTCTTACCCACACCGGAAGGACCCGAAAGCACAATAGGACGCTTGTCACTCGGGATGGGAGGAGTCGATGCCCAGTTGGAAGTCGACATGTTGGCGATAGATGCAACAGCCGTCCTCTTGACGGTTTGCGATGATGTTGGTGATGGCAGGCAAGGTCTCGAAGCGGCGGTGCGGAGCGGAGTGATCCAGCGATTCATTCGAGTGCTGCCGGCTTGTCCAAGTATCCAGGAGGCGTGCAAGTTGGTGGTGAGAGCTTGAATGTGGATCGTGTTGCTCTTGACGCTACACTGTGTTACCCTGCAGCTCGGAGACGGTACCCGTTTCTGCGGTCTTCAAAAGAAATTATAGTGGTTAGACTCAAAATTGGCCAAATGTTGCCGAAAAAAAAAGTCCATCGGGAGGCCCGATGTTCGAGCAAACTGGACCCTGAGTCGCGACTTGTGATGAACTGCAAGTCCTTCGGACAGCGCGCTCGTGAGAACAACACTCTGGCTGAGCCCAGACTGAGCCTAGATCAACACTTTCACTCCGACCGTCCATCTGTTGCATCCACCGCGTCTCGTATCGATCAGCATGCCAGTACGTCGGCGCGACATGGCCGACGCGTCCGGCCCATCGAGACGATACGATCAGGAGCTCAAACCCAAAGTCAAGCCCGAGCCCTTGACGGACAATGTTATCGACCTGTGCGACTCGGACGAGGAGCCTGTTGCTCCGCGCAAGCCCGCATCATTCAATTTGAAGTCACCTCCCAAAAGATCAACCGCAAGGACTGGCAAAGTCAAAGACGAGTTTCAAGACGATCATGATCCCAGCGAATCCGAGTCCTCCTCCGACGATGACTTCCGCGGTAGCAAAGCAAAACGCAAGTCCAACAAGCGTCCACCAGCAGAGCCACCTTCGACTGCCAAGCTTTACGCCATTGCGCGCATCGTGACGCTCGCCACCGACGGCGTCGCCTCGGTCTCACAATCCGAAGCCAAACTTGCCGGCGTCAACTCCGGCATCCTCTCTCGCATCCAAAAATCCTTGGCACTTGCCAAGCATCCCGGCACCGGCGAAGCAGAAGCCCAACAAGCACTTCGTCTCGCCACGCGTCTCATGTCATCCCAAAACCTCACACAAGCCGATCTCCTCGCCTCCTCTGACTCCGAAACGAATCAGTCTCGTGCTGGCATGTCGATCGTCGAGATCGTCTCCCAAACCAACGCAACTCCACGCAACGAGAGCTGGGTGAATCAAGTCGCCATAGCCGTCAACTACTTCTTTGACGTCAAAGCGTATTCCACCTCGTATGCAAATCGTACAAAGCTCAGCTGGACTTTCTATGGGTTGGCGGTGAACACGGTCGCTGCAGCACACGCTTTCGAGATGGTTCACAATCAGGTGCTGACGTGGGCGTATGACAAGGCAGCAGCCAAGCTTGTGACGGGTAAGACGGGCAAGAATAGCTACTGTCAAGGTGTCGCTGCTGGACTCATTGCCTTGGCGAGGAAGGAGAAGAAGGAAGAGATGAGGTTGGCTATCGAGTCTGAGCAGAAGCGTTTGAAGGATGCTGAGGAGCAGGAGAAGGCGCAGATCAAGAAGGAGAAGGAAAGATTGAGCGATCCGCCAGTCAAGGCTGAGCCTGACGCGTCTCGACCGAGCGGGGTCAAGGCTGAGCGAGCAGAAGACATGGCTAGCAGCTCTGCGTCGGGATCTCGAAATGTCAAGCTCGAAGATGCAGTCGATGAAGAGGATACCAAGCCTTTCAGAAACGGTTTCAAACGGTCTGCCTCGCAGGACCTCGAAGACGGATATGGTCGGTGGTCTAACGGCGGTCACGGCGGCATCAAGCCGGAGCCTGGACTTGGTCCAGACTACTCGGACGACGAAGACACCAACGACCGCTTCTACGACTTCAACACTGACGCTCATCCCAGCGACGATCCCGAAGAAGACGTCAAACCCCATTTCGACGAGGCTCTCGAGCGCGACATTATTGATCTCACCTCCGACGTCGACATCGACCAGGTCGAAGTCAAACCGAAACTCGAACCCGACCACGACATCAAACCGAAGATCGAGTCCGAACACAACAAAGATTTGGGTGCGGGATGGCAATCCGGTAACCAGCTCATACGTTTCCGCCAGGATGCTGAGAAGATCGCAGACGATTACCTGGCGTCTCAGCACAAAGGGCTCAAGTTGAAGAAGAGGGCGAAATCGAGCTTCAAGAAGGACTCGAGCGCTTTCGAACAGGGGAGAGAAGATGCAAAGAAAATCGATGTCAAGAGGAAGCGAATTCAGAACTGAGGTCTTACTGCTGTTGACGTAGAGTGCGTTTCGTTGATCAATATACCCTGCACTGAAATTTGTTATCGCAATGATCAGCATCGAGTGACAAGCAAGATACAATTCTTTGTAGTCTTGCAGCTTAGCGACCGGGAGAGACTCCGTCCTTCGACGACTGATGAGCTCACGGTGATGCAAAGATGGAGTCGAAACCTTTGACTCTTTTCTGCTCCGCGCCTTCACCCGCACCCGTATCGTCTGTTGCACCTTTCTTCCAAGCATCGCCAACCAACGCCTCCGCCTCTTGCATCGTCATCGGCCTTGGCACGCCTTCAAACCAATCCACATCCATCCCCCTACTGCCTTCTCCCCTGCCTAGGTTCGGCGGCGTTCTCAACAACCCCTCTTGATCGAAGCCAAATTGTTTCTTCGCCTTTGCAAAGTTCCTCTGGATAAGTCCATCCATGCTGGGTCTCAAGACATTCGGATCTTGATAGATCGTGCCTATCTGGAGATGTGCGATTGCGTCTTGGAGGAGCACTTGATCACGTGTGTGAAAACCGGATTGAAGGCCACCGGTTTGGAGAAAGTCGTCGATTCGCGACCAGTGCGAGGAGGGGATCCATTGGTGGGAGCGGAAGAGGTATTTGAGGGTCAGGATGGATCGCGCTTGTTGCTTCTGATCAAGGGGGTAAAGGAGGAGGGAGAATTGCTGAAATATGTGCAGAGGGCTTCGGAATGACGTTGGAGCAGTGGTGGTCAGCGAGGGCAAGAGAAGAAGAAGGATGATGGAGCAGTGCAGGTTCAACATGTTCGACTTCATGGCGGAAAGATCTATTCGTCAAGCGAAAGGTCCTTCTGACTTGATGCTCGGGAAAAAGAATCGACACGTAGTGACTTCTTATTATAGATCTCACTGAAAGAGAGCGAGTGGCTATTGCGGCCCGAACCTCGTACAGGAGCTAACCAAAAGTGGCGTGTGATGTGGTAAGACACACATCAAAGGTACCTTTCAGGTTGCGAAAAGCGACAATGTCACAAGCTCCTCATGATTGAGACGCCCATCAAGCCACGTTTCCGCACCAACCTCACCCACATACAGTATCATGAAAAGCCTCGATTGTGAGTAAAGCGTTCATCTACGTCCGGATGCTCAGCCGGACGATGGCGAAACCTTCGCTCAACATCCCGCGATGTCGCTGAACGCAAGTCAGACCACGATTGTACTTACGCAAAGGGAGTATCTTGAGTAATCAAACGCATCAGGGTTACGCGGTGGGCCTCGATCGAGCGTTGTGTAGGGTAACGGAGGCGTTCCAGTTAGATTTCTCGAAGTGGGTCGCACGGGTTCACACTGAAATGAAACAAACGAAACAACGCCGACGTCGATTCCGCCTTCATATTGAATCACTTGCTTCATCAAGCCTCACAAGAGCGATCCCGACGGGTAGGCAAGGCTTTTGTTCCAGCCTCAAAACAGTAAGATCTTGCTCTTGTTTTAAGGCTCATGGACGCGAGTCAATCCTCCCCTGCGATCGCATGACATCCAAGCCACCTCAGCTTGAATCTCCTGAAGCGATCGAAAGTATGCGTTCCGATCCGAGCGGATACGTGCAAGTTCGCGTGGGTACCATGTGTTCCATTCGAGTCCGGTCAACGGATACTGCGCACGCTCCCCGGCTATGCGAAGACAAGAGTTCAAAGTTCCGGGTTTTGAATTGTCATGTCAGCGTTCTGTGAGGTTTTGTCTCGCTATTCAAGCTGAGCAGACTTACACATTCGTCCAATCAGCTGCATGTCGTGAAAGAACTGCGAAAAGGTGTCCATCGGTGGATTGTGAAGATCTGAACAGCAATAAGTGTCAGGATAGAGCCACAATTTGATCTTGGTAAGATTAAGAAGGTCTCAATCAAGGCAACGGTCAAAGTTGGAAAGGTGTGGCGCACCTGGATTCTGTTGAAGAACTTCGACTGCGCGCCTTTTGAGCTGCTCGATTGCCTCTGGAATAGGTGTTCCGGCTTTCCAGATGATGTCGTCATTCGGAATGACGTACGATTTGACCGAGTCGGCAAGCGTGGTGGCCACCGAAAGGAGGAGGAACAGGCGCTTGAAGTTGACCATTTGATACCAAACTCGGCGCTGTTGTTAGCAGGAAAACAACCTACTGATTCTTGAGTAGCGGGCATATTTGATTGAGCCACCTGCGAGCTAGGTACGGGCAGCGGCCTGATCCGACATACTGTATGCTGACCCTTCGACCAATGAGATTGGCGCAGGAACGCGTAGGCTTGCCAGCAACGAGGCGACCAAGAATTTGTAGAGGTGCGAAAATGACATAGTTGTCCACGGGCGCACCTTCTGCACATTAATCTAATGAAGTGAATGATTCACGGAGTCGAACTGTACAGTAGAAGTGGGAGAGAGTAGCAAGAGATGCACAAGACTGCAACGCGAATGGAAGACGGCGAGTGGGAATTGCGACGCGAGTCGACACAGTTCTGGTGGTTTCATTCTTCGGCCTCGATCCTTCGACTGTGTCAGTGGATTTGTCTTCGACTACCGACTTCGCTCTTCTTCTCACGCACAGTGCCTTATGCGATGAATTGCCAGGTCGGAGGTCTCCAATGCGTAGTAAAACACATTTTATCACAGCCAAGGGTCTCTCTCTCAAATCCACCAAAATACGTGGTACTGCGTACGATATGAGCAAGTCTGAGCTTGTTCTCTGTTGAATACAACAAAGTGTCATTGGTATGCTGGCTTTCGAAGCTACAGAAGGTGTTGTTCGATCCCTCGACTGAGCATCAAGTCTCTGCCTTTACTGTGCACCTCCAGACGCCCCGGCTTCGCGTGCAGCCCTGGCCCGTTCGATTTCTCCAGCGTACCAAGAATTCCAATCCCTGCCCGTCATCGGATAGTAACCCAGGGAGCCAACTTGCCACCAAACAAAGAGAGAGCTCAGCGGCCAGTCAATGACTTGTTTGCTTCAGCTTTGCACGATGGTAGACTAATCGATAGACTTACGGAATCTACCTTGTTGGTTCCAGTAGTTGAAGAAGCTCTGTGCGGCATCGGCGCTCGGAGCCGCAGCATCTGTGAGATGTTTCCATGGTCAGTTCGGATACGGTCATGTCCGAAATTGAGCCGGCTGAACTTACTCGGGTTCGCTTGCATCGCCTGCACGATTCGTTCCTGAAGACCGGAAACTCCCTCTTCGATGGTCTGTCCGCTTCGCCAGATCACTGCGTCGGGATGAATCAAATAGCTCATGACCGACGTCGTCATCAGCAGAAGCATGGTCGACACGTGAAGGACAAAGTTGAATCGAGTCATAGTCGACCGAAATCAAATGATGCTACGAGGTGTCTGGGGGTTAAAGTGAACTCTGAACAAAAATTATCTGAAAGCCGCCAACTCAAGCTCTTATATAGCTCAGCTGTGTGCATCAGCTGCATACAAAGGGAAGCCTGCTACCCAGTACAGTCGTCTATCAAAGTTGCTGAGTAACCACGGGTTGGCAGTGGTGACCAGTCGTAAAGGACAGCATTATGAACCTGTTGACGTGCCAATCAGACGATGGCGACCAGGTTGCATCTGCATTGATCCTCGCGCTAAGACGAACTCAAGATGGTTGCAATGGGTTTGCAAAGTCCTCCCGTCAAATCCCACGGTGGATAGCTTGATGATACCATCACCGCTGTTATGCATCTTAGGCGAGACCCCACTCTAACTAACACCCACCCACCCATCCAACGTCTACCAAGGTCCACCAAAACGAGGCCCTTGCAACCTATACTGTCTATCCAGCTCTCTTGCCCTTTCTGCTTGACGTAGTGCCCTGGCTTCAGGTGTCTCGGTGCGACGGATCTCGAGTTCGTACCACCGGTTCCATTCTGCTCCTAGAACTGGATTGCGTTGAATTCCTCGGACTTTGCGAAGGAAACTCTCTTGTAGGTCAGTCCTATCCGGCAAATCTCTCTTAATGTCAAGGATGACTTACTGAAGCGGCCTTGATGCCATAGAGCACTGAAGAATCGATGTGGAGCGTCCGCAGTAGGATTGATCGCATCTGTCAAAGAATCACACGCGGAAAGTTGGTGTTGCAAGCTCAAGGAAGATGAAGCTTTGCCACGCTGTCGCATCAAGAGCTTACCTCTGTTCAACATTAGATTGTGAAGTATGTGTTCCTTGAGAACTTCGATTCCGACATCGAGTGTCTGACCGCTTTGCCAGATCAACGCATTCGGATGGATCTGAAAGCACAAGACCTTGTTCGCAAATTCCAAGATGAGCAAACTGATGACGTGGAACATACGACGCATTTGGGCGGTGATGCAATGGTATGCACGTCGATGGAGGTGTATGAGTACAGATATGCACGGCGAGCTTGGTGGATTTCTCATTGTTCGAGCTCAGGAAGGTTACGTATTATATCTTGCGGCACTCTCAGGAAGCCGTGGGTGCCGGGCTCCTGCCAGATGAAGCAAACGTGTCGTTGTACTGTACAGTCAACAGACAGAATGAGGTGGGACGGACTGGAATTGTTGTGGGAAGCTGCCAAGGGAGAAGTCGTGCGAACGAGCGTTCCCAGATCGAGTTGTAGCGCACCACTCCAGTGACCTCAACGTCCCCAACCACCCACTCGCCTGTTAGCAGCATTTCTCAGAGACTGCTCTTCCTCCCACCTCTCCTGTGCCCGCCGTACTCTGGCTTGAACTGTTTCAGTTCGCCGGATCTCATCCCGATACCAGGCGTTCCATTCGGCTCCAGTGACCGGCTCTTCAGCTTCCTCACCAACTGTATGTGCAATCGATCGTTGTTTGAGGTCAGTTTGCGTGATTTTGCGCTTCAAAAATTAGGCTGTGACTTACCAAGTCGGCCCTGCTGGCCAAGGTAATTGAAGAACCTCCGAGGAGCATCCGCCGTCGGATTGATCGCATCTGTGTTGACAACCGAGGAAAGCAATGTCAGAACTGTTTTCATTGAGTCCCGCGCGATACGAAGGGCGCCTTACTGGTGTTGCGTCGGAGAGCGTTGCCGATGTGCTCGCTGAGGTTTGCAACTCCGTCCTCGACAGATTGACCAGCCCGCCAAATCTGCTCGCCAGCATTGATCTCGTAGCTTTTGACGGAAGCCGTCAGGGCTAGGATCAGTGTCGAAAGGAAAGGTACAAGCTTGACGGAGCGCATCTTTTGGAGTCTAGACAACAGGAGGTGCTGAAGGATGATGAAGATGGAGTCGCAACGTTGCTCAAAAGCAGTGACTTATATGCTTGTGTGTTGTTCGGCACTCTCTGAGCGAATGTTTTCATCGTTGTTGCTACTACGCTAAGTGGGAAATCGAGCACGGTCAACAGACCAACTTTCGCGTGATTCTCGCTGTCTTGGGACTGTCAACGTCAAGTTCGCGCTCCTTAACACACACACACGCGCACACAGGTCGCAACAATTAGCCAGTTCGATGGGCTGGACCAGCAGTGTCCCTCCTTCATTCATGCCCAGGACACGCCCACCTATGTCTCTTTGCTGCGGCGATTTCAATTACCTTGGCACTCTGGCCCCACTGCACTGATACTGTACAGTACAGCATGCCATTCAATCAGATTCAAATTCTGAGCCAACGACAGTGGTGGTGCCTTCATCTCAACTTCCGCCAATTTTTGACACAGAAAGACAGCAGACGAGTGAACAGCGAGCAATACAATTCACGTTCGTTCAAGCATCCCACACACTGTAATTCGGCGGGCCGAGCTTCACCAAGCACCTCGACCCACGCGTCTATTGATCCTCCGTTCCCTAGCAATCAACCTGTCCCTCTCCTGCTGTCGGTCCATCTCCCTCATCCTAGCCCTTTCCGCTTCCCGCAATGCCTGTCTCTCGGCAATGATCTCAGGTGGAAGGGGTCGTTCGTAAACATTCTCATACCAAGCATTCCAATCTGATCCTGTCAGTGGTTCAACCTCGACATGGGCGGATGCTGTCCAACACGAGAGAGAGGGAAAGATCAGTTCTGGTCGTCATGGAAGCTATCTGGAGCCGCAAAGTTGGGAACCCACACAATCTGCCTTGTCTTTCAAGCGTCTCGAAAAAACGCCTTGGTGCATGGGCGATGGGGAAGATTGAGCCTGTTGGACAAGGACACTGATGATCAGTCGATCATTGCTCTTGCTGACCCAAGGCGGCATATGTCGTGCTCACTCGGATCCTCTTGAAGTGCGCTGAAGATCCGCGAGATCCCTTCTTCCATGGTCTGACCCGGCCGCCAGAGAACGATGGACGGATCGATGTTGTAGCCACATGCGAACGGAAGAAGGATCAAGAGCAATACCGTTCGGATACGAGGAAAGAGAAGGTCAATCATAGCTATGATGTGATCTGCAGGAGACAAGTAGAAAGCACAGGATGTGTAGACAAGCTGGTGGGATGATCTCTGTTTATACGCCTTTTGGGATCAATGGAGATGCTCACATGGATCTCTGCTCGCCTTACACACCGAATGCTTGGGCTGGACCTCAAACGTACACTTGCTTATCGCACACAAGAAGAGTTTCTTGAGCTTGTCTCGGCTGGATACGGACAATCTTGGCTTTCATCTGCCGAAACAAGCGAGCTCTCGATTCATTTTGGCAGCCAAGCTTGGATCTTGGTTGACGGGCCGGGGAACCCGCTTGCATGGTATTGAAGGTCATACGGCGACCGCTACTACTGTATACCTCGATGAAATTATTGGACGCATGCAAAGCACACGAAGCGAGGACCGACATCACACACGTCTGAAGTGAAGCAGCAGCGAGCTAAGCTCTCTTCGATGCTTTGTGGGCCTGATACGGTGCCGAGCAAGATAAGCGTCCCTTTCGGCCACAAAACAATCCCTCTCCTAGTGTCACCCTACGAACCCTCGACGACACCTCTATCTCCACACCCTTTCCTTCAATCAAACAGAGTATGACTTTCCAAGCGGGTCCTGCACTCGTCTATGGTTCTGCTTTGGAACCTCCATATGTTCCCTCAACATGACCTGATCGATCTGCTTGCGCAGCTTATTGTTGATCCTTTGCTGCTGTCGCTCCAGCTTCTCCACAAATTCGGTGGAAGCTGATGGAGGCATGTATTGGGCGTTGAAAAGCTGACGTGCTTCGTTGGTTGCTTTGTCGACCAGCCTTTCGGCCAGATCGGTGGGCATGCCGCGCTTGGTGTGTTCTGTGGGAAGAGCAGCAGTAGGTGAGGAAAGATGAAACAGGAGAAGGAGGACGAGTGGAGATAGGCAGAGAAGGGTTCGGATGCGGCCGATGTGTGACGACATGGTGACCAGGAAACGTCAGAAGGTTTGTGAGAAAGAGCTTAGGTGAGGGCAGGGGAGAGATCTGCTGTGAACCTGAAAGCTCCGCCTTTAATATCTTCGGAAGCTTGGGATTCGTTGTCACCTACGGACCAGGTTCGCGCCGAAATGATGTACGCCGGCTATCGCAACGCTCGAACTGCGGCAGCCTTCCGCGCTCGTTCATCACTCGTCGAGCGTCGGCATCGGCGTGGGAAGGCGTGTTCCGTGTGTGTGGTCTCTTGACTGCGTTTTTGATGGTGATCCGATGGAGGACACGTCGAAGGAAAGCGTGGGAAATGCACTCACGCTCTCATACGAGCCCCGTGATCCCGTTAAAAGTCGCTGTCACGTGGTTGAATCCTGTCATCTTCAAAGTCTTCGCCGAGATATCAATTACAGAACCCCATGAGCATCTACACGGTTGTTCGAGCGGCAAATCTGCTGGAAGCCATCTTTGAGAGTGTCTCGCGCGGCTCGCAATTCAGATTGCGTCTTGCCGCTTTTACCGATGCGCCTGTCTCTGCTTAACGCGAACGATCGCTTTCGAGGTCCGTCTCCACTCTGCGTTTTCCTTCTTGAAGGGTTCGGACATCGCCTTCGCTGATCATGTGCTTACGTGGCTCTGCCTGGTACGTCCGAAGACAAGATGTGGTCGTCCGACCCAAGAATCAGTTGTTTCAAGAGCGGTTCCGAAGTGGGTCGTTTTTCCAAATCGTGTCAACAGCATTCTTGGCAGTCCTGGCGCGAGAGGAAATGTCCACCACTTACACTTGCCAAACCTATTGTTCTTCCCTGCAGAAATCGTCATATTGGAAGGCATTACTGTAGCACCATCATTTGGCCATCCTGTCTCCGGATCAGCACACTCGCAGCTTCAGATAGCTTTCCACTTGCCCGAGAAAATAGACTCCTTCCCTTCTCTTTGCCCTTCATTCATTTTGCACCAACGGTCAAGCGAATCTCGTGGTTCAATTCAACTTTGTACCGCTGCTCCCCACACCAAACTTTCTCATGACCCTGATCACCCGACCACCTTGACAGCAACCGTGATGAAACCAGCTTTCTGAGTGAAATCGAAAAGAAAACTGTGTTGCGAGCTTGCGGTCTTTGCCGAGCTGTTGGGTTCAAAGTCGTTGCTTGGTACGGACTCAAATCGCCGTCTTTTCCACGCCGCTTCTTCCGTTATCTACTTGTCTTGGTGCACTTGTCACCTTGGATGACATCGTCGCGAGAGCAAGAAGGTGGAGCACATGACGCCGCAGAGAAAAGTATAAGATACTGTAGCGCCCTCCGCTGCCCACCCTCATACCCATCCCCATCCACATCCAACGTCCAACACCTTCCTCCCACCACATCTCCTTCCACTCCCTTCAAACAAAAATCATGCACCTGCATCGTCCATCCACACTTCTCTTCCTCGTCTTCCTTTTGCTTTTATTCATCCACCCATCAGCAGCGCAAGACGGACTCAACGACGCTTCCAGCAGCAGCGGTAGCGGCAGTGGAAGACCAAACTTCCTCTCTCGCTTTCGGAAATCCAGACCAACGTCGCTGGAGCCATCGCTTCTCGATCGCATCCAACGCATCATGAAGGCGGACGAGTACGCCGAGATGAAACCCATCTGGGATCATGCGGTGAGGCAGAAATGGATCCATCCACACAGCGGTAAGCCACTCCTCCGAAGACGAACCCCCGAAACGAAAGCAAATCATACTGACACATGGATTGAGGGATATATACAGGCTTCCCCGTAAGAGTCGACACCGATCGCGCGAGGGAAGAATCCAAATCTGTCAGATACATCATGTCCAAGCTCGATCCGTACATCGAACGGCTTGGTGGTGAGCTCAAGCCTTGATCCATCACTCGTCTATTAACGTGTTCTAAGTAATACCGACGCGTGTGTAGTAGCGACGCGTTTTTGAGCTTAATTTTAGAGATGATGTCAGTACTCGGTGTGATCGCTAGCTCGGCAGTGTGTGATCGTGAGCAAACAAGACTGACATTGCAGGATGGTGTGAGTGCTACGCTACATGATGATGAAGTCGGAGTCAATGAGTCGTGCGAGACGGGCCTGCAGTCGGAAGCGTAGCAAAGAAACCGAACAAATCCTCCTCCTCATCGCTGTTTGCGCTGAGAGACCTTCTGTCGTCAAGCTTGTCATCGATACCAAAGATGGGATGCGTAGCAGCGACGTCCACCGACGACAGAGACCCTTTGTTGCAATCCTCCTGTGCGTTGTCGCGATCCTCCACATAGCCGACAGGTGGTACTACCACCCGCTCCTCCTCCTCCTCCCGACTCTCTCCGCTGTTACCTCAAAATTCGACACCCTTTGCCACCAATTCTCGTTCAGCGTACTCACGTGTGATGATACGGTTTGTCGTGAGCACCCTCGTATCGCCTTGTACCCGCTTCTTTCCGAGTGTCTTGGCGGTTTTGTTGCTGCGATTGTGATGAGCACGTAGTACCAAGATCTCGGCTTCCAAGACGGAGATAGACGCTTGAGAAGCTTCGTGAGCTTCGAGTATGACCCGTTTAAGGTTGCAAGCTTCGTTTGAGTCGGGTTCCTGGCGGTGGGCGTCAATGGCGGCGTTAAACGCCAAGGCTGTCTGCAGTGCTGCGATTGGCTGGAGAGGACGACGTACCGGTGTTTCGGATCGTCCCTCTGCAGCGGAAGACCCGGCAAGTCGGCTCAGGGCCTTCTGCGGAGTGGGGTCGAGTGTTATGCCGGAGTCGGAGAAGGCCTTTCGAACACGTGTCTGCGTCATAACCTTCTTGCGTGCCTGGGCGTAGAAGGTAGCGAAGTCGGAACGGTTGATGGCGTCCACGTGCTCTGCAGCGTCGGCAACTAACTGTCAATACCATCCGGTCAACGGCCCAAAGATGGAGACGTCAAGCGGCTGCATCACGTGCGTTGTATGTGCCGGAAGTAGGAACAGAATGATACGTTTCGACCATGCTGAAGCGATGAACGGCGTAGTCGTGTGAGATCGATGACCGTTGATGATGAGCAGACGCCATGGTGATGGCGTCGACGGCCTAGTACCGGGATCAAAGATGGTTTCGAGCCATTCAACGGCAAGCTCGTCGTTAGACCAGCCGTTTGGAGACTTCGTGAAGTTCCACAAACTTGGTACGCCCTCCATTTGCCGATAGTCGCCAACCACGTGGCGTTGTCCCTTCGTGATGATGAGCGGAGGCAGTACCTGGCCTCCGCTTCCAATGCATTCCACAACAGTGGCCCACTCCCAAGAACCCGGTTGGGCCTTGAACCGACAACTTGGGTCGCCTGCAGGTACAACGATACGCTCTGTACCCAAAACACCGAGCATGAAGCCGGTTTCATCAACGTTGAAGACGTTTGTCGACGCCACACTGTATTCACGCATGATCACCCTGAGCTGCGTGTACCATCGTCTGATCGTGTCTTCATTCGCAGCACTGAGACGATCATTGTCGAGACATCGAGACCAGTGCGTGCGAATCGAAGGGTGTCGGATCAGGAACGACTGCAGCCAGTTGGCCGACAGCTTCGTTGTGGTGCTGCGGCTGGTATCGGTACGGGTGATGGTGGTGGCGTAGTGCCGGAGTATTGACGGTGTCAGAGGATACCTGCTGCAGGCACAACGCCGGATGTGATCGACGAGGGCCGTCTCTGCAGCGGGTGTGAGCGCCTGCAGGTCGTCTCGAGCCGAGCATTTGGAACAACGCCCAGCAATTTGGTGTCGTAGCGTCGCTTCTGCCACATTGTGTGCTGCGGCAGCCTTACGGATGCTGTCGTGCTGCCCTTCGCTAAGCTCTACGGAGGCTTGCTGAAGTCGGGCCTCCATCCGGTCCCGCTCGGCAGCCTTCGCCATCCGAGAGGGTACTGAGCGCTTCGATGTTGGGTTGCGAGGCATGCAGGCGTGCAGGAATGCGGGGAAACAAGGTTCGATTACGGATATGAGCGGCGATTATGGTACAAACGACGATGGCGACGGGGTCCGGAAAGTCGGATGGTGGGTCTATTGGAAGGAACAAGCTCACGGGTCCAATCATTTCACGCTACTCACATCATATTGGTGGGGCTGAGTAACTTTATTTCACGCGTCGGTACTACACACGCGTCGGTATTACTTAGAACACGTTACAGCGTATCTTGTCAGTTCGTCAGAAACACAAACAAAACAAAAGAATGACACTTGATTCGTTTTCTCATTGAGCTTCGCGTGCATGTGTGTTGCCTGCATCGATCATTCGACGAGCATGCTGTCGTCGGCCTCACCAGCTTGACCATCCGCTCCCTCGTTCGCGGCCAGTCCCGCCATCTCATGAGCCAACCTAGGTAGATCCGAATCCTCCAAAAATCCGCCCACCGTAGCCACCTCCTTCCTATAGTCTTGCAACAACAGACTCACAAAGTGATCGGGAGCATCGGCAAACCTCGCCTCCAACAACCCTCTCATCCCCGCACCATCTCCCTCGGCATCTTCCACATCATCCTCAACGGCGAGATCCCCCACATCAACCCAGGCATCCCTCCCCGCCTCCGCATCATCCCCCAACACCTCCCTCAACATCGCCCACAACGCCGTGCGCTTGAGATCATCCATCAACGTCTGATCGCTGACGTTGTTCGTCTCGCTCAAACTGACCCAGTCGTCCCGCAAAACGCTGCGTCTCCAGATGCTCTTCAGGCTCGCCTCCCTCCGCGAAGCCGGGATGTTGCCAGCTCGGATCAGCACCTTGATCGCCGTGGCAAAGTCTTCCAGCTGCGTCTCGGGTGTGTCTTTGAGCGTGAGTAGGTCGACCAGATCCTCGGCTGAGAGGTAGCGGTTGGAGAGCAAAAGTTGTTGGACGAGCTGCATGTAGTGTTCGCGATACGCCGGATATTCGATCAACCTCGAAGCCACTGTGTCGACGATTTCCGACGCCAGCGTCGCCGCTTCCTGCGTTCCAGCACGCGGCAGATCGATCGGAAGACTTCCCATAACGCTGTTCTCCCACAAAGCAGCCAACGAATCCTGAACAGCGATCAAATCCAATTGATCGTCAAAGAATTCCACCTGCTTCTGAACACCCACCGTAGACAACTGCTCCAACCCCAACGTCGACAGATACCCCAACTTGCCCAAACTCAACATCAACTTCCTCTGCGCCAGGTTTCCCTCCTTCAGCCCCAACGCTTCCAACTTGCTCGAAGCCGCATCGAACCTCTTCAGAGCTAGATCGTGCAACCACGCCAAACGCTCCTTACCCGGCTGTTCGAGGTACGACAGCACGAGTTGGTTGTACTCCGGTTTCTGCGTCAGCAGCTTCCGCTGCTGGTGGTGTTCGATGTACCAGTTGTAGAGTTCGTAGGCGAACGCTTGCTGGTATCGCTCGAGGTAGGTTTCGGTGCGAGCGTCGGATTGGAGGTTGGGTTCCTGGGATAGCTCGACGAGCGTTCGGAAATCCGAGTATTGCTCGGCGAGGGTGAAGGCACGGTCGGAGCGGTGAATCGACACGAGAGGACGGATGAAGAGCGGTCGAGCGGTGCGGTAGGTTGTGGAGAATACAGAGAGCTCCCGTTCCAACGCTCCAATGTCGGCTGCGGCGGCTGCAGAGGCTTGCAAGTACTGGATACGCTCGGTGTAGCACGCAAGCGCGATCTCGGCGAGCGAGCATAGTTGCGCCTTGAGCTCGGTCTGCGCCCGATGCTCGCGCTTCGATTCTTCGCTAACCGCGCTCGAGAACTCGGTGGAGGCAGCGTCGATGCTGGAACCCAGCTCGCGCGTTCGATCTGGAATCAGGTTGACCGTGAGCGAGTATAGACTCTCCAGCAGCTGCACGCTTACGCTCTGAGCCGTCCACGCTTCGAACCCTGCCATCGGCGCTGCTGCCGATGCACCTGCTCCGCCCTGGCTCTCGACAATCCCGTATAGCCCTACACTCTCCTTCCTGTACCTGAGCGCTGCCCTGAAAGCCGACAGCACGATCCTGTTGAGCTCGAGCACTTCCGTCGACCTGCTACGCAGCGGTTGCGCCGAAACGCCCTTGGTCTGGCTCAACAGCCTCGCCAGCACCTTCGTCGTCAGATCGGCGTGGTGTCGGAAAAACTTGCGCACCAGATCATCTCCACCCGTACCTAATCCTTGCTCAGCCATGACCGTCTCGATGGCTTTCGCGAGCGGACTCTGCGTGGCCGATCCATGACTGTGCGCAGACGTGTAGAATTCGTTCTGATACACCCACAGCTCGCTGAGCGCCGCTGCTAGCTCGGCGTCGGCGCGCAGCTGTCGCTTTGTCGTCTGCGGAAGCTTCTCGAGGTGCCCGCATACAGCGACAAACTTGACCAGGAAGCGCAGTTTGCCTAGTCGATCCTTGAGTGCGGTACGCAAATCGACCGAAGGCGGCACGCTCTGCGAGATGGGGTTGCTGAACGTCAGCAATTGGCGACTCAGATCTTCGCACGCTGTCATCAACGTTCCTTGCAGATGCGAAGGTAGTTGGAAAGTGAGAGGATTGAGCAGCGATTCAGAGTAGTAGAGCGCCTGTTCGAGCTTGCCCTTCAGCCGCTCGGTATCGGCGCGCTGACGATCCGCTGCCGATGCGTAGGCGGTGCATCGATTGCGAATCTCGTCGATGCTGGTCTCGACCAGCAGTGAGCCAGAAGTGGCCGAGATGAGCGAAAGAGCTGCAATGGCGTGGTTGTTGCCGACGTCGATCGAGTCGCAGCCGGAGCCGATGAATCTGTTCTTGACGTCGTCCTTGAGCTTGATGACCTCCTCGAACGTTTCGCACCCAGTCTCGAGCTGCTTAGCCACGACGGTATCGGCAAAGCAGATGAAAGCAGCGGGTCCGCCATTGGGCATGCTGAGCGTCGGAAGCGCATAAGGACGAGGATCGGCAAAGTTGGAATAGTTGATCGACAGGATGGAAGCTACGACAAAGGACCCTGCATCCTTGACAGCGTCGATGATAGCCAGTCCGTAGTTGTGCGGCTCGCGTTCGGTCTTGGATTGCGAATAGAGCAGAACCAGCTGTCCGTCCGATTGGACAGCACCACTGACAATGTCAAAGGAAAGGCTCTGAGCAGCGCCGTACCTCTCATCGCTGAGCTGCAGCACGTTGCTGGCGACCACCTGTTGAACGTCCTGTTCGGCCAGCAGACGCTCTCCGCCTTGGTCAAGCACTTGCCATTTCTGCAACGTCTTGCGGCCGATCGCGTAGACTTCACGGCCTTGCTTACCCGGCTGAAGGGGTGCCACTGCGATCGAGACAATTGGATCGTTTGATGATGCGATCGCCGACGTCGATCCAAACAGACGCCCAAGGAGACCACGCTGTTGCGAGAAAGGTCGGATCTCGGCCTGAAGCACACCGGCTCTGCTGCCGATCGAGACGCGCAGCATGCGAGACTGACTGGTAGCCAGTACCACTGTCGATTCGTCAACACGCTGCAGCTGAATGATGATTTCGGCTGCCGAGGATAGAGGGGCTGATAGGCGCTGTGCACGGTCCTGACGCGTGAGCGAGGACGAGATGCCCTCCCAGAGGCATGTTTGGCCATCGGGAGCGACGAGGAGCAGCGCAGGCTCCCTGTTTGCTCCACGCGGAAGGAAGCAGCAGTGCGCAAGGTCGTTAATGGCCGTCATACTGGACGAAGCGTACTGCGGAACGGGAAAGATGAAGCACGTAGGCGAGCTTGTGCCGATACCGCGGCTCGAGTAGTTCCAAACGAAGCACTGGGTGCGAGACACTAGGCAGGCGTAGCCGGTCTGGACATCGAGATGGCCCTGGAATGCGTCGATATAGAGGTCTGCGTCGCTGAGCACCTCGAGCACCTCCACTGGTAGTTTTGAATATGCCGAAACGTGCATCCATTGGTCTCCCAGCAGCACGGTACCTTCCTCGAGCTGTGCTTTGGCATCTTTGTTCGGCAAAGGGGGCCGTCGACCAAAACCAGCATGCGAGGCAGACAGAGCCGACTCTGCGACCGATCGCATGTCCGCATCATCACTAATGACGGAACCTTCGCGATCGAATGCGCTACCAGGGCTGAGAAGTGAGACGTTGGGACCGGCAGCGGCGAGCATGGACGAGGGACGTGGACGTGCGCGTGTTGCGCGAGGTCTTGCGTTGGCGCTCAGGAAGAGAGAGTTGGACGAGACGTCGCCTGCATCGTTGTTGTGGGCACTGTCGCCGCGTCGAAATGTGATCGGTGAGAGAAAGGAGGGCGGAGAGGTGGGATCTTGACCGCCGAAGACGGGTGTGCCAGCACGAGATGGGCGGTTGGTCGAACGAGACATAGCTGGACCGGCACCGGCACTCGCTAGCGGCGTCGAGGATCTAGCATCCCTCGCTCGTGATGGTGTCGTGAACATTGTTGACCGCTATGTCTCCTGCTCAGATCCAGTACAGGATGCAAAATGGTGCGGGACGACGATCCGACGAGAATTATGATGATGATGATGATGAGAGGAATGAAAGATGGTCAAAGCGAAGTTGCGATTTCCAACATTTCTTCGCGTTCCGCACCAAACACTCTTTATTCGGATCGGGCATCGCGCGTCGCTCATCGGGTGCCATCACAAGGCAACTCGTCATGCTGCCGTGTACTGGCATCAGGCTGCAGATATCGCGCCAATGCGTGCAGTGACATCCTTTGGGGTTTGAGCTTCTGCATTGTGGGATAAGAGAGGATTGCTGGAACGGTGCGGTACGATGCTGAAAGATACAGGACAGAGACTAGATGAGCGTGCAAGGAGAGTCCGAGATAAGAGACTGGTGAAATTGTGGACAATGCGAAGAAAAGCAAGATGATACGTGCGTATGCTCACGACAGAGAGGTATGGTTCGGATTGGATTTTGCGATGATGAGCGGCGAGGTGGACGCGATAAGTGCGGGCAGAGAAGATAGGATCGGCGCGACGTGCACCAAGGGTCAGAACGCAGATGATGGCGAATGGCCTTCGCCATCTTCGTCTCCTCCCTCGTCCATGGCTTCGTGGATGGAGCGCATCATGTCGACCTCGCCGGCGCTTGACGGATCAGAGAAGCTCCAGGGAAACGGGTTGGCCGCTCCGTTCATCTCGGAATCGTCTGACTTTGGTGGCGCTTCGACTGGATACGCAGGCGTCGCTGGCACCTTTCCTCCCGGTCGCCAAATGCGGACTGTATGATCGTCTCCACACGACGCCACAGTGAGAGCGTCCGTGGGATGCCAAGCTACCGCATTGACGGTACCAGCATCGTGTCCGATTAGAGTCTCGATTAGACGACCGCTGGCGCGATGCCAGATGTAGACTCTGGAGTCCTCGCTTCCAGAGACGACAAAGTTTTCGTCGATGCCTCCGAATCCGCAGCCAATGACGTGTTTACTGATCTTGTGCCCGTTGAAGCGCCGCACCAAGCACTGGCGTTCAATGTCCCACATCTGCAGTTCGCTAGGGCGCACACTGATGAGCGCGTACTGCGAGTCACCGCTGACCGCCAGACTTACGAGTTCCTCGCGCAGATAGATCGAGCCGAGCTCCTCGCGCGTGCGCAGGTTGATAAAGTGGATGCGGTACCGTTCTGTGCCCATGGTACGCGAGCCGCCGCCCAGATCGGCTGGTGAGTCGAAATCGGATCGATCATGCCCGAAGCCGGTAGACGCTGTCGATGGAGATGAGCTGTCGCTCAGCTGATCGGAAGCAGTCGAGGTGCTCAATGCCGTGGACGAGCTGGTATGACCGCGACTTGTGGACGAAGCAAGGCCTGGTGTCGCGACTTGGCGGGCGCTCAAAGCGATCAGGTGCGCACCATCAGGCGAAGCCGCAACGGAGAGGACACGGAACGGCGAAGTGCTCTGCTTGTGCAGCACGAATCCTTCCGAGTCCCACCATATGATCTTGCCGTCCATACCTCCTGTGATGAAGCCAGAGCCGTCGGCTAGCCAGGTGGCCGTAGCGACGGTGTAGGTGTGCTCACGAAGCGTGGTCATGCTTCCCTGCTCGAGCTTGCAGAGCGTCACGTCAATTTCCGACGTCACCAAGAGCCTCTTGTCGTCTGGCGACCAAGAGACGGACGAGATATTGTCGGAGAGCGGAACAAACTTCTGCAGCAGCTTGTAGTCGTCCTGTACGCTCCAGATGAGGATGGTCTTGTCGGCGCCTGCTGTCGCGAGCTTTGTGCCGTCGTGCGAAAACTGCAAGCACCACACTTCGTCGTGGTGGTCATGGATGGTGCGCGAAATATGCGAGGGAAACACGGATCGATCCGATCGATGGTCGGTCAAGAGCGAAAAGTGAGAGCCGTGGGGCAAGTTGAAGAAGGGGTCCTGTTGTTTCTGATAGCTCTGCGCTTGCTCGAGCAGCTGAGGTAGACGCCGACTTGGGATCATGACAAGCGGGGATACAGCCGACTCGATTTCGACCATGAGCAGACGGCGCGAATCGCCTTCTGCACCATCCCAGCCAGCGCGAGCATGGAGCTGTTCGGGCGACGCCGAGATGACCAGACTAGACAGAAGATGGAGCTGCGAAGTGTCGTGACTGAGCGGTGTGAGCTTTTCGCGTAGTACGTTGAGGGCTTTCTTTGTCTGGCGCGCCTCAAGAAGTTCGAGGTACCGCTGCTTTTGCAACATGAAGCGGATCGAGCGGAGGCTGACGAGGTCGGGTCTGCGTAGCACTGAGTCGATGAGATCTTGATTGGACGACTCAATAATGGCTGCGGAGGAGGAAGCAGGTACATCGAGCGACGAAGCACCAAGGCTGGCGCCACTCGAGCTGCGCGAGGCTTGAATTCGTCTTGCTGCATAGGTCAGACCATCGATGAGGAGTCTCTCGGCGTTCCTCCAGTCGCCGCCGAGCACAGCGGTGCGGAAAGCGGTGATGGAAGGGTGCTCGAGTGCGACGCCAGATTCGGCTTCGAGCGTCTTGGCTGCCGAATCAAAGCCCATTTCGCGCAAGGATTGGAGCGTGAGCTTGACGAGCTCCCTTCGATCGATCGAGCTTCCTGGAAAGAGGGGGGCGAAGGCCTGTGCATCTGCATAGTCGTCAGCCAGCGAGGTGGCAGCTTTGCCGTTGCGGTGACCGTTGCTACTGCCATTGCTGGCATCGGACTTGATGGCGTGGTCGCTCGCTCTGCCGTTGGACGACTCGCCATTTGAATGGACGGAGCTGTTTTTCTGTGTCATCTCGTCAGCTTCGCCTGAGGCCGACCCGTGGTGTATCGAGTGGAAAAACGGCGGAGAGGTCAGAGAGGATGGCGCCTCGACAGTCGACAAAGAGCTCGAGCCTAGCGGATTAAGCCTGGCTCTCTTGGGAGTTGGCGCCTCCGAGGGGCTGAGTGATCGAGAAGGTCGGCGCGGCGTCCTGAAAGCGTGCTGGCGGTGCTTGCCGGAATGATCAATGGTGGCGTTGAGAAATACGCAATATCAAGTAGTTGCAAAGGGTGAAGTGTCGATGAGTCGAAGTGTTGGTCGTCGGCAGGGACGCTTGCAGCTGATTCAAGGTGAAAAGCAGGCAATTCAGTCACAAAATGAAGCGGTGCCCAAGGCGGGCACAGAGATTCGGAATGCGAGCGCTGTTCTCCCACCGCCGTGCAGACTTGCGACGAAGTACGTTGGCAAGGATCGAGATGCGGTGATCGTGCGCTCAAGCTTAAGCTTCGCTGTCGAGCTTGATTGACGGTCGTCAGTTGTGGAGGCCTCCGGCCAGTGGATTGTCTCGGTTTGAAAAGCTCCTGACAAGATGCCACCCGCTATCGTGTGCGAGTTGGTGATGAGTACAAACAAGATCGACGACTGCTATGATCGTAGGGCAGTCTGATGCGGACGACGATGTTGCAGAGACGAGCAAGCAAGCACACCTCGACCTTTACGGGACGATAAGGCGGCAGGCAACTCGAACCACGCAAGACCCTGAATCCGAAAAGTCAGGTCGATTGCGGAGAGTCAGTCATACAACGCACTCAGACGCAGCGGCGTGTGAATTCACAAGGCGGCGAGACAAGCCCGCCCGCTGTGTGGACAGTGCACTCAGCATTTGCTGCACAGTTGCGTGGATCCCGCTTTGCTGCTGCTGTCCTGCTGAGCTCAGTTTGATTTTGATTCCGTTTTAGCCACGCTCAACAAAATCATTTGGACCGCTCCTCTGGCACCTCATTATCGCTGCACATTGTGACTGCAGCAAGGGCAGCGTGTGTTAAGCACATTTGCCGGGCTCTCTGCTGTCCGTTCTTCTTTGCACTCTGGGGCTATACATGCTACAGTACGTCCATAATCAGAGGCTCCAGTTTGTCAGCTTTTCCCAATCTCTCGGAGCATCCGGAGCATCGCTGCAAAAGTGTCACAACGGCCATTCGCAAAGCGCACCGCTGTAGCCGCCAGGGTCGCACTCAAGGGGAAAAAGCCTTTGGGTGGACGCTGAAATGTATTTATTTCCTAAAAACTATAAAGTTATTTAAATGTTGTTCCTGGCTGAAGTTCACGGCCGGCAGCAAGCGGCACCACTGTCATTATCAGCCACTGTAGGAAGCTGCTCATCGTCTTCATGGGACAAGGAAGGTCATGTCTTGATGTTCGCACGCACACACACACACACACACACACACACACACACAGTGCTACGGTCTGACGAAGGGCTAAACTCAACTTTCAGTTAGAAAGTCTTCCTAAATTACAACAATAGTACTTCCAGATTGCCTGGTGAGAGTTGGCAACTTCGATGTCGTCGCTCATTTTTCGCCGCGAGTGACAAAGTTCTTGGCGAAACGCAGCATTGCGCGGAAATCTGGCATGTCCGGTCCACCGTTCGCCGCAGCATAGCCGCTGCCGTTGCGTGCTGTTGGCGCACCCACCTTGCTTTCGACGCTGCGCAGAGGCAGACGTTGGTTCGATGCAGCGTGCGTCACCAACACGTGAGCAAGCCAGTACATGGGCAGTGCGTCGTTCGACAGCGGCGTGGCTCCTGATGCTGTGAGCGGCGTGAACAGCGTTCGTTGCAGCTCTTTCGGCCACTCGTGCTTGCCTCCCGTCACGGCTGTAGGCGTGGTCCAGTGCGCTTTGTCGTCAGCCGCAGCGTCCGGACCGCCATCCGTCTTTTTCACCGATGCAAAGCGGCACGTTGGATCCTGGTCCCATGCCTTGCGCCACCGTGCCAGCGCCTTCTTGAATAGCGCCACCTGCGCCTCGTTGGCCGACCCGGTGATTCCGTCGCTCTGAGCACCGCTCATTTTCATCCACTTGCTCAGCGACGACGGCTTGGCCACCCTCATCGCGCGTCCTTCTAGCATGTCGATGATGCCACGCAACAGCGCCAACACCATCGCCAAACGAGCGAACGGTCCATGCGAGCCGTACAACGATGGCGAGCCGGGCAGCTCGTGCGGCGGAGAGGTATTCGCATCAGACGAGAGCAGCTGCTGCAGCGCTTCGTCCAGCGTCAGGCCCCGATGGATATCGAGTGCTGTGCGCCAGCTCGACGCCGTCGGCGCGCGCCAGACGTGGTCCGGCATGGGCAGAGGTAGGTGCGCCAGCTCTTTGGTCGACAACAATGTGGGCACAGCTGCATCCAGATGCGCCACCGTATCTACCGTATAGATGACAAACGCGCTCCTTCTGCGCCCTTCGAGCTCGGCCCATCGCCGCCAGATCTGGTCCGCCTCCTCCTTCTCGTCGCTGTACGACGGCAAGAAGGAGTACGAGAAGATCGTATCCACCGACTCGAGCATCACCTGCTGTATCACATCCTCAGCAGTCAGGGTCGTTCGACGCTGCGCATGGTCGGCGTGAGGATCGAAGAAGCCCGCCTGTCGAGCCATATTGACCACCGTGCCGTGAGACACGCCGGCGACCGTGCGTGTCGTCGCATCGCTGCTGAGAAAGTTGTTGCTCTGGAACAGCATCAGCGCCTGCACCACTGAGCACTTGTCCCTGACGCTCTTGCATCGGCTAGCAAACGCCCGCATCAGCATCTCACTCTTTTCGCCCATCACAATCGGCTTGACCAGCTCCTGCCCATCCTCTTCGTCGACGAGAAGGCTCGGGCCCTTGTCATCCATCAGACGCTGCAAGCCATTCACAGGCTCGGCGGCGCCGTGACTGTTGATGATGTTGATCGCCGACTTGGGCACCACCTCCTCGCCCGCCCACCATTTGCGTCCCGCCTCGTGACCTCCAAGCATGCACATTGCGAAAGCGATGCAGCCTGGCGTGGTGTCGATGCGGAACGTGGGCTCGTGGATCACGGGGAAGTGCTTGAGCAAGTTCTGCTGCGCGTGCAACGCCAGCACGCTGAGACGAGCGATGGGCGGCAGACTCCAGTGCTGAATCGAGTAGCACGGTCGAAACATGTCCGGGGGAATGAAAAAAGGGTTTTTGACGTCGGTCAGCGCTTTTTCCAGCGGCGTCGGCATGATCTCGACGCTCGTCAAGTCGAGCTCGATCGAGTCCGGCGCAGCGACGATTTTCGAGTTGAAGTAGTCGGACGTATTGGTCTTGTCGACCGTACCCGAACCCGCCGTCGTCGAGAAAGCGGTCAGCAGCTGCTGGATGCTAGGGCTCATGAGCCAGCCGAGCGCACTCAGCTGCGCGCCGGGTGTACCGCTGCTAGCAGCAGCTGCGGCGACGCTGCCTGCACTGGGGTTGGAAAACATCGAGTGATCCCAATTTGGGGTGGAAAACTGGGACGCACCGAGCGGTGCTGAACTGAGCGCCGTGTGCGGGCCGTGCAAAAAGGAGATTTCGTTTCCGTGGATCCCGGCTCTCAACTCCTGTACGCCACCCTGAAGCCTCAAAAGGAAGGCTTCGGGTCCTGGCGTGAGAGCCCCTCCATCAAAATACTGCTGCGACTCGTTCTTGACAAACCGGCTCGGTGTGTCGATGCCGCTGTTGCTGATCGGCACAGGTGCCGATGTGGTGATCGTCCCAGCGCCGCTCGTCGTCGCCGCACCTGTCGAGGGAACAACCGTCGCGGAGGACGCCGATATCGACGACGTGGCCGATGCATCAGCTGTTGTCGCAGCGGATGTAGCGGCAGCGCTCGTTGCGGCAGACTTGACATCGTTGCTGTCGTTCGCCCCCGTCCTATCAGAAAGGCTGAGCTTTTCGTGCGAAAAGCTTTTTGCGAGCTTGCTAGCAGCGACGATGCCTTCGGACTGGGGAGACGTGCTCTGACTTTGAGTCGTCGATGATATGTTGATGCCTTGCAAACTGTTGTGCCGGCTGACGGAGCGTGACGGTGGACGCATTCCCGTCCATTGGCCGCCCAGATCCAGCGAAGCTAGGCCGCCGCCGGGCGTGGTAGGCAGCTGCGAACGCGGACTTGAGACGAGCGGCGTGTCGCGAGCATTGGAGAAAGCAGAGAGGTAGGGCGACATGGACGAGTTGAGCGCAGTGTTGGAGAAAGGCGAGAGCGGCCCTAGCGTCGACACGGAGAAGCGTACCGGCTCCTTGGGTGTCGTTGCTCCCGAAGCTTCCTGGCCCTGAGACGTGCTGGTAGCAGCGGTGGCGTTGGAGTTCGAGTGACTGGAGGACGACGCTCCCGTCTCGGCTGAGGAGGTGGAAGTGCCAAAGGAGAAGGCTGGGCTGTTGGTGCTGTTGGAGCCATAGCCAGCGGCGACGCCGCCGGAAAGACCTGGGGCGGTGGAGCGGAAGTAGCTGGCATCGGAGCCGAGGTGCGATCCGGCGCGAGGGCGATCGCCGAGATGGCTCATGGGCGAGGTTACAGGGAAGCCGAGCGAAGCGAGCATGCTGGCCGTGGCACGCGCTGCTGAACCGGGCGTGGTGGCAGCGGCATGGCCTGGCGAGGGCAGTTTGGCGGTGTCCAACCCTTCCCATATGGAAGCATCGGCGGGATTGGCGAAGGCGTGCGCCTGACGGGCTGCGTACTGATCGTAAGGGGCCGCCTGCTGTCGCATGAGGCCGGATCTGGAGGAGTTGCTGCCGTGACGTATGAGAGCTTGACCGCCGTAGCGTGGACTGCCGTGCTCGCTTCTGGGCTGGTTCGACTCGGGACTCGAGGGTTGGTAGAGCTGCGGGTGGAGCGCTGCCACGGCCGAGTGAACGGGAAGCGGGAAGGGAGTCGAAGCGTACGAGTTAAGTGCTCCCCTCCCCATGTGAAAATCCGGGGGGTCCATAGAATTGGCATATTGATACGCTGCTACCGAGCTGATGGCGGCCACGGTGGTTGCAGCGGCGGCAGCTTGGGCCTGCGAGTCGGCGGCGATGGCGGGGTCGATCATGGCAGAAGCGTCTTGCTCCTGAGCTTGGGCGCCGACGGGATGGTGACCTGCTGCAGCTGCAGCCGCGGCGGCCGCAGCAGCCAAAGCGATGGCGTCGTGAGTAAGCTGGTCGGAGTGAGGAGCAGGAGGTGGTGGAGCAGGTCCATTGGCACCCTCGGAGCCCAGAGCGCCCGAGTGAGAAGCCGCAGCGCCGTCGGTGCCAGCCGCATCCGCCGATCCGTTGGTGCCGTTGTTGGCGGCGGCGGCAGCAGCCTTGGCGGCTTTAGTGGAGCCTTTGGGCCTTCCCGGCTTAGCAGCGGTGGAGGAGCGACGTGGCTTGGTGGCTTTCGGAGGCGCTTCACCCTCTGCTGGTTTTTCGCCATCGCCGGACCCATCGAGCTGGAGGACGACTCGGCACTGTCGCTTGTGGCGAGAGAGCACGTCGCTGCGCGAGAAACCCTTTCCGCAGTCGCAAACGAAGGGACGAATGTCGGCGTGCCTCCTCTCGTGGCGTCTCAGATACTCGAGTCGGGAGTAGCTTGTGGAGCAGGTGGGGCAGATGAAGGGTGGTCCGCTGGGCACGGGGCCTCCAGCGGCGTCGGTGGATGCGTCGGCGGCTGCGGTGTCATCGTCATCATTGTCGTCGTCATTGGATGCGTTTGATGCGATGGAACTGCGCTTCTGCACCTTGCGTGCTGGACCGGAGGGTGTAGGTGATTCCGGACGAGAGCGGATACGGCCGTTCTCTGGCTCAGCAGCCGCGCCAAAATAGTCGCTCTGCATGGCGATTGCGGTGCTTCAGATGGAAACAATGCTTTGATTGTGAGTCCGCTAGCCTTGATTGAGGTGGATGGAAGAGGGGGTCCTTGCCGAGTCTATGGAGGGTCGTCGGCCGAGGATGTTGCTCGAGCTCGATCGCACGGCGACGATGCGTTGTTCCCCTAATGCTGTAACGACGACAGCAGTGCAATTTGAGCGTCTGAAGGCACTGTTGAAAAGACGCAGCCGAGACGAAAGGACGGTTCGGATTAGAGGGCCATTCCGCGCTGCGGAGCACAGAGACTTGAAACAATGCGTTGCCCCGAGCTAGATGAATGCTGACGGATGCACCGACAGTGGACCGACGTTGGAGTATCGAGGAAACAGCGGTGCCTTTTCTCCACGACGAATACGGCAACGATGATCGCCGTCAGTGAGAAACGAAGACGTCGGTCGGATGGAGCGAAAGGGAAATGACAGGAAGATGTGGTGAGAAGGAATGTCGGACGCACTCGTCGGCGGGACAAATGTGTGGAGGTGCAAAGGCGGACGGACGGCGGGCAGGCAGACAGGCGGGCAACCAGACCCGCAGCTCACTCACGGCCTCACAGAAAGGCGCGGCAGCAGAGTGCGAGGGGGAAAAGGCTCTGAGAGGACGTCCGCCTCACACGGCGAGCAGAACACTCAAGAGCGAAGTGGAGGCATCGGACCAGTCAAAACAAAAAGCACAGAGGGAGAGAGAGGGAAATTGAATGTTCAATTCAAAAGGCGCGAGAAACAGAGAAGAAGCTACCTCGATTTCCAGCTCGGGAGAGGCGGTAGCAGCTCTCTATGACTGACCTTTCTGCCTCTGGCAAGGTCTGCAGCCGCTTTGAACAGCGATTCACCAACGCGGCTCCTCCGGCATCACAACCTCAAAGCCTGACATAGCTGATGGTAGAAGCCTTACATAGCTGATGGTAGGCCTCTTCGGCTGTGATATGATTGGAATCTCGAAGCTTGGCCGGAGCTGACAGCCCTGGCTATAGCAGAAAGCGCGCCGCCAAACGATCGCCGACCTCTTCGATTGCTGACCATCAGCCAGATCCTGGCTGGCCGCGGACTCGAGGGATTGCAAGGTAGCCACTTCAGCGGGCTCGTGCTCACTCTCGCGTCCAGCTTGACCGCACAGACACTGCTTGCGAATAAGAGAGACTTCAGAAGACCACATCTTCGAGCCAGCTGCCTTGATATATCCGCGGATACAACATGGATGCAGAGCATGGCCTTCTTCTTTATAGCACATCTGTGTTCAAAGGATGCTATAGTGCGGCGAGACGAAGCAGAAGCAGCCGCGCATCGCGAAATCAATTTAGCCCTTTCTAGGCCGCACTCACTCTCTGATTCGCTGCTTGTCCTCCCAACTTACTAAGCACTCTGACCGTATTTTATTATAATTTTGAATTGATTTTCCCTGCCGACCTGGATGAGCAAGGCTGGCTGTAGGTGTCGATCGCGGTCTCAGAGACGAGGTGCTGTCAAAAGGCACTGGACCCTCGATGATTCTATTTTGTGCACTCGGACGCGTGGAAGCGACCAAAAGCGAGGCACACGAGCTACTTTATGACGATCTCGGACCAGTCAAGGTGACCACCATTTGAATCGTATCAACATGACGGCTTCCTTCCGATATTGTGATGGATCGACAGCTCGTTGAAAGGACCCTTGATCTTGTCGGCAAGGTCCGTGAATGCACCCTTCTGGCCTTGTCGAATGCCCTCGTTGTGCTGTGTTTCTGATGCTCGTCTCGCACGAAATGCATGACCACCATGAGTCCGACTCCCGAGACTGTTGCCTTTAATGTTTAGGGTCCATTGCCTGCCGAAACCAACACTCTCTCCACACCACGATCGATCTAACCTCAAGCAACGCTAGTCCCTTTTCCTCATCCGACCGGCCATAACAGCGCGACATCATGGCTTCGTCATCGACCTCGTCCGCATCATGGGACGTCCTACGTCGCAACACACGCAATCTGGAATCGACCATCGACGCTCGCCTTACCGCCTACTCTTCGCTCGCTTCCAAGATTGCACGATCAGCGGACACAAACTCCTACTCGGATCACACCGCCCTCGATATGACCGGCACCGGCGCTTCTTCATCTCTCGATCACAGCGAGCATCTCGAACTCGAGTCAGAGTTGGAATCGTTGATCAACGACCTCTCCAACTCTGTCGACACCTTGACATCGAAGTTGGACGACCCTTCTGTTCCACCAACTTCGGCACAATTGCATGCGGTACAACGGCATCGAGAGCTCTTGTTCGATTTCACCAGAGACTTTAGGAGGTCAAAGACGAATGTGAGACACGCAATCGATCGCAGAGATCTATTGGGGAACGTTCAGGGTGATATCAATGCGTACAAGGCAGCACATGCAAGCGATTCAGATGCGCTACTCGCAGAACGTGGTCGAATAGACAATTCGCATTCCATGATCGATCGTACCTTAGAGTGAGTTTCCCTCCCTTCCCTTTCACCTTCACATTCGCACATTCGCGACCTATTCTGACACGACTATTTGTGCGATTACAGACAAGCATACGCGACAAGAGCAGACTTCGCAGACCAACGTTCCACCCTCGAAAACATCTCCACCCGAATGACTTCAACTGCAGCTCAAGTCCCCGGTCTCAACTCAATCATCACACTCATCGGTAGAAGAAGGCGCAGAGACCAATGGATCATCAGCCTCTTGATCGGCTCATTGACCTTTTTGCTGCTCATGTTTGCATTTCGTTGAAGCCAGCGCACACGATGAAATCCCAGCACTTTACCGCAAGCTGGCCACTTGCCCGCGCACACACACCAGATCAACCTGCGGTCGAAACACGTGCACGATCACGCTCGCACAGTCTCGGTTGAGGAGAACAAATCACAATGGATGGAAAGCGCTGGTATGAGAAGCACCGGTACATTTTGGGGGGTGGATGGGACGTTCAGGTGCGAGGCCTGAGTACTATCGGCACGCTTCAGAAGAGCAGCTCGCGTATGAGTCACAACTCCTCGTCCTCCTCTTTGATCTGCGAAGGCTTCAGCATACCCGGCACCGTGGCCGCCTTCTCCCTGTCTGCAGCCGCCTTCCTCTGTGCTTCCGCCTCCTTGTCTTCCGCGAACAGATCCGCGTTGTCCGCCGAACCCGTGTTGCCGCCAAACATCTCGCGTGATGTGATGAGGAAGTCGCGCAGGTGCAGCTTGTACGCGATCAGATCGCTCGAATGCATGCAGAGGCCGTTGACGAACGACTCTACGTACTGCGTCTGCATGTGAGGGAACGCGTTGCGCAACAGGTTGGTCGTGTACTGTCGGATGAAGAGCCGGTTGTTCATGTTGGGATCCTGCTGCGTCGCAGCATCCCACAGCGGTGCCGTGACGCGGTCCGTCTCGATGAGCTCAAAGATGCGCGCCAGCAGCACGCACTGCGTCTTGAATCCGCTCTTGTGGTCCGAGTCGGTGAGCACGAAGAAGATGTCCTGGATGATGTTGAGCAGGTATTGCTGGTAGAAGCCGTTGGCCACCTCGAGCGGCGATCCGGAGATGTTTTGGAGCAGCTCGAGACAGATGTTGAGACCCGTGTCGGCAATGTCACGCATGGTGTGCTTGATGGCCCAGATGATGCTGTCCATGGTCAGCTTGAACTTGGGCGGTGGCAGTTCGAGCAACGCAGGGAAGCAGTAGAGGTTGATGGCACGCAGCAGCTTGAAGAAGCCGACACGGTGCTCGGGGAACTCGGCGAAGTCCTGATTGATCATGTTGAGCGTGGGCTCGAACACGGCGTCGAGGATGGGCGCAATCTTGTCCGTCAAGAGACCCTGGAGGCGCGATGTGATGGTGGCCATCACGTTGAGCACCTCGGCATCTCGGGCGGCGGGAACGTTGCGGTTGTAGTCGCCGAGGATGGCGTCGAGCAACGAGGGGATCAAGCTGCTGTTGACATTTTCGAGATCCTCGGCGCGTTTGACGTAGGTCTCCACGAGCCGCAAGATCTCCTTTTTGATGGTGCGCAGACCACGCACCATGGGCGTCTTGGTAGCGATGAGACCCTCGGCCTCGACCTTGGCGCTGATGATGCCGCTAACGCTGCGGTAGAGGGCGAGCATGTCGAGGTAGATACGGCCAATCTGGGGCAGGAAGAAGGTGCCGATGGATACGCAAGCGGACACGTTGGTCTTGAGCACGTTGGACAAGATCTTGATGTTTTCCGGGCTGCTGAGCACGTCGACGTTGTTGTGCGCCTGCTGCATGAGGCTGTCCCACGCGCTGTTGGGCAGCTCCATGAGCTTGGCGATGAGTCGCTCCTGCGTGGGACGGTTGGGCTGCGCTGCGATCATGTAGCCGACCGCCTCGTAGAAGGTGTGGACCTGCAACGGCGAGAGATCGAGGGTGATGCGATGCAAGTTGCGCAAGATCTCGTCGATGAAGGGCTCCTGCTCGCCCGCTTGCTGGATGACAAAGTGGCGTCGACACTTTTGGGCGATCTTGATGTAGGTATCGCACGCCATGTCCTGGACACCTTCGTGGCTCTCGTGCATGAACTCGAAGTTCTTGTTGACGACGGTCTTGAGGAACTTCCAATGCGCCTTGAGGAACCGCGGGTACTGGCCAACGATGTACATGATGTTGGAAGCAACGACGGCCTTGTTGTCCTTTCCACGCTTCATCTCGCACAGGCCGAGCAGATCCTTGATGACGGTGACAAGGAATCGCTTCTCTGTCTCCTCGTTCATTGCGCCCGAAATGGAGCCGATGGCCCAGCAGAGCGTGTTGAGATTGGCCCACGACCATTCGGAGCCGTCAACCTGCTTGGCAAGCTTCTCGGTCATGATGTTCTCGGTGTCGAGCACGTCGAGGTGGGTGAGGTAGACGAGCACCTCGCGCATGCTCTTGTACAGGACGATGGTGTCGCTCTCCTTCATAAATTCGCGGACGATCTCGCCCTCGTCGTTTTCGACGATGAGCACCTCCTCTGGCTTGACCATGCGTTCGATCATGACGAGCCTCAGGTTGGAGAGGATGTCGGTGTAGATGTTCTTTCGCAGGTTGGCCGAGTTGGCGTTGGATACGCCGTTGCCGAGATTGAGGCCGAGCAGCGGGTTCATCTCTGCGATGGGCTGTGACTGCTGCTCCTCGTAGAGCTCGCTCACGAGCTTGGACCAGTACTCGAGGCAGATCTTGAAGACTTCACGCTCGGGTACTTGGGAGACCTTGATAAGGTACATGTGTGCGTTGAGGAGGACGTCTTTGTTCTCCGGGTTCTCTACGAGTTTGAGATGAGCGGTCAGATAGTTGGAGAGGAAGAGAGCGAGATTGAGCACGAGCTCCTGCTCTGAATCGGAGCTGGTCTCGTAGGCGGCTGCAATGTTGGTGGCGGGAGGGATCATACGGTTGACCGAGGTCATCACCATATTGAAGAGGACGACAAACTTGGGGTCGTACTCTGCGCCAACATTGAGGTTGGCGATCTCGGAGAGACACTTGAGCGTCACGTTGCGGAACTCGGGGACCTCGAGGAAACGGCCGATGAGATTGTCGATGACGTTGGTCTCAAAGATGTAGCCGAGCGGGATCCAGTTGAGGAAGCGCAGCATGGTCTCAAGGGTGGCCTTGATCAGACTGGGCTTCTGCGCTTTTTCGAGCACCTCGGAGCAAAGCTGAAAGACCTCGCCAAATTCGCCACACATCTGGTTCTTGAGCGACTTGGTCTTGGAGGTAGTCATCTGCTCAGCCGAGTAATCAAAGATTTCTTCGGAAAGCAAGCGAAGGATAGCCATGTTGTTTTCGCAAATGGAGAGCGAGCCCTTGGAGGAGGAGACGATCTCGGGGATGAAAGATGGCCAGTTGTGAGGCCACTCTTGCTTGAGGATCTGGATGAGGGTGGTGTTGAGCTTGCCGATGTAGGTCCTCTCGCGCTTGAGGTTGGCCTCGTCGGACGAATGCTGAATGATCATCTCGACGATGAAATTGCGGATGCCCTGCTGCTGGTCCTCGGGAAGAACCTTCCACCGTGTCGAGATGAGCTTGTCGAGGATCTGCAACGAAATGTACTTGGTCTGTGAAGATGAGCTATGCTGAAGGATGGCGGGGACGCGCTGCCAGGCATCTGGGTGTTCCTGGAACTGGGCAAGGGTCTGCTGCGCCATCCTCTGGTCCTGGCCGGCGCCGGTGTACATGGCGGACACGACTCGATCAAGAAGACCGATGTCGAGGTCTTTGTCAAAGTCGAGAATGCCCTCCATAATGACGTTTGTGTGGGTGGTGGAAGTAGGGAGGTACCAAGGTGTGAGCGGCAAGAGGCCCGCTGCGTATAATCGAGAAAGGTAGACAACCAGCCGAAGGTGACCCGCGCGTCTTCCGATGTGTGCGAGCGTGAATGCGCTGCGGCTTGGACTTCACGTTCGATCGAGCGCAGGGATGGATACCAATAAAACCGAGGTGCTCACGTCGTTCGAATCGTGATGCAAGCAAGATGCGAGCTGGCAGAAGCGACAGTGGCGTTCCAGCAGGTGCTGCGCCGCCAAAATCGAGACAACGCTGCTTCACAGACCGACGCGGTGCGGTCGAATCCGGCTCTTGTCGGATGTGATTGCTCGCTGTCAAATGATCAAGTGACGAGAGATCAAAATGCGAAGGCGAGGTGGTGGATGACGATGTTGATGAAGGAGGAAGCGATGGTGGAGGCCGGGTGGAAAGATGAGTGAGTAGCCCAACGATGGACGCGCGGTGGACCGAGCGAAAAGAACACAAAAACAGACACACACACACACTGAACCACACCGCACCCCAATCCATGCCTCGATGGAGCCCTCAATTTGCTCCAAAATCCGAGCGTGTGAGCCGCAACCATAATTTTCTCGTCCTTTCTCTGTTTCCGCATCAGATGCACAGCAGCAGAGCATCTACGCGCCGACGCTTTGAGCTCAGCTGCTGCATCATTTTCTTCCGCTTCTGACAATCTTCCGATCTCACATCTTTGGCCCCGGTACTCTGGCTCCTATCAATTTCACTCAGGCGTCCCAAAAAATGCAAAGCCGACGATAGATATTTTGTTTGTATGTTAGGGCGGATTGTTCCTGACAGAATGCGAGAACCAAGCCAAGCCCCATCGACGTTCACGCAGCGAGCGAATCAGCGAAGTTTAGAGGGCGAGATCGAAAACGTGCGCAACGTGCAGCGGTTTGTCGGAATAGAGGCTTGCGTCTCGCTTCGTAGAATCAGATCCCTCTTCCCGTGACTTCTTGACACCAGACGTAACTCCTACCGAGCTTGGACGAGTAGAGACAACAATGCTCCCAAAATGACATGCCCTCCGGATGAGATGGTCGCAATCTCATTCTGTAGATAAGGTACTGTATGTTGAGCTGAAAATACATTCGAGCAGATGCGAATGGCGGACGGTCTGGTCGAGAGGAATCCGGTAGTGGACCCTTGCCGGTTTGCCTCTCGAGACACTTTTCCATTCGCGCATGGAAAGCAGCGCCGAGATGAGAGGAAGAAACAAAAAGTACAGAGTGTGTGAGAGAAAGGTGACTGACTGGAGCCAGAGGCGAGCTTCTTTTTCCGGCTGCGCCCCGTGCGTTGCTTGCATACAGAATGCGCTTTCCTTGATCTTCCTGGCTGTAGCATTCTCAATTCATGGCAACTCGGTCGTTCATCCAACGTGACACCATCATCTTTATCGCAACGCAACGCAAACCACCTGTGTTTTCACAAAGGACCCTCCACAGGCGAAGCCCACCTGTCGTATACTTGGCAGGACATAGCTATCGGTAGCTCCGACCGTTCATCGGCATAGCCGCCTTTCTTCTACGGACCGTTTCCGATCAGAGTCACGCCCCCCGCTTAGCCATGAACCTCTCTTAAGGGCGCACCGCTGCCTATGCATCTCACGCACGGAATCCGAACGCCTCCTTCGCTCTTCCGTCTGACATCTGCCACAGAACGGCGCTCATCCGGCTCTTTTTACATCGGCTTAGCTGCCGCTACCCTTCGCGCCTGCACTCGTTTTTACCTCGCCTCCAGGATCGTGCGACACGAATCTTCCACCACCTGTCGAGCACCCGACTCTCGTCGCTCACCATGAAGTTTGGCAAGTACATCCTCAGCCAGCAGATCTCGGGCTGGGGTGCCTACTACCTCGATTATAAGTTCCTAAAAAAGATCATCAATTCGCTCGAGAAGGGCAGGTTGGCAGATGCTGCTCTCTTCGCGACCGGTGTTCGTCCCGAGGAAACATCCAACGGCCAGCCCGCCGTCTCACCTCAGCCACAGATCCTTCCACACGTTGAGGGCTCGGACGAACTTCAGATCCACAAGGCCGCCTTCTTCTTCAAACTGGAGCGAGAGCTGGAAAAGATCAACAACTTTTATCTCCAAAAGGAGGCCGAGCTCAAGTCTCGCCTACAGACGCTCATCGACAAGAAGCGCATCATCTTTGAATCCCGCAACTCGTCCAAGCTGTCCAAGGAATCGCCTTCCTACGTCGCACTCTACGAAGGCTTCCGCTACTTTGAAAAGGATCTCAGCAAGCTGCAGCAGTTTATCGAGATCAACGCCACCGGTTTCCGAAAGATCCTGAAGAAGTGGGACAAGCGCTCCAAGTCGCAGACAAAAGAGCTCTACCTCGCTCGTCAGGTCGAGGTGCAGCCTTGCTTCAATCTCAAATTCATCGCCGAGCTCAGCGACATTGCTGCCGCCAACCTGCTCGAGCTCGAGAACCTTTCTCACGGACGTTCTCTCAACGAGACGCTCGGAACCAATGGCGCCAGTCTCTCTTCCGACAATCGCCTCGACTTTGCCGCTGCTCAGAGCCAGGATTTCGATGCGCTTGCAGACCTCGAAGCCAACCTCGCAGAGGCGGTCAAGGCGGGCCGTGTCGCGCCAGCCACCGAGATGATCCGCATCGCAGCACAGAATGAAGATCCCACCAGCGTCTCACGCATTGTCTGGCGTGCTCTCCTTGAGGCGCCTCACGAAGCAGTGCGCGCCGCTCTCGAACACCATCTCGCCGACTACAAGTTTGTCGACGACATCAGCTCGCGTACGTGCCTGCACGAATGCTCGATGGCTGGCAAGCTCTTTCTCGTTCAGTCATGCATCGAGAATGGTGTCGATGTCGCTCAGCAGGACATCTACGGACGTACTGCGCTGTCTTATGCTGCCATGGCAGGGCATACCGATGTCTGCCACTACCTGCTCTCGCTGCCCTCTATCTCGGCCGCCACCTACGACCTCGATGGTTTCTCTCCACTCATTCTGGCGGTCATGAACGGCCGCACCGACGCCGTTCGCATCCTCTTGGACCACGGCGCTAGCGTCGAGCCCCGCGACGCCACTGACCTGATCCCGCTCTGCCTTGCCAGCTCGGGCGGCCACGCCGACATCGTCAAGTTGCTCTTGCAAAAGGGCGCAAAGATCGTCTCGAACGCGGAGGGCTTGTATCCGCAGGCCCTGGCTGCCCGCGCCGGTCACGCCAACTGCGTGCGCCTGCTCGTCGAATCAGGCGGAGACCCGAATGCGCCCGAAAAGGGTACACAGTGGACCCCGACCTTCTTTGCTGCCGAAAGCGGCCACGTCGACTGCCTCCAGGTCCTGCTCAATGCAGGCTGCAACGTCACCATCGTCGATGAGAAGGACCGTACTGCCGCTTTCTATGCTGCTTGGAACGGCAAGATCGCCTGTTTGCTCCTGCTGCTCCAAGCGGCGCAGCAGAGTAAGACTGCACCGTCTGAGCGTCGACTCTCAAAGACTCAAGCCGCGAAAGTCAACACGTCTTCGGATGCGGCAGACGATCTCGACCTCGAGATTGATGGCATTCCCGACTTGTCCCTCCCGCCGCCCATCATTCCTTTCCGCACTTATGGTCACAACTATCTCGACAAGCGCGCACTCGTGTCCGTGTCTCTCACAAACAACTCGGTCAAGCTGTACAAGCACCAGGACCCGAATCGCCCCGAACAATTCTCGACATCGTCGCTCAAGCTCGTCATGACTTCTCGACCCGACGCCTCGACCACTGCCATCCCTCATAACGTGGTGCTGCCTCTTGCCGACGAGCGTGAGGTGTTTTCGTTCCAGGTCGACCGGCTCGAAAGCTTCTCCATTGAATGGGAGCTGATGCCCACCTTCGGCTCAAAGGTCATCGGCAAGGCCGTCGCCTTGCCAAGCTCATTCGAGGGCATGACCGACCGAAAGCGCTTCGTGCTACCGCTTCAGGACGTCTACCTCAAGGTGGTGGGAGAGGTATCGTTCGAGTTGGACTTTGTCAAGCCGTTCGACAGTGTTCAGCTCGAGATCGGCGGTCGTGTTGAGACGTACTGGAAGAGCATGTTGCCCGGTGTTGCAAGTGCTTCGAACGTCGGTCCGACGAGGATGACCCCCAACAGTGGTGTCAGTGGCATCGGCAGCTCCTTGAGCTCTGCAACAGCCGCTGGTCAAGGCGGGAAAATACCCGCGGCAGCTGACAAGGGCGCAGCTTTGGGCTCCAGCGGTGCTGCTTCGGGCGGAACCCCGTCGGTTGGCTCTGCTGGAGCAGCATCTGCAGCTGCACCACAGCCGACGCTGGTGACTGGATCTTCGCTTGCGGGTGAATATCTGCGCGTCGTGGTACAGGTGACGAAGGACGCGATAGCGGTGGTGTGGCCTGCGCCGTTCATCCCGCTGCCTGGTCTGCAAGTGTACGTCGGAAGTGTCAAGGCGGATGAACTGCTGTCGCTGGCCGCACAGACAGGGCATTCGCTCGACTGGACACCTGCACAAGCAGCGCAAGCTTCGTGGACTGACTGGCAGCGTGCACTTCAGACGTCGGTCGTCACACTCGAGAAGCTCCTTTCCCTCCTGCCTGTCTCGGTCGGAATCGACATTGACGTCATGTATCCTTCTACGGCAGAGGTGCGCTCCAATCCAGGGATGCCCAAGATGGAAGTCAACCAATTCGTCGACACCATCCTGCATACCGTCTATGCAGCAGGCACGAGCAATCGCGAACAGAGCCGCAAGATTCTGTTCTCTTCACGCTCACCCACCGTCTGCACTGCGCTTAACTGGAAGCAGCCCAACTACGCCGTCTTCTTTGCGTCGTTTTGCGGCATCGATGGCACAGCCAGCCTCGAGCAAGGTCAATTGCTGCCTTCGACGAGGCACGAAACGGATCCTCGTAGGGAGAGCATTTCGGAAGCGGTGCGCTTCGCTAAGAGCAACAATCTGTTGGGCATCATGGCCGATGTGGCGCTGTTGAATCACGTACCGCATCTGGTGGAGAGCGTGAAGGCGAGTGGATTGCTGCTGATCACGATCGGTAGGTTCAAGAAGCAAGAATCAATAGCGGAGGAGTTGGTGGATGATGTTGACGGTGAGGTGGATCAGGGGATTGTGCTTTGTAGGAGTTAGAGGCATTCAGGTTAATGGTTTTAGTCTTTTGTCTGGGCACGCTTGTGAATCGTCGATCGAGAAAGCAAAGTGTGTGTATGCGAGTTTGAGCGAAGCGAATGATGAGTTTGACACGAACGATGCATGAGAGGTATATTGTACAGAGAGCTAAGTGGGAGAAATTGGAGGTGCCAGCCTCTGATCGATGAAGAGGTGCTTGCTTTGGACATTGACTCTTGACTACCGAGCGTATGCTTCGTCTATCGTCTCCTCTTTGCCTTTCCATTGTTCTTACTCTTGTGAGCGTCGAACAGGCTGTTACCACCGGAGTTCTTGAACGGTTTCAACCCTTTGCTCTTGCGATAAGTCTCTCTCCTCGAGTCCCTGTTACCAGAAGTTGAAATCTTCTTCACCTGTCCTTCTGCCTCTCTTTGGTCCTTCGAGTCGACGGTTTCGACATCCATCTTTGCTTCTGTATCGTCATCTTGCTCCTTGTTCTCGACGGGAACTTTGTCCTTCTTCAAACCAGCCGCGAGACGGGCGGAGAGTGCATTGACTCGTGCAGCTTCGGCTACAGCGTAATCTGATTTTGGATTGGAACGCTTCTGATTCCTTGCCTTGAGCTTCGAGCTCGATCGAAGCGATTTAGCCATTGTGAGAAGGACGTATCAGTGTTGAGGGAGGAACCAGAGGATCTGCAGCGAATGAAGCGATGTCGCTCGTGTATTTGTGGAGACTTCGTCTTCCTGGTTCCGGAAGAGCTTTTCCTCAAGCTGCGATGCGTAGCGAAGTGTAGCGTAGTCGAGTGACGAAAGCTATGTGTTGAAGCGGTTGGGAAGACAGTGCAAGATGGTGGTGTGCACTGCAAAGTCGAGACTGACTTGTTGCGGGAGTGAGAAAGGGTCCTTTTAGGAATTTTTCGTTTCGCAGATGCTGCAGGATGGGAAATTTCAGCCAAGCACGTTTCTCGGAAGGCGGCGTGGCAGGTGAGTGCCAGATCGGCGATGAATCGGGCCCAGATCATGTTCTTGTCTTGTCGAATCTCAACGAGCCATTCCTTGCAAGTGTCTGCGCTGGCCGAGTGGCACAAGAATAATAGCTGGAGCAAGAATGACAAAGCTTCCCGTCGAGATCTGAGCTTGCACATAGACGCTCAATGTGGACCCAAGCTTGAGCGCTGAAGTGATCAACCTGGGAAGCACGGGGGTTGTAGTGAAGAAAGTTGTCGAGATGCACTCCTCCAAACCTACGTCAGGCCGACACCGCTCGCAACATTGATGGGGGAATGCGATGCCGTCAGCAGAGCATACACACAAACAGCCTCGATGGGGCTTCCTGTAAGCTAGAGACGATCGGCTGCTAGTCTGTTCATGGCGCTTGGGAGGGCGAGGTGCGTGAAATCGAGACCCGCTGTTGAACGGTAGTTCGCTATGTGCCGAAATCAGTCCCGTGTCTGCGTGGGAGAGCCAGGAACACGAAATTTTGAGGCGCGGAGGAGATTAGAGAGAGGGTCCAGTGCTGCGACCGTTGCAGCCCGCTGGACCCCACAAATCTGAGATTTTTCTCCCTCCAAGTTGCTGCTGGCAGGCATGAACGCCGCCCTGCCTTGATTAATTTGGTCGTGGCGCTCCAGTTGACCCGGCTAAGCGGCAACCTTGCTCGCAAAAGAGGACCCGAATAATCACAATCGTTAATCTAGCTCGGCTCTGCCTGTCGTTTCTGACTCCTTCTCGTCGATTGCGTACACCGGTATCCTGGATCGGACTCCTTACAATCACGTCTGATCCTCGGCGGACGACAGGGATCATCACCACATTCATCACACTGGACCCCTCACAGCTTCTCCATCTCGAGGATACGGTGACGCTGGCTTCACGTCCACCTGTCGGTGCTGCCGAAACAACGTTACCCATCATCCTCTCAGCCTTCATCGCGCCACATTCCTGCTTCGTCACTCAGCCTCCTGCTGCCATCGCTCGTCCGGTCCAACGAATTGAAGGCTGCAGGGAAGTCGCGAGTCTGCATAATCGACTACATCCCGAATCACATTAGCGTACTTTCACTGCGCCACACCGAAGGCGAGCCGACCATCTCGTCGGCTAGAGGCATATCTCACACGTCCGCTCAACGCACTGCAGCTGCTGCCGACGCCTCATTCGGCAGAGCCGACCATCGTCAGGCGGAGACAAGCGTCATTCGGTGGTTCCGCTTGCGCGAGGTCCGCCTCATCGACTCAGCCGCATTTTCCATTGATCTAGTCCTAACCTTCCACCGGCTCCGAAAGCTCCTTCCACGATGAGAGAAACCAAGCTTCACATTCCCATGACCACCGCCACGGGCGAGACCATCGGCATTGTCGGAATCTTGGCTCAGATCGCTCTGCCACCTCACAATCCACAGGAACACGAACCACATCCCATGTACACCTCGCGTTCGACCACTGCATCCATCGAACCTCTTGATCGATCACATTACGACAGCCGATCAGACATTTCGAACGATCCCACCGCGTCCAATCTCTTGCAAAGCAATCACAACCGATATTCCTCTCGCATCATTGAAGATGATCCCGCCACAATGCAAAGACTGCGACACAAGGACCAGGCGTTCAAACGTCGAGGCTACCCCATCTATCCTATCGATAAGCGAGACACACGAGGTCTCAAGATTGCTATCATTCTTCACGGACTCTTGGCGCATAAGGATCAGATCTACCACAAGCAACTTGCACGTGCACTTCCCGTCGACTCCTTCCGATTCGATTTCCGCGCCAATGGAGAAACTCCGGGAACTTGGTCGATGGGAAACCTGGCTGACGATGTGGAAGATCTCGTCGCGGTGGTGAATTACTTGCGGACGAAGCTGGAGTACACGGTTGAAATCATCATCGGACACAGTCGAGGCGGATTGGACGGTTTTGCTTGGTTCGCAAAACACTGTCCGGATGCCCTCCCACCTTCGCTTCGCGTACCCTTCTTCGTGGGACTGAGCGCTCGATTCAACATGGCCAACATACACGAACGAGATCCAGTCTACCTATCAGCTTTCGCAAAAGAAGGGTTCTTCCGTTGGCAAGCACGCGTCGCCGGACAACAAAAGGAGTTGCACGTATACCCAGAACAGGTGGAACAGTTTGCTGCATGGCCAACGCGAGAGATCGCTCTCGCTTTCCCATATCATACCGACGTACTCTTGATACACGGCACAGCGGACAAATCCGTCCCAGCGTCTGACGTTACAAGTTATGGCAACATCCTAAGCGGTGTTCACAGGAGACCGGGCAGCTGCTCGATCAAATTGATCGACCATGCAGATCATTTGTTCAGAGGTTTCTACCCGCAGGTGGTCGAGGCGATCGTCGAGTGGTTAGCGGAACGATCGGAACTGACGAAGATGGGGCTGAGCGCTGCAGCCATTAGGGACAAGGAGTCGTTGGGATTGGCCAGGTTCGATCCGAACCATTACGGTCAAGGCAGGGTGGTGGGCAGCCAAGTATGGGACAACAATCTCGCAGAGAGAAGAGCAAAGGATGCAGCCGCTCAGGCGTCGCCATGGCTGGACAATAGCGGAACGAAGGCGGCTGAGGGTGTGTCGCCGTATCAGAGGTACCTTGCTGCCAGCGTCGGTGGCCAGAGTCAACAGCAGCAGCAGGGTGAGGAACCGCCGAAGCAAAAGACCGAACTGGAGCAAGTTAAGGAGGCAGAGGAGGATGCGGCAAATACGACAAGAAGCCTCTCTGCGCTCGACCCGGCGATGGAAGACACGGAAGAAGTTACCCCGGTGCCGCAGACACGCGCGGCCACTTTTTCTCAAGCACGGCTCAATGCTGCAACTTCCAAGGTCGCTTCACCGTCTACGGACAGGTCGGCGCCCGTCCACATCTCAAGAGACCTGCCCTCAAAAGCAGCTCCTACAGTCTCAGCAGACGACAACAGAGGTGTCTCGGCGCGCATCTCGGTCTCACCTCCAAGGGCGAAATCACGCTTGTAAACCTCGTCTCTTGGCCTTCTCCTCTCTTGTCTTTCCCCAACTTCATCGTCACTTACGCAGGATCGGAATCTTATCATCTTCGCTTACTTTTCGCATTGCCTTTCATTTCTGCATTCAATTCATCGTCACCGCATACATTTCGACTGATCCGGCTGTGTCGCCGTTCAAAGGCCTTCGTCAGAGGAGCCGTCGCTGATGGTGATACTCGAGATCCTCGGTTTCGCTGCTTGTCTCTGCGCCATCTTAGCCAAATCTGCGCCGAACGAGCTCACGCCTGTCTTTTGCGCTTCGCGTTCGCTCCCTCCTCGGAGTGCCTCATCGTCATCGCCATATGAGGGTTCGGCAAGAGCACATTGACCAGAACGCAGCTCTGTGCCGTTTTCGTTGAAAAGCGAGCGGGGTTCAGCTGTACGGTGCTTTCGTGGCGACTTGCTTGGTCGATTTTCCTGTTGATCATCCGTGTTGCACGAAGGGGTCGTGGGACGACTGTGTCTTTCTCCAGCGCAAGCGGTGCGGTCCGAGACGAAGGCTCCGAGGAACTCGATGCTCGAATCCCAATCTTCGTCGGCGGCTACGTCAGATGAGGGCAGGATCGCGGGATCGACGTTGGGTAGCGATGTGTATCTCTCAAACCCTCGACGCGGTGCTAGGGCTGGTGCTGCAAAGGACGCACTGGCTGCGCCGGCGGTGACGACGGGAACAGGGACAGACTCGGTCCGTCTCAGCCCTCGTTGCATTCCACTAGGTACTCTGAGCTGTCTCGGTGTTCGAGGTGGGACGGGCACGCTCTCCGTCGTTGGCCGCGTCAAGCTTGACTTTGTTGCGCTTGGTACGGCTTTGTGCACGGTCTTGATCTGCTGGCATGCCAGCGAAGGCTTCGCAACGGGCTTGACAAACGATGTCAATGTCGTCTGATTTTGTCTTCCCTTCGCGTTCGTCGCAACAGTTTTTCTCGCTTCCTTCGCCCGTACCGCATCAGCTTTCTTCTCGACCTCTTTGAGATAGGCCTTGAGCGGCGCAGCTCCACTCGCACTCAACTCCAGGAAGGGCTCGGGGATCCACATCAACAGCGGCGACGCCGGGTCAGGCCTCTTGCTCACTGTTCCGGACCTCAAAGTTGTGGCCGGCTCTTCCTCTGCATCCGCGAAAACTTCCGAGTCGGAGTCGTCGTTTTGTGCCCGCCTAGCTGCGAGGTCCGCGTCCAAAGTAGCATCGATCCCTGCCTCGGCCAGTTGAGCGAATTCTTCCATCGCCACAAGGACGCGATAGTCCAGAAAGGGCACGAGGGCCGCATGTCTGCGTTGCATCTTCATAGCAAGGATAGCAACGGAGGTGGCATGAGACGGTGCGGAACGATTGTCGGGCCGCGCCGATGGTGTCGGCATCCGAGCGCTCTTGTCGATTGCAGCTTTGGCGAAAAAGTCAGTGATGCGAGTGGCGTTTGGACTTTCGTGTAGAGGCCGCTGCTTCTTTTGCGTTGCAGCACTCGAGCCTGTGCTCTGCGTCGTGATCGAGGCTGACGCTGTACCCTTGTCGAGGCCAAGCGCATGCTGACGGACAGCCTTGCTAGCAGGACTCTCCACAAGAGCAGCCCAAGGTCCTTTTCCATCGCCGTCGGTGACCTCGAGCACTTCCTGCCGCAGTCTTCGTGCGACCACCCCCGGTCCTAGGATCGTGCGGAATTTTGACAGGATGGCCTCCTTTGACCAATTGAAGTAGATCTGCGACAGCCTCGCGAGCCTTGTGAGGTCAGGCTCTTTCGTTTTACTTCTGATGAGGTCGACGATGTCCTTGTCCTTGCTCTGAGACGTCAACGGGTACACGTAGTAAGCGAGTATTCTGCGAGATTCCGGTGTTGACAGAAAGCTCTGTTCGATGGTCGATGCGAGCTTTGGTCTACGCGATGGAAGATACCCGCGTTGGTTGGTGCGCAGCTCCTCGCGTACCTCCTCCAACCAGGTCATGAGAAATGTCTCGAAACTCTCGCAGGTCTCGGAAGTCGACGCTTGATCTGTGTAAGAGGCCTTGAAAGCCTGGATCAAGGTGGCACCGAATCCGCCGCGGGCGAGTGCCAGTGCGATTTTGACTCCGCACTGCAGTAAGCCGGTGGTGTCGTAGTCGCCGCCGGACATGAGGCCAATCAAGATGAGACCGTCACGATCGAGACCCAGCCTTGACACGTCACTGAGATCGCTTGCTTTGTAAAGCGTGATGAGATGGTCGCGATCCGATCCTGACAGTTGCAGCCTCGACGTCGCCGATGCAGCACCTGTGCCCAGGTTCGAGGGTCCAGATTCGTCAAAGACATCGCTGCTAGTAGACGTGGTCCTGCCGAGCGCTTTCGTCCCCGAAAGATTCTTACCCCAGTTGCGGATCAGTGTCTGGGAACCAAAGAGTAGTGCATCGGAATCGTCTGTCAGCACGGCATCAACGAATCCTGCTTCGTTGAGGAAGGCGAGCTCGGCCTCGGCTTCGCCTGGAGCACGATGCCACTGGTAACCGAAAGCTTCTATGAGCTGTGTGAACGGCTGCTCGATGGCACGCTGTCTACCCTTGACTTGCTTTCCTCGCTTCCAGGTGGGTCTGCTGGGTCCGTCGAACACGAAAAGAGGTAGGACGGGCAAGCTGAGCAGTTTTGCAAGGCGATAAAACAATAGCCTGAGGTACGGATTGGCGCCTCCGGAACTCTGATGAGCGTGGAAGAGCCATAGCGATGCATCGATTCCCAGTCGCAGGGCTCGAAGCTCGGTGCGGTTCTCGACGAAGGTTGTGAGGCAGTACGAAGGCAGCGTTGTCGTCTGGGCTGCGGGAGCCAGCTCGGCCCAGAGCCCTGGGATTCCCATTAGGTCATACTTTCCAGGCTTCGTTAGATGTAGCTGTACGATCTCGACGAGGAGCAAGCGGTGGTTGAGGTCCAAGGGAGGGATTGGATGAAGTGCTCCTGCTGAAAGTTGCGGGATGAATCAGCGAGCGGGCGGGTCGGGCGGATGGAGTGTTGATGAGTGTTGTTGTTGCTCCGCGTCTTGTCAGCACTCGAAGTGACACAAAAAATGCGGGACACAAAATTAGTGCAGCCTTGGACCCTGGACACGAGAAGGCCAAGCGCGGTGCAGATTCGGGCTCAAAAAAGCCGAAGCCGGGTCGTACTTCAGGTGGGTGGATCTTCTTAGGCGATGATCGATATAAAGCAGCTTGCGATTTCTGATTCCCGCGTTCACAGTCGAGGACAGCGCACCGCTGTGGATCTAGCGACGATATAGGATCATGACGATGTCGGCGACGTCTCATGCAGGCGCGCCGCAGAGCTACTCACGCCGCGGATCGGACTCCAAGTACGATGTGCTGATTCCACACCAGGGCCGCATTCGACCGCGGCGCGTCCGACTGGCACCTTTTGTTGATAACACTCGTGCTGGCAGCGTTCTCGCCTACCTTGGCATACCCTTTGCACAAGCCCCGACAGGGTTGCGCCGCTGGCAAGTCCCTCAAGGTCCGCTGCCGAGCTGGTCGACGACGAGAGCTTCAAAATGGCAGGCGGATCCACATCAAGATTTTGCTGCGATGGAAGGAATGTACCGCGGACGCAAGAACGCCAAGACAACGATACAGCGTAGCGAAGATTGCCTCTACCTGAACGTCTGGGTGCCAGAAAGCGAGACCGATGACCATGCAAAGAGACCGGTGATGGTGTGGATCTATGGTGGTGCCTTCACCGTAGGCAATTGCTCCAGACCGCTACACGACGGTGCGAGGCTGGCACACGAAAGCGGCTGCATCATCGTCTCGCTGACATATCGGGTTGGTGCTATGGGCTTTCTCGGAGCACGATCGATGGCGAAAGAGACGGCGGGTGATTGGCCGCTCGTGTCGTTGGAGTCGCTCGAGCGGAAGCCAGCGAGCGGGCCGACAATCGAGGTCGGCGCTGGCAACTGGGGCTTATGGGACCTCGTCAGCGGGCTTCTTTGGGTGCAAAGATTCATCTCTGCATTTGGCGGCAACCCAAACAAGGTCACTGCATTCGGCGAGAGCGCAGGAAGCATTGCAATTCACTATCTGCTGCTGTCCCCGCTCACTCCTGAAGGTCTCTTCCACAAAGCGATTCTCGAGAGCGGCGTCGTGGCTACACTTTTGCCGCGCACAACGCAAGCAGCGCAAGGAGCGTTCAACAAACTGGTACGCTCGCTTTGCCCATACCATCTCGAGGGCGATGAGGCCGCGCAGCTCGAGTATCTGCGGACCCGTGTCAGTGCCGATGAGATCGCATCATGTCTGCGACCTTTGGTAGGCAAGCGGCCCAGGTCCGAGTACACGCCGACGCTGCAGGACATGGGTTGTCTTCCGCGAGCACGTGAAGATGCTGGGGACGAGGGCTGCGGCGTGACGGATCAGTGGGGACCTGTGTGGGACGGGGTCTTTGTGGACCGCGATTTCGTCGCGAGGGCGTTGGAGCCTCTGCCACCTAGGAGCAAGTTGCGCAACGGCCGCAGCGGCGTCATCGTGGGTATGTGTGCAGATGAAGGGACCATGTTCAACTTTCTGATTGCGACTGGGCAGTCGCTGGTAGCTCATCAGGATCTTTTCGATCCCGGTTTGTCAACCGATCTCGGTAGGCTGTACGGCTTCGACGTCCGCGAATCGGTGTCCAGCAAGCGGAACGGACGCGAAAAGGCGCTGCTGGATCAGCGGGCATTCTACACGTGCGCCACCTACACGGGAGATGCGCAGTTCACGGCTCCAATTCTGGACTACATGGCAGCTCAGAGTAGTCCCAAAAATGACTCGATGGGTCGAGATGACAGCGTGAACGTCTACGGTTACCTTTTGGCGCACCGTCCCTCGTGGGACATGCTGGAGGCGCTTACGACGGTACCGGAAATGACGGAAGAGTGGGCAGCATTCCACACGCTCGATATACCGTTTGTCTTTGGCCTGACTGGACGACCTGACCTGGACGGTCATGCCTACGTGTCCGATATGTCCGAATATGGAGTGGATCCGCACGACGATGACGGCCAGGACGCGGCACCGCTGCCCTCTGCTTCGGGTCGTTCGAGGCTGAATGGGATGACGGAAAAGGAAAAGCACCTCAGCTTGTACATGATGCGAACATGGACCGCGGTGGCTAAATTTCCATCAGAAGCTGAGGCTTCGAGCCAACAATTGGAGCTCCCTGATGGATCGACGTGGACCTGCCTAGGCTCGAATGCGCAGCAAGCTGGGAAGGAACAGAGCGGTGTCGACCAGATCCATCTGTTGGCGATCGGTGAGGAGCCGCAAGCGCCAGCAAGGGCCAAAGCGACCGATTCGGAAGATCCGATCCGCATCTGGCAGACGATCCTCTCGCAGCACGCCTTTGCACAGCAGCGAGCCGGTGACCACGTCGTCGCAAGCTTGGACGATCGAGTGCGCTTTTGGATGCACGAGCCCATCACGGGCACCGCCTCGCCTCGTCACGATGAGAGGGGCCAGTCTGGTCAGCTTCGGGTCTGCCGAGCCATGCAAAATTACTACGGCTTCCTCTCGACGCCTCCGCGCTTCCTGCCTTGGTCATGATCGTGACGCCGTAATCATGGCTACGCCTAGTTCCCTCCTCGCTCCATCCTCACCCTCTGTCTTTTTTGTGTCTAGAAAAATGAAGAGATCTCACAAGGATTCGAAGAAATTGGCAAAGCCGCGGACTTGCACGACTGCATGGAGTTTTCGGCGCGCGATGGCGGCTGACCGCATGAAGTGGAGGATTCGCACGCGATTTTTTGGTGGGCTCCTTCCCCACACTCGTCATCGCAAGACCGCCAGCTGAGGCGCCCGACGTGCTGCGATGTCCGACGGTATCCGGAGCACCTTCAATGTTCTCCGTAGAGATCATGGCGGGGTCGACAGCCAAGTGATGTGACTGGGACGGTTGCAGGCATACTAAAAGGAAGGGGATAGAGGAAAAGAAGTGCGCGGCTATGTAAGCCCAGCCAAGGGTGTCCACCACGTGTGGATTACAAATCGGCGTCAGTTCTGACGATCGTAAAAGCTGCCCCAAGCGCTCGTGCCGCTGCTCACTTTCTAAGACCTAGAGTGTACGCTCAAGCTATTCCGACAAAGCTCTGCTTGTCTCAGCCTGTCAATGTGCCCACACAGCAACCCGCACCAAACAGGGCTGTCGTATTACGCGCGCTCTAGATGGTCCGCTTGCACTATATATGGTGAGGTTGTGTTTCGCTTCCTTTGTGTGTTCCTCTCCATCAACATCATCAATCATCGACAATGAGGTTTACAACTCCCTCATTCGTTTCGACGGCGCTCGTCGCCTCCGTTTGTGCAACAGGCGCCCTCGCAGCGCCCGCTCTCGACACTCACCAGCTCATCTACCCCTCGGCAGCTCCCTCTGGCCTCGAGGCTTTGACCTTTGGCCTCTCCGCCAAGCTCTCCTCCGCATTCAACGGCTTCCTCTCGCACCTCTCGCAGCCCGTTGCCACCTTTGAGGACGAAGGCAAGACCATCTGGGACGTCATCAACGACTCGGATGAGTTTTCGCAGCTCGCTCACATCCTCAACTACTCTTCCGATGCCACCAAGGACATCCTCAAGAAGAAGCAAGACCTTACCCTCTTTGCACCTCTCAATTGGCACCACCATCGCGATGGTGGTCACGACGACAAAGAAGCCTTCCAGGACACCTCGTTCGGCCCTGCCTCGATCCAGCAATGGGACAACATCCAGAAGCAGATCGCCGACTACGAGCGTGACTTCAGCGTCGCCGCCACTCAACACGATGACGACAAGGACAAGAAGCATCGTCGCGAGCTCATTCGTCACCTCATCGACGCTACCGCCCTGTACCATCTGGTTCGCTCGGATACGGTGCTCGACGCCAAGGCCATCGCCGACAACTCGAGTGTCGCCACTTGGCTCAACACCGGCAAGTCTCACCCTAACAACGCCGGCACCGACTGGAGGGTGAGGACGGGCAAGAGCCTCCTGCCTCTCCCCGCCGTCTACCTAAATTTCTACTCTCGCGTTGTCAAGCCAGACATCCGTACCAAGAATGGTCTCATCCACGGCATCAAGTATCCCCTGGTCCTACCCCCCGACGTCCTGCAGAGCTTGTTCTACGGTCAGACCACCTCCTCCACCACCACCTCGGCTCTGCAGAAAGCTCATGTCGCGAAGTACCTCACCTACCGCCCTGGACACTCGCACCACCACCACGGCCACGGCAAAGCCGCTGGTCTGATCGACGCGTGGCACCACGAGTCCAACGACACCAAGCACTTTGACGGCGTGCCAGCTGAAACCATCTTTGTGCCCACCAACCTGGCTTGGTCGCGCCTGCCCTTCATCTTCCGCGCGTACCTCTTCTCGCCCTGGGGTACCGAATTGCTGCAGAAGATCTTCATGCTCCACTCGTTGCCCTCGGACATCGTCTACGCCGACTTTGTCCACCACGTCTCGCACCGGGGCAAGGCGGCCCCCGAAGCCGTCCACACTACGGTCGGACACGCCAATAAGACCTCCTACACGTTCGACTCGGTGCTGCCCAAGATCAACGGCACCAAGGGCGAGTTCGAGACGGTCGACGTCGACGTTTACCGTTACTACCTACTTCCTGGTAACAAGGGCCCGCTTCAGACTAGGATCGTGGCACAGAACGTGTCGGTCATCCTGCAGGATATTCCTGCCTCGAACGGAGTGTTCCACTACGTCGACAAGTTTTTTATGCCTAAGGGCCACCCTCACAAAGGTGTTTGGGCCGAAGTCGCCGCAGCCGCCGAGCAAGCAGGATTTGGAAGCGTCGATTTGATTGCCGAGGCCCAGGCTGGCAAATGGTAAGTAGCGAAGGAAGTCGAATACATCTACACGATCATGATTGCCATTGAAAGGGTCGCAGCCGTCTCGTGATCGCTTCCTCGAGCCTTTTCTGCCCTTCATCATCAATGTTATTCGAACCCGTATGTCTCAATTGTGGGCCGAACAGCCGCGAGTGTGTGGTCAATTCCGAGTGTTCTGCGTGTTCTTCAGTAGCTACCAGAGCTCATGACATGACTACGGCCGCGATCCTCTGACAGCTGTCAAAAGGCGACGTCTGCGATCCGATGTACGACTTGAATCCGGCCGAAAGGGGCACGACGAATGAATCGCAGGCGGCAGACAAGCTGAGGGCGGGGGTGGAAGGGTCAGGTCACGCCATACACCAGGCATAAGGATCAGAGCGGGGGGTCCAATCAGACAGTGAGCAGACGAGAGCAGTCGAGAGCGTTCATTGGTCGACGGATTCACAGCCAGCGAGATTTCGGCCCTTTAGACGGCCTTTTCCTGGTCCACGACTGGAAGGAAAAAATTCGCGTCTCTTACGTGCAGTTCGTCCGTCGATGTGGGCACACAATGTAGCCTTTTCCAAGTGGCTTGAAGGTGGACGAGATCGTGCGACAGGAAAAAGTGGCTCCGCAGATCACGTGTCGTTCGCTGATTGTTCGAGGAGATGCAGATGTGCAGGCGGCCAATGGGCGAATCGCAGAAGACGGAAAGATAACAGCACGCCCGAACGAACGAACATTGGTCGCATTCCACCCCAATTCGGGCTGCCTTGTGGTCTGCATTCGACACTTCCGCACGCAGTATCAAGGAGCCTTCTCGATGTCGGAAAACCATTGTGCGTTGTCGGCCTCCTTGCCGATGGGAGCGGATCCTCACGGCGGGGCTGACAGGTATCCCTAGATCCGAGACGAGCGATTTTGATAGCAATCGTCCGAGGCGGTCGAGTCATCTCTTGATCCCCTTTTCCCAGTGCTCGCGTATATGCCGCCTCGCAGCTCGCCAATGCTGGTGGGAAATTCTCAGGCACGAGAGACTCAAACAATTTAACTATAAACTCATCACGAGCAAACACGCACAACAACAGCAAACTCTTTACTCCCACAACATCAGACTCTCTTCATTGCAAGGATCCCTTTCGAGCAGCTGATGAGCCAATATGAGGTGGAAGATGGCCTCTTGCCATGGCAAGATCGGTGAGGCTCAAAGCGGAACGGCATTGCAGAATTAGTGAAGAGCGAGAAAGGGCGATGGGGTCGAATGCATGCATGCTCCACTGTGCAGGAATCACGCTGGGATGACTCGACCTTGAACGCCCTAAGGTGACGCCAAACGCGACGAGAGCCAATTTATCGCGTCGGCTCGGCGCTGCCTCTTCTTCTCCACGGACCGGTCTTGACACCGGCTCGGCTGCACTGTACAGGGTACATCGATCGTTCTTGTGAAAATAGGCGAGCAAGGTGCCTCGCTATGTCCGGCACTCCGTTGGAAGAAAAGCGCTACATATCAAGGCACCCTGTTCTGGCATTGCCGCTTGACCCTTTTCTTTTCTCTCCTCGGGCAAGTAGGGTGTATGCACTGGGGATGTATGCACGCCAAAACCTGCTTGTCCGAGCTCTCCTCTTCCTCTTGCTCCCCTCCGCTCTCTCTCGAGACTCAAGTTCTTCATTTAACTCAGGTACGTCGTCCCGTTTCACACAACCTGGCACGAGCAATTGTTGACTTTTTCCCTATTTGATTTTGCTCTCCACGGAAATTCAGAAGGCAAGATGGCCTCCTCTCTTGGAGCCTCCCTTGCTTAGCGGCACGCCTACATCGTAGTCGTGTCGTCGCCCGAGCCAGGGTAGGACGTGCGCTTCAACCACTTCGTGGGGGTGCGCGTCAAAGTGCTGTAGCATGAATGTTGGTACGCCTGGCAGCGTATCATGGGCTGTGCTGATTGTCGGCACCCACTACATGTCGGCAAAAGGAGCAACGAGGTCCGAGTCCATCGAGACGGCAACGTGTACCTTCCTTGGTATCGTGTCCGCCGGTTGGGCTTCCCTATCGTACCTTCGATCAAGCTTCCCCGACTGGCTCCTCTCACCTCGAATCGAATGTCTTGCCTGCGTGCCTACCTCGAAAGTCTGGTGGCGGCTTCGTACCCTCAAAGCAAATGTCATTGCTTGCACAAAGAAGGATTAGCGAAATGACCAGAACCTGTTCAACGGCTTCGAGGGACCTTTAAATCGCAGACAGGACTTTCAATCAAATCGACGCACATTTCCTTTTGCCGCGTTTTTCACCGGAGCATGTCGCCGTCGCTTCTCCTCTTCGGTGCGCCTCGCTTCCACCCCTCGATTGGCATGCACGTCTTTCGACAAAGCCGCTGGACACATTGAGCCTGGTACTGTAGATGCAGGAGAATCCCCATAGCACACTACGACATTGATGAGGGTGTGAATGTGAGTAGGTCAAGACCAAGCAACTCATCTGACTCCAGCGAAAACCTTTTTCCCGTTCTGGCACACCACGATGCGGTGCGCAAGCCTCTCACATGTGGGTTTCAGAGCAGAGCGGAGTGTATGCACAACGGAGGAAGGAGGATGAAAGCAGAAAACGGTGCTGATGTGGGAACATGGCGGCGATGCAAGTCTCATTCAAGTTCGACCGAGGTCGTGGGCGCCGTATCAGTGTCGTCGTGCCGCATCACGCGTTGCCTCGCTTGCTCCCGTTCCTCGCCAAAATTGATCGCTTCTGATCGTATCACCCTGGATTCTGGAGGCACCTCGCCTGTCTTTTTACCACGTCGATCCCTTGTTGACAATCCGGCAGAAAGTCAGTGTGGTCCCGTGAGATTTTTTTCTTGGTTCGCACACTGACGGAGTGCCGCTTTTTCAAGCCTCGCCTTTGACCCCATCGACGCTGCTTGCTGCTGCCTTCTGGTGCCTCATCCCATATAACGGCAACCCTGTTTCCATCGCGAGGAACTTCCTCTTCCCCATCTTCTAGATACCAACCAACCAACACCATCCCAATTGTTCACCCCCCCCCCTCTCCAACATCAAATTGCTCTTACGGATCATCCGTAGCCTTCTGACTCTGCCCAATCTATCGCCAAAGGCGATCTCACTATTTCCTACAGCTGCTATCTCTCCTCCGACCACGTAGCTGGCCCACCATGTTCTTCTAAACGGTCTCCCCGTCTAGACGCGCGCGATCTTTCCTCGTTCCAAAACGAAGAAAGGACAGACTCCCTAACCTCACCGTTACAGCCTCTCCCCCTTATCACCACTTACACATTGTTACCGAATCTCCCTACCGGGTTGATTTCTACGTTGTCTTCTTCGACCAACAACACCAACGTCAATCTGACAGCTCCCACCAAGCTGTCCTCTAACTCGCCATCATGGTTTCCCCCACTCTCCAGTGCAAGCCTCGCCTCGGCCAACAACAAGCAAGCAAACAGCCAGCCGTCCAACAGTCCCTCGAACAGTGTCAAAACACCCTTTTTGACAGGTGTCCACCACCCGACCAACGATAGTGCCTCTGCTACAAGCATTCCTCTTTTGAATTTCAACAACACCACCACAAATCACAGCACTCCTTCTGCTGCTGCTGCCGTCAAGCCCATCTCTCTGCGAGCTCACCTTGAAGCCGCCATCTCGAACCCTTCGTCCACGTCTGCGCAAGCGAACTTGCTGAAGCAACTTCAGACTACCTTGGCCGCCATCCGTCCTTCGTCCCATTCACACGCCGTCGCTACTCCTCCCTCTAGCACGGTTCACTCCACCACGCCTGCCCAACAGCATACCTTTGCTCGAGTGCCTAGCATCACCCCTGCTGCTGTCGCTTCTGCCTTAGCTGCTGCTGCCGCTGGACGTCGTCACACTCTGCCTTCTACCCCCGTTGCCAATTCTGCCGCCGCCATCACCACCTCCCACGTGACAAAGGCGCAGACCCAACGGTTAGAACAGATCCGATACTATCAACAGCTCATCGCCCAGCTCAACGCCACGATGCCTGCTTCTGCTGATAGCTCGGTCCCGACGCTGCCCTTCGAGGCGCGTCCCATGGACTCTGTCAAGACCGACGGCACCGGTTTCAACGCCGCTGCCTTCGGTCTCAACCCCATGTCTGCTGATGACCCTTCGTGGATCGGACACGGATTCCAGGCCCAGGCCGCCGACGACTTCCTCTCTTCACCAGAGTGGACCGACCCGTCGCCTGCGCTCACTGACTCGATGTCTTTCGAGATCGACTCGTGCGGCCCTAGCCCGCTGCTGCCCCTCGACAGCTACGAGGACGACCTCGGAGTGCCCGGCATTGCCGGTGCACCCCTGTTCCCCCCTCAGGATGGCTACGCCTCGTCCAACGTGAGCCCTCTCGAGCTCGCTCACCACGACTTTGGCGCCTCCACCGTCGGTGACTTCGGCGCCCCCGAGATGGGCTCCGACTTCACCCTCTTCCCCGAGACTAAGCCTGTCAGGCTTCCCATTGAGATGGCGTTCAGCAAGCTCAACAAGCCTGCCGCAGGCACCGGCGCCTCTGCCGAGGACCCCGCCATGACCTTGCTTCGTGCCCTGAGCAGTGCTGCGCTCTCCAACTCGTCGAGCACCGCCAGTGTCGCCGTCACCAACACTACCACGTCGATGGCCTCTTCGACCCCGGCCCTCACTGCCTCCCCGCTGGCCTTCACCTCGATGGCCGCTCCCCTAGCCCCTGCCCCTGCCTCAACGGCATCGGCTCCGGCACTCGCCCCTGCTCCCCCGAGCTCGGAGTCGAGCCGACCTGCTCTGGAGCGAAGGAGCTCGTCGATGTCGTCGTCGTCGTCTTCCACCAAGGCGGCTACCACCGACCCTCGAGGCACCAAGCGACGCGTGGACTCGATCGACCTCCTGCCTCTGGACGCTCCTATCCAGAAGCGAACCTACTACGCGGTCTCCGCTACCTCGCGACGAGACACTGCTCCCGCCGCCGAAGTGGACGAGTTTGCCGAGGAGGAGGCCGCCATCCGACGCGAGAAGGACCCTCGTGTGGCTAAGCGTCTCTCGAACACGCTGGCCGCCCGTCGATCTCGTCACCGAAAGGCGGAGGAGCTTCGTCTGCTCCACGAGAAGATCGAAGCGCTCTCCGGCGAGGTCGAGTCGTGGAAGCGACGATGCGAGCTTGCCGAGAAGGAGAGGGACGATGCACGAGCGCTACTGTCATAGAATCTTGACAGTGACGGCCTTCGTGTTGATCTTCCTCGTTTTATACCCTTCTTGTCTTGTTCTTGTATCAGTATTTCGCCTCGTCCACCCAAAAGGTTTCCTTTGCCTCACCGTTTGGTGTTTCGATCACTCGTCGTTGCCCCTTTCTGTTGACCAGAACCAGAACCAGAACCAGAACGTATCCTCCGTTGTGCTCCCGTATCTATGCTTCCGAGATTCTTCTTTATATGCTCCGAGTCCGTCCTGTCTCGTTCTTTGCCTACCCGAAAAAACCCAAAAAAAATAAATGTCAGTTTCAGGTTCGAGCCGTCTTCTCTTTCTTTGCTTGATTGATGAGCGGGGTTGGCGAGATTGTGTTGGTGACGAAAGTGATCGGAGGTTTGGTGTGAGTAGTTAGTGAGCGGTGCAGATGGTGTCAAGCGCATAACAGGCAAATTTGAGGTGAATGTTAGACCGTTCAGAATGGTCATTAGTCATCGGGGAAGGAAGTCGGTAGAAATCGTGTTCTGGCTATGATGCGCATTTTTCCGTAGTTGAAGGCAACGCCTCCACACAGAGTCATTTCGAAGAGAACAGAGACAACGCTTTATTTCTTCTAGTCTTACTTCCATCACGAAACAGATCTACTTGAGAAGAGATTAAGCATTCGATAGCAAAGATGTCGACGTTCTTCAGACAGAGCTTTGGGTTGCTTGTAAGTTTGATCCCCTGCTTCGGTCCGTAATTCTCGATTCTCACTGACATTGTCCTTGAACTGCCGTTACAGCGAACCACACCTGCACGAAGCACGCTTCTTTCTACCTACCCATCGCTCTCCCACCTTCGAACCACCAACGTCGCTCTCGCTCGTCTGCTTACCACTGAAGCACGTTCCAAGATCGACTCGGCCGTAAAATCAAACCCGCTCGTGGTCTTTATGAAGGGTACGCCAGATATGCCCATGTGCGGGTTCTCCCGTGCCGTCATCCAAGTCATGCAAGTTCAAGGCGTGAAACCCGACCTGCTCAAAACTTTCAACTGCCTCGAAGACCAGGAGCTGAGGGAAGGCATCAAGGAGTACTCGGACTGGCCCACCATTCCGCAGGTGTATGTCGATGGCGAGTTTGTCGGCGGTTGCGATATCGTCATCAACATGCATCAGAGTGGAGAGCTGGAGGAGTTGTTGGAGAAGAACGGCTTGTTGTTGCCGTTGAAGGAACAAGGTCAGAAGTAGACGTAGGTGATGGTCACGATGGAGAATGGAGCCATGCAGTATCGTTACGCAGATAAAAACGGTGCCACTTTGCGGTTCATTTGACTGCGAGCAGAGCAGTTTTGGTCTGTGGTTGTGTGACGGCTGAAGTGAGATGTTCCGAACGACGCCTCTTGGCTGCAGGGTCAACCTTTGCCCCGCTCTTGACTCATCACAGACGGTTGGTCAGACTCACATTCTCCGTCTCAAACCGTCCAGAAAGCAGATTGCAACAACATGAAGTTTGCATTCAACGACACCTGTCTGCCGGCTACATCTCGATTCCCGCCTGAGCCAACGCCACCGTCATCTCTGCATCCAGATAACTCGCCACCGCCACCCCCTCCGGCAGACCCTTCCTCCTCCTCGTCTTGACCACAAAGTCCTTCGCCAGCCCCAGCATCGGAGCCGGCTCCAACGGTCTCAACTTGACCGCAGCATCCGTCGGATTGCCAGGTACTATGCTCCAATGGCTGAAGAACATCATCGCAAACGCCTGACCCTGCGTCGCTATCCTCAGATCCGTCTCGAACCCATTCGCGTCGATCACGGGGATGTACGCTTGGACGGTGTACAGCGTGGAACCGGGTTTCGGAGTGTCTTTGACCACGTGTCCGCGTCGTTTGGCGAGCAGCGTGTAGACGGCTGCGATGCCAGAGGCAGGGGTTTGAACTTCGACTTCGTAGATGGGTTCCATCACTCGGGGGGTCGCGAGGAGGAGGGCGGCGTAGCAGGCTCGGCGTGCGGTGGGGATGATCTGACCTCCACCGCGGTGAATCGGTTCCGGGGCGAGAGTGGCATCGAGGATGCGGAACTTGATGTTGCGCATAGGCTCGTCCGCTAGCGGTCCCTCTCGACAACCCCACTGGAAGCCTTGCGTGATGCTCTCCTTGACCGCATAGAGAAGTTTCTTGTCGACTTCGGACGGAAGCGTGTCGTCGACCAAGACGTTGGCTCCGCGTTCATCCGGTCCGAAAGCCCACACGCTTCGACTCGCCAACAGATCCCATCCGTACTTCTCCTGCAGCACCTTGCCCAACTGCTTCGGCGGCATCTTGATATCCAACAGCCCGGACTCGATGTCCTCCGCAATCCCCTTCTCCAACGGCTCGCAGATGATCGTCAGCTTGTTCTTCTTGTTCGGCGTAGACGCGTAGCACTTCACCGCAGACGTCTCCACCACCGTCTCGCAGAACCGTACCACGGGATCGGAGACCCGAATCTCTATCTCGGAAAACAGAACGCGCAGATCGTGCAGCACGCAGTCGAGGTACAGCTCGCCAGTGCCCGCGATGACGTGCTCGCCCGACTCCTCCACCTTCGTCACCGCGAGCGGGTAGCTCTTGTTGATGCGACGAAGTCCCTCGAGCATCTTTGGCAGTTCGGATGGGTTCAGAGGTTCGACCGATACTTTGAGGATCGATTGCGTCATGTGTTCGATCGGAGCAAAGATGGAGAGGTCTTCGGTGGGCAGGGAGGCGTCGACGATGGTGCCGGTTTTGGTAAGTGATGCGTCGACTCCGGATAGGAGGACCCAGTTGCCGGCGGAGATGCCGTCGGTGGGCACGACGTAGCGTGTCTCGTTGATGCTGACGTCTTGAATCGTGGCGAGGACCATATCTTCTTCGTCGTCTTGCGAGAAGCCTTCGCCGAGAACTTTGACTTTCATCCCTGGTCGTGCAGTGCCGGACATGACTCGTCCAAATGCACGGAATTCTTGCGCATCGATGGTCTGGTACAGCTTGGTGACTTGCACCACGAGCGGTGCATCCGCGTCGCATGCTGCCATAGCTTGGTAGATGGCACCCTCTCGTGGGCCTGTGTAGCACTGTTCTAGTCTTTGGGCAGCAGCCTCCCTTGGCGAGGGGATGTTGTCCACGACCAAATCGACCAACCCTTGCGACGGACCAAAGAATTCGTTGAGCACAATCCTGAGCAGTGGTCGCACATCCACCTTGAACACCGCCGGCTTGAGTCGGATGCCCATCCCTGCCAATGTCTTCTTGAGCGAATCTGTATCCGACGACAGCACCGCCGAGTAGATCTTGTACAAGGGTTCCAAGATAAAGTGCACGAAGGACCTCTTGCTTTCTGCGTCCGGCGCCTTCCGCGAAAAGTTGCGAGACTCCGCATTGTAGTAGATGTTGCCCCACAATCGTTGAGCGAAAGCGTCGACATCGACGCCGGCGCCATACGTTTCCGCGTACAACTTGGCAAAGCTGCGCAGCGTGAAGCAGTAACCCATCTGCGTCGATGCGAAAGCTACGTTGCCGCGTTCAGGTCCGAGCTGAAGCGCGGGGTTGGAATCGAAGGAAGCAATGCAGTTGTTGACTTCTTGGATGGCGTGTCGAATCTTGTAGTACGCTTCGTTGGGTGGGAGCCGCAGTTCGAGGACAAGACGATCGAGCTTGTTGAGGATCAGGACGATGGGAAGCTGTTGACGGATGCAATGACGGATGATCTGGACGGTGTTGCACATGACGCCCTCGACCACGTCGACGACGAGTACGACTCCGTCCGCGAGACGGCACGCCGCTGCGACTTCGTCTTGGAAGTTGGTGTGCCCTGGTGTGTCGATGAGGTTCAAAAGGTATGATTTGCGTTTCGTTCCTTCCAGCACCAGCGAGAGCGGCGCGCTCTTGATCGAAATGCCTCTGTCTCGTTCCAGCAAATGCGAGTCTGTATAGCGCAGATGCGTGTCCATGTCTACTTCTGTCTTGTGCGTTTCGTACACGAGCGTATCCAGCAAACTCGTCTTTCCGTGATGCAGATGGCCCACCACCGCTACATTTCGCACCATGTCCGGGAATCCCATGAGGCTGGTCAAGAAGCTTCTGTCGAAGCGAGTCTCCGGCAAGCCTTGTTCTTGCACGGCGAAACGACGAATCTTGACGGGTTCTACGATAGGTACCGAGAGCGCTTGTGCGTCTTCCTCCTGCACCATGGTCTCGACATCTTCGCCGTACACCTCAGCGGCAGAGGGGTAATACTGCTTGTCCTCGTGCAAAACCACAGCATTCGACACCGACTCGTCTACGCGTATCAACGCGTGTTGCGGCGCGATGTTGCCATCCTCGTCAAGCTCCATATTGGCGAGACGCTCTTCGTCGTCCTGGTCATCGTCGTACCCTTCGAGGGGAGTAGGCTCTTCGAGGGGTGGCGGCGCTTGATGGTATTCTTGTGACTGCTCATCTTCTGATCCGAGATCTGAATCTGAAAGAGGGCCGATGTAGTTGCCGAACTCGTCGTAGTCGTCCATGATGGGCGAGTGTGGCACGCGTGGCCAAATCTGAAGCTGGTCGACAGTTGGATGCAGGGGAGCGAGTCACAGAGAGCGGGGGCGGCGGTACCTTGAGACGAATACGTGCTGAGAGCTCGCGAGTAGTTGCCGCTTGCTTGGGTATATAAGAGGTTGCAGATGATCTCGTCGTCGAACGGCAATCGGGATGGGGTTGGCTCGTGAAGAAGAAGGCAAAGCTGGTTCACATCTATAAAAATTCCCGAATGCCGAAGAGGGGAAAAATTGGCAAATCAGGAAGAACAACAGATAATCGAACATGATATCAGAATAATTTATCGACCGTCGCAGCGCAGTGACGTCTTGTGGAGATGCGGATCAGCCGATGTGAAAAGACCCTTCCTCGTCGGAGCAGCCGAGCTGCTGGGCTCTTCCACCAAATCACCGCGGCTTACAGTCACGAGTACATAGAAGCAATACGCTTCGCTCCCACTGTCATCAGTCTCATTCATCGAAGTCGGATCATCGGCTGCACCTTGCTTTGCTGTCCAGCTGGTCTGAGACGACTTCAGCCAACAGACGATTCACGATTCTCTTCCGCGATCGATTGATCTTAACCTTCGTCTCATACACTGCAAATGATCTCATCGTAACCTTATCCAATCCGTAAGGAATATCTCTCGCCAACACCAAGCAGCGAGCGCGATGCCGTCGAACTCTTCGTCGCAGCCATCGGCAGAGCCGAGCCGCAGCTCCCAATCCATCTTGCACCCCACGCCGGGCACCAGCAACGTACGCATTCAAACGCCCGAAGCTCCCGCCAGTCTCGACGATCTGCTCAAATCGCCCCACAATCCTGCTCTGCATCCGCAGCAACCGAGCTCTACGCTTCGGGGCGCTTCTCCAGAGGATCAGCGCAGACGGAACGGCTTCCATCTCTGGCGCACCGAATCGGAGGACGCTCGCAAGGTGCGGTTGCGTCAGGCGATGGAGGCGGCCGAAGCTCGCGCAAACGCTCCGCCGAGCCTCAAGCAGCGTGTCTCTTATGCTTTTGACGGAGTCGCCGACTGGATCTCATCGCGCGGTTTTTTGAGCCTCTACAGACGCCAACCCATTCAACTCGGCGATGATTCGGATGTGATTCCTTCGGACGATTTCGCCATCCGCGAACCGAAGCTCAGTCGGCTAGGCCTCGTCGTCCTCACGATCAGCCTCGCAGGCGCTCAGGTCGCGTGGACGCTTGAACTCGCCTACGGAACGCCATACCTGCTCTCGCTCGGTCTCAGCGAAGAAAGCACCAGCCTGGTCTGGCTGGCCGGTCCCCTCAGTGGCCTTATCGCACAGCCTGTCGTTGGCTCGCTCTCGGACCACTCGACCTCGTCCTTCCGTCGGCGCAAGTACATGATCGTCTCGGCTTCGCTGCTCACCATCTCCACTATCACCCTCGCCTACTCCGTCCCCATCTCGACCGCTCTCGTCGACCTGTTTGGCGGCGGACTTGCCGATTGGGATCCCCACCGTCACGAGCTCGTTCACTCCACCACGCAGATCATCTCGGTCGTCGCTTTTTGGATCCTCGATTTCGCCCTCAACGGCTTGCAAGCCTCTTCGCGAGCTCTCATCCTCGACACGGCACCTTCGGAGCAGCAGACCATCGCCAATGCGTGGCAGGGTAGGATGACGCACGCCGGAAACGTCGTCGGATACCTGTGCGGGTGGGTCGACCTCGCCAGCTGGAAAGGACTTCGATGGCTTGGTGGAGGCCAGTTCCGCAGGTTCGCGGTCATCTCGCTGCTAGCGATGGCATCGTGCGTCAGCGTCACCGTTCTCGGCATCTCAGAGTCGCCCGCGGATCACGGGTTCTCGCATTCGACGCAGAGGCAGTCGATGTGCAGCTCGGCGTGGAGCACGGCAAAGACGACGGTGGAGAATGTCTGGCATGCGATCCGAAGGCTGCCCAGGTCGGTGAGGAGGGTGTGTATGGTGCAGCTGTTTGCTTTTATGGGTTGGTTCCCGTTCCTGTTTTACAGTACGACGTATGTGGTGCAGATTGCGCAGTACGAGAGGAATCTGGGGAAGAGGCGGTCCCATGAGGATGATTTCTTGATGGGAGCGCTTTATGCGGAGGAGGGCGAAGGCGGACATGGAGGGTCCTCGGATAGGGATGCGGAGCGTGGATCGTTCGCCATGCTGATGTTTGCGATCGTGTCGCTCGTCGCTGCCGCGTTGCTGCCGTACCTTGCTTTGGCGGGAGAGAAACGAGGCGGGTCCGCATCGCGGTCAGAAGCTCCCTCCAGAGCCGACGAGGGGGAAGATACATCGACGCCGCCGCTGCAGCTCAATATTCCCGTCGAACACGAAGCGATTCCGCACGACCCAGAACACCTCGAAACCCTCTCCCGCACCAAACGCATCGCCCGAGGTCTCACCCAGGGCCTCACCCTGCGAACATTCTGGACTTTGGCATCGATCGCATTTGCCTCGCTCATGCTCATCGGTACAGCGTGGGCGTCTACGGTTGGTCAGGCGACGGTCGTCATCGCGCTCGTGGGTGTGCCGTGGAGCATCGCTGCATGGGCACCGTTTGCGATGGTGGGCGAGTTTGTGAGGGAAGCAGAGGACGGAGAGTCGCCGTTCGAGTTTGAAGGGGATCATTGGAGTCCTGCGAGGATAAGGGAGAGGGCGCAGGAAGAGGGGTGGGGGAGGAAGCAGAGGAGGGAGAGTTTGATGGGTCAAAATGGAGGGCAGGAGAGGGACGGCAGCCCGAGAGCTGGGGGCGGATTCAAGTATGTCGACGAGGTGGAGCCGAGGAGGGTGAGCGGATTGGGAGAGCAAGGTGCGAGGGAGAGGATCAGAGCGTCGCTGGTCAATTGTGCTCCCTTGCCTCATACGCTTTCGGGTAGCTCGGAAGATCTGGAATCGCTCGGCACCGCACCCGGAGCTGGTAGACGACAGAGTTCCTACTCCTCGCACACGCCCGAAGCGCAACCGACGGGTGGAGCAGGCACGATCTTGGGCATCCACAATCTGGCCATTGTAGCGCCGCAGTTTGTGGTGGCCATCATCGCCTCGTTGATCTTCAGCGGCGTACATTCGTCCCACAATGGGGTGCATCTGGTGTTAGGGTCCGGGGTGAAGGGTCTGGCAGGGGAGGGGGAGGTGAGGAATCCGGCAGAGGGGACGATTTGGGTGATGAGGTTTGGAGGTAGTATGGCGTTGATCGCGGCGCTGCTGACGAGGTATGTGCCTCTGACGTTGAGTGAAAGGTCGAGGCGGTATGGTCGAGCGGAGATGCAGAGAGGAGGGTATCGCGAGGGGGTGGAGGAAGATCACGAGGATTGATGTAACCAACTCTAATCGATGCAAGAACAAGTCAGCGATGAAGGAAGTCGTGCGAAGTCTAAGTCTGTGTTGCTAAGCTGTCTCACGAGCGGACGAAGAACGTGTGAGCCGAAGATGCATTGAATGAAATGTGTACAAATACAGATATGAATGCAAGTGTTGCGGGTAGCGATACAGAAACAGAGGGAGGGACGAATGCGACTAAAACCGAAGAGTGCGAACATATTTGATGCGAGTGACGAGAGAAGACGAACTCTAAACGAAAAGATTGGCGGTGGATGAGGGCTGTTCACTGTTCATCCTCGAACTGTGCCAAAACCACCTCTTCCTGCCAGCACTCGTCGTCATCCCGACAGCAATCGTTCTTGCAAACGAACACAAACGCCGTACTCCAAACCAACCCCGTCCTCGCATCAAACTTGACCTCTTCAGAACCATTCTTCTGCTTCGAACCTCCTTCAGAAGGTAGTCTTCGACCGAGCGCCTGTTCGATGGCTGCTTTTCGTTTGGTCTCCTCGTCACCATCCGAGGCGGAGGAGGTGTGAAGCGTATCAGGTGCGAGCGATCCGTCGGCAGATTGGATCTGCTCGGCACGGAGAAGGTTGATCAGGTTGGGCATGAGTTGCGCTTCGAACACCCTTTCACCTCCACACTGTTCGCAAGGGGGGACAGCACGTGAGCTGAAACTGCGCTCACCGGAAGCACCAGCTCCGGCGCTGAATTGACTCTTGGTGACGGTCACACCTTGACCAGGTTTTGCTGAACGCTCCTTGGGCCAGAGCAGATCGTAGATCTTTCCCTTTGCGTGAAATGCGATGGGTTGACCACCGAATTCGTATCGAACAGCCTGACGAGGTTCCACAGAAACGCGTTTGAGGAAGCGTTCGAAAGTGTCGTCGATTCCGTCGAGGAGCATCTTTTCGTAGCCTTCCTTGGCGAAGCCTTTCAGATCGGCATCGTCAGAGGCGTCGGTGGAGTTGAGCGCACCGGATGCAGAGGCCGACTTGAGCATGGCTGCTTCCTGCTTGGAGAGCTTCTTGGAGAGGGAAGAGGAGGACGGTTCGGGGACGGTGTTTAGGTACAGCGGTGGGTATCGGGTGCTGGATTCGACCCATGCCGACTCAGCGGTGGGTGTGGAGGCAGCGAGGTCAGATTTGAGGGCAAGCTCTTCGGCCAGCCTCTCGCTTTCGGATTCTTGTTCCGATTCAGAGTCATCGTCGTAGTCGTCGTCATCGGAAGCTTGTCGCTCGCTGTCGCCTTCCGTGGTCGGTTGAGCGACGGAAGGAGCAGCAGCAGGGGCGGCAAATGGATTATCGGAACTGCCACCGAAGAGCATGCCTCCCAAGCCAGCATTGGCACCGCCAGCAGGAGCCGAGAACGGGTTGACCTTGGCGCGCTCTTCCTGCTCCTGCTTTGCCTTGGCGGCTGCTGCCTCTCGCTCCTTCTTGGCCTGTTCACGAGCAAGGCGCTTTTCTTTCTGTTTTTCGAGCTTGGCAGCCCATCGACGGTTAAATTTGAGCGTACGGATTACGCGCAGTCTGTTCGGATGCCGATCAAAGGAAGCCAAAGTCAGCATCTATGATACGGAGAACATGCCGAGGAGAGCAGCCATCTCGGGAGCATCGTGGTGTATATCGACGTGATGACTTCTTGGAGGGCATCATTGTTAAAAAGCTCGTTTGTCAAAGTTGGAATCTTTTCAGAGCCCACGGGGCGTCAAGTGAAGAAATTGATACTAATCCTATGCCCTCCTAGCGCAAAACGTCGACCACCACAAGGACTGAGGAGATGTTTGGGAGAAGTTGAACACTTACGAAGAGACGTCGTTTCGCTGACAGGCTGGTCTAGCGCAGCCCCAAACCAAGAGGCATCGGTCGTAGGGGGATTCGACAAGGGGCGCAAAGATCTGCACGAGGAGCTGCATCTGCTGCTTGCACGAGTTGCATTCTGCGACCTTGTCGGTGGGGCTTGCCTTCATGGGAAGCCATGCGGCACGACCACCGATGCGCGAGACGAGCGGGTTGACCTCGTCGTCAGCTTCGAGCGGGCCGTCTGCAAGGCCGAGCTGGACATCGGAGGCGTCAAATTCGGAGCCAGAGTCGGAATCGTAGCCGTCGTCCGAGGGTGGCCGTGGCATCTGTTTGTGCAAAGCGAGACGCATCTTGGTCAGTTGACTTGTCCATTTGCTAGAGCAAGAGGGGCTTTCGAGAGAGCGGAATATCAGGAGTAGGTAGCCTAGGGTTATAAGCATAGAAATCCCCCAGGCGTCTCGCACCGAAGCGGTCAACGTGCCTCCCGTTAATTAGGGACTCTAAGACTCGTCATCTAGTTTTTGTCATCATATTGTGGAGGGAAGAGAGAGGCAGGCAGGCAGTCGAGCAGGGAGGCAAAGGAAGCGATGATATGCGTACGTACGATTTGGAATGTGAGTATGTGATCGAGTGTTCTGAAACCAAAGCGAGTCTCAGAACGGGTATATTGATGAAGGGATCGATGAGGAAGAGAAGCAAGAACGACTTGCAAGAAGAAACAAGTTTTCTGGCGGCTCTTGCAGACGACACTGCTCAAAAATCCACACAAAATCGAAAAAAGTGAAAAGGCCAAAAAGAAAGCTGCGGACAACGCTTTTTTCGATCGGATGACGAAGGAACAAGCGATCTGACATACCGTCAGACTCAGCTGGAAATCGATCACGATGGAACTCAGCGGCGAGTTTCGGTAGATGCTACTTCTACGACCAGCACCATGTGGCCCTCCGTCCCTTAGACCATTTTGCTCGAAGAGGCATGCAGCATGAAGATCGTCAGCATTCTCGCAATATGATTGTGTTCCGAAGCTGACTGTCTACATATGTGTGGGTTTGTGATTCAAGTGATGAATGAGAACAAGATCCGGTCCCAGAATAAAGCAGGGCGGCAGTACATCCAATCACAGGATGCAATTTCCGCAGAGAAGAATTTCAGGCACGGGCTAAATCTCTTGATAGGGCAGCTCTCTCACGCGTAAGGCGGCGGTTGGGCGAAAGGCAGTTGAAAATGCGTAGAATCTCCACATTCGAGTGTGCACGGAAGCGCAACCTTGGAACCACCGATCGATCCATACGACTCGACACCATCTCGAAACCTCATCGCAGACTTTGATCACCTATCCATCCTCACACGCAACGGCGCTGATTCCTCTGACACTCGATCTCCTTGCCTTATCGGGGCTACTCACGCACATCCTAGCAACACGCTCGCTGCTTGCATTCGGATCAAGATCTTCTTATCACTAGCACATCGAACCCCCCTCTCGCTTTAACTTGGATCCCTCTCGTTGGCTATACTCAAGATGTCGGGAGAAGGTGCGTTCATGCCCTGCTCGTAGTGCTGGACAGACATGATACGAAGGAATTGTACTGACGATCGATCTACTCACCTCGCTTTCTTCGCCAAACCTTCACGATGCTACCGCTGTGGACTTCCTGGACACCTCATCGACGTCCCTCACGCTACATTCGACCCGACAACGCCTCATCGCTGAACGTTCATGCGTCACTAATTCTGCTCTCGATCTACAGGTTGGCTCTTCCTCCTCTCGGTCCTGCTTTCGGCGGTCCTCCTGTTCACTATGGTCTTCTTCGTACGTAGCCTGCGCCCCCTGTCTCATCGTTCATCGGAAGAACTCCTTCAGCTGACTCTGCTCTGCCTTGGTCCGATCGCCATGCGATACATCGCCTCTGCAACTCGATTTCTGCATCAACGCACGGCCTCGCTCTGCTGCTTCACAACAGATCATCATGTTCTCCGATCTCGAATGCGACTACATCAACCCTATCGACCTCTGCAACAAGCTCAACCAGGTACGTTCCGCCCATATCTCTCTGTCTCTCTCCCTTGACCTTATCCTCTCTGACCCTCTTCTTCTTTCCCTTTCTTCTTCCGAAAACAGTTCATTCTTCCCGAGATGGCGGCGCACGCAGTGCTCACGCTCTTCTTCCTGCTAAGCGGTCAATGGATAGCGTTCCTTCTCAACGCTCCGCTCGTGGCGTTCAACGTCAACAAGGTCATGAACAAGAATCACACCTTGGACGCCACCGAAATCTTCCGGACGCTGAGCCAACATAAGAAGGTCTGCTTCATCAAGTTGGGCTTCTATCTGGTCAGCTTCTTCTACTACCTGTACAGGATGATCCTCGCTCTGATTGCCGATACCGAGTAGAACCCGGAAAAAGGAGCGTATGGAGAAAAAGGAAGCGCGAGCGAGGGTGGTAGGAAAGAGCGGGAGGGGGCGAAGAGCAAGACACTACACCTTATCTTGTCTATACCAAAGGCAAGACGCAACGCACAGGCGCCCCTGTATGAAGGGCTCTCCCTTCGTTGTGTCTTCGTCAGACTGTAGCTTTGTTGCACAAAACTCAACATGATCTTTCAACAACCGATTCCGTATAGCATGCTTCTTGTGCGCATGCGTCTGCACCAGCGGAATCCGCCTGTCACCTCGATATGTCGAGGATGGTTTGCGTCCATATGCCTTGATGACTCTGTCTTCCATCATGTTTTTCACTGCCGCTGGGCTGGTCGTTGCGAAGCGCGCAGATCTTTCAACCCGCTGTTCTTCTCGCTTCATATCGCTCACCCTTGGTCTTTGCGCTTGTGCAGCCGCCTCTCCGGCTGGCAAGGACCCTGGTGCAGGAAACGCAAGACGATGGACGAGCTCAACGCAAAGCTGATCAGCAGCGTCCAAAGTCACGACACGAAAAGGCTCGTGACACGATCATGCGAAGCGTATCTAGGAGTGTTGGATGTAAAAGTTGACGTATCCACGTCTGTCGACGGTGTGCGGTGAAGCGTTCAGGGGGCGCTACGCATGCCTGAGCGGCAATTGGATACGTCTCTTGACAGCAGCGTCGTCGGTTCTTCCTATCTTGTCGGACAGCCTGTGACACGCAGCAAAGGCAAAGTAGAGCAGTCGCGGTGAAGCGCGCCGGCAGCAACACGCGCAACGGCCATGTGCACGAGTTGTAGAAACGAGGAGGCGGGAAAGAATTGAATTTCCCAGGTTGGTGACAACCGCAATTTGAAATGAGGCTCGCCTGCTATTTTTGAATTGATTCTCTGCTTTTGCGCTCCCAAGATGCACCGCACCGACCAACGCGCTGATCAAGCCCGTCGAATAACAGGCTGCGCGCGACCTCTTTGGCGTTGCTGTTGTGTCCAAAACTGGGCAAGAAGCAAGAGAAGGTTCTGCCCGTGCTTTGCGGCCAAATTTGGGTCAGGTCACCTTCTCTGATCGCGTGCCTCGCTCAGCAGGTGTGCTGCGACTCGAAAAATGGCGACGGTCCGGCTTGCGTGCAAGTGGGTGAGTGAGTGAGTGATTGAGTGAGTGAGTGACCGACCAAGTGCCTATCTGCTGCATCGTGCTCGGAAACCCAAAAGACAAATGAAGCATCGACAGGCGCTGTTACTGCGTACTGCTTGCTGGTGGTGTTGGCAGGTGTGCGTGTCTGAGTGAGGGTCTCGAGTGTGTGTGTTTGAGCGAGTTTGGGTTTCAGGTCTTGAGTCGCGAAGTTGTCAAGTCTGTGTGTGGCTCTTTGCGATTGCGCTTCGGGCAGAGGGAGTGGCAGCTGGCCAAGTGTGCTTTTCGCAAGTTGCGCCGCTGTTGGTTTGGCTCATGTCGCGCTTCGCTCGATCCACCGCTATCGAGATCGTCAGGATCATCTTGACCTTCATCGTCATTGTCACAACCACCACCACCAACACCACCCTTCGTTCGTTGCTCTCCACCCTGAGCTGAACGATCCCGCCTTCTCTTCGCTCGCCACCTTCGCTTGGCCTGCATCCGATCGGTCTCACATTGCGCCAGCACGCCAAGCAACGATCGCTTACTTGGTTCCCACGCCAGACCGATTGCAGCTCGACCACACGAGTCCCACCGCGAGTTGTTTCGGCCGCTCACAGGCGATTCAAGCCGATCCGCACTGGTGCCGCCCATACGCATCCTCATACCTGTAGCCACTGGACGCGACCCAAACACGTCTCGCGCACGCTTCCATTCCGACAGCACCATCGGCGCATCTCCCGCCGTCGCCTGCATAACATCCGTGATTCTCGCCACAGCAGCACCCTGACTGAAGCAGGCAGCACGGTTCACTCCCTTTCGCGCATTGTAAATCGACCAACACGTCCGCTTCGCGCCGCCACTTCGGTAACGCGCTGCCATCGTTCTACAACTGCGTCTGTTTCACCGCTAAGCTAGTTAGCTGGCTACACTACAGCACCCGTATCGTCGGATCGTCCCGTTCCCTCCCTCTCTCCAGCCTCGGCCTCTCCCGTCTCCGTATCACCATCATACACACGTCATCATGAAGGGCCTCAAGAAAGCCATGGTATGTAGTCCACCATCTCAGCCCTTTGCGACCAGCGCAGGCGGTTCCGATCCGTAGCCGTGCTAATCTCACACCGAACAAGACCACTGACCCTTTTGCCTGATCCCAAATCCAACCCTATCTTGCGCCCTTCACCACCACGGATACACACTCTACATGCTCGACACTCACAGAACCTTTCGCGTTCAAAAACCACTGACACCAACGGCAACCGAAGCGGTTCAGCGGGCGGAGGAACTGTCCCAGCACCCCCACCCAAGGGCGGCTCTGTTCCTTCGAGTCCCGCCTACCAGGGCTCCCTCAAATCAAGCAAGAACGGACCCAGCTCCGCATCCAGCTCTTCCAATTCGCTCAACAGCTCCGCAGCCTCTGCCGCACCTTCACATGCACCTTACAACACCCCAAGCTACCCTGCTGGCCAAGGTACGCCCCAAACACGACTGATCCCTGCCGGCGTGAATCATCTGGCTGACAAGACGCCGCCTGCTCCTCCCGTTGTTGTCGTATCTTCAGAGATGCCTGTCGATCCCATACCCCATTCGGTAGCCACTGCCTCCCAGCCTTCTTCTTCCATCACCCCTTTCCACCACACAGGCTCCCCAGGTTCGCCACCTCCGCCTGGCGCCGCCATGGCCTCGCTCAGCAGCACCGGCATCGCACCTTCCGAGCTCGCCACACCTCCCAAGGCAGGTGCGCTTAATCGCTTGCGTCAGAGTCCCTCCAACGCGGGTCCAAAAGACACCATCCCCATCACCTCCAAGACACCACCACGCAAGCAGAGGAGTTCGCGGTTCCACGTCACAGAGAAGGTAGAGCTTGAGAAGCTACCTCAGTTCAACGGTACGTATACGTCGGCATCATTCTAGTGACTCCCAGTAAAGACCTTCGACGACTGACCACCCTTCCTCTGCGTTTCCTTCGCCCATCGTTAGAGGTAGTACCTGCCGATCGACCCGAGCTCTTTGTCCGTAAGCTGCGCCAGTGCTCGCTCGTCTTTGATTTCAACGACGCCAGTCAAGAGCTCGAGGGCAAGCAGATCAAGGCCGCCACACTACACGAGATGCTCGACTACATCACCACTAACCGCAAAGTCATCAACGATGAGATCTATCCCGAAGTCGTCGCCATGTTCTCTGCCAACCTCTTCCGCTCCATCCCGCCGCAGGTCAATCCCGTCGGCGATGCTTTCGACCCGGAGGAGGACGAACCGGTGCTCGAGCTCGCCTGGCCGCATCTCCAGATCGTCTACGAGTTCTTCCTCCGCTTCGTCGAGAGCCCGGACTTCAACACCAACATTGCCAAGAAGTTCATCGACCACCACTTTGTGTTGCAATTGCTCGAACTCTTCGACAGCGAGGATCCCCGCGAGCGCGATTTCCTGAAGACAACATTGCATCGCATCTACGGCAAGTTCCTCAACCTGCGAGCCTTCATCCGACGATCCATCAACAACGTCTTTTTCCAGTTCATCTACGAGACCGAGCGCCACAATGGCATCGCAGAGCTGCTCGAGATACTTGGATCCATCATCAACGGCTTTGCACTGCCGCTCAAGGAGGAACACAAGACATTCTTGACGCGTGTGCTCATCCCGCTGCATAAGGTCAAGAGCCTGGCGCTCTATCACCCGCAGCTCGCCTATTGCGTCGTGCAGTTCTTGGAAAAGGACAGCTCGTTGACCGAAGAGGTACTGCTCGGACTGTTGCGGTACTGGCCCAAGGTCAACTCGCCCAAGGAGGTCATGTTCCTCAACGAGGTCGAGGAGATCTTGGACGTCATCGAGCCGTCCGAGTTTGTCAAGATCGAGGTGCCCCTCTTCCAGCAGCTCCAACGGTGCATCAACAGCCAGCACTTCCAGGTGGCCGAGCGCGCGCTCTACTTTTGGAACAACGAGTACATCGTCAATCTCATTGGCGACAATGTGCAAGTCATCCTGCCCATCGTGTTTTCATCGCTCTACCAGAACTCCAAGGCGCATTGGAATCGTACCATCCACGGCCTCGTCTACAACGCGCTCAAGCTCTTTATGGAGATCAACCCGGCGCTTTTCGAGATGTGCACCAACGAGTACAAACAGCAGCGCCAGATGGAGAAGCAGAAGCTCGTCGACAGGGAAGAGGCGTGGAAGAAGCTTCGCGACACTGCTATCAAGAACAGCAAAGCGATCGGCGTCGAGATGCCCGCTTCGCTCAAAGAGGAGCAGGCAGCGCCAGCGGGCAGCGTCAACCCGTACGACCTCGACGCGTTCGACTCGGCTGCTGACTTGACGGCTGGCGCCGATAGCTTGTTTGAGCAGATGGGCCAAGGCATCAACGGCGAAGTCTCGACGACGGATTTTGACGATGTGGAAGCCAACCGCGTTGCACAAGAGACCGCGCAAGCGCAACAAGCCGATCCTGCGGGTGAGGACAGCGTGGACGATATGGTACGTTGATCTTTTCCCTTGACAGCATCCACAGCACAGCAATTTCAATGTTCGCATCTGCTCCAGCGTCCGAGCCGCAAAGAAAGTTTCAGAGTCTGACGTTGAATTTTGTGCCTCCCATCCTGAACAGAAAGAGTTCCCGGAAACCGCTCGACAGCAGGTCAACAAGCAAGAGTCACCGCATGTGCGACGCAAGAGCGTAATACCGATGGATCCGACGGTGCTGGCAGAGCTTGCCGGGCACAAGAGCTTGGATGGGTGAGTTTTGGCGGTGATTCGATGGGAAGGAAAGGTGGGGATGCATGTGACTGACGAGCTGAGCTTTTTTGGTTCTACAGAGTGGATCTTCGACAGCCATCGAGTGATGCGTAGACTGCAGGGTCAGACTAGATGTCATGTGGGGTTGTTCGGCGTTGTCCCACCTGCGATCGCACTGGTACCGACAGTGTACGCGAGGCGTGCCGCTCCGTCACAGTCATCGCCGTTCATACTTTTCGACCTTTTCCGGTCCCTTGCTCTACGTTTCTCTACTTTTATCTTCTTCAACGATGTGGTGTTTTTTTTTGGCATTCAAAGTATTTTCCCTTCAATGATTCGACGAGGTTTGATGATGGTTGTGAGACATTGTGGGTAGGGGTGAGATGAAGTGGGCGAGCTGACGGGTGTGGGGAGTTCATTTCGACCGACGGCGGAGGATGAGCTGGCGTTGTCGCGGCCAGAACATCTTGACTCGGAGACCTTTCCTTCTTTCGCTTCTACCATCTCGACCAAGCAGCACATCATCACGCATCTCAACCATCTTCAAGTCGTGAAAAACACATGAATCGCAAAATGACCATGCCCGCCATCTCGATCCTCTTCAATCTACTCATCGTTGTTCTTCTTCTCAACCCTGTTCAAGGCAAAACCCAACGCGTGGGTGACGAATGTAACTATTCGAAGAATTGTCAATCTACCGCCAATGGTGTAGGACCCGCTTGGGCTGGTGGTCGAATCACCTGCGCCGTAGAGCAAAACGGTTACCCCGAAAAGTGTGGTTCTGGCGATTCCAACCGTGGTGACTTCTACGGGTAAGTTTTCGCTCCATCCTTTCCACTTTCCCCCGGAGGAATTGAAACCTGATCTAGTCTGTTTTGCCAAAAACGTTAGAACGTGTAAAGCAGTCGGAACCCTCTCAGCTACAGAATACGGCTGCGAATGCGGCGTCCACAAGGGAGACTGTCCCCAAACAAGCCCATTTAGCAGAATCTTTTGGCCTCAAAATTGGTTGAGCGACGCTTGGAACCAGGTCTCCCACTGATCACTCGCCACTCATAGAAGATCGCTGCTTGCCCTCTCACCCGCGAACACCCCTCGCAACTCCTCCTTGAACCATCATCCGTCACACCTCCGTCTCGAAGCGTGCGCGTGAAGAACAGTGCGAATTGCATGTGCGTGAATATAGACTGTGTTAGAACCCTCAACCAGACAATAAGATAGACCACTCGACGACATTCACCGCGACCGCCCAATGCAGCGATTCCATCCCAACCAAAGAATCCACACCATAGGGTTAGGGTTAGGCATTTATCTCCAACACCCAACCCTTCACCCGGGCCTTGACTTGTTCGCTACCCTCGACGCCGGCGCCAATGGCATCGCCCTGATCGCCGGCGCTGCATTGGTCTCCCGAAGGAATCCGCGATCCAACGTGATCCTCTTCGACACGGACGCTGTTGCTGCTGCTGCCGTCGTCGCCGCTCCATTGCCTTTGGGCGACACACGTCCAACCCGACCAGTGCCTCCAGCTGTCCTGGACGACGCCGGTGAAGCACGGCCCCGTGCGCTCGCGGGCGACCGTGTTTGTTGCGGCTCCTCGTACGTGTATTGACCCAGATTCGCCGCCGCGATGACCGCGCTCTTTCGAGGAGCTGCTGTGCGTTCCTGTCTCGATTGTGCGCGCTCCGATGTTGCAGGCGACGGGACTTGCGCTGCGTCCAGACGTGAGCTAGAGCCGTTCTCTACAAAACCCCTCCACCCTGGCCCTCTCGTCGCTGCAATGTGATCCGGCTGGAACTCAGCCTGTTGCTGCCTCAGGTACTTCTGGCAAACCTCGACGTAGCGCAACCCGTACTTCTTCAGCCAGACGTCGTAGTCGCCTCCTCCTGAACCGTTCCTCAAGGCCGCAGCACTCGACGGCGCAATGACGGAGATCTCTTGCAGCTTTTCGTCGGGGATCAGCCAGCCTCGTGATTGCTTCTCCTGCCGTGCCAGCTTGGCGTTGAGCCTCCTAAGCTCCCGGTAGCACCCTTGATTGGCGTCGGTGGAGCGAGGATCGATCTCGAAGCCATCATCGCTTCTGTAGCCGCTGCTCGCTCGCCCATTCGCTGCACTCAGAGGAGCGTCGTCATCCGTGTCGGCGTCGAGATCGAAATCCTCCTCAAAGAACTCGTCTGGAATGAACTGATCGTCCTGTATGCCGCCATGGTGGGGTGGCGCTGCCTGTTCTCGCCGTGTTTCTGCACGTCGATTGCCTCGAGCCTCCTGCGGACTCAAGCTGACGTGCGAGATGTCGTGCGCGTCTTCGTCGTATTCGGCAAAATCGGCGTCTCTGGCTTGCCTCGGCTGCTTGCGAGCGTTCGGTGCGCGCGCATTGGTTGACGACGACGCTGCCGTCGACGACTTTGCAACGAATTGCATGGTGACGGCTCGCTGCCCATTCAACACGTCGTTGGCTGCAGGACCGATCATCAGGTACGCAGTATTGAAGCCAGCTTTGTTCATCACGTCTTTCATTTTGAAGACTCGGTCAGAGCAGAGATGCTCGAACAGTCTGTGGATGTCGGGTTTCGTCAGCTCCGAGCCGGCACCGTGCATCTCGAGCTTGTCGTGACCTGCATCGCGGATCTTCTTGGTACGACTGCCGTAGAAGACGTCGACGCAGTGCGGAAGCGTCCATCTGCCTTCGCCAATCTCGATGGCCTTGACGAGCTTGACCGCCTTGATGGCAAGCTGCGAGACGTCTTCGACGCTGATAGAGCCAGATTGGCGGCAGCAGTTGTCGCACGTGCTACGACATTGAGCCGGAGTGAAGTCAACCTCGCCAAAGTATCGCAATACCTGCACTCGCCTGCATTCGATCTCGTTCTCGCAGAATCGTTGCATCTCTTTCAGAGAGTCGATACTGCGATCGATGGCTTCTTGAGATTTCTCCTCGCTGGCCATCATGTTCTCCATCTTACGGACATCGGCCCAGGAGTAGTACAGGATGCAGACCGAGTCGAGCCCATCGCGTCCGGCGCGACCCGTCTCCTGATAATAGCCTTCGAGCGATTTCGGCAGCGAATGGTGGATGACGAACCGGACGTCCGGCTTATCTATGCCCATGCCAAAGGCGATGGTGGCCACGATCACTTTGTACTCGCCATTCTTCCACTTCTGCTGGACGATTGAACGGTCGTCCTTGTGTAGCCTGGCGTGGTAGTGGTGCGCCGAGATGCCTTGCTTTAGCAGATCCGCGGCGACATTCTCGCAGGTCTCGCGACTGAAGCAGTAGACGATGCCGCACTCATCCCTGTGCGAGGTAAGGATGAAGCTTGAGATCTCGTCGATCAGCTTGCTCTTCGGCTTCTTACGCACTTGGTATTCGAGATTGGGGCGGTTGAAGCTCGACGAGAGCTGCAGAACGTTGCGCATCTTGAGACAAGACTTGACGTCCTTGATGACGCGAGCGTTGGCGGTGGCGGTGAGCGCCATGATGGGCACCTGCGGATACTTGTCTCGCAGGACGCCGAGCTCGGTGTAGTGCGGTCGAAAGTCGTGACCCCACTGACTTACGCAATGCGCTTCGTCGACCACAAAGCGGGCCAATCGCTTTTGCGAATGGAGATGGTCCAGAAGCTCCATCGCTTTGTCGGATTGGCGAATGAATTCCGGGGTCACGTAGAGCAGCCTCAGGAGCCCCTTGGTATCCCTAGCTGTGTCAAAGGCAATTCGGCGGTCGCTGAGGGGCATGTCACCGGTGAGCTTAACGGCGGGCAGGTTCTTGTCAACAAGATCCGACACCTGATCCTCGATGAGGGAGAGGAGAGGCGAAATCACGATGGTGACACCGGTGGCTCTTTCCGTGTCGATGACGGCGGGTAGCTGGTAGCACAACGACTTGCCGCCTCCGGTCGGCATGAGCACAAAGACATCACGTCCGCGGAGCGCGCCGTTGATTGCTTCGAGCTGGTTCGGTCGGAAGCGCGTTAAGCCGAAGAACTTCCTGAGCGAGTAGCTGACGTTGCGGCTCCATGGGTATTTGGGTAGCATGCGCTCCTGATCTTTGGAAAGGGGCTTCTGCATGGATGGGCCGCAAAGCTTGAACTTCTCCTCGACCGGTAGATGTTCGACGTCATCCAGGTCATCGTCTCCCTCCTCGTCGCTGAGCTCGAATATCTGCGCATGAGGAGCAACTTGACTGGTCCTGCCCACGAAAGCATCGTGTGGTGCGATCGGTTCACGATCGTCGACGACGACGACGACGCTCTCGGCCAGAGACGCCGCGTGGTCAAGTTCAGGATGGGGCGGTGAGCTGTCGCCCAAGTCCGAAGGCCAGCTCCGGTCATCATCATTCGTCGCGAAGGCGCCACCAGGGTGCAGAAAGTGACTCGCATTCTGAGCCATATGTGGAGGAGACATGGCGTCAATGCGGGTTGATGTTGGAACTTGCTCGCAAGGCGTTGTTGGAGGACGTGCGGTTGGCTTCGTTGAGGCTGCAACGAGGTTGTCGCCCACGACCTGAAAGGAACTGGAAGTCGTGCGGGCTGCCAGGTCGTGTGAAGGCTCACCAGCGGTCTGTCTTGTTGGCGACGCTCTTGTCGAGGGGATGGCTCTGGCATGGTTGGAGGCGGATGCTGAGGCCTGAGACTGGCTGGGCGGCATGATGCCGGCTTCTCTCGCTTCGAGAGCTAACGCGACAGGCTTCAACTTTTCCAACATTTCAACTGCGCGTTCCCAAAGGTCGTAGAACTGCTTCCAAGCGTCGATGCCTTGCCATTCAAGCTGCTGCGGCTGAACCTGCGCTGCTCTACCCTGCAGCATCTTCATTTTCGCAAAATAGTCGATTTGAAGCTCCTCCGTACTATACTTGCCGTATGAGGAGTCGTCTTGCGAAGACGCTGCCTGAGACGAGCGTAACGGAACTTGCGGGCGTGATATCGAGCCGCTCGACCCTGGAAGCGGCTGCCGCAATGCGGACGACAGAGCGCCATTGGCGTTGGAGGTGACGGCGTTGGCTTGTTCTGGTCTGCGCCTCTTTTGGGCGGCGTGCGAGTCCTGGCCATCGATGATTGACCTTTTCGGCGATGGTCGATCATCTGTGGTATCGCCTTTGACATCTGCGAATAACGCGTTCTCCTCTTCGTCCAGATAGATCGTTTCAGATCTGCGATCGTCTGCCTCCCGCACGCGATAGGGGTAGCCCGGCTTACTGGTCGGTGGCGGCATGCTTGTCTGTTAGCTGTGCGGACGCAGGGTCACAAGCTTGCTGCGAGCTTAAGCGAGCTCACAGCTGGCAGACGGCGGGTTTTTGCGGCAACAGCACTTCAGATGGATCTGTCCGAGACGTGAGGGTGGAAAGCAGGCCGAGATGGTGGTGGCGTAGTGAGGAAGTCGATAAGTGCGTGTTGGGTTGCGATGGGTCGTAGCGTGTTTCGTGCGGATGGCTCGCACTGTTTATTGTGATCAGAGCGCGTGCAGATGGTGGCAAAGAAGCAAGAGCGGGTGATACACTCGAGCGAGGGTCTAATCGCTGAGTCGAATCGACGAGGATAAGCAAGGCCAGGTTGTGACCGAATATGCGGGGCGAGTGTGCTGAAAAGAATGCCGCGAAACAGTGGTAATGATTGTGGTGGTCCTAACGAAGCCTCAGCGGACGCCTGCGCGAAGTATAGCGTGATTCTGCTTCGGTGGATCTGCCCAACGTATGTGATGGAAGTGAAAACCAGACAAGCCGCTTTCATCATGAATCTGCTCAGTCTTGCACCCACACCGCTGCGCATGCGAGGGAGAAGGGTGCAGCCAACCGCAGCGTGCTGCCTCGAAAAATTATCTTTCGAGAAAAGGGAAAAGTGTTAATTGCGGTCTTTCAGCCACCGAGACTGACACCAGACGCGTTCCGCGTTTGCGCACTTTGAATTTCTTCCAAAAAGTCCCCCACTCACAAAAGGCGCTCAGCAGCCAGCAATCTCCTCAAGGCATTATCTTAAATATTAACACCACGCGCTGCTGCCCAAATTTCCTGTATAACCGTGTGGAGGCCTGGCGGAGCAGCTCACGTGACGCTTTAACGAGTCTGTGGGAAAGTGCGTCTGGAGGCCTCAAAATTTCCAGAGACTCTGCATCCAAAAGGAGAAGAAAAAAGTCGAGGTTGGCTCGGACCCTGTCGAGAGCCTTGCCCTCGTTCTTTCAGCAGACTCTTCTTTCCTCCTTACAATTCCGCTTCTAGTTCATTGAGACGAGTCAATACGGGACGGCGCGGCATCACATGGAGTCTTGATCGCAGACGACACTCAAGGGAGCGCCCTTCGTCCGAAGAACGGAAGACGAATCGTCAGCGAGGGACGGAACTCCGCCAAGCTGGACGAGCACCTCGCGAAGGGCGGATGGAGGCACCGCTTGTTGCATTGGTGCGGAGCGGTACTTCGCAACTGCACCAAGACGGCCCATTGACTCCTGATCTGCAGCACTCATTCTACATGTCGGGCGATTCCGACAATGATTCGGCTCATCCTACACCTTCGGACATGACCGTGCCCGCTCAGTCTGGCACAGATGGCGGCAGCAACAACAACAAGTTGGTCATTCGCGCCGAAGAGGAGGTGCGCAAGATCCATTACATCGATTCACCCACTCTTGACGGAACTTCAGCGAAGGCTACAGTGATGGAAGCTCCGAGTCAACTTGCTGCCACAACAAGGGCGTCCCCATTGCCTGCCGCATATGCCGCCGGTGGACCTCGCTCAGACAGCGCATCTACCACCGGAGCCGCTTTCTCAGCTTCGATAGCAGTCCCGGCAACCATCTCGACTCCAACCCCCGCGCACGCTCCCTCTTCCGCCGCATCCACACCCGCTTCGACGCTAGCTACACCGGGCGCAACACCGCAGCCGTACGCACGGAAGAGGGGCAGACCACGAAAGCATCCACTTCCCGATCCAAACGCACCGCCGAAGAGCAAGCGCAAACTCAGCCCTGCCGGTGTCGCTGCGGCTGCTGCCAGGCAGAAGGCAGCCGAGGTCGTGGCTGCCCGCTCTGCTGCTTCGACCGCTGGCTCGCTCCTCTCTGTCCCCGACCTAGGTCGTCTCATTCCACAGGGCTCTTCCTCCGACAACGCGCAGAGCTTCATCCAGAACAATCTCCGCCTTTTTGCCGACCTCTTTGTCGCTCTGCAGAAGCAGGCCACCACAGACAATTCGATACGGATTGACACCCATGACGCTGTCCCGATTCAGGAAGCTGCGAGAACAGATCCAGATCTGGACCACGACGGATCCTCCAGTATTCCTGTCGCAACTGTAGCAGCGGAGGATGAGGGATCAACGGTCGCTCTGACAACACCGAACGCAGGCACAAACCGCGGCATCGCAGCCGCAGAAGCAATCACATCGTCTTCAACAGGTCTCGCCGATCCTCTCGCTGGACCCAGCGATGCCATCCGCGACGAGATCAAGAAAAAGATGGTCGACGTCACCAAAGGTCGCGAAGCCATCCAAGCCGAGATGCTTCAGATGCGCGTCGATGCAAGCTTTTTCGAGCACGCGCAAAAGACGGTCGACGAACGCATCACGGTGCTACGTGATCGCATCGCCAAACGCACGGCTCTGCTTCAGAGAGAGCGCGAAGCAACACGACAGGCTAGGGAAGCCACCCGCAAAGCCAAGAAAGATCTCAAGGCAAGGGAGAGGGGCCTCCGCGAGAGCGAGAGGGAGGAGCGTCGGTTGGCACAGACCTTTGCGCAGCTCGAGCGCGAGATTGCCGCGGAAGAGGAGGAGCGACGTCGACTGGAAGAGGGCGAATCGAGCGACGACGAGGGCGGAGAGCAGATCGTCGCACGCCAGCCGTTGTATGGGATGGGTTCGACTTCGCTCGGCGCAAGTCCGTCGGAAGCAACGTCTGTCAGTGCGACAGCGACGCCTTCCATCGCCACTGATGCCGCAATGACTCCTGACCGAGCTGTCGGGTTCAGCGACGAGGAGCTCGCCAAGGTGCTCGGCATCTCGACCGGCGAGTTGGCGGGTTTCAGCCAGACGCTCGAGCTCACACCTGCTCTGTCGGGTTCGCCCTCGCATCCTCCGGTCGGCAGCAGCAGAGGCAATGACGATGTTGCTCCCTCGACGTTCGCATCGGCGATAGAACCGGCGGGAGATGCTTCCGGTTCGCACGCAGACGGCTTTGACGTTGCTGCGTTCCTCGAGATGGCTGGTTCGTTTGGCAGCAGTAGCACTGGTGACCCTGCAGCGACACAGCAGCACTAGCAGCAGGAAAAGATTCGGCTTGCATTCGACCCCCAAGACACAGGATATTCGACCGCGCACAAGCGGCGGCCACATCCTAACCACTCCCCAAACATAAGCTGATCCGGACTCGAAGCCTATCAAACGCATCTTGTACTTTTATACATTTAGTCAAAACAGAGTTCATCGTCATCGCCTTCACGCCTCGTTCCAAGGCCTTGATTCCGAGGTATAGTGTACATCTATCTTGAGAGCAAATGGCAGGTGTCTTGCACCGTCCGACAAACGGTAAGTCGTTTAGAAGTCGGTAGCTCTTCCACCGTAGGTCCACTCCTTTTCGTACTTCAGGGGGTCGTTTTTGGGGCCACCAATTTCGCCCGTGTTGGGGTTTGCTTCGCCCTCAAATTCTGCTTTGGGTTTGCGTCGGGCGTCTGGGTGCATCTCGCCCTTTTCAGGATCCGAACTTGAAAGGAACGGTGATGCATCTGGTGAAAGACAAGCGGAGTCAAGATGAGTTCGGTCAACGTTAGTGAAAAGGTCAACGGATGCGAGGAGATTGTGTGGCAACTAACTTTGCTTTTGCTTTACCAGCTGTTCAAACTCTTTCTGTTCCTGTGGTGGCAAAGGCGGTGGTCCTGGTCGATTGAACCCGCCCGAAAGTGTGGTGGGTGTGGTGGATAGTGCTCGACGTGATGAGGTGGTTACCGTACGCCTGAGGCTAGGTACTGCGGTGACTTTTGCGAATGACAGCATGTCGGTGCTAGACGAGAATGGTAGGGTATGGTGGTAAGAGGATATGAGAGGAGGATGAGGAGCGTTGCAGGGTTATACCTGACTCAGGGTCTCGGGTGAGAGGTGTGGAGGTGGCAAGCTCATAAAAAGTCCCGACCTGTTAGAGCTGCTTACGTGATCTGCTTTTAGCGGGAAAATTCGCGTCCAGACTCGACTCCTGACGAGCGGCTCGGACAGCTTCGGGCGGACACTCGGCGCAGTTGAGCAGATTCATACCAAACGTCTACACAGAGCAAAGCGCAACGGAGCTACTTATATCGAGACATCAGTCAATTTCGCATGTAAAACCCTAAATACAGATGGAGGTGAAACGGGAAACAACAAGACAAGAGAGCCAGGACCGGATCGCTAATGGAAGCGGGATATATAGATAGAATGGGACAAGTTCATAGCCTGAACCTGTTGTTTTGGCAGACATATGCGCTTAGACCCTGGAGGGGACACGAGCGGCGGTGTTCTGGGCGAGAGCGCCGACAGCGTCGCCCTGGATGTCCTGAGGAGCGAACGAGTCGCGCTCCTGGTACTTGGCCTCCTTGATGTCTTCCTGCGAGGATCGCTCCGACTCCTCGTCGCTCTGGAGCAGGCTGGTGTCGATGGCCTTGGGGTTGAAGGAGAAGGAGCCCTTGGGGATGAAGGTGGCGGCGATGATGATGACGGAGAGGATGGTGAAGTGGACACCACCGACGTACTTGAGGCAGTCGCGCGCGCGGTTGATGGCAGCGACACCCGAGAGACCACGTAGGCGACGGTCGACCCATCGACCGAGGAAGGTCGAGATGAGCGAGTACATGACAATGTAGGTGACGTACAGGAAGGCCATGACAGCACCGAGAGCCGAGACGTCCTTGTCCTTGGCCTCCATCCTGGCGAGAGTCGACTGGATGTAGGCAGCAAGCGAGACGTCACCAGCAGCCCAACCGTACGAGATGGGGATGAAGACGGCAGCGAGCTTCCAAGCCGAGCCAACGTCGCCACGAGTGTAGGGGAAGAAAGGCATGACCCAAACGAGGTTGAGCAGCAAGGCGTCGAGACGCAACCAAGGCATGGGGGTAGGAATGGCCTGGGTGAAGAGCATGACCGAGAGGGCACCGAGGAGCTCACCAAAGTTGGAACCACCGACGATGATCTGCGAGTAGGACGAGACACCGATGACGGCTCGGGCGTAGATGGGAGCGAGACCGTTCTCGAGGTATCGGTGACCGTACAGGGCGAAGGCGTAACCGGGAACGAGCCAGATGAATCGTCGGTCGGTGAAGATGAGGTAGCCTCCGTACCAGAAGGCCTTGCCGAAAGCGCGGACACCGTCGAGCATGGACATGAGGATACCACGCTTCTCGACCTCGACGCGGGCAAGACGAGACTCCTCCTCGTTGCGCTGGCTCTCACCGAGCGAAGAGATCCAGATCCAGACGCAGGCAGCGAGGGTGAACAAGACGGGCGAGAGGAAAGCAGAGTAGTTGTAGCCGAACTTGCCGATCAGCGAGGTCGAGGTGAAAGCACCAGTGGTACCGGCGACCTCGTACATGACGTGGACGAAAGCGTCCATCTTTCGCAGACGGTCGACGTCACCACCGACAATGTCACGGGGAATGACACGGCGGATCAACTCGACGGTGCCGTACGAAATACCAGAGATGACGTAGATGGGGAAGAGACCGTTGGGGCTCCAGCTACCGTACCTGGTCTTGTTGTTGGCGGTCTTGTACTTGAGCACACCGCCAGTGGCAGCGTCAGCGATGAGAGGAACAGTCGAGATGATGCCGAAGGTGAGGACGGCGACGGCGAGCACGGTACGGGTGGGGAAACGCTTGATCAAAGGGGCGACGATGATGGAACCAATGCACTGAGCGGCGTAGTTGGTACCGGTCAAGATGGCGATCTTTTCGAAACGACGAGCACCGAATCGCTCGTTAGCCTGGGTGATGAAGGAGCCGTTGAAGTACTCAAGTGCGAACTTGTAGCACATGATACCCAGAACATAGATGCCGATGTTGCGGCGCTGCTCGGGCGTGAAGGCGCCCCAGAGCTGGAGACCCATCTTGACGAAGAGTCGTGTGTGTGTGGGGGGGAGGACGAGAAGGTGGGACGTACGTTGCCTGGCTGGGAGAGGCAAGGAATTATCGATAGGAACGGGAGTGTTGAGGGTGGTTGGAGGTTGGGGTGAGGGTGGAAGGATATGGTCTTCCTGCCGTGATCTTATAGGATTCAGGACTTGTCGCTGCGTCTTACACCTTGCCACATAGTGCTTCTTCGGCTGCGGTGTGCCTGCATCTACGCCTGACCAGTTCTGTCTTTGGGAAGATACACCGATATGGGAGGCAGGCACCTTCCGTACAGAGCTTACAGGGCAGGTCATCCAAGCGGCGGAGAAACAGACCATTGCCCGCGAAATTTCAAATACGGCGTCAGACAAGGCCACGTTCTATCCTTGCTGCAGCACAAAGCAGAACGGTAGCCACATGAGCGGACGGGTATCGCTTGTGATGCGAAGACTCCTGCAGTATTGCTGCATAGAGCATGGCGCAGTAATTCACGTCAAGACTTCCACAATATGCCAGTCTGCTTGGAGCGGACGAGCGGAGGCGTGGCGGAAGATTTCGAATCAACTGTTCTGCGAAGTTTTTGCACAAGAAGATCAGCTCTGTGCTCCCTGACAGGTGGAACACGGTTCCAGAGCTGATGAGAGGTGCCTCAAGAAGAAACCTACGGACCTGTGCGTTTTGGCGCACGTTGATGGCGACGGCTGGCCGGAGATCGGCGGGTGAATTTCTTGGCGCCAAAAATGGACATGGAAAGGACACGAGCGCCATGGAAAAGCACGAACATCCGCTGCCAGTCTTGACGAATTCTCAGATGGCAAGTCGTCTTCGAGAACGTGCGCACGTCGCATGCGAAAGCGAGATGCCTAATAGAATAGAGCATACGATACGAAGTCTGGAGTGGCGGGGAAAGGAGAGGGCCACATCTGGGTGTGTTTCTGGGTCTGTTGGCATCGAAGCTGTTGGTTTGGTTCGGACTTGTCATATTCAGCTCTTCCTGTTCGTAAAGACGCGGGACCATCCCGTACACCGTATATCTCGGCACCATTGCCCGACTCACCTTTGCGGGTCTGCGGTGCTATCCTACTATCTTCTATCATGAGAAGATATCTGAAAAGGTCGGGCGACTCTGTTGATCGAATCGAGCGCGTTCCAAGCTCCGCCGTTCCGAACGCTCGTGTGATGCAGAGACAAGCGATGTACTGGGGCGCAGCTTCCTTTGTGTACACTTCGACATCCCATGACCTTGATCAGAACTCATGAAGCAAGCCAGCATGATCGGCTATGTTTGAACCGCTCGTCGTCGACATTCACAGATGGTGAACAAGTCGAGCTGGTAAATGCCAAGACAGTGCGTCGTTAGAATTTTTCCCCTCGTCGGCGAACGTGACCGTCTGCCACCTTCGATCGGTACTATGACTGGCTTCAGCTAGGGCAATTACGTTACGGTGATGCCATGGCTTGCCATATCGGCGCAGACATAGGCGGCCGCTGCCGCCTCTGATGACAGAAGCCGTCGGTCAAGCAACCGCTATACACAGGCTCTCGAACCAAACTATGGTTCAGGTCGTCCAGGGTACGTGCGCACGGAAGGGGTACCACCGACCGGGGGACCACAGTTGACAGGTCTTGGCAGAGTGAGCGGGTGAAGAACGTGTACACGTACGACCTCGGCACTCTACGCGGTTGTCGTCGAAGCGGTAGGAACTCTCAAAGGCAAGCTTCGGGAGATGGTCGTACGGCAGTGGAGAGCGCACTTGGTGCTTTCATTTGCGATGGGAGAATGCTGCTGGAAAATGCAGTAGCTTGAGCTGTCAACCAGTGCAGGATCGCAAATTTATCCCGTGGATGGCAGGGTACCCCGTCTCCGTCCTGGGTGCGGTTCAGGCAGGCAATTTCAATTTCATGTCGAGCAAGCTTGTCCTGTACAGTGAAGCGCAAATTAGGCACTCCTAGGTGCTGCAAACATAGACGACGTCTGATTGTGGTCGAAGCGGACGACCAAGATGGTGTCGAGCAAGCATGGGTCGTCTGTCCACGTTGGCTTCTTGGCTTCTTGGCATTGATCGTTCGAGTCGCGTGGGTCGTTGAACAAGGCGGGGCATGAATCTTGCGCGTCGCCAAGATTTTCGCAGTTCTTGGCATTTCCGCAAATCGAAATCGAAAGCGAAACCAAACGGTCTTTGGAAACTGCAGCAGATGGCACTTGACCAACCGTCCTTTCGTCCGAGAGTCCCGCCGCCAGTTTCTCGTCGACGCTAAGTTTCAGTCCTCCTTTGATGATATTCGCGACGTCAAGCAGCCGGGATGTGGGGCTTCGGATACCTAATCAGATCGCTTCGACCTACACTTACCAAGCTAAGAGAGTCCAGACTTTCATTCGGTGTTCGGACTCCATAGTCCGGGGATATTGTGTGGCGACCGAAGCAGCGGAGGTGGGCAAGGCAGAATGTCGACGATGTTGGGAGCTTGGAGTAGCTCGAGGCGCCAAAATTCATGCCAAAAAGGGATGGAAAAAAAGAGAACTGCAGCACCTAGGATTCCCGCGTGGTCCCCCACCGCAGTACTGACTAGGCGGTAAGTTGCTTAACTTCGCAGATCGGACGGGATGCGGTGTTTTCAACTTCCTGTGGCCGCAGATGTTAAATGGAAGAGATGTGCATAATATATACCTCATTGACATTCACCTCATTGATCGTAAACCTTCCCATCTGGCTGAACGCACTTCGCTGTGCCCGATCGTGTTGATGCTGACCGGAAGACAGAGCTGGAGGTACGCTGCAATCGAACTAGTGCCATGATAGGAGATTGAGCGAGCCGATCTGATGGCGTCGCCACACACGAATCGAGGATGTGGTATTGCGTATGGCATTGCATTCATTGGGGTATAGTCGAGTCTCTTCGCAGAAGACGGATGGGCAATGACGGAAGAAGCCAAAAGCGAGGCTCACAACGGCATCGCCCGCAGGCGCTTGACGAGCTTGGCTTGCTCGGTGGCCGCTGTAGCTTGCTCCAAGATCGACTGTGTGCGAGATGACCGGAGACACGACGGAACTAGTCAGCTTCAAGTCTGTCCGATCCAGGAGCCTGAACAGAATCTTCATACCACTTACCACTTGCAGACTGGTGATGTCGACGACAGAGTGCTTGAGCGTGACCGCTACCTCGGCTTTTCTCTTGAGATCGATACTGATGGGCTTGCTCTGCTCGCTCAGCTCCAGAGCATGTGCTTTCTCGGCTGCTCGGCGGTGCTCCTCCTTCTTAGCCTCCAAAGCTCGAATGACGGCGGACCGCTTCTCCATCGCCTCGGCTCTGCGGGCCGGCAGCGCTTTGCGAAACGCGATCACCTCTGTCGTGAGAGTATTTGCCTGATCATTGAGCACCTGCAGCCGTCTCGAGAGGTCCTCGTCGAAAGGCTCGACACCTTTGTCGTGATGAAAGGACATGCATGAAAACTCGATTCACGTCAGCTACCATTGCTGCAAGCAAACACGAATGTGATGAGATCCACTCACCTTTGCTGTGCCGCGCGAACTCGCTTGGAGACATGCCGTTATACAGCAGATTGCGCTCGATCTTGGCCTTGGTGGCTCCCGTCAACTGTACGTTGTCAAGCATAGCGGGAAGAAAGAATCGCTTCGTGTTCTGGTCAGAATACCTCGATGCGTCGTGTGGGCCTCAGTCTGCTACACTTACCCTCGTGAGCATCTTGTCAACGACGGCTCTAAGCGCCTTGTCGCGCTCCAATTCGCTTCCAAACTCCATCTGCGCCACCTTGTGGGCGTGCTGATCAACGACGCGAAGTACATGGTCGAGATCCGCTGGGCGGTCCAGGTTCAAGCGCGGAAAGTGACCCGACATTGTGTGCGCAAGCAGATCCGTGATTGTAGACAGGCTGCGGACGCCAGAATCGGTAGAGCCGACGAGGATTGCTGCGGTGGGGCGAGATCGCTTCAAATGCGTGGGAACTGCGTTGAGATATGCGTGTGACGATGCTTTCGTGATGTCACAGAACTATACGGAGCTGCAGCGAGAGTCGACTGATGGTGGTCGGCTCAACAGTATCGGCACTGCCGAAATGTCGAAATCAACACCAAAACTCGTCTCGACAACAGCGCGTTGCATTTTCGGCTAAGCCGCCGGCAGTTGCTTCTTGCGTGTGTGTTGCGCAACACAAGAAACACGCATCTCAGCCTCAGCTCGCCCTCACGCGTCTCATTTTTCGAAGAATCCTCCACTCTCGCCTCTTCATGAACGCAGCAAGCGAGCTTCTTTTCCGCTAAAACTCAAAAGAATGTCTCAGGCGGATATCCGCTTCAATCTTCCTGATCGACTCGCTTCTTCCGCTTTGACCAGTGTGTCCCCTCGTACCTGCACTCACACGTCCCGCATAATCGAAGTCACGCCGTTTCAAGGCTTCTCCTTCTCAACACCAACCCACCATCTTTGAAGCGAGGCATCGAGCGTCCGAATGCTCCGCTGCCCGACTGCTCTGCCAGCATGACCGACAACACGGCGCCTGCTCCGACGCACAAGCCGCGCCGGCTATTCACGCGACTCGCTCCCGCATTGGTCCATCTCGTCAATGATCGTTTCGACGAGGATCAGTACGATCAGGCCGTCGAGCTACTCGAGCAGCTGCGAGTTGAAGGTGTCAGGCCTCCACAGAGCTTGATCCAGAAGCTGTTGGCACTCAGTCTCTGTTCGCTAGCACCTGGTCAGATCGCCTCCAGCTCCAGATGGACCCTCGACCACCAGCTGCACGATATTGCAGCTCGACTCTCGACCCAGCACAAAGGCAGCAGGGGCGACAGCAATGTGATGAAAGCCGCCTCGGCCACCTCGGACAGACCCTCGGAGTCTGCTGTGCTCAAGGCTTCGTCGTTGCTCGTCAGGTACGCTCATCCCGGCGCCCGCACATGTGCAAAAGACACGAAGGGGAAATCTGCAGCTGAGCGCGAGGCCTCTTTGCTTGCTCGTCACGTACTCGAGTCGCTCCCTTCACAGAGGAAACCGCTGCAATCCTCGAAGTCAGTCTCTCCCGACACATCACGACGAAAGCGCCGCGGTTCTGAGCGACCCGACGACAGCGAACACGACGGATCTTTTGATGCCAGCCCCCTCGAGCAGTGGATTCGCGACCGACTTTATGAGTCATCGGATGTATGGGATCTGCTCAGTGGTCGACGATTCTCACACGTCGCGGAGGGCGAGGAGGCCTCTCTTGGTCGAGTCAGCGAGTTCTGGATGAACAACTCCGAGCGTAAACGGTATCAGAAGCAGTTGCAAGCTCGCGCATCAAGCGACCAACGCCTCGAAGACCGTCTCAAGGACATCCGATGGAAGAAGCTCAATGGTGCGCTCAACAGCGACTCATCAGACTTGGACAGCGACGACGCTACGGACGAGGAGAATCCAAACCTCAAGTTCCCTGTCGGTGCACTCAAACGGTCCGAAGAACCCAGCGGCAAACGCAAGGCCCCGCCTTCCCCGGGACAGCCCGTCAAGCGCCGTCCGCACACAAGCAAGTCGGAAGGCCCGTTCCCAAGGCAGGACGAGCAACATCCGACCATGGTCAAATTGACCGAGGGCGCCTGGCGTACACTCTCTGTTCTCCTATGCCTTTGGGACCTGGCATCACCTCAACCTACAGTCCCAAACATCGAAAGCAGCCCCTTGTCCGATAACGAGCCGCCTCTTTTGTGGCAATTCCCGCACAACCATCAACCGGGACGCAACGGTCGCTTGACTTCGAATATTCCACCCAGCGGCCATGCTACCGCTGAGATCGATAGGGCGTTGGACGTCGCATTCTCGTTCCCGGAAATCTTACCGGCTTACACGTCTGTCTCCTTGGCTGGATCTGCGGTGGCGAGCAACTTGTTCGACAAAGCCAGATCGAGCGAAACGCGCGGCGACGCTCGGCCCTTCTCGTCCGTACATGAAGCGGAGCTGCTGCACAGGCAAGAAGTGGGTGGTCAGAAGCAAGAGGGTCTGACAGCGGCTCGTGCCGACACTGCTGCATGGCTTCTTGTGTCCATGTACGATTTGGCCAAATTCGGCTATATCAGCGCCGCCGCACTGATCGAAGGCATGTCAGAGAGGATGTACGCGCTCCAGGCTAACGAGATGCAACACCTCGTCGTTCCACTACTCATCAAGGAGCCCTACCTGGTCGCTAGTGTGCTTGCTCGCTCTCTGACCGACACGACCCTGACGCGTCCCGATAAGAAGCGAACACCAGACCTCGTTCAATTCTGCTTTGACGGTCAAGGTACCGTGAGCATGGATGCGTCGTTGGCGTATGCGATGCCGCAGGAAAACTCATCAATCGACCTTCTGCGCAAGGCTATTCGACACCGGGACCGCGACGCAAGGGCTGTCCTGCACTTCTTATCGCTGAACAAGCTCGATCTTGACAATGCCGCTGATTCGACTTTGCCGTTGTCACTGCCCACCAGGTCAGAGAGTCGCAAGCAATCTGTAGTACGAAAGCAGAGTCGACGCCACATCAAGATCGAACCCGACCCGCGCAAGAAGGCGAAGATGACACTCAAGCTAGAGAGTTCCGCTGCTGCTGTCGCTGTGGTGACGGATGAGATGAAGAAGGGCGGTTTGGTGGCATTTGCGAGTGTGCGCACATTGCAGATGGAAGCGCGGGCCCGCATCGATCAGATCAAATTCTTCCTCGCACAGGCAATATTCTCGGGGCACGCAGCAAGTCTACGTCAAGATAACAAGCTGGAGGCTGCCAAGTCTACCAGGAATACGACGGCGGAACCTGCTCAGGCCTCGAAGCAACCGGACGTCGAGATTGCCGAAGCCAAGCGTGCATCCCAACATAAAAACCTACAACTGTTTCTGACACGGCTCTACAAGGCGCTCGAGCACGATGTAGGCGATTTCAGGACTTGTCTCGCGGCTATGAAGACACATCTCAGCAAGGACAGCGCAAATCGACGCCGGAAGAACCTGGCTGACCTGATCGAATCTACCAGCATCGACAGGGACGCCTCTGTGGCGCTGCCCTCATTTGACGTGATGGTGGAACGATGCCAAAAATGCGTGGCTGTCACGCAGGACCTGGCTCACACCGCACGAATGCTGCTCGAATCCACCAAGCTGATGTGACCTTGTCGCAGCTGGAGACGAGTGCGTGGGGGATCGTGATCCACGGTGCCTCTTTGGCCGGACGCAGAAAACTCGATCGTGAAGTCAGCAGTTGGAGACGCGAGTGGAGCCGAGGATGAAAGCACGGCAGGTTGCCGCAATTGCCGCACTTGACATCATAATGGCAGCACACCCGGCTCACGCGACCAGTGCCGCAACTTCTCTGCAGCATCATTTCTGGAAGCGATGCAATCACGGTGTGGATAATACAAAGCGGACAAGGAGCATAACAATCAATCTTTGCAAGCGAAAAGGAGGAGAACGAAACAAATACAAATGCTGAACGAGATATGCGACAAGATACAGGGGAGAAATAAGTGGACGGTCTGGTAGCGCTGTGGATTATGTGAACGGAGCAATCGTCACGCGATCGCCTAGTTGATGCGACCGAGCCTCCTTTCGACAGCGCCGACCATCTTGGCCCACGCTCTCAACGCCTGGTATCGCGCTGCAGGAGCCAAGTCACCGAAGGTCTGTCTCCACAGCTGCCTATTGTAAGCTCTATGCCTCGCCGAGTTGGCCTTGAGCCAGGCCGAGTAGAAGGTGGCCAACGAGTCAGAGTCGAGATCCAGCTCGCTGTCCTGCGTCGCTTGATTCACCTCTTGGACGGCCTTCGGAAGCGTTGCAACGGCCTTACTCGAACCCGTCCTCGAACGGAATTCTGAAAGGGCTTGAATGAATCTGGTGTTGTTGTCCTGCCAGAAGCGCTGGTTGAAGTTGTCTGCTCTTGCCATGCGCAACTTGTGAGCAAGTTCGGCTTCCTCGAGCTTGGACAGGAGACGTTCGAAGTAGAGCGAAGGTGTGCGGGCGTTGCGTGATGGTGACCACGAGTCGCCAGAGGTGGTGAACTCTTGCAGCGAGTACGGATGGGACATGGCGAGTGCCTGAGATGATGGGCTGCTGGAGGAGGATGAGGAAACCTCTTCGAATGCTGATCCGTATCGAACTGGGCGAAGGTTGCTGATGGGATCTGGTGGACCGACCATGTCTGCTCCGGGGCGTGATGCGAAGCGTGCAGATCGTCGCGGAGAGCGAGCTGCTGAGGATGAGGATGCTGATGTGGAAAAAGAGCGAGGAGTCGAACGTGTGGATGACACGGCAACGGCTCTTTGCAAAATCGGAGCTGCTCTGGCGAGCGTTAGCGTATTGAACATGTTGATGGAAGGCAGGAGCGATTTCGAGGTGGAAGGGAAGCTTGGGACGATCATGGCCACGCTGAGCTTTAAGAGAGCCGATTTCGACCTCAATTCCAAGATGACGGGCGTAAGGTGGAGTCAGTCTGGAATGGTGTGAGAGGCGTTTCGTGGAGATGGTGATCGTCTGACAAGGATGTAGGAGTGTATGGTGTGGTTTCGGCGATGGTACAAGTCAGAGAGAAGACTCTTTGAGGAGAATCTCAAAGGTCACAGGAAAAATCTAAAAAAAAAAAACAAGACGCCGTTCGCAGCGCCACAGAAACAGAACACGCGACCTGATTCCCGACGGGGAGGGAGAGAGAGAGGGAGGGCTAGACGAGTGTCACTCTGGAATTTCGCTTCAAGCGCAAATGCGGGGTCGGACGCGAGAAAGGCATGTCGGCACTTGACCGCTTGCCTTATTTTCCACTAGCAAAGAATGTTAGGTTGTCTACTGTCAATGATCGGAACCGAAGTTTCGCTCAGAGAGACGTAACGTTCGCGAAGAAAGTCTGATTTCAACCCAAACCAAGCCTGGCGCACTGTTTGGTCCAAGACCATCATCATCCTTACCGTCAAGCATTGCATTCGCACATTCGCACATTCTCACATCTACACACAGGCGTCATCGAAGCGTCTCTCTTGAAGAGTGTAACAGACCCGAGAAGTGACATCAGTGTACGCTGCAGCTTCATCGAGACCGTGACTTTGCATCTTTGATTCAAAACACAGACTGTCGACTCGTGTGGTCTGCTCGCGCTTCTCAGAGTGGTGTCTCTTTCTGTGCCGCCTCTGCATTCAAGTGAAGCGTCAGCCGAGTCGCCTTTCGTTCCGCAGACGAGTCCCCAATCTACATTCCGAGGTGCTGTACCCCCCACGATAGAGCGTTATACATCAAGATGGCGGGCCCACAAAGAGGTTCGCGTGTCGTTTTCGTCGGCAACATCCCATATGACATGTCCGAGGAGCAGCTCACCGACGTGTTTCGCGAGGTGGGCAAAGTCGTCGGCTTCCGTCTGGTAAACGATCGAGATACGGGAAAGTTTAAAGGATACGGCTTCTGCGAGTTCGAAGATCCCGAGACGGCTGCGTCGGCAGTGCGCAATCTCAACGAAGTCGAGGTGGGCGGTCGACCTCTACGAATCTCGTTCGCCGACATCGACCCGCTCATGGAAGGACGTTCGACACAACACGGACAATTCGACCAGGAGGACCTTCGCAGAAGAGCTGCAGCCGCAGGACGTGCGGGTCGACCAGGCACGTTCGGTCACGGTGGAACCACGAGAGGCGGTGGCAATGTAGGAGCAGGCGCAGGGTGGCAGCAGCGCGGTCCTTTCGATAATGGGTTCGGTCAAAGACAGCTCGGTGGAGGCCCTCCCGGTGCACAAGGCTACGCTGGTCCGGGAGGAGCTCAGATGGGTGGCGGTGCGCAAGGCGGATACGGCGCTCCCGGATCCATGGCTCCCGCAGGCGGTCCCTACACGCTTCCGCCCAACCTTCCCGCAGGCGTTCCCCTTCCCGCTGGTGTCGGTTCAACCGACGCCATCACACAGACGCTGGCCACGCTACCGCCGAATCAACTGCTCGACATCATGAGCCAAATGAAGTCGCTCGTAGCCACCTCGCCCGACCAAGCGCGTGCACTGCTCTCCGGACATCCACAGCTCGCCTATGCGCTTTTCCAGGCCATGCTGATGATGAACGTGGTGGACCCTGACATTCTGCAGCGCATCCTCGCTGCCTCCGGTGCTGTCCCTGGCGCCGCCCCAGCACCACCTGCGAGCGTTCCACCTCACATGCAAGCTCAACCAGGCGCTAACAATGGATCGGCAACGCCTCCCCAACACTACGGCAATCCCCCCGGCTCACGATACCCTCCTCAAGCTCGCCCACCTCCCGCACCATATGCGCAACCGGGCTATGGTGGTCAACCAGCCGCTGCTCCAGCCAACGACCCAGCAGCGGCACTTGCAGGTCAGAACTTGCCCGAAGAGCAGAAGGCGCTCCTCATGCAGGTCTTGCAGCTCACTCCCGATCAGATCAACGCGTTGCCTCCCGATCAAAAGGCCAGCATCTTGCAGCTCAAGGCTCAATTCGGCCAAGCTTGACGGATAGACACATCTCGGAACCAAGGCGGCAAACTCCGTCAAGAGGTGACCGACCTTCGGCGCCTGATATCCTCCACCCTGCTGTAACACTAGAAGCAAACCAATGCAGAAGATTGCCATCCGCCCTCCTCTCCTTTCGTCAGCCTACCAAAATCCAGTGCTAGCCGCAAGATGACGTTCTGTTGGGGCCCAAGAGACCGGAACAGCACCTCCGGATAGGGTCTCGACAAGCAACTCGATTGTCTCGGCACGTATCCGGAAAGTAAAGCGGATAGATAAGATGAGATCGTGACATGCAGAGAAGGTCTCTCCCACCGGAGAAGCCGATCTTGATCAGGCGGGTGAAATGCGACTCTGAGACAGCTTCGGTATGTGGCGTTGAGACCACCGTCTTTATTATAAATCACCTGGCTTTGAGATGTTGAACAAAGATTCGGATTGCATTCCGAACGGAAGTCTTCGGCAAGATACTGACCGCTTCCGATCGTTGCTCTTATCGTTACAGCACAATGCGCGACATGTCGGTCGAGCTATGAAGAGTTGATAAGTCTCGTTCACGAGTCGCAATCACGTGTGTATATTTGTTACATTCCAAGATGGTCAGACCAAGGGCAAAAAGAAAATCGAATGCGAGGATCGCATAGCAACGGCGTCGTCAGTGCGCATAAAGATAATTCTCCGGGATCGACAGGTCGCTTGCCGAGCCGACCTCACACCTGATGCGCTTGCACGCTCGTTACCGTTCGCTCGACCTTTGATCGCATCACCCACACGATAGTCAACGTTGAGCGCTTTGTCTGTTGTTAGACCACTTGCTCGCCCTTCAGCGGTCGTCGATGAAGAGGTCAAGCTGTGAGGTAAGTGGGGAGGCTAGCCGAGGAAGTCCAACTTCGGCGGAGTTGAGAGGCGTTTGGAAAAACGGCGGGGAGGTGAAACAAGACGAAGCACAGTCCATCCGCTTCCGATGATCGAGCCGCTGCAGGGAAAGGACCCTGGTTGCAATTTGCAATTCAGCTAGGCATCAGTGACACTGCACTGGAAACGGTATTCGATGTGTCCAGCACGACTCTCTCGAACCCAGATCGACCGACGTCTTTCAGCGGCGACCCGCATGCCTGAACATCAGAGTCTATTGTCCTCCAAGTCCATTGTTCTAACTGGCATGCTCGAGTTCACAAGAGTTGAGCGATGCGGCTTCCAACGCCAATGACGGAATGGTACCGATCATTTCGCACGTTTGCGGTCGGAACTCGATCCGAAGCAACATTGGCAGGTGGCGGCTCATCTTGACAGTAGCCACGTTGAATGCAATGCTGATCTGAGCTGCATTGCTCGCTACGTCGCAGACCGGGACGGCAGGTGTGCTGCATGCGAATCGTTATCGGTAGGGCCGGCTGTTGTTTGTCGCTACACAACGCGCACGCGCACACGGCTGCTCGTCAGCCACTTTACCAGTCAGCAAGGCAGATCCTTCGAACCAAAGTCAGCAACCACCAGATCGGCATGCGGTGACAGTGCATCTATTCATGATGACGACGACGGCAAACCTCGATTTGGCTTACACACAAACTTTGACAAACAAGAACCCCTTCCGACGTCGATCGCTTTCATCTGCAACGAGGCGGGCGCCAGTGCAGCAACACGAAAGGAGGGTCCAGTGAGCACCAACAGCAGCAACGGATTGAAAGTCCGGACATGATTTTTTCCTAAAATAAAAATCTGCAATGTCTGTCTGATGCGGGATCAGCCTCAACGATTTCTCGACGAGGTTTTGTCAGGTTTGTGTGGGTCACGATGCTCAAGTTGCTCGGCAAATCCGGAATGGATTCACACACGACCACTCTGCAACTCCCAGATCAATTTTTCGCTGTCCTCCTTCTCCGCAGTCGGTAATGGCTGATCTCCCAGTGCGTCTAGCTGCAGATCGCGGCTAGAACGCTGCAGCGCATATTCAGCCCTTGGGTGTGAGTCCTGTCACATGTTGGCCCTGACCGTCTCGAACCTCGCCTCGCTTGAGCAATCGTCACGACGATCCTCTCCTGATTATTATGGTTTGCTGTACTGCTGTGGGCCAACGAACGCTCACCAGCTCGCTCGCTCGCTTACTTGCTTGACTGCTCGTCAAGGGGTCTCCTTTTCGTTTCGTCTTCGAAATTCGCTACACCGTATTGCGCTTCCACTCCTTCTCCCTTTGCCGCCTTCAACGCTTCTGCTCGACGCCCATCACGATCCAACTCGATCATCGACATGCCACCATCCTCTATCAAGCTTCGCTCCCTATCCTAGCTCCCATTCGAGCTCGTCAATGTTTTGATCCTCTTCGACACTTGTGCTTTCTTCACCTCGGTCTCGACCCTTCCTTTCATCAGTTGCTCGGATCTTCTCGCTGGCACAACAGCGACACTCAGCGCCCTTCTCCGTGTCCAATACCTTTCGCAGCCACGTTCAAGGACTCCGGTCAAAACGGCTGCTACTATCGAGTTACGAACCAGCATCGTATTTTCGCTCGCCGGCTATCTTCCTGTAGATCCTCTTGCAAGCGTATCCCGTTCGTCATCGCGTCTATTCGCGACTTCGTCGTCGTCGCTCGCTTCGCCACGACGCTCCCCTCCAGACAACTTCCTCTTTGCGTAAAGCTGCCCTTTCCATCCGGATGAGTCTTTCAGCTTCGATCTCTTGCAGCTCTCACCAGCACCACTGAAGCCGGTCGCGCCGTCTTCGTAGACTGCTGACTCTGCTCTTGCCATCATGACTCCATCAAGCGCTCGGCTTTCCAAAATCGACTCATCGACGCCGCCGCCGGTACCAGACAAGAACCAGATCAGGCGTCCCAGCACGGCCAAATCGACTCGGACCCTCTCCAATTCCTCCATCCCTACCCTGGGAACGACCTATCTCGCAAGGCAGTCTTCTAACTCTTCGTCCAATGCCACGCCGATCCACAAGTCGCCTCTGCAGGCTCGCAGACCTCCCCGCTCCGGTATCTGCCCTTCTTCCTCGCGTCCCACCCTCCCTTATCCGGCTCTGGACCCATCACAGGATCACCATCGTAGCGACTCTGGCAGATCCACTGGCTCCTCGCGCTCCACCGCCACTACAGACAGCTTCTTTTTGCCACAGCATCCGCACGCATTTAACCGCCGCCTGAAGGATCTTCCACCAGCTCCTGCTTCGTCTGCGCTCGCCGATGCTCCCGTCTCTGCTCTCGGTCTCAATGTCTCCATCTCACCATCAGCAGCTCCTGCTTTGGTACCGACGGCCCGTCTGTTCCGTAGCCAGAGCTCCGTCAGCACCACTCCTACCAGTCCAGAAGAAGGCAGCGGCTCGCCGCTGGGCGGATCTCCGGCAGCCGATCTGGCACCTCTGAATTACGTGAAGAACGTCCACACCGACGGCCTCGACGACTTTTGGCAGAACGACTACTCTTATGCTCCTCTCCCGACGGATCAGAATCAGAACTGCTTGCCACCCTTGATGCGACACGACGCTCCCATTCCTCCGTCCCGCTCGCAGTCTCTTGATCCGCTTGCCGAGCCTTTGGACCCGCACTACAGCGGTCAAGATGCCCACAAGGATTCCGAAGACAATCTCACCTTGCATCAGCGAAGCCCTACCGTCGGCGTCGGCTCCGCCACTCCGCTGCTAGCCGCCAATCTGCAGAAGCTTAATTCGCAGAACGACCTCAGCCACAGCAGCACCTCGGCCGCTTCCAAGCTGGCATCGCCTGTGCTTTCTTCGCCCAGTGGAGCTCCCACCCCGACCAGGCGCAGCGAAGATGGCCATCTGGCAACGGCGTCCGTCTTTCCCCGGCCAGCAAGCTCCGCCAACTCGTCCAATTCGGCCATCGACCGCCCTTCGCTTCCGAACAAGTCGAGCTCCAGCCTATCCGCCTCCTCGGCAGCCGAACACGACAGAAGGCCGCCGGCGTCTGCGTCTAAGCGCTCTTCTACGTCCTCCAGCAACTCCTTCCGTATGACACTGTCCAGGCAAGCAAAGTCGCTGCGCAACTCGTTCATATGGACGCCCCCGACCACCTCCGATACAACCATCTCAAGCCAGGACCGCGCTACACACCCGTCTGCCTTCCTCAGTCCCGACAACTCGTCGGCTCCGATCTCGCAAGCTTCGAGCCCAAGCCTGGCGATCAGCAGTCCAGCCTCAGCAAGCAGCGAGCTACCCTCGAAGCAGCCTTCGCCGTATAGAGAGAGTCTCGTCGTCGCAGAGAAACAGACATCCAGACCGGTCCCTGCCGTCTCTTCCTCAAAAAGCAGGGTGGATACTTCGCGCTTGTCGTCCAGCTTAGCAGATCCACGCTCCTTGCGGCACGGGTCGAGAGCTGCTGGTACTGGCAGCTCTGCCAGCACACCAGCTCCTCTGTCAAGCATCACACCAAGCCTCAAGCAAAAGGTGGCCACCGACTATGGCAAACTCGACGAGCGCCCAAGATCGCGACTATCGTCGCGTCTCACACTACATAACGCCAATTGGTCCCTAAAAATTTCGAATCTCACGACAAAGAAGCCGAGCGAGGCTACGACCTCCAAGTCGACAGCATCTGACGTGGCCGCAGCCGCAGGATCTCGATCCGCCAATAAGCAGTCAAAGAGTCTGACATCCGTCTCCACGGCACCCACAGCTGCATCTGTTGACACTTTCGGCGCAGATGTGCGAGACTCGGAGAAGAGGACCTCGCTCGGGGGATCCTCGAAAGCACTGCCGCCGTTGTCTACCGACCTGGCGCCGCTCATGGTCAGAGGTAACTCGAGCGTTGACGCCAGGCTCTCTCCTTCATTCGCCGAGACTTTCGCATTTCTGAACAGCCAAATCGATTCCGAGGACCCGTCGCCGCCTCTGATGTCGATCGCACTGCCGGTTTCCGACAATGCTCCAGCGGCTGCGAAAACGGCTAGTCGAGAGTCCCAGACGGCCGCCGTGAAGCGAGAGAAGCGGCCTAGCCAGGAGAAGAGGGTCGCTCGCAAATCCGCGACCGACAAGAGCGCCGTGGCTACGCCTAGCACAAATCATGCCTCTCCCACAGGTCTCAGCAACAGCGAAGATGCCACGGCCCGCTCGGCCCTCTTCGATCGACTTGCGGACTCTCCGGAGGCTGTCTACAAGACTCTCGTCCTGCCAGAGCCGGCATCTCTGCCCGCGTCCAAGTCGCTCGATAGCGTCACTGCCGCCGCGAAGAGCCCGATGAGAAAGCAAGGCCACAAGAAGAACATTTCGCTCGGATCCACCACCTTGATCTCCAAGTCCGCCCGAAGAGCAGCTTCAGACCTAGATAGGCGTGCCAGCGGCGCACCTGTTGCCTTCCCTGGGATGACTCCGTCCAGAGCCAGTGCAAGCTCGAGGTCCAGCTTTGCAGGTGGCCTGCCCGTATTTTCACCAATGAGCGAGGAGAGCCGCTTTTTCGACGCCCTCACCTCACCTCCCAACGAACACCCTTCCAGCGCCAACGGAAGCCCATCTCCAGAGGACTCGATGCTGCCCACGTTTGCCACAGCAAACGAGTTCTTCCCCCTGACCACCACAGAACCCAGCAGCCCGGTGAGCAGTCGTCCGCTTGCTGCACGTAGCGCCACCACCACAGCTTCCACAGATATCACTTCCTCTGTACAGGCTTTGCCGCAGTCAAAGCGATCCTCACTCGGTCGTCGCTTGTCGGTTGTCCTCGACAGTGCCAAAGCGCGCTCGGCCAAGCAGCAGGGCCTGGTGTCGCCTCCGCAAAGCCCTCGTGGCGACTCGATGCGGCTGGATGCATTGCCCACGAGACCGGAGACCAGCCTGGGCTTCCATCTTCGCAATCCGCTTCGCAGAGAGCGCAAGGAGTCCCTCAAGGCGGCGCAGCCGCTGGCGATGACGCCCAGTCGCCCCGAAAACCCCAGTGCGGCAAGCAGCAGGTCGTCAGCGTCTGCGATACGCAAAATGTCGACAGGCTTCCGGCTCGACCGTCCATCTCCAGCGAAGGAAGATCGGGTGCGAGCCGAGACGTCGCTCGGTATGGCCGCTCCAGCGGTCAAGACCTCTCGATCTATCAGCAGCAGAGTGCTGGCTCCGACGAAGAGCTCGCTGGCAAGAAGCGTGCAGCCGTCTCCTCCCTCTGCGGACCGTGCTACGGTGAGATCAACATCTTCCTCGTCCTTGGGCACTGACACCTCCAAGGCGTTATCGCGTTCGCCTCATCGGCCGTCGAACCCGCCTTCATCATATCGCGCCTCTCCTGCAGCTGGCCCGCATCCATCTGTGGTGGCAGATGGCTCACCTGGCAAGACTCTGACCTCATCGAAGACTCTAGTCTCTGCCACCAAAAGACAGGGTCCGGCTCCATCCATCACGACGGATCAGGACTCGCTCATGGCACCTCCTCCTAGCCCAGTGGATGTGCGCCGCCGTCGTACGCTGAGCAAGCCCATCCTGGAGCCGATTCGCACCTCCTTCGCCGAGGCGCGCGACTTTGCGAGGCCATCCACGGCGACGGGCTTCCGGGGTGGCGTTTCTGCGGCAAATCGCAAGATGAGTCAGCCGACGCTCGACATGGTCGACGACCGCGAGTTCCTCGAGGCGCTCGAGCAGGTGCGAGCCGTGCAGCGCGAACGCATCGAGGCGGAAGCGCAAGAGTTCGAGAACAAGTCTCGCCTCGCTCGTCTGGGTATGGCCTCGGGCAACCATCTTAAGACCAAGAAGCCTGATCAGTGTGACACCGCTGACGGTCCCATCAGCAGCCCCATCGATTCGAGCCCGGCTGCTCCCGCCACCATCATCCCTGCTAGACCGCGACTGCATCACAGACGATCGGCCAGCGCAGACGCTCAGCTGGTGCGAACGCGGTCCACGACATCGACGGCGTCGCGCGAGTCCGACCGCGACCTCGACCAACGGCAGAAGGATATTGTCAAGGCGTACGCCGACAAGAAGCCTCCTGTCGGCCCGCCCACGTCCGGTCTCGAATGGGGCGTCGGAAAAGCAAGTGGCAAGCTCCACGACGGCACGTTTGTAAACGATGACGACTGGAAGAAGGAAGTCAAAGCGCTCTTCCTCATCCGCGAGCTGGTCCAGACCGAACGAAGCTATGCGCGCCATCTCAGCAGCCTCTTGAGCGTGGTACGCAAAGCGCAAACCGCGCCCAACGGGAGCAGCACCAATGCTCTCGGTGTCAAGCGCAAGTCGGCCAGCAACCTCTTTGCAGCCTACTCCTCGGCCGTCAACAGCAAGGCGTCGGCGATGAGCGCGCCTCCGGGTCACATTGCGCTGCTGCGCACATACCTGCCTCAGCTGATTGCACTGAGCAACGCGCTGGTGCAGCGCGTCGAGGAGAATCCCACCAGCGCAGGCGTCGGTGCTGCCTTCGACGTCTTGGCGGCGCAGCTCGAGTCGACGTTTGTCGGATGGTCGGGCGTAGCGTCGCAGGCATTGGCGGAGCTGCGTTCCACCGAGCTGGTCAAATCTAAATCGCCCTTCAAGATCGGCTTGGTGCCGCTGCTGCCTCGCGAATCGACTGAGGTGGGCGCCTCCACGGCGGATGCGGTGAGCAGCAGCAGCGGTAGCACAACACCTGGCTCAGGCTCCAAGAGCTCAGCGCTACGAATGACTTCGCTCACTCGTCCCGCATCGCCTGTCGCTTCTCCTCAGGAATACGAAATACAGGCCGACGGAAGCGCTACGCAGACGTCCAAGAGGTCGCCTAACAAGCGACGCAGCACTATCACAAGCACCAGCTTCATTCCTCCGCCACGCGTCGTCGTCGCACCAACTTCGACGTTGTCTGCAAGCCCAGAGCAGGAGAAAACGGCCGAAAGTGGCGCTGGCGCGTCCACACCGACGAGACGATTCGGACACTCGCGCAGCCAGTCGACGCTGGTGACACCGGTACCCACGCCCACATCCAGCACTGCTGCTTCCGAGCCCTGGTCTGCCGCCATGCCTGCGCAAGCTGGTGGCAAGAGCCTGACACCCATGGACATCGCCATCATGCCGACGCAACGTCTGCCGCGGTACGGACTCATGCTGCGCGATCTTTTGCGAAACACACCACCCGAGTCTCTTTCACATGCTCGTGTACAACGAGCGATTGGTTTGATCCAAAAGGTGGCGCTCATGTGCGATGCCGCCGCACCGATTGGCATCGCAGCCGCAAGTAGCAGTACGAGCGGCACAAGTTCGGGAGTCGTGACTCCTGCACGTGCCAAGAGCGTGATGGGGATGACAGGCGCCGAAATGGTCGCGAGCGCTGGACTGAGTATGACCAGACGCAGCTGATACCGGCCCGACACTTTTGCCCCCACTTTTCGCTACGGTGATGATCATCATCGGACACTTTTTTTTCCCTTTTCTTCTTGCTTCTTGCTGGATCACCCACATGCAATTGTATTTGTACCCTTCTGACGCACCTCCGTTGATGGAATGCTCAACCTTTGTGAGAAACACACACGCCACATTCGCATCAACGAGTGCAAGGTGAGATCGAAGAGGATTGCCAAAGTATACTTTTTGCTGTTATGCCGACTGTTGCTGTTGACGGTTTACGCTGGAGAAGATATCTTTGAGGTGGGATTGAGCGTCCTGACCTTGTTTTGTGAGGTACTGTTTGCAAAGGCAAGAGGTATGAAAAGAGGTTAGGGGAAACAAAGTTTGAGGATGAGATGTGGGTGAAAAGGAGGAGGAGGAAGGTACCTTTTGCTTTTTTTGAAGGGCTTCGATGTCTGTTGTGATGAGTTGCTGTTTGGATGTGAGTTCGGAAAGGATGGTTGGACGGGAGTCTTGCATAAACCTGGGGAGAGGAGAGAAGGGGGGTTGGTTTAGATATCGTGATCTTTGGTTGTTCCGACGTCCTTGTCCACTACGATCTGTGCTTCGTCAAGTCTCGCCACACTTCGGTCTGGGGTGTTGAAAAAGCACTCCTACAATAACATCACCACTCAAATCTCCTTCCTCCTCCATCTTTCCTTTCGTCCTGGCGCCAAATATGGACTTACATCTTTCCCACACTCCTATAAAAGCTCGCGCTCTCATCCTCGATCCCCTGCAACTCGGTCAAGGTCAACGTGTTGAGCTTGGCCTCTCTCTCGCGTGCGCTGATCTGCGCGCGTAGCGCTGCCAACTGCTGGTTCGTCTGGTAAACCTGCAGTTGGATCTTTTCGAGCACTTTTGAGAGGGTCTCGTCCGGGATCGCTGACATCTTTGTGTGTGTGGAGGCGGACGCTGACTGCTGCTAAGCGGAGGATATGTAGAGGTGTGTGTGTGTGTGAGCTGATAGTGTGCGTCGATATGGAGGAGCGTTGTGGTGGTGTTGAGATGTGCGTTGGATTTGCGATAGAGTCGGAAAGCGGTGGTGGAATGACAAGATGAGCGAACTCACGTGTCGGTGCGAATGATGGCGGAGAAAACAGAAAAGTGTTGCTCTCCGCGCCTGAGCCACTTGCACATATTCTTCTTATAAGCAGTTTTCATCGGTCGTTTGGATCGTCTGATATCGAGCTCATGTGTGTCACAACACTTATACCTCAGACTCACTCAGGCGCATTGGCGAAGCTGCAGAGACTCCTTCGAGCAGTTTCATTGTATTGAAAAGCAATCTTCCATCCCTCAGGCGCTTGCGGGCATCCCTTTCTGCCCGAACAACGCTTCCTCGACCGACTTTTTGAACGGTGCACTGATCTCTCCCTGCTCTGCAAAGTAAGCCAGCACCAGCTCCCTCGCCACACTGAAGCCGCTACCCTCTGCCTCGCCAAACACCTGTCCATCGTATTCAAACCTCAATCCGCTGCTCTTGCCCCTCGGTACAACCACACAATCCAACGCCTTACCCTTCGGAACGCTTCCCCTCGGGAACGCCTCCTTCACCGACTGAATTTCCTCCTGGAAGTTCCTCTCCGCCTCCGCATCCACCTCGCCTCGCTTGAGAGCCTTTTTGAGTCGTGCTTGGAGCGCACGGATGAAGCCATCGCGGAGATGGTTGAAGTCGGTGTTGCGAACGGGAACGATGCGGATGACTGCTTTTGCTCCGGAGTCGAGCAGCTGCTTCATGTGCGCTTCGAGCGTCTCGCCACAGGAGGTGGAGGACGAGATATGGGTTTCGTCGATGTAAAGCGCAGCGACGTATACGCGGACGCGGAGAAAGGAGACCGTTCGAACGCCCAGACCGACCAGACGGAGACGAGGCTCGGGTTGCGTCGAGCTGAAGGAAGCTGGGGTGGGAATGTAGAGCGGGAAGGCGAGGTTTGTGTCCGGGTCGACGACGACTTGGGTGGAAGGATTGGCGGAGGTAATGGATGTCAAGCTGGAGGCGGCGGGTGGTGCAGCGTCCAAGTGAACCGGCGAGGAGAGTTGGTAGGCCGAGACAATTCCAGCCAGCGCTACTGCTGCTACGATAAGGGATGTTCTCCTGCTCTGCTGAGCGCGCGAAGACTCGGTGGAAGCGAGCGATGCTGCGATGGAAGGGTGGAACGATTGCTGGAAGAATGCTGCTCGAGGCTCAGAAGAAGCAGAGGAAGTGAAGGATGGATAGGATCGAGTGAATGTTGCGACACCGCGTGCACTGACAGATCGGAGTGCTGCGAGCCGGCTCGCCGAGGCGATGGCAAGCTTTGCTGATGGGATGATCATGTTGTTCGTCGTCCAGTAGGATGAAGCGATGAAGAGGTAAGAGAAGGTGGTAATAGCGGCAAGTGTTCCCTTCCTCCTGTGCGGAAATTGCACCAAGGCGGCTTTCGCGTTCGGACCGGCATTCAAGTCGGCACCGGAGAAAAAAGTTGGACGGCGATCATATTTTCAATCTCACATCTCAGCGATTGCCATGTAGCCCTCCATTGCCTCTTTGCACAAAGCATCTGATGGTGGTACCTGACGACACATGCTCGTAGGCCGAAAGGAGGTCCACATCATGCTCTTCGAACAGATTGTCTCGGATGTGCCGCCCTAGATCGAGCCTGCCGTGAGCAAGCCTGGCTCTGCTGCAGCGTCCTCACAAAGCGGCGCAAAAGGTTGTGCCGATCTCCAACGTCGCTGTCGCAAGAGCAGGGGTTCAGCATCTTTTTGGCGAGCAACTATCAGTATCAGATGCCGAACGTTGCATGCTGGGCCTGTGGCCCAAATCGTAGAGGATTCAGGGTCCAATGGTTGCGATTCATTTCCGCTGGCATGAGCTCGCGAGATGAGGCGAATTCGACAGAGTGCAGCTTTGCGTCTCTGTGCATGAGGATCGACAAGGCGCGCGCGTACAGATTCAGAGACAAACACGCTCCGCTCGGCTCGATTCACGCTTTCGGAAGTGACTTGTCGGGATGTCACTTTTTTTGGTCGGGTCAACACCATTCGGCGTAGCCGCTTCACGAGTTGCTTGAATTCCACCGTCTGCACACATCTCCACTCTCTGCCAGACTCGCGTCTGAGGGTCTCTTGCTCTCTGGTCAAAGTAACGACTCAGCAAATCGTCGATCAACAATACTGCTCCACCTCTTTCCCGCACCTTCCAGCTCCAACTAGGTCGAATCCACCCTTGTTCTCACCTTCAGCTCTCATCGGAAGAATGCCGACCACAACCTCAAACCTGACACCCGAGTCAGAGCTTCAGCTCGCTTTCGATCCGAGCCTCATACCACAAGCATCGAAAGATCTTCTACCAGAGGACATCATCGTTCGTCCTCTCGCCAGCGACGACTACAACCGCGGTCACCTCCGTGTACTCGCCGACCTCACCCAAGCACCAGATATCGGCTTCACCGCGTGGTCGAAGCAGTTCGCACTTCAAGTCGCTTCACCGAACACCTACTATCCCATCGTCTTCATCCACACGCCCACCGACCAGATCGTAGCATGCGGCACCATGTTTGTCGAGTTCAAGTTCCTGCGCGGCGCCGGACTCTGCGGTCACATCGAGGACATTGTCGTTCACAAGGATGGTCAAGGTAAAGGTTTGGGTAAGAGGATCATCGAAATTTTGACAGAGGTCGGCAAACAAAGAGGCTGCTACAAGGTCATTCTGGATTGCAGTGAGAAGAACGTGGCCTTCTACGAAAAGTGTGGCTATCACAAGGCAGGAGAACAGATGGCCGTGTACTTTGTATAGCTCGGCATGTATGACGTGCGCAGTTGATCTGCTCAATGGACATTTTTTTCTCGCCCGGCTGTCGCAGTTGGATCAGGTGTGTGACAACGATCAACTCGGCGCTCACTCTCGGATCATCCGAACTGTATCTTCTCGGATTCGCACGCACCTACGATCTCCAGCAGCACCACTTTTGCCAACAACAGGGATTGCAGCTACTCCTTCCACCGACCCACTTCAACCTCGCACACCGCTTCCAACCCTACCAAGCTCTGCGATCCTCTCGTCTCGAGGTACGGCAGACCGATCCACGCCTCGTAAGCTGCCCGTCTCTGCTTGCTCCGCCTCTCCACCGCTTCTTGTTCTGCATGTTTGCGCGCGCCAGTCGAAGCAGGCGGCTCGCCGGATTTGATCAATGTCGGGACCAGAAGCTGCAGGTGCTGGGTTGAGATGCGATACTGTCTCGTCAGATCCAAGACCCGTTCGACGAACCGTTCCATCGGCCAGGTGCCCCACATCGGATCTTGAAACGCAAACTCGAGCCCTTTGCGTTGCGACGCCTCGTCCAACAGTGCGGCTAGCGAGTCGCTTGCCGTAGTGAGCTTGTTGAGCGCTTTACCGAGTCGATCCATGACAGTCGCGAGTCCATCGTGTGCTGCTTCTATCCGCTCTACTGCGTCGGCTAGCCTCGTTTCTCTCAACCCGCCTGGCCCTAGGATGGGATCGTGTGCCTGCTTGGAATCCAGGGCCAATGCCTTCCTCTTGTCCTGTGCTCTTGTGATGGATGCTGATGGAGGACCTCTCGCTCGACGCGGCGCATTCGCATCACGCTGACCGAGCTTGTTCGCAGCGTACACGTCTTCCCACCCATCCACAGCCTCCTTCGCCCACTTGAGCCCGTCAAACGTAGCGATTTCTTCCCACATCCTCGCTGCCGCTACAAACGCCGCGAGCAGCGTCCGACATTGTCGATGGTACGTCGTCTCAAAATCTCTGCTTAGCAGTCCGGTCGAGTCGTAGATGGAAACGGTGGAGCTCGGACCAGGTGTTGGAGGCGATGTCAATCGACTCGATGGCTGAGGAGATGACCTGGACGAAAGCGAGATGCTACGGTTGTTCCCACCGCCAGTGTTTCCATTGCCGAGTGCTGCTGCTTTCGACGACTTTGGTGTGGAAGGTGCTTGTCTGCTTGAGCTGCCGGATGCTGGTGAGGACGGGGGCGTCGAGCCAGCCTTGTTCGCTTTGGCGAGCAGAGCAGCGTTCTGGCTGTTGCGGCCGAAGGGCGACAGCGCCGCTGCCGATGGGCGATTTGAGGCTGGCGATGGCATCCAGAAGCAGTTGAGCGGATGGTAGCGTGCTCGATGGTGTGTCTGCATACCCTGCAACGACATGATCAAGTGGAGCGGAAAGTCCAAATTTTGTGCGGAAAGTCGGAAGACGGATTCGGCAAGTTGGCACATTGTTACGTCGTCAGCGAAGCCGTGCCCCGCACGCGCCAAATTTCCGATGCTCTGAAAGCGGAGAGACCGGTCCATCCGGACACTCGAACATGCCGAACGTTTGCTTCGTCACCGTTTGACCACTCCACGACCATCGCGCCCGGTCTTGCCTCGCAATTTGTATCGAGCAGGATGACGAGCCTGCAGAGGTCGGCTACTGCGGTAAAACGAGCCGCAGCGTCCCAGACATCTTCAAAGCAAGCCGACGAACCCATCTTTCTCGATCCATCCGACGATACCACGTTTCAGTCTCTCAAAAAGCTTCTCTCTGCCCCTTCGTCGAGCACTCAACATCTCAGCTTGCTCTCGGACAGCACCTTGTACGGTAGCATCACCTTCTACTTGAGCAAGCTCGAGCTCGAACATGTCGCCGAGTTTGCCGGTGTGATCAGCTCCAGCGGTTGTCTCTGGACGCCTCCACCTCCGGCTAACAGGCCTCCGTCGGCAGCCAAGTCTGGCACCACATCCGAAAAAGTCACCTGGACATCAGAACCTGGATCTTCCTCCAGCTCCTCAGACAAATCAGTCGAGGTCAAGTCAAGTCCGAACCTGGCACCAAGCTCATTGAGCTCCTTCTTGATCTCACGATCCACTAGCGTCTCGCAAGCTGTAGCTGCGGCGCTGACAAAGCGAGTGGATCTCATCGTCCGGTCCAAGAAGAACTCGACCGGATGGGCTACCCGTTCGGCTCTGTCGCACTACCTCAATGCGGTCATCCAAGGTATCGATGACACAGAGCGAGATTCTACGCCAGAGTCCTACCGAGCAGCAAGAGGTTTGCCTATTCCTCGCTTCGCCATCATCGGCGGTCTGCTCAACGCTCTCTACATTCTCAAAGACCAACGCAAGCGTACAAGAGACATGTCGATCCTGGAGGAGATGGCTGCGCTGCGAGCCAACCCTTCGCTCGGTCTGAGCGTTCGAAGACCTCTCAGCACCATACAGGACGAGTGGATCGTGACCCTCGCCGAGATCCTCGATCATCTATACGCTCGAACCACACCGTCTCCTGGCTCAGACGTTGCTGACGCAAGCGCTCGAGACGATAGCGATGTCGACGAGTGGGAGGTCGAGTTCCGCAAACGCACCGCATCGGTCGCAGGTCCGGCAAGCATAACTTCGCTCGCATCCAAACGAACCCTACGAGCTGCACTGAGCGACGTCCGCGATGTGCCCCTCTACATGGCCGCTCAGCTGGCACCGCTGGTGCCCGATCGAAAGATCCACGCGCTGGATCCTGTTCAATTGACTTCGGCTACCAGCGACGCCATCCTTTCGCTGTTCGAGGGGCCAGATGGCTCCTCTTTCCTCTCGTCGCTCGCTCAGGATGTGCACACACAGCAATGCAGCGGTCAACAGACAAAAATCCTTGTCAATCCCTCCGGCTCTACCGCGACCATCCTGCAGAGTGTCCTGGATTCGACGCTCTTCCCACTTCTTGGTCCGCTATCCAAACTCATGTCGCGTGCACTCGCCAAAGCGGTCACATCGCTGACGCCCGAACAAATCTCCTCGCTGCTCCTCGGAACCGCCGATGCAGCGCTCGAAACGCAGCTCGGCGACATCGAGTTCTTCCCCCTGCTCATCCGCATGTCGCGCCTCTCGTCGCGTCTCGAAGCAGCGTGGTTGGCCAGCCCACTCGCAGGTGCCAAGGAGGAGGAGATCGTCGAGTCGAGCAGACAGCTCACCAAGCAGCTCTGGACGACGTTCAAGACGGTGCTGTTCAGCTACACGATGGTGTTTGACTCGATGATGGATGCGTTGGTGGATATGTGCCCGAGTCCAACGCTAACGATTCCACCTACGGTGGGTGCGGAAGCGGAAGCTCAGCAGAGTCGGAGGTGGCCGAGTGCATCGACGTCGAATTTGCCGCAGCCGTATCTGCTGATTGTGCAGCACGTGCTTGCTACCTACTCGCATCTCTACTGGATCACCAGCACGTTTGGTTCGGATGGATTCGACGTGTATCGCAAGGTGTTCTACTCGGCGCTGGACGTCATCGGTCGCGACGGCGAGGCGTGCATCCAGCTGCTCGAGCTGATCGCCCCTGTCCGCGTCGACCCCACCGATCCCAGCACGATCCTCGCCGACGCTCTCGAAAGCAACACGGCCAAACGCAGCTCCACCACGTACTTCCTCAACGTCGCCGAACAGCTCGTCGGCGTGCTACCCGACCAAGTGGTCGAACAGCTCGTCCTGCCCATCTGCCGACCTTACTTGGAGAACACGCGGTTCAGCGACACCTTTGAATCGGCGCACTCGGTGGTGCTCGCGCTGTACTCGAACCACAAACGCTGCATTTTGAATCTGGCACCGTTCTACGTGGAGCTGCTGATCGCGAGCTATCCGCAGAGGTTGACGGCGATGCAGTTCGAGTATGCCATGTCGACGGTGGTGGGTGCGGTGAGTGATAGGAGCGATTCGGTGGCTTGGTGGGTGATCACGAGGCTGGCGGAGGAGGTGGATCGTGAGAGGTTGAGCGAGGGTGGTGCAGGTGAAGGGGACAGGGGGAAAAGTGTTCAGGCCGGTGGATTTGTCGAGTCGAGCGGGGTCACGAAGGGCGAACTGGAGGATGCGTTGGTCAAGAGCGATTCGACTCACCCCAGCGATCGTGCAGCTGGCAGCAGCAACCAGGACAACGATACCGAGCGATCGCAGACAGGCTCAGAGGTGGACGCATACGACCGGCTCACCCACCTGCAAATGTGTCTCATCGGTTGCATCCCCAGCGTCAACCTGGTACTCCTCCGTTCGGCGCTCGCCAAAGTCGAAGCGTACATCATGCAGCACAAGCAGCGAGAAGCATCTGGACTCGGCTCCAACGCCGCCGAGGTCGATGATGCCGATCAGCAAACGGGAAGCAGCAGGATAGCGCTGTGCCAGAAGACGTTCGATGCGATCCAGGCGCTGAACGCAGCAACACGGGAGGAGGGGTTGAGGTGGTGGTTGGACCACCGCGTTCAGTTTGGCGTGTGAAGCTCGCACGCCTCACTCGGCGGGACTGGCTTCTCACACTCCCGCTAGTAGTGGATGTATCACACAGTCCTTTGTCAATGAGGAGTCTACTTTGCTATGTCGACGTGTGGGGACGATGGGTTGTGCTGCCACCAACAAGAGCGGTGGTCTGCGCAAACGGAACAAGGAGCAACCGCAATGAAACTGCAAATTGCGTAATTCCGCAACCTCCCTCTTAGACGCATATGCAGTGAAATGAAGAAGTTGTCAATCCCAAACAAATGGTCACAGTCATGCCGCCAATCGGTCAATTTCCAAACTGATTACGGGAGGGGCGAACAATGAGTGTCAAAATTCAACCTCCCATGTGGAGCGGCACCGGACGCCGGGATTTGCTTCCTCTGGAATATCTCTTCTCGGCTTTCTATTCGAGTGCGTGTCGTTTGACATCATCGCCTTTGGGCGGGGCGCTTCAGGAGCCGTCTTCTGTGATGGGCAGATGCATGAGAAATGTTGAACCTCAATAGCGTCTATGACCGCTGTCATTGCGATTTTGCGCCACTTTTTCCGTTGAGATTCCCATGCCCCGTTGGTAAGCGATTTGGGGGTTTCCCGCGTGTGGTTCGTTGTTCCGAAACTGTGGGTGGTAGGTGGGCGGGTGGTGGAGTCTGGGAAGAGTTTCGACGGCGTCATACGTCTCGCCTGTTGACCGGAGTTTAGAGATCGGTGTGGATGTGGTTGATGATGTGTATATATAGATAAACTGCCTTCCCCCCGCACTGCGACTCAAACCATTACACCACATACCACCCCATCAGCCGCCCCCATCACCCCCCTCCAAATCGCACAATGTCATCTTCAGACGCACACTTCGAAGGCTGGGTCGGCCACGACAAGTCGTGCATCGGCAACATGAAGTGGGAAAAGTACACTCCCAAGGCATGGCGCGAGACCGACGTCGAGATCAAGATCGAGGCCTGCGGCGTATGCGCTTCTGACCTGCACACCGCTCGATCCGGATGGGGACCCACCAAGTACCCCTGCGTTGTGGGCCACGAGATCGTCGGAACCGTCTCTCGCGTGGGTAAGGAGGTCTCCGGCTTCAAGATCGGCGACCGCGTCGGTGTAGGTGCCCAGTCCGACTCTTGCAAGAGCTGCGGTGCCTGCAAGGCCGGTCAGGAGCCTTGGTGCGAGAAGGGCATCGTGGGAACCTACAACGGCGACTACTCGGTCACAGACGGTTCCGGTTTCTCCATGGGTGGGTATGCCAAGTACTCGCGCGTACCCGCTCACTTTGCAGTGCACATCCCCGAGGGTCTGCCTTCGACCGTGGCTGCCCCCATGATGTGCGGAGGTGTCACCGTGTACAACCCGCTCAAGAGCAACGGCTGCGGTACCGAAGGCTTCAAGCGAGTCGGTGTCGTTGGAATCGGAGGTCTCGGCCACTTTGCTCTCATCTTCGCCAAGGCCCTCGGCGCCGAAAAGATCACCGCCATCTCCCACACCCACTCCAAAGAGGACCTCGCCCGCACACTGGGCGCGACCGACTTCATCGCCTCCGCCGACGAAAATGCTTACGCTCCCCACAAGCGCTCCCTCGACCTCCTCGTCGTCACCAACAACAACGCCGACATGCCAGTGAACGAGTACCTGCAACTCGTCCGTCCCCACGGCAAAGTCGTATTTGTGGGAATCCCCGAGGAACCTCCCATGCCTACGCCGATCGGCCAGTTGATCTTCAGCGGTGCCTTCCTCGGTGGCTCGGCCATCGGTGGTCCCGGCATCATCAGGGAGATGCTCGAATTGGCCGCAGAGCAGAACTTGCAGCCCATGATCGAGGAACGCGACATGCAGGACGCCAACAAGGTCGTCACTGACATGGACGCCGGAAAGCCCCGATTCCGCTACGTCATGGTCAACAAGGACTACGAGCCTGTCAAGGCATAAGCGCGTTTAAGCTTGTCATTCTATCTAGCATTATCGAAATAGAGCCTTCTCACCTTTAATCACAAGCGTCTGCAGACTGAGAGTGACGCTCAAAAAGCCGCGGTAGAACACATTCGAAGGCTGTCGTTGGATGGAAGAGATTGTTCCGTGTACACAGGGGTTCCGGCCGCAACGATCCGCCGCGGCATGTCTACTTGATGTTGCCAAGTCGCTGGGTACCGGCAAAGATCTTGGTGTCCAGCGTCGTCGCCTTGTCTCCGATCCTCTGCAATCTGGAGTTCTGGCTGTCCACCTCCTGACCCATGGCCTTCCCGAGCTGGTTCAATCTAGAGCTGAGCATGCCGATCTCGTCCAGGTTCTGGTCGAGTTCATCCTCCAGCTCGTCGTCCGACTCTGTCGCTTCAAACTGATATCGTCCGCGCTGCGCAACTTTGTTACGCTGTGCTGCCTCTTCCGCCTTCTTGCCAGTTCCGAAACGATCCTGACCGAAACGACCGAAGCTAGCCTTGCCTGTGCCTGGACCGTTCATGCTGGCGTCGAGTCTTGACTGTGCGGCGGTGACGTCGCGACGGACAGCTTCGCGCTCTTCACGCTCGTCGATGTGACGAGCAATGATTCGCGCCTCTTCCGCATCACGTTTGGCCTTCTTGTTAAACTGCATGTTGGGACGGAAGATGGAGCGGTTGAGCGCCACGATTTCTTTTGCATTGTCTTCAGCACGAGAAGCATGTGCTTTGGCCAAATCGAGCGAGCGTTCGGTGTTGCCGATCTTTTCGGACTGGTCCGAGAGCTTGAACATGGTGTTGGTAGCCGTCTCTTCGGCTTCGCGAGCGATGCGCAGTGCATTTCGAGTGGACGAGAGAGACTCTTGCTTGGTGAACCGCATCTGTTGCTTGACCGCCTCCACCTCATCGTCCTCTTCGTCTCGCTGCTCTTCCTGCTGCTCCAGGCCATCGTAGCCATTGTTCGATGCCGAGCCTGCTGGCGCACCCGAGCCTCGGCCGTATTCGGCTTCGAGGTCATCCTGGGCGGCAGCGCCACCTCGCTGGTTCTGCACATTGCGCGAAAGATTGTTCGGTTTGCTTCCGCCTGCTCCCGCATACTGGTCGTATCCAGAGCCGAAGCCTGCACCCGGTGCTCGTGCATTGGCAAAGCGGTCTTGGTATCCGCCATACTGCTGCTGCTGTCCGTAGCCACCAGCTCCGTAGCCAGCCTGAGTACCACCTGGTCCGCCGTAACCAGCGCCACCTCCTTGCATTGAAGGGCCTGCGCCGTAGCCGGCACCTCCTCCGCCGCCAGGAGGGCCGTACCTGCCAGGAACATTGGATTGAGGCGGAGGCGCCGACTCGACCGGTGGGATCTTGCTACTGTTCTTCTTGCCGAAGAGACCCATCTTAAGTTTTTGCGGAGGTCCGGAGGTATGTGATGAGTTTGCGAGCTTGCGTCGTTGGTGATGGAAGTGAGGATCGCCAGCAACAGTGCGTCTGGCGGTGTTCAAAGGGTCCGCTCAGCAACGGTGACAGCGCATGCAAAGGGGCTTGGCGCGTGCACAGCCAGCAAATCGCCACGCCAAAAAATCCCAAAAGGCGGTGTTCGACCGGTCTAACACGTCAAAATTATCTCTTGGATGCTTATCGACACCTCGACGCTTGACAGTTGATACTGTATACATCCACCCTGTCAGACATAATGCCCACGCAAGCGCAAGCGAATGCTCAGGTGCATGTAGCGTCATGGGCTCTGCTGTTGACTCGACCTGCTGAATTCGTCCTTGTCTGCCCTTTCAAAGCCTCTCTCAAATCTGTCGACCCGAGCAAGCGCAAAAGAATGGCAATTAACGAGTGTGATTGCGATCGACAACGAGCGGGTATAGTTGCGTACAAATGCATATTTGCGATGACGAGTGGTGCGGAAAGAGCGGCAGAGACGATATAGGAAGACGAAAGAATGTGGTTGGAATATAGCAGGAATGTCCAAGTGGTAGGAGAAGAACAAGATGCCTCAAGACGATCAAGACCTGCTTTCTGGTTTGACGATGCTCTTGGCGATCTTTTCGAGGTAATATAGATGCGGACGTGGACGATAGATTTCGTCCATCGTCATGGCGCGGTCGGATGTATGCGAACGCGTTCGACCGCGGTAGCGAGAGCCCGAAGGCTGGGTCAGGCACCCGTCCACCTCGATTGCGTGGCGCTTCTCGGCTTGCACACAAGCGTCCCACAGATTGCGATCGATGCCGACGCTGGGAGCGAACGCGCCTTTAGACAAAGCCTTGCGGATAGCTTGATCGTTCTTGCGGTCAACGCTGCGTTCGTTGGCGTCGTGATCAGGGGCAGGCGAGCTCGAACGGTGCTTGTCGCTAAGACGCGTCCATGGGTTGGAGGAACGGCTGAAGGCCTCGATCGACTTGGTCCTGCGAGCGCGCACCGTGTTATCGCCATCGACGACCAGCTTCGAGCCAGAAGCATCGTGCGAGTCATCGCCATCTTCGTGCGGCTCATCGAACTCGGCAAAGACGTCTTCCTCCTCGTCACCGGACTTGTGCACCCATCGCATCTGTACAGGATCAAAGAGCATGTCGCCCACAACCCGAGCACCGGAAGCAATCTTGCCCATCAGCGTGCTGCTCTCTGGAGACAATGGCGACGAATACCCGGCAGCTTGATTGAGTGCAGAGCTGGTCGAGCTCCCCGTCATCTGGGAGATGAGGGCCGGCCGAGTGCTGCTTTGAATGACTTGGTCAAAGTCCCTGAGAACATCTTCGTTGCCCTCCCAACGCAGCGCCTGTGGATTCCATCGCATACCTTTGACCAGCTTAGGTGCGGGTGAAGCGCCTGCACCGAGCGATCGGATCAGAGCTGGTTTGCCCCGTTTTCCACGTCGGCCACCGCGCTTTTGCTGATTCCCTTGAGGTTGGACAGAGCCGGAGGGAGACTGCGCTGCTGAGGTGCGGCTTTTATTGAGCTTGTCTGACGACGCTGAGACTCGAGGAGACTGCACGACAGGACTCGCCGCGCTCGGTAGATCGTCGATGCCGTCAAGCTCAGCGCCATTTCCATACTGGACAGAGCGCTTGAGGAGGCGAGCGACAGGCTGGTTCTCGCCCGATGAGCTGCGACGCTCGAGATTGGATCTAGCCTTAGACCGTGTATTGACCGAGATACGCGACGCAGGCTGATGCATGGGCCGAGCATTGAACGAGACTGGAGTACTGGGCCGTGCAGGAGCGTTGACATCCCTCTGCAAGCGGGCCAACTGATCAGCCGCTTCGGCCGCCCTCGCTCGCGAGGCAGCAGTGGAGTCGGTAAGCCTAGAGGCGCCGCCTTTGTTCCTAAATCGGGACGAGGGAGATGCGGCACTAGTGCCGCTGTTATGTCGCTGACGGAAAGGCAAAGCGGACGTGTTGGCGCTTGGAAGACCTGTTGAGGATGGAGTGTTGGCGGGTGGCGAAGTTCTCATGGACGGCAATGACCTCTTGCGTGTCAGCTGACTGCCGCGGTTTTGCGACGATCGGTGAGACGAGGATGGAGGAGCTGCGTTGGAAGCAGTCGAGCCGGACAAGTGCGTGTGGAGATCACTTGTCGAACGCTTGAAACGGAGGCGATTGCGAGCTGATCCACGATTTTCGGAACGAGTGACCAATGGTTGAGCCGGACCGATATCACCATGCTGAGAGGCGGTGCGAGCAGGATGGTGGCGGTCATCGCCAGGGCCAGCCGCGGTTTCGACGCCTAGTCTGGACGATGAACGAGTTGAGTACGTCCTGACCGGCAAGTTGCGGGCTGCGATGCGGCTGGTGGAGAGATCGAAATCGTCATCAATGATGAGACCGGCTGCGATGGCGGCATCCGAGTCTCCAGCTTGAGCATGATTCGGCGCAGATGCGGTGGGGTGACCGGAGCGTTTGAGGTCAAGCATCGCCTCGAGCTTTGCTTTCACGTCAACAGCGGTGGCAGATGATGCCTTCGAAGGCTTTGCAAAGATGCTACCTTCCAGATCGAGACCATCCAACATGTCCTCATGCTCGTCGTCCGCGTCGCTTTCGCCTGAGACGCTTTTCGTGGAGGGTGGAGGGTCCGACGAGGCTGGCGGATGCAAAGATGTGGACGAAGTGTGGGTTGTGCTGGTGGGAGGAGCAGTGCTGAAAGCCGAATCGTCGTCCCAGACGTCTCTGCTGACTTGGCTGAGGGAGGTGTTGGACCGGGCGCGAGACAGGGACGAGCAGAGGCTGAGGTTGTTCATGTCTGGTTCCAGGTCGAAATCCATCTCGACGTTGTCGTCGCCTTCGGAGAAAGAGACGTCCTGATCGGATCGAATGCGACCAGAGCTACGCGAAGAGGCTCTGGACCTGTGATGTGCATCGCTTTTGCTGTGAGGGCTGTCGGGATCGGTGAGGTCAGTGGAGAGGCCCATCATGCTGCGGGAGCTCGTGCTGGCAGAGGTGCTGAGACTAGCTGTGGAGCCCGCGCGATCATCTCGTCGCGGAAAGCCATCGCTATACTGAGAGATGCGGTCGAGATCGAGAGCCGGCGGACGAAGCTGATCGTCGAAGTCGTCGTGAAGTGTGAACGACCGCGCAGAAGCAGCAGCAGTGGTAGCAGCGGCGGAAGCTTTACTGGCTTCGAGCATACGCTTCAGCGCTGAGCTAGCAGCGGTGGAGAGTTTGATTGTGTCGGTCTGCTCGTCCGAGCCATCATCGAGGTTGTCCTGGGGAAAGTCCTCGTCCCAATTTGGCTCTGCATCGTGGTCTGCGTGCGCCACGTCGTGAACGTCTTGCAGGGACGTGTGATCTGTACGCAGCTCGGTGTGCTCCAGGTCAAAGTCGCCATCGGACCAGTCCTCGACGTGCGCCATTGCTGCTGTCACGGCACGCGCGTATAGTGAAGGAAGTGTCCTTCAAGAGTCGGAAGAGTAGGAAGCAGGTGGCCCTAAGCCCACATTCCTTGCCAAAGGTTGTTTTGCGGCTGGGTCCCGACAACGAATGGTCGGAACGGGAGTGCGTGCGAGATCAAAGCGGGTAGAAAAGAGACGTGCTGAGAAGAGTGCGAGGAAAGGGTGACGGTGGGGAGGAGGGCAATACAAAAGGACGCTGGAGAGGCGAAAGAGTCAAAGGGACCGAACGTCACACGCTTCTAGCGTACGCTTTCGCGCCTCTGAACCTCGTTAGCCGCCAGCCTGCCACTTCACGGCTAGGAGGGGTGAGACCTTGACGCGCCTCTTGGAATGCTTGGTTGTCGCCGCCCTCTGCTGTAACTTTGCGCACGCGTCAGATCCAATTTGAAAGCGCTGCTTTTTCGAGACCAACACTTGACGCTCAAGTCACACCTCCTTCTCGCTTATCCGACCAGCTGCCGAGATTGGACTTGAAATGGCCTCGAGAAGCTTCCGATTCCATTTCGCGCACGCACCTCGCCGCTCCTGCAACTGATTGACACATCCATTTGCCATCGGCATCGTTTCGTCGTCGGGCCATCGCCGACGATCGCTGGTCCCCGAACATGGCTTCAGTAGCGTCGAGCCGGCCTCAGCTCAAGTCCAAGTTCAGCGAATCCTACGGATCTCTGCTCAAAGGCGAGCAACCGTGGCTTGTCAACAACGGCTTCCCCGACTCTGCTTCTTCCTCTTCATTCGGCACCGATACTGCTGCACGGCCGGTTGCTTCGCGAACAAAGTCGACCGGCAAGTCCAATTCAGGTCCACGCTCGCGCTACTTTGCCGATCTGCTGTGCCTCCCCGTCGAGACGCGCTTCGTGGCTCAGCAGCTCGAGACGATCCCGCCAGAGACGCTTCTCGATGACGATCCGCACGGGAAAGGCGCCCACATCACCGACAACATTGGATCTCTCTGGAGGGAAGCGATCCGTGTCTGGCGAGAGAGCGACGAAGACGAGGTTCGAAGAAGGAATGCAGTCGATACCCTGGTAGCCTTGTCCTATCCCATTCTCAACAAGCGCTTCTCCAACTACTCCTTTGATATCATCACCATTCTTGCTGGTGGAATGGATGAAGCGGACGAGACGTTCATGCTTCTCGTCGACTCCATTGACGACACGTTGCGCGGAGGCGACCTGGCCAGAGTACGCATCCCTTCTTCGATGCGGGACGAAGATGACGAGCGAGAGCAAAACATGGCCGAGGCGAAAGCGAGAGAGTGGATCGATGCAGAGGTGCAGCATAGAGCGCTTCAACTCGGACTCTTGTGGCTATCTTGTGTCGCGCAGACCTCGCTCGCGGCCTACTTTCTCCGTCGTGACCTCTTCGTCACCGCGTCCACCTTCATCTCAACCGCCTCTGGCTCGCGGTACGCCTACGAAGGTGCAGTCTTTCTAGGGCTGCTCGCTACCATTGGTCAAGGCGCAGCTGGCGGAGTTTCGCTCAATGTCAGCACATCGAATCCGTACGCTCGGCGCTTCCGCGATTGGGTCGACGAAGATTGCATGGCCAAGATCCTGGTTGCCGCGTCCGCCGCCATGGACCAAAACGTCCAGCAGTATCGACAGGTCGTCGATGACTCGCCCCCGACGCTGACAGGCAGCATCGCTGGTCTTGCCAGCATGCGCTGGGTCTCGAGCCTTGCCGAGCTCGTCTCTTCGCCCACCAGTCCTTCTCCTCCGTCTGCTTTTGGTCGTCGTACCTCGGCAGCATCTACGCTGGTCGGCGACTTTACGCATCTTCCGTCTCCAAGCTGCGTCATCCTTCTACCACTCTTTCTGCTTTCCAGATCGAACCAAGCCTTCACTTCGCTCATTCTGAATGTCGCAGATACTCAGGCAGCACAGAACGACACGCAAGCCAGAGCTCGAGACGAGTCGTTCTGCCACCTGGCTTCTCTTGCATCGTACCTGGCCACACATGCCTCAGTCTCATCTCGTTCGGCATCGTACTCTCGAACTGCTCTGCTGTCTCTACTCGTCTTCCTCTACGACCCACGCGGCAGTCGAAACATGCTCGCGGATACTGAGCACGCAGCACGCACACTGGAACGCATACGCCTCTGTCGTCAACGAGAGCCGGCACTTGCACTGCCGCGCGTCAAGCGCACCCGACTTGTCACGGCCGTCCTCGATGTGGCAACCTGCTCGATGCGCTACAACCTCAGCAAGCGCATCGACACAGCCTCGTATCTGATCAGCTTGAAGCTTATCCAGCGAGTGGTGATACTGTGTTCTGACGAGCGTATCCAGCTCGAGTACGACTGGCAAGACTGTTGGAGTGCCGTGTTGGCTCTGGCGTCGTTCCTTGCCGCTCGTTACTCGGAGATACGCTCCAGCAGAGACCTCTCCGAGCTGATCAAGGCGTTGATGGCGACTTTGAATTCCATTTTGCTGCGCTCAGATCATTTTCTGGCATCGACCAACGAGATCCACCACTTCATCTACGAGATCTTGCGCTGCTCTGCGACACTGCGCAAGTGCGTACTCCTCCTCGATCCATCCACAAAGGATGCCAGCTCCGCCTCTTCCAGCGATACGAACCTCACCGGTAGTGCATCGATACCCATCCCGCCAAAGCTCTACAACCAGGTTCCAGCATGGAAGAATCTCGAACGCACCATCCAAGCCGTCGAATCCAAAATCGCCGAATGGGTCGAACAAAAACCGGGCTCGAGAAAGAACAAATCACCAGACATCAACACCATCATTAAACTCATCGCCAGCATCGATCGCGAACAGCTGCTCGCAGGTGCTTCCGCAGAAGACACCCAACCGATCAGCAACAGCAGCAACGGCAACGGCGGTGCGGGGGCAGCGGCATCGAGCAGTGTCTCGCACCACGAATTGGAATGGCTCGATCGTATACAGGAGCAATGCTTGCCCGAGTTCGTTCGACATGCTTGCTCGGACGTGCTGCGTATCTTGCCCATATACTAAACACGTCTTCGAGTGCAGAGCAATGTCCCCCAGATATCAGAGTTGTTCTGAATGCATCGAAAGACAGTCGTGTGAGAAGGCGATGAAAATCGTATGAATTGAATCAATTGTTCTGCGGGAATATCACTGGAACTTCTGAATGACAACGGCGTTGAGCAGCCCGGCTTGTTCGAGCGTCTGCGATTCATCCGTAAGCGGCTTGGGTGGGAAGGACGAGGTGAGCACGTAGCTTCGAGTCGACATTCCTGGGTTAGCACTGCAGTCACAAAAACCGAACTCAGGTCAGCAATCGTCGTCTTCAGCCATACGAATCGAGCTTACGATCACACTTACGCGTTGATGTAGCTCCTCAGATCCGCAATCGTGTGATGCGTGTTGAAGCGAGCGGTCATCCTCTGTCCGTCGCCCAATCGGACCTGTAGCTGGGTGGTGGGCTTGTCGGTATCGACCTTGAAATCGCCCGCGGAACCGGATGCAGGTGGTGCCGAAGAGGAGGCCGCTGCAGCGGTCGTCTGCGATCGAGATGAAGAAGCGAACGACGCGGGAGAGGGCGAGCCGAGTCGATTGCCCGAGCCGGCGAAAGGCTTCATAGGTGGCGGCTTGTACGGCTCGTCAGTACGTCGGTGGACATGGACTTGCACCTGCTGGCCGAAGCGGATGTTAAGCAGGTCGAGAGGTGCGTGGCCCGAGTTGATGGCTGCCAGCGTCTGAGCATGTGCGGGGTCATCGTAGCGCATGAGCTCGCCATCTTCCACCGAGAAGCCGTCCTGCCAGAAAGTGAGATTCCGGATCGCTACCTCTCCGTCGTCACCGTCATCGTCCTCGTCATCCGCACCAGCAACCGCAGCACCGGATCGGCCGCCAAATCCACCGGGCATCGTGTCAGCGGAAGAGGACGAAGGCTCAGCTTCTGCTTCGTCGTTGATGGTCCTGCCACGACCCGTGAAGGCAAATGAGGAGGAGGCCGAAGGTTTGCTGCCTGAGGCTTTGGCCTGGGCTGCAGCGAGCTCTTCGGGATGACGCTTGCCCTCTTCAGCAGCACGCTTGAGAATCTCTTGCACCAGATCTCCACCAGGCTGGTTCCTACGACGACGTGCTTCGGGATTCTCGACGCTGAGTGCACTTTTCTCACCACCGGCGAAATAGTTCATTTCGTCATCGTCTTCATCGTCGTCGTCGTGATCCTCTCCGGCCCTCTTGCTGCCGCTGGGACCATCGTTGGAGGACTGCAGGTCGCGGAAGGTCGAGATGCCGCCTCGGTTGCTACTGGACGTTGCCGAGCGAGAAGGCTGGCTCGATGCAGCATTCGAGCTGCCGAAGCCAGAGACAGCCGAGGCATCAACAGGCTGGCCCGAAAGCGTGCGTGGGCCCGTGTAGTTGTCAGGGACGCTAGGTGCGGAGTCTGCCTCTGTGGCGCCTTCGGGTTCCGCACCTGCTTCGGATTCGTAGAAGCTCGACATGGCGGTCTGCAGGTCACCGCCCGAAGCCTCGAGGAAGAAGCGAGCCTTTTCGGCCGAAGCGCCAGTGATGGCAGCGAATTGCTGGATGTTCTCGTCCATCTTGTGATGTTTGTCGATGCAAAAGCGGTCGATGGAGGCGGGAGAAAAAGGTTGCAGCGACACGCAATCTTTGCGAAGTGGAGGACTGAGCCACCGCTGACAGGCCAAAGCGTGTGTGTGTGTTTGTGTGTGCGTCTTCTTGCCGCAAGAGACCGCGCATGGACCCGCAGTCTGAAAATTAGTTACGAATACAAGTCGCGATCACACATAGTCTTCTGGCAAGGAAAATCGACTCGGACGAAAAGCATGAAATTGGAACAACTGAGACGAGACGAGATTGGAAATGCGCTGCTCCATCAACGGTTCCGCTTCTCAGCAATCACTTTCGAGATATTCGAGATCATCACCACCGACACCCTTCGATCCGTCCGTCTACATCGCCCTCCCTCCGCACGCCTTCACCACCCCTCGCTGCTATTGACTCGGGATCTCATCTCGAGCGAGAGGCATTGGCTGCTCCATCACAGATCGCGCACCTCGGCTACACGCGAACGAGACACATCGAACATCGAATATCGAATCACACCTTCGCCATGGCATCAAAAACCAACGAACAGGTCGTCACCGAGACCTTCTCGGAACGATCTGCCTTTGCTGACGGTATGACCGCCGCGGGTGCAAGTGCAGGTGCAGGTCTTCTAGTCAGCGCCATTCAGAACAGTGTCCAGACCCACAATAAGGGTGCGCTCGGTGTATTCACCCGCACAGGAAGCACCATCGCCCTCTTCAGTGAGTATCCTTCAGAGCAACGTTAAGCAATGATGCAGTCATGATGATAGCACCAACGTCGATCTCATATATTCATGCTGACTTGTCTCTCTGTTGCAATTTGGCATCATCACTCGCACTTCTTCTCGCTCTCAGCTGCGATGGGAGGAATCTTCTCGTACACCGACTCCACGGTCGCAAACTTCCGACAGAAGGACGATGCTGTCAACGGAGCAATTGGTGGTTGTGCTGCCGGCTTTGTGCTCGGTGCCGCCGCTCGTTCGGTGCCCATGATGTTTGGTGGCTGCGCTTCTCTGGCTGCATTGATCGGTACTTTTGACGCAGCAGGCAAGTCGCTCCAGGGCACCTACGCGCGCGCATCGGCAACAGACTTTTCACATGGACACGATGCATCTCCGGGCACACCGGGCTGGAGGGAAGCACGAGAGGCTCGTCGTCAGAGCTTCTTCAAGGTACGTTACCAGCAAGACAAGACCAGGTCAACATTGCAACATTCCACTGACATTTGATATCTTCTTTGTATTCGGCTACTGATAGCAAAAGAAGGAGGACGTCGAGTCCGACGCATAGACGTTGTGAATCCTACATGGAAAACAACCGCCTCACTGTAACTCGACATCTCTCGAAATGCTCACATGTATCAAGCGTACACAGCCGACATAGCCTGAGATGGTCTAAAGCCACAGGCGAGCAGGCAAGAACTGAGACTCGAATAGCTTGTGCATTGCGAAGTAACGAAGCGTGAACCGCTGGTCTAAGACAAGGAAGCGCCGACAAAGCCGGAAGACAGGACACCCTTTTCGGTCTTCAGCAAGCGGGGCTTCTTGTCCGCCTCTGGATCCGCGGCGTCGGGCAGAGCGCCGACCCAGGCGCACTCTCCCTTGTCGGTCACAGTGTATCCTGGCTGGATCGTCTCAAAGATCTTCTTCTTGGGGTTGAGCACAGCTTCGGGCTCGCGACCTTCGAAGCCCTCCACCCAGACCTTGTCGCCTGGCTGGCTTCCCTCGGGAGGCACGACAGGCTCGACACCGCCTTCCTTGCCGTCCTTGTGCGTGGCGCAGAGAAGCATGCCGTACGACTTGATACCTCGCATCGATGCGGGCTTGAGGTTGCATACGCCGATCACCATGCGGTTCTGCATCTTTTCAATGGGCACAAAGTTGACCAGACCGCTGAGGATGGTTCGCGGACCATCGGCCTCGCCGAAGTCGACCTGCTCGAGATAGAGAGCGTCGGCATCCGGGTGCCTCTCGATCGAGACGATCTTGCCTACGCGCAGGTCGACCTGAGACGGGATGGGGCCGGTGGTATCCGCAGCAGCAGCAGCAGCGCCGCCCTTCTTGCCTCCACCGCCTCCTCCGCCCCCAGCCTTGGCCTCCTTTGGTGCTTTCTCCTTCTTTTCCTTCTTCTCCTTCTTGGGCTGCTGCTCCTGTTGCTGCTCAGCGGCTTCCTTCTTGGATCCACCGGCGGCTACAGCCGCTGCTTCCTTGCTGGCCTTCTTGGCTTTCTTGAGATCTTCGGGCTTGGCACGCTCGATGGCGGGCATGCCGTCGTACGTGGGCTCGAACGAGGTGAACCCGAGCTGTGCTGCGTTGGCAGCCTTGGCCACGGTTGAGAGGTTTGACAAGTGAGAGACGTATCGTGCCACAGATGGGTTGGCATGCTGTTCTGCGGGCTGCAGCTTCGACACGGCTGGGTAGATGGAAGCAAAGAGAGCCAGGTCGGCCACCGTGGGCTCGTTGGCGGAGAGGTAGGTGACGCTGTCAAGCTGCTCGTTGAGCGATTTGAGACCTTCGGGAGAGACGAGCTGCTGCTCATCGGACTTGTCGAGTTTCTGAAGCCATTCTTTGGTGGTGGTCTTAGCCTTGTCGTCAGCACCGTAGATCTGGGTCGACTTGCCCGTGAGGCCGGCGAGCTTGTCGGCGAGGTCTACCAGTGGCAGAGCAGCGTCACCCTGAAGTTGCTGGATGGCGCTCTGTTGTGATGTCGAAGAGACAGACGGCGATGTGGTTGCGGCATGCATGCATCGAAATGCAGAATGACGGATCGATGGAGCATGCATGGACCGCCAAGGGGTTCGGACGACCGAGGCGAGGGAGATCTGTTGGTTCAGTCATTTGAGCAAGCTGGACACGCATTACACAATAGCGGCCAAAATAGGCATGTATCAAGCACTTACGGCATCGTTGGCATACTGCGCATAGGCAGCAGTGATAAGCTGTCTCGCTCGCTGTCCGGACATGATGATGGGAATGTGATGGTTCAAATGAAGGATTTGGTGTGAGCGTCGGCAATGTCAAAGTCGAGTCGAGAAGAAATTGGCGCAACTTTCGGTACGAAGGCGAATGTCAGGTCTTATTCTGCTCACAGCGCGATTTATTGGCAGCCGCTCATCAGGGGTCCACGACAAAAGCCGGTCGATCCACACGCTTCTTGACGTGAGGCGGTCTGGCTGTTCGTGAAAAATCAGCTCATGCGTGCAGGAGCGACAAAGCAATTCGGAACGAGTGAGTGATGTTGGTGTTGCGTTGCATGCCCCTTCGGACGAGCAAGAGAAGACAGCAACGCCAACCGCTCATGCGGATCGTGTGCAACCGTTTGAATGCACGTTACCTCCGCTCACATCTCAAAACTCCATCGTGACCATCTCTTCGCACAAGGCTGCTCAAAGAGCTCCAGCGACCATGTCCGTTGCCGCCCCTGCCGGCTCTCAAGCCAAGGATCTTCGACCCGTGATCCTTGTCACTGGTGCCAATGCAGGCGTGGGCTTTGGGATCTGTCAACGACTGCTCGTTCAGCTCTCGTCTCCTACACCCAGCGACACCCTCCCAAATCACCCGCAGCGAAGTTCGGATCCGTCCAGTCAGCCTTCGCCGACGCCGTTCGCAGCACCAGACGGATGCACCCTCATCCTCGCGTGCCGAAACCCCATCAAAGCTCACAAGGCAAGACAACAGCTCCAACAGCTGCTCAAGTGGATCGAAAACCTCCCGGAGCACGAAGATACCCCCACCGGCCCGCCAGAGAGCTGGGCTTTTGCCTTTGACACCACCACCAAGGATGACAAGCTGTCGGATCCAGAGACCGAGCAGGACATCCGGGACACGCCGCATGAGGATGCCGATCCTGCCCTCGTCGCACATGCACAGGAAAACAACGTCCGACGAAGGAGGAAACAGAGGAAGGCGCTTGCGAACGGCGACGACGTCAAGCAAGAGGCGGGTACATACTCTGAATCGGAGGACGAAGATGCAGACATCGACGCCGATCTGGGCTCACCGGACCTTGACGCGAGCCTAGAGCAGCGAAACAAGCGCGCCAACGCACGCTACCGTCGTCGCTTCTGCCAAGGCACACGGATCGAGTTCGTCCCGCTCGATCTCGGCAGCATGGGAAGTGCGCTCGAGTGCGCTCGCATGGTGCGCGAACGATATTCGCACGTCACGCACGTGGTGCTCAATGCCGGCTCGTCAGCATGGATCGGAATGAACTGGCTCTACGCCGTATGGATGATCATCACGCAGTTTCGATACGCCGTCACCTGGCCTGCGTACAAGTTGCAGCGTGCAGGCGACAAGAGCGACGACAACTTTGGCTGGGTCTGGCAGTGCAACGTCGGCGCACACTGGATTTTGGTACGAGCGCTGCTACCATCTCTGCGCTTGACGCCGTACTCGGTGCCATCGCGCATCATCTGGACTAGCTCCGTCGAGGCCTTCTCCAAGTACTACGACGTCAGCGACTACCAGTGCGTCGACGCGGCCAAGTCGCCTTTGCCTTACGAGTCGGTCAAGTACCAGTGCGAGCTCGCGGCGTTTGGTTTGGACGATGCCCTTCAGACCCGACGTATGCGCACGCAGCCTGGCACACCCATGGAAGAGCGTTCGTCACTGCTCGGCATGTCGAGCACCGAGAGCGAAGATATGCGCCGCTCGGCATCATCAGCAAGCGGCACGCCCCCGCACGGATTCCTCGGTCTTCCGCCCGCTTCACGTCCACAGCCAGGACAGCCAGAGCCACGCAGCTTCCTGGCGCATCCGGGTGTGGTCGCTTCTACCATGATGTCGCAGTTCGTCGCATCGTGGGTCACCGTGTTTGTGGTGGCAAGCTTCTACGTAGCCCGTTGGGTGGGATCGCCGCACCATCCCATCGACCCGTTCAAGGGAGCCGTCTCGGTCAGCCACGCCTGCTTGGCGCCGCAGCCTGACCCAAAGAAGCGATACGGCAGCCGCAGCGACTTTTGGGGACGCGAGTATGTCGGCATCGAGAACATCGACTACTATCGACCGCAGCTGGGAGGTGCTGGTCCAGGAGTGGGTGCAAGACTGGCGTTGGCAGGAATCGACCCAGAGACCGTTCAAGGGGACACTTCGGACACAGGAAGGGTGCTGGGCATGGCGCGTGAGTACGTCGGGCTGTGCGAGAGGACGGCGCGTCAGGTGTGGCGAAGTGCACGAAAAGGCGATCTGCCTCCCTGGAGCTCGCTCGCCGGGGACGAATTCGTCGTTCAGGAGCATGTGCATCAACTTTCTACCGAACGGGACGACGAGAAACAGGTCTTGGACTCGGAGGATGCGCGTCCGCCGGCCTCCTCAAAAGACGATGCAGACACCGCCATCACGCTCAAGACCACAACCGTACCAAGCAGCGGTTCCTCGACGGACGACAAAGAATGGGAGAAGGTGCAGTGACCAAACGGTGCCGTACTTCTATGGTCTCACCCCTGCTCCGAAGACGTTCTTGTAGCGCAAGCCATAGATGAATTGGATAGTGTAGAGTCGCATAGGTACCATATCGTCGACAGAACCTGTCTCGAGCAATTCGCTCACATGTGTCGTGAACGTGTTCACAGAGTGAGTTCGGCCTGACATCTGTCGATTTTACGGGATCGCGTACCATCGTCGTTCAGCTCTCGACTGGATTCGTGTCCGATAAATTCCTAGTTGATTTCGATGAAGATTCATTCGTCAAACGAAAGTTTGCAATTCCAAGGAAAAATCGAGGTCATGAAATTCTACCGGAGCACGATGGACGCCCATCTTCAGTGCAGGAAAGTCAATGTGGCGCCGGGCGAACTGCCGTCGGTTCCGCTCGCATCGACGGAGGCGAGCAAAGCAGAAGAGACGGGGCCTTTAGCCGGAAAGGCACACGGATCCGATTCGAACCATCCATTGAACCAGGAATCCGTACCCGTAGCAGTTGCGCTTGGCGAGCGCTTACCGAACGGAAGTTTTCCCGGGGTCCGAGGTTGCGAAATCGAGAGTTCGACATCGCTTCCGGTAGATCTACATACGGGAACTCAACGTTGTTCTGCCGGTGGCACAAGCGAATCGACAGAACACTCTGTCATGATCAGGACGAGGTGGTGACGAAAGGTGGCGTGGATCGCGAAGAAACGCATTGTGAACAAGTCACTGAACTGGCGCCGGATGCAAATTAGACGCAGGCCGTGTGAGTATGAAGCGCTGCCGCTGCCAGTGCAAATCGTGAATGCTCTCTGCCTAAGAGTTGATCTCGCTCTTGAGGAGCAGCCAGTTCGGGCTATCCTGTCAGCTCGCGCGTCTGATCGGGAGGAAAGATACTCTCGCGACCGGCCATCCGGCTTCCAGCTCTTGCAGCGGCCACCCAGGACGACTAAACACCTCATTTCGTCTCGTCTCGTCAAAGCTGACGAGATGAGCCGAGGCGGACTGTGTTGCAGTCGAATCGGTCGCCGATTCCACCACATTGTTAACCCCAACCTGCCTTGTTCGCACGCAACTGTGGGGACGTTCAAGCCTATAACTCTGTCGACAACGACGCCTCGGCAACGCTGGTGCATCGATTTCGCAGGGATCGTGTGGGTGGGAGAGTCTGAGTGCATGAACATTGTTCGCAAGCGAAGTGGGATATGTTCCGGCTTCCAAGCATTGGCGTGCATCGCGTTGGTGCTTCTCGACGCCGCTTTGGCGCTTCTGGACGGCACCTTGGTCTCAGCAGCGCGTCTCCGGAACGAGCAGAAGAGCTAAACGTCTTGGCGAGCGACAGCGTGTGCCTTTCGCGCAGAAGAGCCCTACGGCTCTGCATGTTCACGTCTGAACTGTGCATTGAAAATGAAACTGGTCCGGTGGCATCGGCTTCTCGTTCCAGCGACAGAGGACGTGCCGACCGACTCTCGTCCATTTCGGCTGTTGCAGGTGAAATTGATTGTTTGATTTCAATGCAGCTGCAAGCCTCGCTTTAGACGACTTCGGCTGGAGCAATAGCCTGTTCAGCTGCCGTGATATTATTATTGATATTTATAATATACATGTACTCGGATTTACGTGGCAGGGAGATTGTGCTGCCCCGGATGTAAGCTTGACGGCGAGCCTAGATCAAGCTGCGCCCGCTGCTGCCACGCACTTTCCTGCCTTTTACAGGGTATATCGCGTGGAGCCTCACACACACACACACACTCGTCAGATGCCAGCTTCAAGTGTCAAGTTGTCTGTCCTTCCGTCTTGTCGCGCTCCCGAACCAACAAAATCACACTCCGCTTCGCCCCAGTCTAGACTCGCCTAGCTAAAGCACCCTCTCTCTCTCTCTCCTTCTGTCTGCCCTTGGCACATCTCGCCTTTCGCGAATTCCTTCGTATCTTCGTACTATAGTTGAGCTGTACCATCCTCTGCTTCCTCGCTTAGAGTTACTGAGCTCTGGCGTCCTTGTTCGTCGAGTCTCTGTGCCTTTGCGCTCCCACACTGGAGATCCGAAAGGTGCTTCCATCCGGTAGACATCGTCCGGTATTCTTCCGGATATCTCGCGCTGAACAGTAGCAAGCTAGGCGTTCGCGGAAATTGTCCTCCGTCTCCTTCGCACTGGCAGTCTTGGCCATTGTTCGCATATTCTCTGCAGGTTGTGCAGCTTAAAGTCGCAACACAGTTCAGAGCCGGGGTCAAGTCGTGCTAGGCGCTAGCATTATCGCTTCCATTCCGACCATCACCCGCCTCGCCTCGCCTCACCCTCCCGCACCAGACATCCTTCAGCACGAATCTTGAGACGGGCTCACGAACATCCCCGCCTCGTACCCATCCATCTTCGTCGACGCCGTCATCTAGCACCGACTCAGCCTTCTACGCACATCCATCTCGTCTCTTGCGACCGTACCCCTTCAACATCTCTGCCTATGCTCTAATCGCCCTTTAACCGTCCCAACACTCTCTGTCAACGATCCCATCTAGCGCCCTTTGAGACTGCGTACCTCTGACAGCACTTGCAACACCCTCCCATTGTCGGAAAACAGACGTAATCTTTAGCACAGGGGCACGTTTTTCATCCTACATCAGCTGTGCAGTCCATGCAGCAGACTACAGCAGCCATGGCTGCGCCTCAGCCTTTTGGCCGACGCCCCTCAGGCGCCTTCCCATCTGACTATCCAGTAGGCGCAGATCCGCGTATGAGCGCTGCGCACGCTTACGCGCCCCATCAAGGCAACATCTTCCCATCGCATCCCTCCGACCTTGCCCACAACTATCAATTCGCATCTGGCCGAGGTCCCTTCGATCAGCAATTGCCCTTTGACGGTGCAGCTGGCTCCAACGTCCCTGCGTGGTTGTACGATGGCACGCACGCATCCGCTGCTCAGAATGTCACAGGGAATGGTCTGGCCTATCACATCGAAACGTATGGATCGCATGCGTCGGCAGCTGCATCTGGCAGCATCGCGGCTGCTTCGGGCGCGTCCATCAACGCAGACGCTCCGCATCACGCTTCCGGTACAGGACCTCCGACGGCTAGGTTTGCTTCCAAGTCAGCAACTCCCGCACCTTTCGCCGTCGGAATCCCCGACAGTGCCGCACCACACTCACTTCCCGGCAACCTGCATTCTCTCGTATCTGCAGTACCGCATACGACGGGTAATAGACGGTTGAGCGACGAGAGTGCACATGCGGTCGGCGCAGGACCCTCGATGTCTGACGCTGGCTCTTCGGCAGCCGCATTGCCACCGCGGGGCACCACCAAGTCGACTTCCGAGTCGGCAGGCTTCAGCGGATCCATCTCGCCGACCTCATCGGCGCGTATGTCCGGCAGTCCGGAAGTCATCAGTGTCGCCCAGCCTTTCCCGTCGTACACCTCGGCGACAGTGCCTCCAATGGGGGGCATGGTGATGGGTGCGCCAGTCACCGCTTCCATGATGGAATCCATCGATTCGTGGCTAGCTCCCGCCTCGTCAGCCTCCGTATCCGCGACCGCGGGCCTCGATACTCTTGCCACCGCGATGGGCCCCGCAAAGGCTCCGATGGCTCCTGCGAGCAAGGCCCCAGCCACAGAACCGATCGCACCAGGTGATGCGCCTTCCTCTTCTCGTTTGCCTGGAGAACTTACGTTCCATCCTGGCCCATCGACTAATTCCTCCGCTTCGATGCTCGACGGAGCCCCTTTCAAAACGAGTATCGAGAGGCGCGAGCGCAACAAGGCATCGCAGCGCGAGTCTCGCAAGCGCAAGCAGGATCGACTTGAGACGCTCGAAGGCGAAAACGCTGCGCTGCGCAAAGCGCTCGCCGACATGAAGAAGTTCAGTCAGGCGCTGTCCAATGGAGCGGGCATCCGCAGCGAGGATGGTACCGAAGTCGCGCCGGCTCAGCTCGCCAAGTTCACCGGTGCTTTCCATCTGGACTTGATCGAGTCTCACTTGGACGACGAGTCGCAGGAGGCAGAGTGGAAAGGCATGATCGGACGCCGCTTCCCTACCAAGAGCACCCAGGTCGACGTCACGGATGGTGATGCTGCCGTTCCGGTCCTCTCGACATCAGATTCCGACGAGGACAGCAACCGCGGAGAGCCGCACGAGTCCGCCGATCACGCACAGGGCTCCTCGTCTCTCAAAAGAGAGAGGGAAGGCGCGCCGCCGTCTGCCTCGCAACAGGTCAAGAAGGCCATGTGGGAGATTTCGCTCAACCAGAAGCGCCAACAGGCGGCGCAGAGCTTCCCCTCGATGGTTGCTGTGCCCGAGCTGGTGCTGTACAAGGTGTGCCGCCTCTACTTTAGCACACTTCTGCCGTTCACCACCAAAGTCAAATCAGGTATCGTCAACCTGCGCGCCGCTCGAGAAGCGCCTGGCTTCATCGGAGGCCTCGAAGATCTGCCTCGATTTCCTGGCGACCCCTCCTTCGGCTCTTCCGATCTGTATCTGCCGAAGAACCTCATGCCCACAGAGATGCAGATGCGACTCGGCTTCCATCCAATTGAGATTGCTGTCATGCCGTACCCACTGATGCGCGATCGCATGCTCACCGTCCTCAGCGCATTCCAGGCCATCGAGGAGCTGCAACAGCAGGAGGAGGACGAAGCTGCCGGCAGGATCAGCGAGGATAGCAGCAGTCGTGAACCCGCAGCCGACAAGGCCAGCTCTCGACAGCAGACGGCGCACAGCGACGAGCTCGAGGCCGAGGTGGTGGACGGAGATATCCGTCAGCGCACTGCTCTGGTTGCCGACATGTCGGCCTGGAAGCCAAAAGACTTTTCGGGTGCCATCGTCGTGCCGGACAAGGGCCGCGTCTACCCTTACGGCTTCCTCGAAAAGCCACGAGGCTCGCATCGTCTGCGCAAGCCTGCGCAGCGATGGCTCGACCAGTTCTTCTACGAGGTTGTGCAGACGCTGCGAGTGTGGTCGCCGGCGGGTGACGTCTTTGACGGCGAGTGCTTCGAGTTCAAGGAGAGCTTCTTCCGCAAGTACCCTTACATGGCGGATGGCGAGATCCTCAAAGCCACCAACCGATGGAGGAGAGCTCGAGGCGAAGATCCCATCCGTCTTTGAGTCCCTGCCCGCCCTTTCCTGCTCTCAGGTTCGTCCGTACTTTGCAACTTCCTCTGGCTCAGACACTCCTTCTCACGCTTTGGTCATCATGCGCATGCTCTGTTTGATCACATGCTCAGTGGCTATACATTTCTCCTGACAGCATGCAACTTCACAGCCTGCTCCTTTCCATCTGTCTTTTTATCGCTCGCTTGACCGCATAGTCTCATCTTGTCTCTCACTCTCTTTATCCGTTGATGTTTGGCCTCATTCACATGTATCTCTTCCCGATAATCACATTCACTTCGAGCTTTGTCTTTCCTCCACCACTGAGCCTTGCTGGCTGTGATAGCTCGAACCACACCCTACGCGTGGTGTACTCGCCCAAAACTTACATCGGGAGTCCCGACCGCATTCCAGACCAGAAGCGGAGGAAGTAACGGTCTGGAAGTTAATGACGCTGATCGGCATCCAGTCGTACTTGGAAGGCAACGTCGGAACAACTTCCGAATGTAGAGGCGGACAAGACCTTGAGCATTGCGTCTCGTTGAAGCGAATTCGTCTAGATTTCTGAGCCGTGCCGGCAGGTCACGTCGGCAGCCGAGTGACGCGAGCTTGCGGTGCGAGCGTCTCCAAGACCAACACCTGCAGCTCTCCAGTCAAGTCGGGATGTCCGCCGCATTTTTACATTTATTTTGCAAAAATGGAGCGAATTTTGTGCGTTGGAATTTAAGGGCCAGAAGCAGTGTGACGCTGCAAAGAGGTGCTGAATGCGTTCGATTTCTGTTGGCTTGTTCCGACTTCGATGCGTGAAATGACGCCGTCGATCAACACAAAAGCACAAAACACACAGAGACACACACTCCTCAAGCCGAGAGAAGCGCATCGGAATCCTCTGTCACGGAGAGAAAGGGGCGCGGCTGCACTGCCCCTGGGAAAACGGAGGTCGCTGCACACGTTCTTCTTGAGAGCACATGCAGTCAGTCGCAGTCCAGCCTCCTGCTAGCTCCACTCGCCAGAAGCCAACCGCATCCAGCTATACCTTGACATTGACGGCGTCATCGCAACAATTCTCATTCTAAGCTGCAACAATCTGCTTGCCATCCTTTCCTCAGAACCACCAACCCTCTCACCTCCTTCGAGTCCATCCACATCAAGTCCCCCGCTGGCGGCGTTTACGAAACAAGCACCAAAACAAGCACGGTTGAACCAAGCAAAAACCCGACGGTAAATACAACACAGCAATCATGTCGATCTCACCGATTGATATCACGTCTCTTAGACAAAGGTACGAGAAGGCGGGCCAGTCCCATCTCTTTGCCTTTTGGGACACCTTGTCTGCCGAGCAGCAAGCCGAACTAGCTCAACAGCTCGACGAGCTCGACGTTACGCGCGTCAACCAGGTCTTCCACACCGCCATCAAGGCAGACGAAGAAGCGAGGGCTGGCAAGTCGCACGAGGTGCAGCCACCGCCTCCGTCGTCCGTCGAGAACACCATCGAAGGTGAGGCAGACCCAGCCAAGGTGGAACACTTCAGAAATGTCGGCCTCGACGCAATTGCCCACGGTCAGGTTGGTGTCCTGCTGATGGCCGGTGGTCAGGGAACCCGTCTCGGCTCGAGCGCTCCCAAGGGCTGCTATGATATTGGCCTTCCCTCCCACAAGAGTCTCTTCCAGATTCAAGCGGAGCGTATTCTCTCCTTGCAAAAAATTGCCGCCAAGCATGCCACCAGCTCTTCGTCGTCTTCCTCCAGCTCTTCAAGCAGTGGCGTCGTCATCCCATGGTACATCATGACTTCCGGGCCCACACGCAAGGACACCGAAGCCTTCTTCGCCCAGCACAACTACTTTGGCCTCGAGAAGCACAACATCATCTTTTTCGAACAAGGCACCCTTCCCTGTCTTTCGCTTGAAGGCAAGATCCTGCTCGAGACTCCGAGCAAAGTCGCAACGGCTCCGGATGGCAACGGAGGCCTCTACCGTGCCCTCCGCACGCCCTACAACAAGGGTCAATCAGAGACCGTCGTGTCCGATCTTGAGAAGCGCGGCATCAAGTACCTCCACGCGTACGGCGTCGACAACTGCCTTGTCAAGGTAGGCGACCCCGTCTTCCTCGGCGTCTGCTTGGAACAGGGTGTCCAGGCCGGTGTCAAGGTGGTCAAGAAGGAGAATCCGAAAGAGTCGGTCGGCGTCGTCGCACTTCGAGATGGCAAGTTCGGCGTCGTAGAATACTCCGAGATCCCGGAAGCCTTGAGCGAAGCCCGTGATGCCAACGGCGAACTCTCCTTCCGAGCAGCCAACATCGTCAACCACTTCTACACCACCAAGTTCCTCTCCGACGACGTACCTGCGTTCGAGCCCGAGATGGCCTTCCACATCGCTCGCAAGAAGATCCCCACCGTCGACCTCAGCACCGGTCAACCGATCAAGCCCTCCACACCAAACGGCATGAAGCTCGAGCTGTTCGTCTTCGACGTCTTCCCGTTCTGCGGCGACAAGCTCGCCGTTCACGAGGTTGCGAGACGGGAAGAGTTCAGCCCGCTCAAGAACGCGAAGGGCACCGGGGTGGACGATCCGGACACTTCTCGCCGCGACCTCCTCGCGCAGCAGTGCAGGTGGCTGAAAGCGGCCGGAGCAAAGGTCGCAGATGGCGCAGAAGTGGAGCTCAGTCCTTTGCTTACGTATAGCGGCGAGGGACTCGACAGGTTTGCAGGACAGACTCTGTCCGACTCTGGCAATGTTGAGCCTTAGACACGTTTTGTTTGTTTTGTTCATCATGTAGATCGTACTATCACTGGACAATCGGATTCATCCATCGACCTCCGTCTTCCGTCGTGTCGCACACATCAGCCGTTTGAGATCTGACTCGTCCCCTGATCCTCAAGCTCAAACTCCTTCTCACGCCCAATTTGCGCACTCCACACCGATTAGCAATCTCACAGCACATCAACTCCGATTTCAGCCTAGTGTCGAAGGAATCTGGAACCGTGCCGAGGTAGAAGAGCCCGGCCTTTTTGTGTGCATTGAGAAAAAGGTGTGTGCGTGTGATGAGTGTGTTTGTATACAAGGAGAGGCGAGCGAAACGAGCTTCGTCGCCCCTGGAAAAGGGAGGATTGATCGACCTACTAAGGCCGCAGAGAGGAGTGAAGGAGGATGCAAGAGAACAGGCGAGAAAGAACACAGCTTGCTTCCGACCTCGATGCGAGTCGATCAATGAAAGATGTAAAGGTCATGCAGCGGAAATAGATGAGTCGAGGCAAAGGAGAGGTATCGAGCTGAACACGGCAACTGCTTAGTTGGCGTGCAGAAGCTGGAGGAACTCCTTGGCGACGGGCTGCTTGGCCTCCTTCTTGAAGCCAGACTTCTTGGCGGCCTGGGTGCGGATCTCGGATCGGATGGCAGCCTGGGCGTAGGGGTTGAGGCGGAAGAGAACGGCACGGTTCTTGAGAGGGTTCTTGCGCTGGGTGAAGGGGCGGGTGGTCTTGGCGGGGCCCTTGGCGCGAACGACCGACTGGATCTCGTCCGAGTTGATGATGCGTGTAACGTCGGTGTTGGCAATCTTGGCCTTGGGGAGGGTGAAGCCAGACTTGGCAGCGAAGACCTCGTCAAGGCGGCCGAAGGCAGACTGGGTGAAGATGACGAAGCGGCCAAGGTGTCCACCGGGGGCGAGCTGGAGGAGGTTGAGGCGCTCGACGGAGCAGAGCTCAACACCGGGAACGTTGCGGAAGGCCTTGACGATACCGGCATCCTTGTTGTAGATGACAAGGGGACCACGGCGCTGGGTGTGGCGACGGTTGCGGATCTTGCCAACACCGGCACGGATCTTGCGCGAGTTGGAGACCTTGACAACGTCGTTGTAGGCGTTGACCGACTTGAGGAGAGCGACGGCCTCCTTGGTCTTGGTCAGGCTCTCGGCGGCATCGGCGACAACGAGGGGGATCTCCTCGAGCTCCTCGACGCGGTGACCACGGGCGAGGACGAGCGAGGGGACGGCGGTGGCAGCCAGAGCAGAGGCAGTAGCGTAACGCTTCTGGTTCTGGTTGGTCTTGACGAACCAACGGCGCCACAGCTTGGTGGGGGCGAACATGTGACCACCACGGACCATGTTACCGAAAGCGGCCTGGCCGGATCGGTGGGTACCACCACCGCCGACACGGGGGATACGGGCGACGGCACGACCGGTACCCCACGACTCGGCGGAGGTCTGGTGACCAGCCTTGGTGGAGACGGCGTAGGGCTGACGCTTGTTCTTGGCAACATTGGCTGAGATGAGGTGAAGCGACAAGCGAGACGTTGGAAAGGAGGGTCAGTAAAGAGCTCTTGGAAAGTTGTAAATGATAAGGATGCGGTATTCGCTTGTTCTGCTGTCCTTCGTTCGTGCGTCCATTCCTGCTTGTATCCCGTTCCACTCCAATGCTGTCGAGTGCCGTCGAAAGCACATCATGATGCCTATACTTCTTTGCTCTGATCCTTCCTCCGAGGTGTTGCCGCCGTCCAAGATGCTGCCAGATGTCATGTCCTAAGGATGATGATGAGATACTCACTGTGAACGAGCTGAACGACGTCAGGTCGGATGGGGGCAGTGAAGACTGCGGGAAGGGGGAGCGAGCCCGAGGCCGCGCCATCGAGGCCCCTCACGTTAACGGCTGTTCAGTGAGCAAAGACGGAAATGCAAGGTAATGGTCGGGGTCAATGGGATGATCATTCGGGAATCGAGAATCTTCAGCAGCAGCGCAACAGGAGCAGCATCGTGTTTTTGTCGAGTCAATGTGGATTGGTCGAGCTAGCACCATCAGTCGACTGTGGAATTCGTCGGCTGCCAACTGCACATGGTGGAGCAGTCAGAGTCCACCAGCCGAACCCTATGCTGTGGTTGTTGATGCTGGGCGCGGGAGACGTGGTAGAAATGTATGTTTCCTCCTGCAAGATGCACGTTTGCCTGGCTCGACTGTATTGACCACCTCTGGTATTCAAAGCGAACATATTCCATGCAATTGCCTGCGTCTCCCTGCTGTTGTGAAGAATGTGGTCCTGCAGCGGCCGGTGGAATCGATGAATGGCGATACAGACAAGCGGTAGGTGACGTCTGATCTAGACAGATATGACGGCATGTTCGCCTTGTGTAGCTGATATGCTGAAGTGCTTGTCTGCCGCGAATGCTGGTGCTATATGGCGAAAGATAATGCTGGCTCTGGTGTGCGTATGTCCGTGTGTCGATGCTGCTACTGCTGTTGCTGCTGCTGATGATGGGCTGTGCGAGATACCTACTGGGTCTAGCAGCCATTTTCGATATCTTGAAGGGGATGGTTGGTGGATGATTCCAAGAAGGATGGCGTCGACGAGCTTTCTGAGTAGGCCGAGCTTGATTCGAGATTTCGCAGCTCTCAGAGTTGCAGTCTCGAGAGACTGACAGCAGATTCCTTGGCCTGGCCAACTGCCTTCCAGACTGGCGTAGACAAAGTGTCTCTCACACTCAAGAGTCGTACACTACTTCTGAAAAGATACTGGCTCTGCTACCGCTAAAGTTCAAACTCGGACTCCTCCACGAATTCCTGACTGGCCCCCTGCCCGTCTCCTTAACAGAAGGCCAGATTGAATCAAACGAAATTCGAATTAGCCATAATTACAGAAGGCTAAATACAGCTATACAAATTAAACGCGAGAATACTCACGTGATCATACACCTCGGCCGTTGCATGTTCACCCAAGCCTAGAAATTTGGACGTTGGTTTGAGATTCTGTATCTGATGTGCAAGAACTCACACTGTCGAGAATCAGGCTTGCAGGTCAGTCAATGGATCGGAGGGCGACCTCAGGTGCGCGCGAGAGAAGCTGTGTGCGGTTCTAGCAAGGCACGTTTCGCAACCCGAGAGCTGGCAGAGCCTGGAGACCGCGTTGGTCGTCACCACTTGCTTTCAGCTTCCTCCATCTTCCTCGTACCCTCAAGATATCACCCATCTACACCTCGACGACAAGATGACTTTCCAGACTCTGTGGTACAGCCACCCCCGAAAGTTCGGCAAGGGCTCCCGACAGTGGTAAGTGTCATCTTGGAAGCACACATAGACACCAACAACGCACCCGGCTGGTATCAAATCGAACACCTCGACATCCGACATAGCACGACCCAAAACAGCACATCACCGTCAGATTTGCACGCCTTGTCATCTCACATGCGCAAATACGTGCACATATCAGCACGGAAGCATCGTCAGTCATATGCGCAGACCCATGCGCAGTCAGCATCGCCGATCTTTCATGCCATCTTGCAACAACAGCATACACACATCCATCAATTAGGAGGACCGGAGCTTCTAAGTTGGATGGGATTCTGGCTGGTACGCAAATGTAGAGGAAGCAGGTTATACTCGCCGTCTTGTCAGCGTTCGATACTACGAGCAGCTGCGTGGGTCCCAGCGGTTCCACGAGGAGAAGCATCACAGTTCAATCCTCTCTATTGTGCCAATCGGCCCATGACGATGCAACAGTTTGTCATGCAGAGCAAGGTTGGCTTGAATGCTGTAGGAGCTCGTGATGCTGCGACGGACCGAAACTATGGCATGACGTCCCGGCATTCAAGCCATATCAACCTTTGACTCCCGCGTTGGTATCCTCATGTTGCTGCGGGTCGGCCCATATTGCCTCTGCGCTGGGCTGAAGGGTGCGAAGTTTCTTGACAAGTAGCGCAGCAACCCGAGCTCTCGCTGCATTCAAGCAATCAGCTCGGATCATCCCAACATAGAACGCGACCCTTCACCAGTTTCTTGTCTCTGCGCCCCCGACGAGACTCGACTTACCAGCATCAACACCGCCCAGATCGACTTGCTCGCATGCTCCGCGTTCCGAGATAACTACCAGCCGACACCGCGTTGTTTCTGTCTTGCTGCCGAACCATGTCAGCCATTGCAAAGTGCCTTGTACTGACCCTCCGACCGGCCATCTCCTCCTTTGTCATTCATCTCCTAAACAGCCGTGTTTGCGCTAACCAGGGTGGTATCATCCGAAAGTACGGCCTCGACATCTGCCGTCAGTGCTTCCGTGAGCGCGCTGACCAGATCGGCTTCCACAAGTACCGTTAAATCGGCAATGGATGCCTAACGTCAAGCACGAAATTACACAAACCCTCGTCTACACACACTCAACATCCCGTTGTCTCCCACATGCATTCAAAAGTCTCCACTGGAGACCTCCGCTTCCCTTGCTCGCAGGTCAGCGAGCTCTCTCGAGTTCGTTAGTCTTGCCTGCCAGTGGTCGATACCGTATGCGCAGCTACGCTAGCATTGTAACTTTCTTTCCCTACTCGCTCATGTCACATACTGTGTCGTCATCTGCTTCGAATAGCAAACCAAAACTTTCTCGGTGATCAATTGCGTCTGATGCGTGGGTCGATCTGTGGTGGAAGCTCTCATGTCGCGATAGCAGCACTTTACGCTTCTCAATCCAAGACGCGATCAGGACGACGATCCCTTAAGGGTAGACACACTCGCAGCGGCCCTCCATGTCGAAAGCCTGAGCGAAACGTGAGGATCCGGGAAAGCAGCGTTGAGGATGTTCGTGAGTGTGACTTCACGAAGCGATGCTGCTAGTAATGATCGGAAGTCGCAATGTCCAGATGGGCCCCGATCTGTCAGGAAACGTGTTTCGTGCGATAACAAGTAGCGGTCATTTGCGGAATTGACACGCGTGGGAGCTCACAAGGCACTTGCTCGAACAAAGCCGATGTTTCAATTGCATCGCTGTTGATTGGACCCGAGTTCTGTAGCTCGGATGCAAGCCTCCTGCACACGCTACTGACATTTGGCAGCATGACGCGCCTTCACTGTTGGCAGCTTGGATATCTCGTATAGTAGTGACAGGACGAACACGAGCACATCGCGTCATACGTACCGTCAGCGAGATCTACTTAGGTGCGAGTGACGATCATCGACAGATGGCGAAGAGTAGCAAGTCCAACCGACGGGTAACGGACGGGGTGAGACGGCTCAGCATCGTGGGGTATGTCTGCAAGGAACTTCAATGCTTGTACACACGCTCCGTCACTTGGCCGCCGCTCGGAGAAATCCACCCTCTGGAACCCATCATTGTTACTCGCTTGACCATATCGCTTGATCATCAGCTTTGACGAGAGTTCTGAACACCAGCCAGATGACAATCATACGTTTGCAACCATGGGTCTGCAATGAGATCCAAAGCTGGAACACATGCGAAGGGTTGCTGTAGCGGTAACGACGATGGAAGCAAGCCTTTCACGGACTTTGCCGGCCGACCGGGTCGGTCATTAAATATTGGCCTGCTTCTCACCTTTCTTCGCGATCGTCGCTCCTGACTCGCTTGGACTGTGCTATGAATTGTCCTCAGCTATGTCAAGGAAGCTCTTGCTCCTACCTCGCGACCGATCGATCACCAAGCTTCTCTCGATGAAGTTCATGTAGCAGATCGCTGGCTGATGCATTCGATAAAAGGCATTTTTCAACTTCGGTTCAAGCGGTCGAGGAGCACTGGCAGGGTCTCAGTGGTTGAAAAGAAAAGAGGCAGCTCCTGGAGAGCAGTCGAAATTACGAGGATTTACAGCGAGTGCAGAGGCACTTGGAGACATGGCCTCGAAGCGCATGCGGTTTTTGAAAGCAGCGCGTCAAGCTCGATTTGCAGAGGCTGCCTGCTGCTCGCGGCTGGCCGCTCGCCTGGAATTTCTTCGAAAAGCGAGCGTGTTGATTGGACCGCGCAATGGGGTCGAGAAGTCTCGTCGCTCGGGCTGCGATTGCCGTTGCTGGCCGGTCAGAGCTTGGCTTCCAAGGCGTGAATCAGCGGCAGCCACGAAAAAACGGGAATTTTCACCTGCTTGCACCGCACTCTCTTCCCCTGCCGCAAACAACCCCCGCTTGCCCGATAGGTTCGTCTCAACTCTGGGCTGCAGCGTGCAGTCTCGCTTTTTCTGCCATTTTTCGGCCTCGCCGTAGTGTTGCGCTGCTGGCTGGCCGTCGTCGCTATCGGCGCTTTCCGCGTGTAACTCGAGCAGTCTTTGTGCGCTGGAGGCACTGTTTTCCCCCTCGTCCGTCCGCCCGTTCGCCTGTTCGCCCGCTTTCAGCTCGGCATCGTCGTCACTCCGCTATCTGCTTTCTGTTTCGACTACTTGTTCCTCTCTCCTCCTTCACCATCACCTCTCCACACCAACTACTTTCAATTAGAGTGAAAGCAGGGTAGCTGGGTATCCCCACCACAATCATGCTTCCTCTTCGAGCATTGCGATCTTCGTCCCTCCGGGCGGCCGCCAAGGCTCCCCTCGCCCGCGGCTATGCCACCACCGTTGCCGAGGAGGCCGCCGAAATCTCCCCTTCGCTCTTCGACAAGAAGGTCGAGATGTCCGTCGTCGAGAAGGGCAAGGGCTACTACATCAACTACAAGCGCATCGAGGACAACCTCAAGGTCGTTCGTCAGCGGTAAGTGTTCCTCGTCGTTTTATCAATCTTGCCTTTGCACAGCACAAGAGCCCAGACCAGCAGCGAGATTGGGGGTTGCCATCTAGCACAGTCTGAGAGCTTTGGCAGAGTCTCTCACCCCTCTTTGCAAGTCGGCCGGCAGAGTATTCGCACCGCAGGCTTGCTGCCAAGTGTGCAAATCGACGCTTGACGGTGGCAGCGCTCAGACTCCTAAGCGTATTTGTTGCGCGAAACGGTTCTGCTTCCATGTGCGAAATACTTCGATTTGGTCTCGGAGAGCATGCGAAGGCTGGGCCGTTTCTGCACTTGACTGTGCGAGGGTCGCAGCTGATCCCTAGCATCCGCTGTCCATGCGAACATACGTACTGATCAAATTGTTTCGTGCACTCTGCTCGCTCCCCCTATCTACAGTCTCAACCGACCTCTCTCGCTCGCCGAGAAGATCGTCTACGGTCACTTGGACAACCCCCACGAGCAGGAAATCTCGCGTGGTAACTCTTACCTCAAGCTCCGCCCCGATCGCGTTGCTTGCCAGGATGCTACCGCCCAGATGGCCCTCCTCCAGTTCATGTCTGCTGGTCTCCCCACCGTCGCTGTCCCTACCACCGTCCACTGCGACCACCTTATCGAGGCCCAGGTCGGCGGTGCCAAGGATTTGGCTCGTGCCATCGACATCAACAAGGAGGTCTACGACTTCCTTGCCACTGCCACAGCTAAGTACGGCATCGGCTTCTGGAAGCCCGGTTCCGGTATCATCCACCAGATCATCCTCGAGAACTACGCTTTCCCCGGTGGTCTCATGATCGGTACCGACTCGCACACCCCCAACGCCGGTGGTCTCGGTATGATCGCCTGTGGTGTCGGTGGTGCCGACGCCGTCGACGTCATGGCCGACATTCCCTGGGAGCTCAAGGCCCCCAAGGTCATCGGTGTCGAGCTCAAGGGCAAGATGTCCGGCTGGACCACCCCCAAGGATGTCATCCTCAAGGTCGCTGGTGAGCTCACTGTCAAGGGCGGTACCGGTGCCATCATCGAGTACAAGGGTCCTGGTGTCGAGTCGCTCTCGTGCACTGGTATGGCCACCGTCTGCAACATGGGTGCCGAGATTGGTGCCACCACCTCCGTCTTCCCGTACAACGAGCGCATGGGTGACTACCTCCGCGCCACCAACCGTTCCGAGATCGCCGACCTCGCCAAGGGCTTCCAGCGCAACCTCCTCCCCGACTCGGGCGCCGAGTACGACTCGCACATCGAGATCGACCTCGACAACCTCGAGCCCCACATCAACGGTCCCTTCACCCCCGATCTTGCCACCCCTCTGTCCAAGTTTGCCGAGGAGGTCAAGAAGAACGACTGGCCCGAGGAGCTCAAGGTTTCGCTCATTGGCTCGTGCACGAACTCTTCGTATGAGGACATGAGCCGATCTGCCTCGATCGCTGAGGAGGCTGCCGCACACGGCCTCAAGGTCAAGGCACAGTTCACCATCACCCCCGGTTCCGAGCAGATCCGCGCCACCATCGAGCGTGACGGCCAGATGGAGTCTCTCGAGAAGGCCGGAGGTATGGTTCTCGCCAACGCCTGTGGTCCTTGCATTGGTCAGTGGGACCGAAAGGACGTCAAGAAGGGTGAGAAGAACTCGATCATCACCTCGTACAACCGTAACTTCACCGGCCGTAACGACGCCAACCCTGCCACTCACGCTTTCGTCGCTTCGCCCGATCTCGTCACCGCCATGGCCTTTGCCGGTCGCCTCACCTTCAACCCCATGACCGACAGCCTCAAGGGTGCTGACGGCAAGGAGTTCAAGTTCTCGGCTCCCAGCGGCAAGGAGCTGCCTCCCCGCGGCTACGACCCCGGTCAGAACACCTACCAGGACCCTCCCAAGGACCGCTCGTCGGTCCAGGTCGCCGTCGACCCCAAGTCGGACCGTCTGCAGAAGCTCGAGCCCTTCAAGCCCTGGAACGGCAAGAACCCCACCGACTGCCCCGTCCTCATCAAGGCTCAGGGCAAGTGCACCACCGACCACATCTCGGCCGGTGGCCCATGGCTCAAGTACCGTGGCCACCTCGAGAACATCTCGAACAACTGTCTCATCGGTGCCATCAACGCTGCCAACGGCAAGGCCAACGAGGTCCAGAACGTCTTCTCTGGCGAGTGGGGCCCGGTCCCTGCCACCGCCATCCAGTACCGTGAGGCTGGCAAGCCTTGGGTCGTGATCGGTGACGAGAACTACGGTGAGGGTTCGTCGCGAGAGCACGCCGCTCTTGAGCCCCGTTTCCTCGGTGGTTGCGCCGTCATTGTCCGTTCGTTCGCCCGTATCCACGAGACCAACTTGAAAAAGCAGGGTATGCTCCCGCTCAAGTTCACCAACCCCGCCGACTACGACAAGGTTCGCCCCGATGACTTGGTCGACCTCGAAGGTGTCACTGAGCTCGCTCCCGGCTCCCAGGTGACGCTCGTCGCCAAGCACAAGGACGGCTCCAAGGACGAGATCCCCCTCGAGCACTCGTTCAACGACAACCAGATCACGTGGTTCAAGCACGGCTCGGCTCTCAACAAGATGGCCGCTGCCGCCAAGTCTGCTTAAGCAGTAGAACACGAAGACGGCGCATCTGATTCTCATACCTTGTACTTATTTTTCCATAAACACATCGCCGTGTCTGCACGCTCGACGAAGAAAAAGTATGCCTTCTCTTACAACTTGGCTGGTGTGTGACGCTGCTCGCAACGGGTTGGCACGTATGAGACAACGCGAAGTTCATCGTCCGATTTGAGTGCAAGCTGTGAGATAGGCAAAGTGAACTCGCGGAGGTCGTCCAAACCGGTCATACGGCGAAAGCTGGACGGAGGGCGCCAACTTTGATCTTGCTGGCTGCTGGATTCTGGCAACTAAAATCCCGCTTCTGTGAGTTCCACGCTCGTCGGAGGTTCCGCCGGCGAGAAGCATCAGACATAGACGCTTTGCCGCTCGGGTTCATTCGTTGCCGACCTGATGTGGCCACGTTGACTCCAATTCTAAGGTTCACCTCGGCAGGCTGCGAAGGGGAAACAAACAAGATCCGGCCTTTGATTGATGTGGCCCCACGAGGATGAACAAGTGTGAAGTACAGATCCTTGTGCGTTCCTGAATCCTATATCATTCATATTCGGATTGCAAGCCATGTTGACGTTGCCAAGAGAGCAGCGAACGTTTCACATCTTTCAACTGAGGACTTGGCATGTTGCGATGGCGAGCAGCAGTCCGTTTCTCCTCTTCGCCTACAACTGTAATTTTCGCTTTTTTGCCTTTTTTTTCCTTTTTGTTTTTTATCCCTTGTCCCAGAGCGGAGTCTGAGTTACGATCGTGATCCACAGTTTTCACCTTGTCTTGGCTTCGCACACCTTCCTTTTTTTCCGCGACTGAAAGGTCGACTTTGAACTCCGACCAGAACACAGAACGCGAAAGTGCGTAATTGCACCGCTCATCGCATTCCACAGAGCGAGTGAACCGATGGTTTCCGTCTTCTGTGTGGTTTGCCAGACCTCTCACACGACCAGAGATGCGGTAGTGCGGCGCTTTACCTTCTTTGCTTGGTTGTAGCAGCGTGTCAAGGGTTCAACTTTCTCCCCACAAAAAAAACTTGTGACCATTGTGGCCTGTTGTGATGAGCGACGGGGGCCAATCGCGTCGGCTTCGACGATCGGCAAATGATCGACTGGTCATGGGACACAGACATAAGCAATCCAGCAGCATTCACCATCTCACTCGACTCTCACGGAGGACTCAGAGAGCATTCACGAACTTGGCTGGAATGGTACAAGCGTGCTCAATTGGCGCGTTCCGATTCGACGGCCACGACTTGTAGCGGAACGCCGCCATCCGCTCGAAGCGCGACACAACCCACGGTCCCTGCTGCTGTGCGTCAATTTACGCGCGACATGGTGAATTGGCGGCAGATGAGCGGAAACGGTTGGCAGGCACCACGAGGCCCCCTGGATTTAGGTGAGTCCCCTCTTTCTGATTTCAAGAAACTGAACTCAAAGCACAAACTTTTTCCTCGCATCCATTATTATTATTATATGATGATCCTTAAATCCCCTTTTATTGGGAGTTTTCTTTTGATTCGTTCTGCAGTGAATGCGGAGAGGAAATCCACAGACGGATCTTTTAGGTCTTTTTTCTTACGAAATTGTCAAGCGCTTCTTTGGTGCGAATTCTGCCAGACCACCAAAGCACCTCGCTTCTTCGGTGCAACGATGATGGCATGTTCCTGCTGGGCACGCGGGCAATTGAATATTTATTAAAAACTTCCGGTAGCAGTCGGCGACCTGCCAAAATGTGCACATGACGGCTTTACTCGCCATCAACCGCCCTGCTACTCACTTCGTCTCGGCCCTCGCTTGGCATTTGGCGATGGTGCACATGAGCCGTGTTCTACGGATCAAGGTGATCTCCCGCGTCTCTTCGTGCTGTCCTCGCTTGCGTTGCCCTTGCCCTGTTTGTAAGGGAATTAGGCTTCCTGACTGCTACAACTCTCCGCTTTGATCTCCTTCTACACTTTGTCACATGAGTTAGGGTTCGCTGCCACTGTCACAGCTCTACGCCGCACAACAGCCCACGCCGGCCATCGCCGTCTTTCTCTGCGCTCTCTTTTCAACGTTCCCAGGCTCGCCACACTTTCCATGATCGCCCACCATATAACCTCCCTTTTCCGCTGCTCATCTTCTTCTCCTTTCCCCGTCCTTCACGAAAACGCCCCTCCCTCTCCGTAGCATCTCAAGGCACGGGTTCCCCTCAGATCCCCCTTCCGAGCGCGTCCGTTTCTCCACAGGCTCCGAAGGCCTTTCTCCCTGAACACTGTTACTCCCCCCCCTGTTCGTCAGGAACCTCTGCGACCGCCGAAATGGAGAACACCAAGATGCAAGAGGTCAACACCGGCCTTCAGACCGACGTCAAGGGCGACAAGACCAACCAGCAGGTCAAGGCCGCCGATCCTGGCCAGATCGAAAAGCAGATCAGCCCCGACTATGACGTTCCGGCTCGCGGCGACGGTCGCGCCGTCGACGACATGTACGAGCGCAAGGTCTACATCCTCAACAAGGTGCTCAACGAACACATTGGCATGGGCAAGGTGCAATGGCAGCTCTTCCTCCTCTCCGGTTGGGGATGGATGGCCGACAACCTGTGGCTGCAGGGTGTCGCCATTATCCTGCCCCAGGTATCGCGTGAATTCAACATCCAGAGCAACATTCGATGGATGACTTTCTCGCTCTACATCGGTCTCATCTTCGGTGCCGCCATCTGGGGTATCTTGGCCGATGTCATCGGTCGTCGTCCTTCGTTCAACATCACGCTTTTCATCGCCGGTGTCTTTGGTATCGCTGCCGGTGGCGCTCCCAACTTTGTCGGCCTGGGTGGTCTGCTTGCCGCTCTCGGTTTTGGTCTCGGCGGTAACTTGCCCGTCGACGGCATGATGTTCCTCGAATTCATCCCGGCCAACAAGCAGTACCTCCTTACGCTGCTCTCTGTGTTCTGGTCGCTCGGACAGCTGCTCGCTTCGCTCGTCGCCTGGGCCTTCATCGCCAACTACTCGTGCGATGGCAACCAGACCAACACACCGGGCGCCAACACCGTCCCCTGTGATGTCTCGCAGAACATGGGATGGCGATACACCTTCTACACGCTCGGTGCCCTCACCTTTGTCATGTTCATCGCTCGATTCTTCGTCTTCCGCCTGCCCGAGTCGCCCAAGTACTACCTCTCGAAGGGTATGGACGCCGAGGCGGTTGCTGTGCTCAAGGAGATCGCTAGCAGGAACGGCAGGCCCCTCGGCGACGACGTCATTTCCGTAGAAATCTTCCGCTCTGCTGCTGGACAAGAGGCCGACATGGACGTCCGCAAGACCGAAGAGGAGCCTACCGGTGTCAAGGCGCTTGCTTCCGCTCCTGGCCGCATGCTCCGCGATCTGCGAAATGTTAAGATGACTCCGGACCTCTCGCACGTCAAGCCCCTCTTCTACGGTCGTCAGATGGCGATGACGACCATCATCCTGTGGATCCTCTGGGCGCTCATCGGTCTCGCCTACCCGCTCTACAACGCTTTCCTGCCCATCTACCTTTCCCAGGCTCAAGGTGTCACCGACACTTCCTCCGTCGACGTCACCTACCGCAACTACGCTATCATCTCGATCTGCGGTGTTCCTGGTTCCATCATCGCTGCATGGATGGTTGAGCTTCCCAGGTCCGGACGACGAGGCGCTCTCGGTATTGGCACTATCCTGACGGGTGTTTTCCTGTTCCTCTTCACCACGGCTACCAACGAAGGTGCTGTGCTCGGTTTCAACTGCGCCGCTGCCGTGGTTCAGAACATCATGTACGGTGTTCTCTACTGCATCACGCCTGAAGTGCTTCCCGCTCCTCACCGTGGAACTGGCGATGGCATCGCCGCCGCGCTGAACCGTATCTTTGGTGCTATGGCTCCCATCATCGGTATCTACGCTGGTGGTACTGCACCGCTGTATGTCGCAGCTTCGTTGTTCCTCTTCTCGGGTGTTCTCTCGTTCCTCATCCCACTCGAGTCGCGCGGAAAGAGTGCTCTCTGATCGTATTTTCCGCTTTTCTCGTGGATTGACGACGTTGCAATCGATTACATACTGTATTGCTTTCATATAAGATACCATTGTGGAATACATTTTGCGCGAGGACTAGACTGAAGCGATGTGTGCAGTCGGTTGAGCTTTCTTGCGAAACGAAGGAGACCGCCGCACTGGTAGCGAATATGGTAGGCTAGTTGTGATCATGACTAGAGTGCTTGTCTGCCGCTGCCAGAAGGTACTGCCGAAGGGGCCATCCAGCTGTACGTCTTGACCTTGTCAAGCGGGCCGCCGAGGATGCCAAGGTATTCATAAACCTCCTGATCCGCGTCTTCCAAGCTGTAGCCATCCTTGAGGCAATTCATATATTTATGGATACGGTTGTTGCGCAACCAAGCCTCTCCCCAGTCGCATGACCTTTTCAACTGCTGACAGCCGACGCACCTATATCCCCTCGGCGAAGGGACATCGATGCATTCCAGATCGAGCTCCTGGCACGACGTGCATTCTACGCCGTGCCTGTCGACGATCAACTCTCGCGTTGATGTATGGGTGAAGAGCTGTTGTTCGGCCGTAGAAGCGTTATCCGTTGTGGTAGATTGAGGACGTCGTAGCTTTACGGTGAGAACAGGACGGCCAACGAGCTTGATGCGTGAGGTACTCACAACTTCAACTTCGTCTTCGCTGTCATGGTCCTCTTCCTCAGAGGTGTAGTCGGGATCAGGATCAGGAATCTCTCGCTTCATGGCAACAGTTTCGGCCACGGCATCATGCAGATCTTCGTTGGGGCTTGCTGCAGTGAAAGGTACGGCGGCGGTGCTCGCCATGGCATCGCCCGGATCATCGTGTGGACTTGACGCCAAGAAAGGTGGAGCTGCTGTTGCAGCGAGCGTCGTTGACGCCAAGGGGCTGTTGAGAGAGGGTAGATCCATACGACTGGCTAGCATAGAAGCGCTGGATTTGCCAGCTCTGACGGTATCTGCGATCACCGAGGCCCAGAAGGATGGGTCGCCCGGCCTGAATGACTCGGGCAGCACCATTCTTCCTCCGTCTGCGAATTCGATATGGACTTGTCCTGGCGTAGCGTTGTCGGAAGCCATCCTGACGTTTCGAGCTTGAGAGTAGACGTGGACAATGACGGTGAATCGATGAGACATTCTGTCAAGGAAGACCCGACAGGGATCATCCTTCTTATGCGTTCTCTCAAGGAGCAGATTCATTGACGGATGGTAAGTGCTCTTTCCTCTTTCCTTCTTACGGGACCATCCGAGTCAGGCTCAATGACTGCTGCGCGTAACTGCCCTGCCAGGAGAGCTGCATCAAGCCTGAGTCAATCTCGCTCCTGATGCGATTCGGATCAGCCGAAAGTGTCGGAATTGCATGGGGTGAGAATACATTATTCAGAGAACCATCGTGGGAAATCCGGAGGATAGCTACAAGGTTTGAGGCAGAGCCAAAGTCGATCTGCGGGCGACGAGATCATTTCTTGACGCCACGCTTGGGCTGCTCGCGAGTGCCTTTGGCGGCCGGCTTGGGCTCCTTTTTGGTTCTGGGCTTCTTGGGCTTCTCCTCCTTGGCAGACTCGTCCTTCGCCTCGGTCTTGCGCTTCTTGGGCGTGCCGACTGCTTCGGAAGGGTCCTTTCGCTCGCCGCTCTCGATGGCCTTCTTCTTGGGCGAAGGGGCGCCCGTCTTTGCTTGGTTGGGGTTGTCGCCAGTGTCTTCGTATTTGCCTCCTTTGGCTTCGTACTTCTTGGACATCTCGGCAGCCTTCCAGGCGGACCACTGCCCCTTTCCGCCTCCCTTCTCCATGTTGAGAACCTCCTTCTTGGCCTCCTCGCGCTTCTTGGGGTCGGTAGGCTTTCCTTTAGACGACGGCATGGCGGAATATGTTTGTGACGATGTGTCTTGCTTGTTTCGATGCCTGGAGGACGGTACTATAAGGATTTCGGATACTAGATTCGAGATGGGTATATTTCGTCGAGATTGGTATCGTTCACGTTGACAGGGATCAGGCGCAAATGAGAGACGACCTTGATGATGGAAGCAGTTGGACAAGAGGCGAACGGACTCAGACTGAATGGATGAATCAAGGGGTGGATGGACACGTTGGTGAGCTCGACATATTGTAGAAGCCAAGGCAACCCGCAATGAGTCAATTCATCCATCCACCGCAGCCGAGAGCTGTCGTCCTTGCGAGTCGGGCTGTCATCTGGATCGAGGGGCTTGGCTAAGCTACAGGCGAAACCAGCGAGCCACGTTTGTCTCGGCATGCAATGCAGGACCCGTGACGTTGGACCCCGGACGGCTATAGAAAGCAATGCCTCCACCCCGCAGTGTTTTGGCATGCGCTGCGGTGGACATCTCAGCTCCGACGGATGGTGCGATCGGCGATACTGATGCTTCAAGCGAGTGGAAAGGCTGAGCAAGAACATCTACGCCAATTTCAAGAGCCGACGACGGATTGTGGAAAATGACAGCCGCACCGTCCGGATCTTAGAACGACCCAGCTTCCCGATTCTTTGCGCATCATGCAAAGAGTGTAGAGGTACCGACTAAGCGTTCCGTCAAAGACAGGGACCATGCTCACATGGGACATGCGAGATGTCAATGAGCTGCCGATGATCTGTGAGGTCCTCGCTGAACAGTCTGGATGGAAACATGCGGACGCAGACCCGTCCATCTACAGTAACCCTGGTTTGATGCTCTCGCATTCTTGCGAAAGCTCAAGTTTCGTAACGATGCGTCAAGAACCCAACCGATAGTGCATGCGAGTCTGCTATCTGCGCTGAACAATGTACAATGGACAGAATTATTATGAGGCTGCACTGAGGCGAGGGTCCGATAGGCCCAAGCTAAAAAAGGGGGGATCACCACCCAGATGCAAGCGAAAGAGGTCAAGTGCCAGGCAGAGCATGCGAGCTGCAGGACCGACGTAGTGATTTGCAGGCGGCATGCCTGCGCTCGTCATGCCCGCAACCGGTGCTCGAGGCGGAGAGCTCAGTTACGCTACAGCTGCGGAATGCGTCTGCTGCGTTTGTCAATAATATTTTCCTCAACGTTAGATTTCTTAGCGAGCCCAAGTGGGTTGTCAAGTGAGATTCGGGTGATTGCAGCTGAATTCACGACGTGACAATCGTGCGTTGCTGATCATTGAATTCAGTTGGAGCCTATCAATCAATCATACAATCATCCATCGGCCCCGTCCGACGTTCTCCTGAGGAACCTGCAACTTTGCAATCATCTCAACCGTACATCGCATCGCTGCTGCTGCCCTCTGCCGTCGCTATCCACATCGATCGCTTCCTCTCCAAGATTCGGCCCAAATCACTTGCACGCCATTCATCCGGCTCTGGCTTCAACAACCAGGTATCTCTTACGTCCCTCTCGCCGATCGCATCTGCGCTCAATCCGGCTGCCGCCAAACCAATCGACATTTCCATCGACAACAACTCGTGTCTTGCTAGCTCAGCAACATAACTACTTTGCAGCACCGTCCTCCATTCTCTTTCAGCATCGCCTCCCTATCGTCCCCCTTCAGGGCCATTGTCGACATGCAGGCGCCTTAAATTCTGGCTCAAACGTTCATTTCCGCAGCTCAATCGTACTCGTCCTTTGTGCTACTGGGAGGCCACTGAAACGGTGTTCTCGACTCGCTGCCCTTCAACCAGGAGCTTCAGACGAGCGACAACTTAGCAGTATACAGCGTTCTCATCGCAGGTTGCATCGCTGTCGACACCGTCCTTTCTACCCACTGCAACATCAGTGCTACCACAGCCATGCCTGCATCACTCACGAAAGCCACATCTCGTGGCAATGCTTCGATACAGAGCCATCCCGCCGGCAACGTACAGCACATCAGCTCTCCCGCTGCAGCCTCCACTTCGCAGCTTCAACCAGTCCCATCGTGGCCAAAGAAGGCAGCAACGCCACAGGAAGAGCAGGCATCCACGAAAGCAGGTCTCAAGGCGTGGTGGGCATCCTTCACCAAGGGTCGTCACAACAAGGAAAAGAAGCTCAACGCAGACCGTGTCTTTGGCGTTCCGCTCCGTCAGTCGCTCAAGTATGCCAGCGTCGCCATTTCGATCGCCGGCGAGGATGGTCAACAGTATGTCTGGGGCTACGTACCTGTCGTCGTCGCCAAAGTAGGTCTCTACCTCAAGGAGAATGCTACCGAGGTTGAGGGCGTCTTTCGTATTGCAGGTTCCCAGAAGAGGATGAAGGAGCTTCAGGAGACCTTCGATAGTCCGCCTCGCTACGGAAAGTCGGTTGATTGGACCAAGTACAGTGTCCACGATGCCGCCAGCGTCTTGCGCAGGTACTTTAACCACATGCCGGAGCCCGTCGTGCCGCACGATCTCTACACCGAGTTCAGGAACATCCGTGCCAAGGAGCACTTTGACGAAGACGGCGCCATCAAGACATACCGCCTCCTCATCTCGAGTATGCCATCCGCCAGCCAGTATTTGCTCCTCTATGTGCTCGACCTTCTCGCCGTATTCGCCCGCAAGTCGGATAAAAACCTGATGCCCTCGAGCAATTTGGCTGTCATCTTCCAGCCGGGCATGTTTTCGCATCCATCCCACGAGCTCTCGCCCGGCGAACATAAGTTGGCCGTTCAGGTGCTCGAGTTCCTCATCGACCACCAGGATCAATTCGTGCTCGGCATGACACCGCAGCCAGCCTCGCAGCTTCCGCAAGACGAGCTCACCGCTGTGTCCAAACCTATCACAGATGAGGATATCTTGGTGCCATCGGATAGCGACGAGGAACAAGGCGAGCTGCAAGTGCATGAGGGTGGAGGTGCGGTTCTGATGCGCAGCAAGACCACAAAGCCAAAGGCCAAGAGATACGGATTCGGACGATCTCGCCGTGACAATGAAGATGACAACGTCAGCGAGGTCGACGAGCTCTCTCCGCAGACTTCGCGAGTCTCTGCCAAGAGCCCTACCAACGACTCGTCGTCCGCGGATGCGAAGCCCGCTACCGGACTGCGCCGTAGTCGCACCACGCCCTCTCGAAAGCCTGTCGAGGGTGTCTCGCCAGCTCGCAAAGGTCGCCGTCCACGCGCGTCCGCAGGCGACAAGCGAGCTGCAGAGGAGGAGCAACGTAGAATCGTAGCCGCTCTCATTCCTCCGCCTCCGGAGCCCAAGTCTCAGGCCATGCAGAAGGCGGCCTCATCGGCGGGCCATACGCAATCGAAGCCTTCGAGACCCTCCGTGGAGTCTGGCGTGGCTACAGCGACTTCTGCACCGATGCGAAAGGCGCTCTCAGCTACAGACGCTCCCGCAGCTCCAGCGTCCATCGCCAGCGTCACTTCGCCCGCCGCTGTCGGTCAAGACACGACCGGACTTCCAACGCCACCGGCGTCCAAAATCCTTGGCACAGAGGCGGGCGCACCGGCATCGGCAACAAACGACAAAGAGACTTCCTAAGTCCTCCACGCTTGTTGCCGGTTTGCCGCGGTCAGACCACTTGATCGTGGCGCTGAATCCATGAACAATACCTTGTTTCCCTCTCTCTCTATCTCTCTTTAACTCGAACAATCACTTTCTCTTTTCTCTTCCCTCATCTTCATGGGGGCAATTGGTAGCTTGCTGCATATACCTGACCTAGCAGCTCGTACCTTTTGCTCTTTTGCATCGTCGATCATTTCCCCTCTTTGATTCTTTCATTCACGTGCACATACTTGATTTCCTTTCGCATCGTCATGGCTTCTTTTGCTCTTCAGTGTTTGATGGAATAGCAATTTTCTTGTCGAACAAGAACCTGGACTTGGACACGGAGGGATGTGAAGATGCGAGTGTCGTTGCAGTGTGCCGAAGTTGTACGGGTACTGAGGCACGATTTCGACCAAATCTTGAAGGCCTTGATTCGGTATAAGACTGGAAGAACGTCAAGAGAATTCTTAGTTCGGTCTCACGACCGAATCAACCGCTAGGCGCCCCTGGCACAATGCACAGCCCCGGAAGTGCACAGCCTGCAAGAACTCATTATGAATGAAGTGACTGACGGAAGAGTGATACGGATTGAAGGTTACAACAGGGGAGTGCATTGTCCAGCATGGTAGTTTCAAGCTCGCTGCGTGTGGATCCGATTCTCATTCCAGATTGCGAGACTCGATGAGCCTTGGTGTAAGGTGCTTCCTTTCGGCCTCGTCTACGATGCTATGTCGACTCGATCATCTCTGCTTGCTGCTGTTCTTCCGCATACTCCTCCGCCTGATCCGCTGCTGCCTCGGCTCCTGTCCACCACGATACCAGACCGAGACCACTACCGGCGATGCTCGCCGTGATGCTGTAGTGAGGCTTGGTCTCTTTCACCGTATGTTCTTTGTGATGCAACGAATCTGCTGTCGCTGCTGCAGCGCCTGGACCAGGTTCCGCGTCCCAGAACTCGTCCGACTCTACCGTGAACCTGACTGCTTCTGCTGCGTCGAGGTACATTCTTTCCTCGGGCTGACTGAGTAGAGGATCGGCTGCGATCTGTTCGGTCCTGGCTTCGTACAGCCAGAACCACGCACGCTCCTGATGGTCGAATGCGCACGGTTTCGGGATTAAATGATACGGGATGTACACGTCGTCGAAGAACCCCATGGTGACACGGATGCCTGCTTCGTCGGACGATTTGATCTTGCCGGTAAGGACCTCTTGTGTGAACGGTCGGAAAACGATGATTCGAAATGTGACGTGGTGGTAGAGGCATCCATCTCCGAAACGCACTTTGCCTTCAGAGCAGGAGAGGATGTCGAATAGCGAGATGCATAGTCCTACATCGACAAGGATCTTGTTGGCATATTTGATGTTAATCTGGTCGGAGATGCTCGTGAGTGGTGGCTGGCCGAACGCCGATGGGTGGACACTGATTGTGTCTTCGATATCCGCAAGGACGAACATCTTGGGGAGATGATCCGCAAGCACAGTACTGCCAATCTGTGTGGAATAGAGTCGAATAAGCAAGGGCTTGTAAGCTCGAGCGCAGAGTTGTGATCACTCTGGCCGGAAACAGCCTCTCTTTCTACGAGCCCTTCTCGCAAGAATCCTTCGCTCGTTGGGTTCGTGATGTTTGCAGAAAGTCGAAATGAGCCCGTTTGCGAATGAACTTGGTCGATCACGCCGACATGGTCAGCGCGGGTATACACGAGGGCTGCAGTCCTCAGCTGTGCGGATCGTGATCGAAAGACGGTGTGTTGCTGGGGGCACAAAGGTGTTCAAGCTCCACTTCTTCTCAGAAGCTTCGAAACATGACCAACTTTTTTTCCTCTCCGACATCCGTACTTTGAGTTTCCGAGGTTGATGCCAAAAAAAGGGTTCAGGAGAGCGCAGTAGAAACTCCGTAAAATCCGTGCAGCACACCGCGGTATGAGATGCGGATCACAACTTACAGAAAGCTTCGCTCGGGCCTTCCGCAATCAAAGCCTTCGGATCCTTCCGAACGCTCCACTCACTCACATCACGATCGCGAAGTCCATTGACGCGCCACAATGGAATTCAGCAGTCTCAAAGAGCAGAGAACAGAAGCGCACGACGCTGCTGAAGCGAGAGCGGCTGCTGCTGCCGCTTCGGCTCAAGCTGAGTCCGACTCAGCTTCCAACTCGCGTTCTTCTTCTTCATCGTCCTCATCGCAGCCGACTTCGTCTCGGCGCCGAATGCGAACACCTCAAAGCAATGCTACAACAGCTGGCGTTGGCGCCACTGAAGCCGCTGCAGAGACACCATTTGGCCAAGCAATGGCCAATCCAACAGACCAAGATGACGGTCACACGCAACCCCTCGAGGACGGATCCTTACCAACACCTGGCCTCGGCTCAGCTGAGCATGTTCCACTGACTTCAGCCTCCTATGACGAAGTGAGCACACCGGAAACAGAAGAGAAGCCTATGAAAGCGCATAACCTCCTTCAAGCAACAGAGCTACTTCAAGCTGGCGGCAATCCACTCTCCCCCTTCGCACCAGCTCCGATCCTGCGACTCAATGCGGTTCGCATCTCTGGCGCCGGTCGCGCTCTTCGTCCCAGCTACCTCGCTTCTCTCTGTCGGCCCTACATGGATCCTACACTATCAACCCAAAACCCAAACACCAGCATCCTCAATTTGCTCTACTACGGCTCTCGTACATCACACGTCCTCCCCGGCCAACCTACGACATTGCCGTCGATCCTGGCATTGACATCCTCTCTTGCGGGTGATCTGGACAAGCTCGACGTGTTCCGAAACATCGAGGCGTCCCTCGCTCCATCCGTATTTCCAGGAGCGACCGAGGAGGACGTCGATGTGATTCTGGCTTGCGGCAAACCCAAAGGACGCGTCTTCCTCAAATCATCTACGGACGTGGGCAACGGTGAAGGGTCAGCTTCCGTTCAAGGTCGGATTCGCAACGTGCTTGGGGGTGCCGAGACCTTGCAAGGGAGCGCCACCTTTGGCACACGAACCAAGCAAGCCTTCAACCTGGAGTTTGGTGGACCGCTCGCAGGCAACCCAGACATCGAATACAAGTTGGCAGCGTTCTCGCACGATCGAGACTATTCAGCCTTCGCTTCGCTTTCGGAAGCCGTCAAAGGAGTACGTGCCAGCATCAACAGCTCGTACACCGACGAGCCAAAGGGCATCATCAATGCTGCAGAGGACGATGAAGCGACAGCGACGACAACAACGCAGCACGAAGTGGCGTACGAAGCATCGTTGAGGGAGTTGGGTAGGGTGATGGGCAACGCGAGCGTGGCAGTGCGGAAGATGGCGGTGTCGCCGAGCGTCAAGTCTGCGCTCAGTTGGACTTGGGTCAGGGAAGGTAGGGATAGCCCTGTGCTGCCGAGTAGGGGAAGCAAGGTGAGGACGGTGCTGGAGTATGCTGGATTGGGCGGTGATGCCCAGCATTTCAAGGCGGAGGTTGAGGCGAGCACCGGTCGACATTTCTCACCCTTGCGGTGGCTGTTCCGTCCAACAACATCGCCTTCCACACCTTCACCGTTCCCCGAAGAAAAGTCATCCGAAGCAAAGTCAACTTCCGTCGACACAGACTCCACCCTCCCTTCACTCACCCCATCCCTCCACCCAATCTACTCCACCCTCACCTTCCGCTCCGGCCTCCTCCACCCCCTCACCTCCTCCCCCACCCACTTCTCCGATCGATTCCAGCTCGGCGGACCTACATCGCTCCGCATGTTCCGCCACTCGTCGCTAGGCCCCAAGTCCGACGGCGACTCGCTCGGCGGCGACGCCTTCTGGTCGCTCGGCCTGTCGCTGCTATCCCCCATCCCGCGCAAACCGCACTGGCCGCTGATGCTGCACACCTTCTTCAACGCCGGTCAGATGTGTCAGTTCCCCACCAGCACCGGGAAGGAGTACGCGAGAGGATGGAGCGAGTTGGTCCAGCCGAGCACGAGTGCAGGCGTGGGGCTGGTGTACATGCAGGGTCAGTTGCGGGTCGAGTTGAACGCAGGTGTACCGCTCACCGCGAGGAAGGGCGATGGAACCAGTAAAGGTCTTCAGCTCGGTATCGGGATCGATTTCTTGTAAACATTCATCCCGAAAAACACAAACACACCAACTCAATCATAACCCTCATTGCACACCTTTCTCTTTTGACAAACTTCATTGCGATCATGCTTCTTTTGGAGCCCACCTACAAATCCTCCTCCTTGACATAACCCGGGTTCTTGAGCAAGATGCTAAACCCTTCCAGCACAGGCGCATAGCTGAGGTACTCCTCTGTACCGAGCTCGGCCCTCTCGTACGTACCCACTCTGACCGGCGTGGTGTGGGTTTGGAAGCCACTGATCGTCCTGGGTTTACCCGCCTGACCCACCACATCTACCGCCTTACCCACCCTGACGCTCGTCGGCAACTCCTCGCCATTCTCGTCCAGCGTGATCAAGAATCTCGGGTACATAGCCGAGCTGAGGAAGTACAGCATCCAGTGCGACTGATCCAACACGAAACCACGTGCATCGGTCATGGAGGTCAACAGAGCCAGAATACCTGCTACCGCATTGCGCGACATGAGCTGTCGATCAGTGTGATACGGGTTGATTCCAAGCGTTCCTTTGCCCATGTGCACGAGACCTTGCGAGACGCGAACCATGAACAGACAGTCCGGCTCCTTGTAGTAGTACCCAGCGAGCTGTCTGAGCATCTGTGCAAGACGCGCATTGTTGGATCCAGCACCAACGAGACCCATGGCGAGGATGGCGTTGATGGCGACGTCGAGGTCCGAGTCGTGCGAGTACTTGGAGAGCGTATCCAATACAGGCATGGATGGGTTGGAAGGATGCAAGAGTGCCAGAGCCAGCGGTACTGCGCGTCGAGTCGTGGCTTCACCGTAGTGCATGAGATGCGAGAGATGACGCGTCGCCATCTCGGCACCCACCTCCTCGCCCATGGTGACCAGGGCGATACCGATGACAGCAAAGGCCTGGAAGAGGTCGTTGGTCTCCTTTTCATCCTTTTCGTCCTTTTCGTCCTTGTCTTGGGACGACTCTGCGTTTTCCGACTCGGCATTTGCATTCTCACCCTCGGTCTCTGGGCTCGTCTCGGGCGCAGAGCGCTCTGTGCAATAGTGAAGCATGTTCTGAACCTTGAGTACGTTGCCAGTACCTGCGTAGGAACACATGTCAACGAGCACCTGGGCCTGCTTGCTGATGGGATGCTCGATGGCCTTGAGCGTCTCGATGGTGGCATCGCTCTCGTCCTGTTTGCCGAGGAAGAGCAGTGCAAGGCCCAAGATCATGAACCTCGCCCACTTGTCGTCGAGCTGAGCAGGATCTCGCTCCATCATGCTCTGCAAAATCGTCGGCGTGATCTCTCCGTGGCAGCTGCCGGCAAACACGAAACCGAGCGAGAGCGCCGACATGGCAGCGACCTCCATGGGTGTCGTCTCGTCCTGGATGTTGGGTAGCAAGAGCGCGGCAATGTCCTCGCGGCAAAAGCCGGCGTAGGCGAGTCCGAGACCGACGGTGGCGGAGATCTTGAGTGGGATGCTCTTGGACTCGATGTGCTCGGAAAGCAGCGCCATGGCCTCGTCGAGCTCGGAACGGAGCCCAGAGTGTACGATGCCGTAAGCGAGGAAAGCACCGGCCTTGATGGCCTCTTCGGACGAGTAAGAGTACTTGTCGATCTGGTCGAGACCGGTCTCTGTGTTCCAGAGCAGACTCATGCCGAGCGAAGCAGCGGCGGAAAGCATGCCGCTGTCCTTGTTCTTGTAGATCCACGAGTTGCCTTCGGGAGCGTCCACCATGAGCTTGTCGTTGCCGAAACCTGCGTTGACAAAGGCGTTGACAAAGGTGCTGGCGAGGTTGCCACGAGCCGAGTCGACGGAGCCACCGAGACCTGTGCGCGAGTTTTCGAGGTGCGTCTTGTAGATGTCTTCGAGGCTCTTTGGCTCGAGTACGTTGAGCTCCTTGCCAAAGTTGACAAAGTGACGGGAGAGATGTGAGTTGTAGAGGATGTCAAGCAGTTCATTGTCGGTGATGGGGGAGTCTTCGTCTTGAAGCCACTCGATGGGGATGTGTTGCCTGGCGAGCATGTAAGCGAGCTGCTTGCGCATGGTCGGATTCTTGGGCGCCTCGAAGTCGGAACGAACGAGATCCTTGTCTCCGAGACGCAGGGCCAGGGTCATTGCTTCAGCGAATCGATCGTGCTTGCGGTAGATCTCGTGAGCGTTGCGGAGAAACATGGCATCATCGGGTGGCACGAGGAGGTTGACACAGCTGACCATGTAAAGGCAGACACGTGCGTATGTATCCTTGTCGACGAATTGAGGCAACTTGTCGATCGCCTCGAGCTCAAGCAAGAGATCGACGGCGTCCGCCTCGGCGTTGTGGGTGAGACTGAAAGGAACAACTTGGAGGGCGAGCTCGAGGAGCTCGTCTGTGTTCTTGTCCTCTTGGGAACGAGCGGCGTATTCTTCGCCGAGCTCTGCGGCGAGATGGCGCATGTATTCGTGACCCCACAGACCTGGATCTTCCGATTTGCAGTCGGATGCGACGTGGTTGGCCTGAAGACGGAAGTGGAGCGTCTCGCGCTGACCATTGTCCGAGTAGGTCATGGCGAGCACGGAGAGGATCTCTGCAAAGAGGCTCTTATCGGAGCTCGCCTGCTTCCATGATTCATAGAGGGACTTGAGCTCGGGGTAGTGGGGACGGAGGAATTTGAGTGGCTTGGGGACCGAGGTCATGGAGGATGTGCTGGTGCGGATGAGGGTTCGGAGAGATTCGAGCGCTGGACGATAGAGGGAGGAGTCGTCCTCTTTGAGGCGCTCCACGAGCATCTCGAGCTCGTTCTTGAGCTGTAGATCGTCCTCGCTGAGCTCATCTTCGGGTTTGTCCTTGCCGTTGAGCTTCTTGTCGCCGGGGAGACCTTTGCGAGCGGCTTCTTCACGCTGCTTTTCCTTTGCCTTTTGCTGATCTGTCTTCTTTGGGTCCTCGACGGGGACAGTGATGTCGAGATCTTGACCGTCTCCACGCGCCATGCTGGGCTAAGTCGGAGGGGGGATGCAGGGGGACCAAAGAGAGTGACAGCGCCGATGCGCTAGCGGAACGATTTCGCGGCGTGCAGCTGGCGAGATGCAGTAGCTGAGAGTACTGGAAGAAAGTGATGGCGAATCGGTCGTATCTGCGAGGCTGAAAGCGGGAGATGGTGGGCCAAGAATATGGAAAGGTGACCGAGGGAAACGAGAGCAACACGTCGTGAGGTGAGTGAGAGAGTTGGTGTGGAGTTCGAAGATTCTCGTTGCGCGTCCAGACAGGAAGCGCTAACGCACAGGCGTTGCTGAGCAGCACGGAAGCAAAGGGCTTCGCAGCCTCAGCTTAGGCCGATCACCACTCCACTTGGCTAATTTCACACGCGACCAAAGCTGTCAAATCCTCAATGTCAACAACTTCAGGCTAAGGCAAAAATGTTAGGCCGCAGGAACTGACTCCACACATTTGTCGAACTTTTTTTTTGCGAGACTTTTCGCTCACTCCGCTTTGCGACCTTTGATTCACAAACTCGGCTCAGCCGTAAAGAGCTAGAGCTTCGGGGATGTGGAGCGAAGCGCGAGTGCAGCTTCAACCGAGCTCCTTCGTCACAGCAATTTGCTAGAGATCAAATTCGCCACGGCGCCGAAGAGCGTTGTGAAGTTGACAGGCTCACTGCAAGGAGGGTGGCTCAACACGAATGTCAAGACGATCCATAACTTAGCGTTGGGATCGTCGATGGAGGCAGAGCGACTGCATTCCATCTGCGCATCCTAGATTCCTTGAATGTGGACGAATGAAAAACAATCGCAAAATGCACGACATCTTTTTTTTTTTTAGAGCGAGAGATGAGATTCCGCATCCTGTCGAGCGCGCGCCCATTGTCTGCCGCTTTCATGCCTGCTCTTCTGCCCAAACACAGGCTCAGCCGAACCACACAGCTACGGTATGGCGTAGCGACTTGTAACCTTTCTCACTTTAGATCCTTCTCCGTTAACCGATAACCACCAGCACACCTCCCTCTACATCGCGCGTAGCGTCGTCTCACGCTTGCAATCGTTGCAAAGGCGTGCAACACTTTCTCACCGCTCCCTCGGCCTGCCATCTTGCCTTCTCCGCGAACGCATCCTACAAGACAATCATGGGTTTGAGCAAAGAGACGCGAATCATCACCCTCTTGGTGATCGATGTCGTCTTCTTCTTCATCGAAATCATCACCGGATATGCTGTCGGATCTCTCGCTCTCGTAGCCGACTCCTTCCACATGCTTAACGATGTCATGTCGCTCATCGTCGCGCTGTGGGCCGTCAAACTCTCCACCAAGGACTCCGACCACCGCTTCAGTTACGGCTGGCAACGTGCAGAGATCCTCGGCGCTCTCGTCAACGGCGTCTTCCTTCTAGCGCTCTGCTTCAGCATCTTCATGGAGGCCATCCAGCGTTTCGTCAACATCACCGAAGTATCTAACCCTAAGCTCGTCATCATCGTTGGTTCTCTCGGTCTTGCCAGCAACCTTGTGGGTCTGCTCCTCTTCCACGACCACGGCCACGCTCACGGAGGTCACTCACACTCGCACGGTCACGGTGGTCACAGTCATGCCACCAACAACCACAGCCACAGTCATGCTGTTACCGATTCTTCGGCTGGCTCCAACGGCGGCACTCACCAGGACACTGCTGCCTCCAAGGCCCGCAAGCCTACTGCGGACATCAACTCTTCTTCAAACGACGACGGCACTCCCGCTAGTCCTGCTGCCATCCGCGGACGTGGTCGTCAGGACAGCGTCGGCTCCATCCTCGGCCATCCCGCTCAAACGCGTGCCTTTGTCGTTCAAACAGCTCACGACCTCGGCTATGATGCTTCCGGCTCCAGGCACCAGCACTCCAACTCGATCACATCCCTCGGCGGAAACAACGAGCGCTCTCGCTTGCTCGCAAATGGCTCCCAAGACTACGGTGCCACGGGCGCCAACTCTGATCTCGAAGCTGCTGCCGGTTCTCCCGTCGCCCGCAAGAACGGTCATTCCCACGACCAAGACTCGCACGCTGACCATGACCACGATCACGATGATGCCGATCATGCTGACGCACACGGTGCCTCCGGTGACGGCCACGCACACGGCGGTGGTCACTCTCACGGCAGCATGAACATGCAGGGTGTCTTCCTACACGTCCTCGGCGACGCTCTTGGCAACGTTGGTGTCATCGCTGCTGGCCTCTTCATCCTGTACTCGGACGCGTGGTGGAGGTTCTACTCGGATCCCGCCATCTCTTTCCTCATCACCATCATCATCTTCCACTCGGCGCTTCCGCTCTGCAAATCTGCCTCGTACATCTTGCTCCAAGGTGTTCCCGCTTCGGTCTCGCTCGAAGCCGTGCGTCACTCGATCATGGACGTCGACGGCGTTCTCAACCTGCACGAACTTCATGTCTGGCAGTTGAGCGAGAGCAAGATCGTCGCCTCTGTCCACGTCTTAGTCGACTGCTCGTCGGGTCAGACCGAGAAGTACATGAACATTGCAGCCAAGATCCGTGCCAACCTGCACGGCTGGGGTATTCACTCGAGCACCATCCAGCCCGAGTTTGTCCCCGGTGGATTGAGGGAAGCTGCCATCCTGAGCGGTGTTCAGGTAGCAGAGAGCGACAATCAAGGAAGGCTGCGAACCGTAGAAGGTAGACTCGTGGAGAGGGAAGTTCAGAAGGTAGACACAGCCTGCTTGATCGCCTGCGGTGACGACAACGACTGCCAGACCGAAAGCTGCTGTCCTCCCTCGAACGCCGCCAGCAAACCGGGCTCGGGCGTCGTGACGCCGGATCAGCATTGATCACCCATATCTTGCTCTCTTAATACACCCTCCTCACCTTGGTGCGCGAATAGAAAAACTTGTACAATTCCCAAGACCTTGTTGCATCCTCGCTTCTGTCTCTCTTGATTACATGGTTGGAATTTGAAGTCGTTCGCAGAACACACTTGAAACTGCATTTGGCTGAAACAGTCTGTCCTCAGCTCTCGACCCCAACACAGAGCCCTTCCCAAACCACATTGAAACCGATCCTCCAGAACAAGATAGAGTGGGGAAATAAGATCTGATGCAAAACAACACAAAACTTCATACCAAACACGACGCAGAACAAAAACACCTGACACCTGACAAAACACCGCCTGACATCCCAACGATCACCAACCAATTCAAACGCTGACTTTCTTTCTGCTTTACGGGGTATATATCACCTCCATCTCTCCTCTAAAAGAAACTCCACCTACTACCCTGACCACCCCTCTTCTCCCCATTCTTCTCATTGTACAATTTGACCAGATCGCCCAACTTGTCCATGACCATTTCCAACTTTTCCTTCCTCTCCTGCAAATCCAAATGCTTCTTCACACCCGGGTTCTCGCGTGCAAACTTGGCCAACTCGGTTTTGTCCAGATCGTACACGAGTTTCGCATCGATCTCCCTGGGGAACTGGTAGAAGAACTCGCTGAGAAGTTCGATGTTGATAAACATCACGGCGGTGTACGTCAGTTTGTCGGCGACGATGTTGAGGAAAGTCTCGGGACAGAAGGCTTTGGAGTGGGGACCGGAGCGACAGCGTTTCGAGGCGAGGGCGGAGAGACGCGCGCGGAGCATCTTGGATCGTTCCGTCAAGAAGAGCGCTTCTCGTGCCTTGATCAGCAGCGCCGAGTTGTAGTCCGGTCGAGTAGGATCGTTGCTATCGTCCTCCTCGATTTCGGATGGTGAGGCAGAGGCTTCCCGAGCACGTATCCTGGCTTGAACACGTTTGCGTTCCCTCTCCTCGAGATGCGTCACGTACTCCATAGCACCCTTCAAACGTCTACCGCCGAGCATCTTTTTGATCGCGTTGAACGCCGAATCGCACATACCCAGTTCCCTCTCTACCAACCCGATCGACCTCTTCCTCCCTTCCTCCCACTCCACCGGCTCCACCTCGACTTCGTACTTGAACGGCTTGACGCAGTTTTCCACCTGATCCGCGGTCAGCCCGAACCGGTCGCGCAGGATCCTCGTGCTGAAAGCAACGATGCGCTCCGCCGCATCTGGATGGTGGTTGAACGGCTCGCTCTTGGCCAGATGCTCGATCTGCGTCCGGATCGAATCCACCACCAACTGAGTCGACATCCTTCCGATCCCGGATTTGGTCAAGCTCGAACTGCTGGCATCCAGCTTGTACTGCCAGTACTTTTCCAATTCTGCATCGCCCAGCTTCCTCGCATCCGCCAGCTGCGTCAGTTCGGCCGTCCGCGCATCGCTCCAGTACATCTGCGCCAAGATGTCCATCACCTTCTCATCCAACGCCTGCTTCAGCAACGCCCTCACCTCGGGCTTGCCAAAGTTGCCCGCAAACTCCTTGAACCGCAACTTCAACGCATCCATCGTCTCTGCAACGTACGACTCGGCCGTGATGCTGCGGTCGTTGTACTGCACTTTGAACTGATAGCTCGCCTCTTCCAGCTCCACCTGGACCGCATTCGCGATCCCATGCAATGACGATCCCATAGACTCTTCCAGAACAGACATAAGTCGCTTTCGCAACATATCCGTGCCCGTCATCGGCTGCACACCTGCATTCCTGCCTCGGAGAGGCGCGCGGAAGTGCTCTCGATTTGCATCGAAAAAGTCCGACTCCTGCTTCATCACCAAACTCGTCATCCTGCCTTCCCCTGCTCGATCGTGTCCCTTTCCGCTCTGGAACATCCCCAAACTGTTTTTGCAGACCACACCGACGTACCCCAACGCCAACGGGTACTTGTTGTTTGACAGAATCCCCGCTCCCACCTCGGGCGGAACCAAATCCATCTTCGTCACCACCCCGATCGTGCGCAGCCCCAACGGATCCACCTGCCTACTGGCACGGAGCGCCGGCGAATTCGCCAGGTCGACATCGGCAGCGCAGACAGCGAGGATGATGTTAGGTTCCTGGATGTACTTGTGACAGAGCTTCTGGATCTTCTCACGCAACTCGTCGGGTTGGTCCATGCTGGCGATCTGGACATAACCGGGGAGGTCGATGAGCGTGAGGTCGGGAACGTGCGGGCTGTGGATGCGCAGCTCGATGGGTTCGTCGCTGACGCACTCGGAGGCGGGGACGGCCATGTTGAGGTCGTAGAGCGTCTTTTGGACGTGCGAGAAGTCGGTGATGCGGCCGAGACCGAGGCCGGGGAACTCGGCGTACTCGACCACGGTGTCTTTGGAGGGACGTCCCGGTTGAGAGGCGGTGTGGATGAGCGTCAGCTCGATCGGTCGACGCGTGACCATGTTGTTGCCCTTGGGCAGGAATTCATGGCCGACGATGGCTTCGAGGACGGAACTTTTGCCGCTGCTCTGCGAGCCAATGACGACGATGGAAGGGAGCGTGAGCTGGTCCGAGTCGTGGTCGATGTCTTTGAGGATGTTGCGCACCTCGATGAGTTTCCTGGTCAAGAGCATGAGTTCTTCGGTGCTGCCGTGGGCGACAGCGTCTGATGCGTCGTTGGAGGCTTCGTCATCGCCAAACAGCGAGGACGCAGCCACTGCAGCTGCACCAGCCAGTTGAGGTGCACCATTTGGATCAGGTCCACCACTACCGCTCGCCCTGGAATGATCCTGACCATCCGTATCCATACTCTCAGAGCCCATCCCCGCAAACAAATTGCGCAAGAATCCGGGCGTCTGCAGCTTTGGCAAATCGATACCATCGATCTGCTCAGAGAGCGCCTCCCATCCGTCCCTCGCGCTATCAAGCGCATCGGCACCGAATTCCGACAACCCACTGTACGCGTCCTTGGCTCGATCCGAAAGCCGTCCGTACGAGCGACCGAGCATGTCCTTGAACTCGTCGACCTTGTAGTTTGCGTAGGCGAGCGCGCCTCCTCCGGCAGCGAGACCGTACGCGGGGAGACGCACGGCTCGGAAAGCAGCTTTGGGGACCGAGTTGAACGAGATGGCGCGCACGTGCATGAGACGGCTGCCGCGCGCTGACGCGGTAAGGTGGGTGGAGAGTGCAGGGTCTACGGAGGAAGGGCGGTGTCCGGCGAAGCGCGAGAGGGTCTGACGAGTGTAGACATGGTGGGCACGGGCTGATGGCGTGTAATTGCGACCAGCCGTGCGCTGCGCAACCCTCGAGATGCTCTGATAGGAAGACATGGCTGTCCGGTCTGGCACGAGAGGCTGATGTCACTCTGCGACCTTAAAGCGTGGTAAAAGCGTAGGGTGGCAGCAGTTGGAAAGCTCAAGACCGGATGGTCACTGCAGCCTAGTCCATGGGTATCGTGTGGTCAGCTGTAGTTATCTGAAGTCAAAGTTGAAGCTGCTATGGCGGAGGCAGTAGTTGATGTTGGTGGCGAGAGTATGAGTGATGTGCATCTCGATGTTGGTTTGAGATAACAGCGGCTGAGCAAGAGCGCACAGTATGCATTCGACAGCTGTCGAAATTTCGACACTGAGGCCGTGTTGCTCCACTTTTGTCGCGACCATCGAAAAATAACACGCAATTTAAAGAGCAATGTCAGATCACTTGTATCAACACATTTGATTTCCCCCCCATTTGCGCGGCCTGCAACGCGTCCATTTACGCGGCACGCGCCCACGCAATTTTCACGCCTCTGCCCGCTGCTTCGAGACCAACACCTCTCTCCCTCCCCTTTGCTCTACCTCTTTCCATCCCTCATCCTTCTTCCACCTCAGCTCGCTCCCCATGACCATCGCCTACATCCCCTCCTCCTCTCCCACCATACGCCCAGCCAAACACCCCAAACTCACCCACACCACCATGTCTTCCTCCACCTCCACCTCCGCGCTCCGCCTCCTGGTCCAGCGCAACCCAGCCCATCCACTCGCCAAACTCCCCACCCGAGGCTCCACCCACGCTGCAGGGTACGACCTCTACTCTGCCGAAAAGGTCGTCCTCCCCTCGCGAGGTGGTCGCAAAGTCATCCAGACCGGAATCCACCTCGCCATCCCCACCGGCCACTACGGTCGCGTCGCTCCGCGATCCGGCCTCGCCAGCAAACACGGAATCGACACCGGCGCAGGTGTCATCGACGAAGACTACAGAGGACTGCTCGGCGTGCTGCTGTTCAACTTTGGAGATGAGGATTTCACCGGTAAGTTGCTTCCCCGCCCGAACGGATGAAGTTGCAAGACAACAGAAGATAGAGATTGACATGGCTTTTTTTCGCGGGGGGGAACAGTCAACGAGGGCGATAGGATCGCACAGCTCATCATCGAGAAAATCTCGACACCGGACGTAGTGGAAGTCGACAGCCTCGACGAAACTCTCAGGGGTGCTGGAGGCTTCGGATCCACCGGTGGCTTTAGTGCGCCGGCTCCCGCAAAGGACGCTGCTGCCGCAGCTGTCGCCGCTGATCTGCCTGCAGAGGTCAACGCTAGCTCGTCCTGATCCCGCCAATCCTCAAAACCTTGTACAATCTCACTCCTGTTCATCAAACGTGTACAAAATTCACCACATCACGGAATCGGAAAATCTGCTTTCTTTGCAATAGCTACCATCCGCTACCTCATCACCCGTGCATCTTCACCCAACAACTCTCATGATACACCAACCCGCACTTTTGAACCACAATCCTTTCCCCTTCCACCGCACCTCCCGCCTCGCCTTCTCCCAAACTCGCATCCTCTTCTTCCGTCGGTGCAAATTGTTCCTGAGTAATCGTACCATCCGCATCCTCCGCGTTTTCCTCCTCCGCCTCCTCCGGCTTATCGTTGATCCGCAGCACAACACTGCTCGCCGTGGAATTCGACCTGGTCATAATCCCGCTGCTCCTTCTTCCATTCAGAGACAACCGACGATCCATGCTTTCGCTCGCAAAATAACCATCCATCTCGTTCATCCCCTCTCCGCCTTCGCTCGCGTATCGACGGCTCGAGCTTCCACCTCCATCGCCGTTCGCCTGCGAAAACTCGGAAGAGGCGGATCGAACCACACCTTTCCCCTTGTCGATGCGCGGCGATGCGAGCGGCGCGGCTTTCTCGTCGTACGGAGACTTGGCCCGACGTCGATTCGTCTGCAGCAGCGATGCCGACGACGGCGTCAGCATCGATCCCAGCGGTGTACTGCCGTTGGCAGATGTGAAAGAGGCACTGCGCGATGGCTGGTACGCTCTGCGCCGGAGATCCTCCACTTCGGCCTCCTTGCTTACTTCTGGTGAGCCGACGACGACGTTCGTGCCGTTGCGCTGCGCTGCACGCTGCGCGCTTGAGCCACGTCGAGTCCCTACCACGAGCACGTCGCACCCGGCACATCGCGTGCTTGCTCCACCCGCAGGTCGCCATCCGTGCCTTCGCTGCGCATGCAAGCGCCGGAACTGATGAAACGTGTCCCGGTCAAACAACTTGTTGGTGATCGCCAGCAGTTCCGAACGCAAGTGGTAGGCCGAAAGCATGCCGTCCAGTACAGATCGTATCTCGGCGTAGTATTCGGCTCCACCAGCCGCAGACTTTGTAGTCCCGCTTTTGTTGGACTTTGAGTTGTCACCGGATCCAGTCAGGCGGCGGAAGAGCGCGGGAAACGAGACGGCTTCAGCTGCAGTCGACGAGATGAGATCCGAAAGTGTATCTTGAACAATGTCTCGGACGCCGTCGAGCAACTTCTTGGGTCGTGACGCGTGTCCCTCCGCGTGCTCGCCTTTGCGACCGTCAGCAGCGTCGAGATGCGCAACATCATGGACGAGACGAACGAGACTTCGCAGGAGCCGATACCACACCTCGTCCGTGTCCAAGCGCTCCTCTGCTCGACCGACCTTCCGCCTCGCACCGACATTCTCATCGTCGCTCTCCTCGACTCCGCCATAAGCATTGGCACGCTCGATGCACAAGCGAACCGCGACGTTGACGCAGCGCCTGGCATCTCCAAGCAATTCGTCGGCGATGCTTTGCACTGCATTGTCACCGTTTGGATCAGTAGACGAAATGTAGACCAGCGAGTCAGCGGTTCGTGCACATGCCGTGTCGAGCTCCTCGAAAGCATCCCTTGATCGTCCGAGTCGATCGAGCGCCCACAGCACCGCATCGCTGTTGGTCGCGACCCTGCTTCCATCGATCGCCGTTCCGCTGTTGCGACACACGCGAACAAGGCGCTCCAGGTCAAAGTAGTCGGCTCCTTTCGCGTCCAGATTGCGCACCACTGCATCAGGGTCGTATCGGCACAAAAGGTCGACAAAGATGTCCCTCTGCTTGCTCGAAAGGTGTTCCGGGTCCGCTCGACCTACGTCTGCATTGTAAGACGTGGCGACAGCGTCGTCGTGCGCAACATTCATGGTCCAGTCACCGGATCCATTGTCGCCAGGATCTGCGAAAGGTCCTCGAGCGACAGCTTCCTTGCTGACCTGCAAAGGCTCGAAGAAACAGCGCAGATACAGCAACAGCCTCTTCTCATCCAACTGCTCCAAGCGCTGCAGTACCGTTTCATGCTTGTCCGGGAAGAACCTGTCGAGCAAGCCTGCCGTCTTGAGCGGATCGAGATCGAGAAGGTCGATAATGTGATCCGCAAGCTGCTCGTGCAATCGACCCTGAAGCACTTGCCTTTCCGGCGTGTCCTTCCGAGCCGCATTGAACAGCACCTCTTCCAAGTGGGCGAACGCATCTCCACCCGGCGTTTTGACCTCGGCTTCACCATGTGGTCCGCCGGGGTAGGATGTCTCCGTATGCAGGTGCTGTCGCAGAAACATTACCAGCAATCGATCCCACTTCTTTTCCTGGCGGAGAGCCGATCGCAGAATCCGGTGGAACGAGGCTCGCTCGAAGGTGTCCAACCAGCTGTCATCGAAGCGCGGCTTGTAGTGCGACAGGAGGCACTCGGCTGCCAGCTCTCGGTCCTCGTGTGTCGACTCGACCACCTCCACTTCCTCTTCCGCAATGACGTCGCTGCTTCCAGGCGACGCGAGGGAGCGTAAGAGCAGATCGACGTTCTGCTGCGAGAGAGAGATGAACTGGGGATACTTGGGCGCATTGCGCGCGATGAAAATGTGAGCAAAGATGCGTGCTACCAGCGGCAACTCGGGCGACTTGGTATCTTGCAAGCGAGCAGCATCAGAATCTCTTGCGTTGCTGAGCTCGAGCAGGACATCTACCACGAGCTGCCTGCTCACGCGCTTGCCTACTACATCTTCGTCGTCAAGAAAGCCGTCTTCGAATGCGAGATCGAGTGCGTCTAGGAACGCTTCTGCATCGAATTTAAGCAGCAGGCGCAAGTATGGATAGATCGGCTCGTGATCTGCGTCCTGTCCTTGATCGCTGCCCTGATTGCGCGGATCGCTGACACTTGCGTCGTCGTTCAGGCCGTACATGACTAGCTTTCCGCCGAGACCGGGAGGCCACAGTGTGCAACTGCCTGAAAAGACGAAGGAATAGATGGAACTCTTGGCTTTGTTCGCCTGCAGCACCTCTTCGAAAGGTTCCTGGCTGGGGTATCTGTTGCCGGTGAGCAGGACTGAGAGGTAAGAGTAGACGCGATAGGCGTCCTCGATATCCCTCTCCTCGGCATCCCAATCCTGCATTGCACCCGACAGCTGCGGATCTGCCGCCTCGGTGACGCGGATGTGGGCGTAGGGATCGGCGCTCGCCTGAAGTAGGTCCATCGCGCCGCCTTGCTGGTGCGCCTCTCTCCGACGAGCTACCGCTCGCCTCAGCGGATGCAACAGCTCGATGATCGGAGAGACATAGTCGTCCAGAGCAGCGTTAAAGACGTAGATCAAGGCGTCGTACAGCCTCCTGTCCAAGCACAGCGACAGCGCTTGGTCCAGATCGAGCGATTTCGGATCCACGTGCCAGATGATACGCTCGGCCTGCGCGTACTCCTGCCTATCTCGGCGGAATGCAACGAGCCTCTGCACGACTGGAATGGGCAGGGTACGAAGCTCCCCTGACACGATGAAGTCTTCCATCTGGCCGACAAAGATGGCCTCGATGCCGTTCTCCTCGTACTTGTCGTACAGTGTGTCGAAGAGAAAATCGAGGTCTCCGAGCGATAGACAGGCTCGTGCACACACGCGAGCCAGGCCTTGAAAGAGCGACGTCCGGTCGACGCCGCGCCCGTCCGGTGTTACATGCGTATCATCGGTCAGCCGGTCTGGCGAAAAGGCATACTCCGCAGAGGCCAGCATGAGCTCGCGGAGTTTGGCGGCGACGATAAGTGTGCGATCGACGGGATCGGAGGGGAGACCCACGGCCGAACCGAGATATTTGCCCTGGTGGAAGAGAGTGGCCAGCTCGATTGCTGACAGGAAATCGCCCTGGGAGACGTACAGAAGCAGTCGGTCGGCCCAGGAGAGGAGAGTGCCGACGATGAGATCGGAATCAGTCAGGAAAAAGCTGCGGCCTTTCGAGATTCGTATGCTGTGGCTCAAGGCCCATGAGCGCGGGTGTTGTGATTCATCCGACGCGGCATGGTCATCCGTCAACTCAGCGTGTGGATCGTACGGCTTGCCAAGCAGTACGGCATCGTAATATCGCTGCTCGACGGTCTTCGCCAGAATCGCCGATGCACTGCCGCCCCTCATGCGCTCGGTCACCTTGCCGGCGCGACAATCGAAGAGCGCGAGACCCGTTTTGGTGGTGAGCATCAGCAGATCGGGACTGAACCACTGAAGTGCGACAATGTGGTCTGGCTCGTCGATGCCATCCTCGCCGGTGAGCTCAATCGGATCGACTTCTTCGACCACGACAGCTGCTCCTGCGCCATTCGCGTTACGGGTGGCTCTTGGATCCGGTCGCTGCTCCACCTTCTTGACCTTGAGTCTCAGGAGGTGAAGCGTGGGGCCGAATGAGAATGCGAGGATGGGATTGGTCTGTCGCCTGCGCTTGCCATCAGTTTCGGTAGATGCCGGGTACCAGGCTAGACAGCCTGGTTCTTGTTCGGACTGATCTTGGACGATCGCTGCAACGCTCTGCTTCTCTGCCGACTGCGCTCGATTGACTTTGCGATACCACGTTCGCGGTGAAGGCTTGAGACCAACCAGCACCATCTTGGTCGGTGTGATCATGGCGATGAAGCTGGTATCGTCGGCAGCGTGTTGGCGGGATCCGAGCGGTAATGGGCTCAGCTGAAAGATGGTGTTGCGCTTCTTGGCGTCTCCCAGGCCAAGTTCGTCCTCATGCTCGTACTGCGGGTACTTTCCGAGCAGACGGAGCGTATCGTTTGAGCTGACGCCGAGGATCTTGCCGAGAGCGTGGTAGAAAGCCAAGCCCTTGCTATCGGCGGTCACGATGGCGGTATGACGAAGACCGATGAAGCCAATGTGAACGATTGCCGAGCCGGAAAGATGACCTTCCTTCTTGCCTGATTTGACCGAAGACAAGGGAACGGGGGGGACGTGCCGCGCAGCACGCGTGGGGTTGGAGAGGTCGTAGAGGAAGACATTGCCGGAAGCATGGCCGACGCCGAGGAATGAGTGGTCCGACGAAAAGGCGAGAGCGGTGACAGCATCGCCGTGAGATCCTCCATCGTGCCCGCAAGAGGCTACTGGATCCTGCGCAAAGTCGCAGGTGATTGTCTTTCCTCCCCGAGTGCCTACAGCTATGAGACCGCCAGCTACTGCGAGCACTGTAGGGACGGGTTCGACGGCACCTGGATCGGTCCTTGCGCTGGCGATGATGCGCCGCAATGCGGACCACTTGACAAAGTCGCGGCTGTACTCGTTGCGCTCGTTCGACAGCGTCTCTTTGAGATTGTGCTGGGAGGTCGAAGCTTCGCTGTTCTGATCGGTCCCACCTCCGAGCACAACATTGTGACCAAAATTCTGACGGTGTGCCGAGAGAGAGGAGGAGGCGGGATCGCTGAGCAGCGAAGTGGCGCTCTGTGAAGTCGGCAAGAGCGCGCCGGTGAGAGTGCCGCCGTACGGAAAGGATGGGCGCGCACGGCGACGCTTTTGGTGCTGTCCAACGATCGACCCGCTGACACTTGTGGAGAAGGAGCTTTGCCTCGAACGCTGCGTCACGGACGATTCTGCGATGGCGGAGCGACTCGCATCGTCATCCTTGGATGAATGGGCAGCTGCGCCTGCTGTTGCAGCAAGACCGTTTGCTGTGAACTCGAACGGCAAAGGTGAGCGTGCTTTGCGAGGGGATGCCAGGAGTGAAGGTGTGCCAGGGACGTCGCCTGACGATGCGCCAGATCCGTCGTGGATATACTTTGGTAAGGAGAGGGAGGCGCTCGCAGCGCGGCCGACAGAAGCACGCAAACGCGAGAGCGAGGGGTAAGCCTGTGGACGCTGCGGTGTAGATGCAGATGTCATTGTGTTGGACTGGCGCAGCTGTGAAAGACCGGTGCCGGAGGTGGATCTGGAGGTGAAGATGCGCGAAGAGGAGGGATGAAATGGGAGACGCTGTCGCTGAGACGAGGTAGCGGATCTCGTGTCGAAGCTGACATCATTTGGCAGCGGGTGCGGGTATCTGAACGAGGATTCGGCGTCGCTGAGAGCTTCTTCTGCGTAGCGTGGAGTGGTGTTGGAGACCGTGTCAGCGTCATGATGGAGAATGAGCCCTCTCTGCGTGGCTGGCGAAGATGAAGAGGTCACCGAAGGACGGGTGGGAATTTCGACGGATTGTTGAGCATCTTGGTCTTGCTCGACTTGGCCATCGTCGCTACCCAGGATATCCTTGAGCTTGGCGCTGTACGTGTCTGAGCTCATCTCGCTCGAGACGATGCTGTCATCGGGCGTAGATCCAGAAGATGCGGCCGGTGCTGTATCGATGCCATCGTAGACGAAGTCGTCATCATCCTCTTCGTCCTCCTCATGCTCGCGGTTGCCGCTGACAGCGATGCCGTTACTGGTGTCATGGCCGTGCAAGTTGCTCGGTCGAGGTGTTCCAGGGGATGCGAGGACGTCGTCCATTTGTTTTTGGTAGGCAGCATCCTGTTGAGCGTGATAAGATGTGAGACGCTGAGCGTACGATGGCTCTTCGCCCCAAGGGTTTGAGTCGGCAGAGTTGTTGCGCTCCATGACTGCGGCTGTGCTCATGAAGGTGTCGACGCTGCAACCTCGACGGAATCGATCGTGTTAAGGAAATGGGCGGTGAGACTCGCCTATCGGAGCAATTGACAGCGGTCGCGGCTTTCCATCTTGATCCGCGAGCAAGTGCAAGATGACCTTTGGCGATATGGATGGACAAAAGGGATGGGATGGAGTAGGAGTGTGCTTGTCTCGGCTGTCATGGAAGCGTGGAGGTTCGACTTCGGGAACGCGATCTCGAATGTCGCTTAACACTGACTAGTTAGCCACACAGCGGCCGTGCGTATCGGCGTTCAGGGTCGTCGCTAAAATAAATTCGCACATGTTAGCAATGCTTCCGCTCACATCCTGCGACCGCCGGGCTTCAACGGAACCGAGCTTGGACAGAGCAGCTGAATCACAGTTACCGTCCCACATGGCTTGCATTGCCGCTCTCCCTCGTTCGCCTCTTTTCGCATCCGGAGAGCTTCCGACGCTTTGCCATACAACCACACAGACAAACACACACATCATGGCGACAACAACGAGCTCGGCCCCTCCGTCAGCGGAGGAAACGGCGCCTTTCAGCTCGCTGTACATCCATACGCACGACGTCTCGCGCTCCCTCAAGCCATCAGCCGACGGCGAGCTCGCCCATGCAATTCATCAGACGCTTCACTTTGCTCTCGATGGCCATCCCGACGATTACACACCTTCGTCGTCCAACTCGGGTGCTGATTCGGGATGTGGTCCGCTAGCCACGATGCCCACGGCATCGTCTTCCACCGCCAATGGTGCATCTACACCAGCAGTCGCTTCTGGATCGCAGGTCAAGAAGGGGTTCTTCCCGACAGGCGATCCAGAGCGACCGTACATCTCGTACCACTGGCAACCTTCGTCCGCAACGCTGTCGCTCCCAAATCCCGCCACCATCACCAATCCCATCGCCGACCCTTGCTCTCCAGATCTTCGAAGCTCATACGAGATCACGGCCAAATTCTTCTTCCTCGATCCGCACGACCTCTCGCCTTCCCTGGTTGACGATGCGCTCTCACGGCTCACGTCGACCACCGGGATCATCACCGTTGATACGCTGGTCCTCTCGTTCCCCACCTTGGATCTCGACTCGCGACCTCACAAGCACTCTTCATCGTCGCTCGATCCTTCCACCTCGGAACAATCCAATGGAGAAACATCCTGGGCATCTTCGGTGCGAGACATCTGGTCGCACGTCTCGCAAAATCCGCAACTGTTCTCGCTCGGTCTATCCGACGTATCTCCCACCAACCTCGAGCTCCTGCTTGGCTCCCTTTCCCCGCCCATCCAACCACCATCGATGCCCCTCTTCTCTCCCGCAATCCCCCTCTCCACCTCATCCACCCAACCCTCCTTCTCCACATCCCACCCACAACTCGCAACCTCCGACGTCCCCTCATCTTCCACCAACAACGGCATCACATCCTTCTGGAACATGGAATACTCCCTGGTCAGCACCGCACGTCGTCCACGTCTCGTCTCCATCAACGTCAAACAAGACCCCTGTGCTTTCGATCGTTCCTTCGATCAGTACTGCTCTCAAATGGGTATCCAGCTCGTCGCTCACTCCGACCGCAAAGACGTCCTACCGCAACGAACCTTGCCTGCATTGATGGACGAGTTCAAAGACAAATTGCCCGTCAAAGCAGAGGATGGCAAACAGCTCAGACCAAAGTGGGCGTTGAAGTACACAACCTTGATCAGGGACAGAGGTGTCCTCGCCGACAAGGGCTACATCGTGTTTGTATCAAGCGACTAGTTGTCGCCTCGTCTGGAAAGCAAATTTGCACTCGCAAACGCACATAAGATCTGTGGAATTGTGGTGCTGATTAAAAGTGATGCCTTTCAAAGGTCATCTGTGCGAGCCCGCTTGATTGGACTTTCCAGGACATTCGCCTGGTGTTCCTTCGCACCTGCACTCGCTGCAATCTGTACTGCTTCCGCCTCCATCGCTTCACCTACCCCTCCATCACCAGCGTCCGGCCCCTCGACTGCCTCCTGCTGCACCTTCCCCTGCTGCACCTCCACGCTGCCTTGTTGCCCCTCGATCGATCTGCAGATCGGATCGATCAAACGCACATAGTCTTCCCGCACATACGTCACCAGGTACGGCGTAGCACCCGATCGATCCCGCAACACCTGATCCAACGACGTCTCGCTCACCGCTGAATCATTGTACTTGAACCACTTGCTATCTGCGCCACCGCCGCGCAGGTTCAAGAAGTAATGCCCGTGCGAAGCCTCTCCGCGATGCATAAAGGCTGCCACCAGCCGATACGAGTATCGCCGCTCGTCCGCCCAGATCGACGCCATCTCGGTCTTGAGCGTATTGATCTCGTTCTGTGCTTGCTTGACCTGCTCGCGTAGAAGCTTTGATTCGTCTCGCAGCAGTGTCGCGAACCCAGGATCGATGAGGGTGGACAGAGCTGCGGGATATGCGCTCGTCGAGTCCTCGGCTGCGATCTGCGAAGCGACGTCGCTGTCCACTGCGACGACAGGCTGGTCTACTTGGGAAGCAGCCTGTTTCGCCAGAGATCTAGGAGACAGAGGTGCCGGCTCTGCAGCCTCAGGCTGAGCACCCTCTCGTTCGATGTCCTTGAGCTGTGTAGCCATATCAGCCAAAGACGGCAACCTAGCCAGCTCCTCCACGGCATTTGCCGCCTGACTGAGTGTCTGCGTCAGGTGGAAATTGGGCCCATCTTTGCATGCTGCCAGCTTTGCACGCAGATCCTCGATCCTCTTGCGCTTCGCCTGGTAGTCGAGCCTCTTTGCGATGCGTGCTGCGTTGCCGGACTCATCTTCATCCAAGTCCATGTACCGATCGACATAGAGCGTCTCGGGCATGTCGAGGTGTGCCTGCGACTTGAACGCCCTCATCGTGACACGGTCATACTGGACGCGCTGTAATTGGATCTGCAGCAGCGGAGGAGCGGAGAGCAACGTCACCGACCGGCGCTGTACGGCACCCGACGTGGCGACAAACGTGTCCGAGTCGAAGAATCCGTCAAAGCCGTCGTAGATGTCGCGTCCTTCTTCGAGAACATCGATAGGCAGAATCTTGAACACTTCGTGCTTGATGTGTGTGCTTGGTTGCTTCTGCGGCTGTGCCGGTCGAGAAATTGATTGATCGCTGCTGTTGCTGGCGCTGGCGCTGGGGATGGTGTCTGCTTCGATGCGTTGGCACGTCTTGCCGAGGAACAGCCTTGTGAGCAGATCATCGTGCTGGGTGTGGTCAGCTGTGCCGGTCATCGGTTTCATTTCATCGCTGCCATCGACATCCATCGTTTGTTCCGAGGAGGGTTCCGGATTGCCTCTCACGGCCTCGCTTGCGGCCAAGGCAATTTCGAGCTGGAACATGCAGTTGTCCAAACATTCCGAGACGTCCTGCTGAGCGCCGAGCTGCATGAGCGAATTACGTCTTGCAGGTGGTGGCAGAGCTGTTGACGTCGAATCGAGCATGGTGGATCTGCGGGTCGGTCGAGGAGGCAAGGGTGGCGCCGATGTCAAGGTCTCTGACGGTGGACCTTGCTTCGGGTCGATCTGCGTCGGAGGGAGCTCGTCTGGCGCAATGTCCATCGTATCGGATGTCGCCATTGACGGTGTCGAGTCGGAACCTACAACGCCATCGCTCCGATCGTCTGAAGGCGCGGGCTCATTGGGAGGAACAGCAGAGCCATCAGGACTGACAAGACCGTCGGTGTGTGGTGGCAATGAGCTTGGCTCAGGAGCGGGGTTAAGTTCGGCTTCCAAGTATTCTGCACGCGACGAGACCAACGCCAGATACGCCAACTCCCTCTCAGGACGCACGGACAGAGCGTTGGCGTGGATGAGATGATGAAAGAGCCCGCCGAGCTGAGCAACGAATCTCCTGCTGCGCTGCCAGTCGCGGGCAGTGATGCGCTGGCCTCCCACCCTGCGTTCAATGTCGAGATCGAGTTGAACTTCATCGTTGGATGCAGAGAGTGTAGCCGCCGCCTGCAGGACGCGGTTGCGGACCTCTGTGATCGAAAAGAAGTACTGAAGCACCGAGTTGAGATAGCACGTGTTGCCAATGTTGTCGATGCCTGCGGGAAGATTGTCAGACGGCAATTGCTGCCAAGACTCGGAGACGGAGGCATCCTTCTCGCCCGTGCGTAGAAAGTGTCGCAGGTAGTCGCTGTTGCGGTGCTCTGCGATGGCGCGCAGGGCATGACGCAGAGCATCTCGACGGGCGGGCGCGTCCGTGACGTAGAGGTCAAAGATGGCCAGCACCGTCGAGTCGTCCATGTCGGCGTTGGCGTCGAGCATGCTGCACGCCTGGTCAATGTCCATATCGACGTCCTCGTCCAGCGCCTGCACCAGCCTTTCGGGTTGGTCGAGGTGCAGGGTGATGACGCGCAGCGCAGCCTTGACAGCAGCATGCTCGGAGGTGTCGCTGTTGATCAGAACCTCACGCGCCCGCGCCTTGTAGTTGTCGACGATTAGATCGTGCGGGATGCTAAGACGCTCGACGTCCGAACCGAGATGAGCTGCAGAGAGATGTAGTCGCTCGTAGGCTTTATCGACGTCGCGTGGAGTGTAGCGCCCCTGGCTTCGTTCGTACGTGACTAGCTCTTCGAGAATGCGCGATGTGCGGCGCTGAGACGTATAGACCTCGTCGAGAGCTGCAAAGAGCTCCACGGCCCGTCGATTCTGATTGGCCTGCATGTTGACAAGGTAGGCAAACTTGACGAGCTGGTCGCTGGTGTTGCTGGACGCACCCAAAATGTAAAAGGCTTCGAGTGTGGAGGTCGAGAGCTCGGTTCTATACGAGGTATCGAGGTGGTCCTGACGCCAGCCGATCAGTTCAACAAGCGACTCAGAGGCGGGCCGTATGAGGACGCGCGTAGCGACGGCGAACTTGTCCGGAGCCGAGATGATGGGCGAGCTGGGACGAGTTTTGCGGAGCTGGTCGATGTGGAAGGCATGCCAGATGGTCAGCTCGAGCCAGGCGCGAGTGTTGCGTCGGAGGTGGATGTTGTCGTCAAACGACTCGAGCTCGGACGTAGGGGGCAGGATGGCATTGCGGCTGTCGGGCATGGTGCTCTGCTTCCAACCCAGGTCAAGGAAGATCTGACGTGAGAAGTGATCCCAGCCCAGCTTTTGGGTGAGCGAGGGGCTGGTGGTAGGAACGCCTCGTCGCTCGCCGTGAACGTAGTTGCCGATGACACGAAGGACGACGCTGAGGGCGCGGAGGAAGGACTCTGGTCCCGTGAGGCCGACGGCTGGATCGTTTTCGCGACTCTCTTTGAAACCTGCGAGCAGTTGTCGATCGACGATGGAGACGACGCGATCTGGGGGGCTTGAGAGGAGGTGCTTACCGGTGAAATAGCAGCGATGGGCATTGAACTCTTCGAGTGCTGGGAGAGGCGCATCCGGATTGGCGGCATCCCAGTGTTGGAGAAGGTGGACGGTGCTGCGTTGGTCTTTGGCCGGTATCGTGACAGGTTTCGTCTCGTACATGACGACAGAGCCTGGACTCAAGTTGCAGGCTTCGTACAGATTGGTTGCATCGAAGTGAGGGGCCGAAGAGGGTGAGGCGCGATAGATGCTGGATTGGTCCAAGACGAGCCTCCACTCGAGCGTTTCGGCGACAAAGAGAGCGTCTGGATGTGGTTTACACGCTTCGATCTCGGCGAGCGTAGGGACAGGAGCAGTGCTGGTTGACGAAGCGGTGGACGACGAGATGATGGAGTCTGCAGCCACCGAAGGCGGGCTGGACGGTGCTTCTGGTGTTGGGTCGCGTTCTACAGTGACTCTGCTCTGGCTGAGTTGTGGGTTGAAGAGGAGGCCAGACTCGTACAAGGCGGTCGGAAGCAGCAGATGGTAGGTGCGGGGGGAATCGACTTCATTCAATTCGGTGGATGCGGCATCTGTCAAGGGCTGAGAAGCCGAGTCGTAGGAAGGAGGCGGAGAAGGAGGCAGGTCTTCCGTGCGTGCTATCGTTGCGAGTGCTCCTGAGCGTAGAGGGGGTTCAGCACGTTGTAGCAGCTCGTGAGGCACCGATGACTGAGATCCAAAAACCTTTTGGTGGTCGTCCTCATCAATAGTGATGTCGACAGCCTCATCTTGGTCCACAGCAGCAGAGGCCGCGTCGACGCCGCCGTAAACGTGGTTCGCTCCATCGTTGGGTCGTGTGACATTGTCGACGATGCTGTCGGGATCGTATTCGCTTCGCTGCACACCCATGATGGCGGGTGAGCAGCTAGATAAACGAGATGAAGGCGACGATCAGATCTGGACCTGGTCAGAGCTGCATCAATACGTCAATAATGATGGTTTCGTTCTAGAGGAACTGAGCGCGCTCTCTGTTGGCGTCGGGCAAGGAAGGCTGGCCACGGGGAGCAAGCGCTACGATAGCGCAGGCTGTGCGAATCCACTCGCAGACAGTTAGACAAGGGCGGCGATCGATGGAAGGATCGAGGTGAGAAGGGAAGGGCCAGCGAGTCGACCGGATGCGCAGCTACAAGCCACGACCTGTTGCATGTGTGTTTCTTTCTTAGCTGTCACAGGCCTGCTCTCGGATTCGAATCCGAATAAAGCTTCGCGGCGAAGCGTGGCTTGACCGCTTGCTGAGCAGCGCCGTGTGGAGGCCAGTGCATGTCGAACAAATCTGCGTCTTCTAAATAGAGAGATCGGGAGTTGCTTCGAGCTTCTTGGTGCCTCGACAGACCTTGACTTCATCATGGGTCACGCACCAGTATCGACGCTCCCTGATATCGGAATGCAAGGGTAAGCGTAGCAGCTCGAACTACAACGATGAAGTTGCATTCGTTTGGGCGAGCCTCAGCGGCTTCGGAGGAGGCTGCACTAGACCGATCGGGCCCAGGGTCGAAAAAGGCACAGACACGCGTGACAGAGAGCCCAGCTTGGCGATAGAAGATCAGGGTCGGCTGCGAGGCCGAAAGAACACACCTCTCCCTCATCTTCTTCGCCCACGTCGCATCGGCACTCAGCAGGAGGCAGCTCACCCAAACTCAGCAGCCTGCAAACTCAATACTCCTGAAGCAGCTCACGCCTTCGGCTGGCCTCCGACGGTGCCAATCATTGCGAGCGTAGATCGATCCAGGTGCACTGCTGCTATGTCGGGCACACCACGAACTGGCGGCCAAGCCGATTCGCAGGCGCAATACGGCGAAGCTTTGGAGCTCGATGAGGCACGCCTTCAATCAGCCACCACATCCGATCAGGGCGAGATCTTCGTCATCGAATGGCTATCCAAAGCAGAAGAGGCGCTCATCAACGCCGACATCGAGACTATCCGCTCGGCTCAAAGCAGCTTCGAGTCGGCCATCCTCAAACTCGCCTGTCCCAGCGTCTCTTTCGCCAAAACGGATGACAACTTTATCACCACCACAGCAAACACGGCCATCCCTCGTCCCGGAAGGCCCACCCGGCGCTTGCTGGCCCGCTGCATCCTCGTGCTCTTTCGTCGAATCGACTCCCGCTCCCTCTTCGATATCTTGCAGAACCTCATCCGTGTTGCTGGCGAAGATGCCAAGGGCAAAACAGCAGATCGTGAGGTGCGCGTCGCCGCACTCTACATCCTCGGCGAGGTGTTCGGCTCGCTAGGCCAGCAGATCATGTCCCTTTTCAACGATATCATCAACCTCGCTCAAAAGGTGTTCAAGCAGTCCAGCCACCCGGTCATCCTCCGATATCATGCGTTGCTGGCTCTTTCAAAGACGCTCAACGTCGCCGGCAAGAGCTTGGGCGATCAGGTCGGCAAGGATCTCATCAAGGCGCTACGTCAGGGTCTCTCGGATCGCGCAGGTGCTGTGGTGCGCGGCTGTGCCGACTGCCTTCTTGCCATCACCCACCATGCTGAGCTCATCTCCACCCGCAACGAGGTCGAGGCACTCGTCTCGCCCGCTCTCAAAGCCATCGAATCCGCCGACTTTGTCACCAAACGTGCTCTCAGCCGCATGCTGGCAGGCCTCCTCGCCTCCACCCAAGTTGAAAAGGTCCCATCCGCGCCCGCTCTCGCCAAGAAGTCGTCCAAAAAGAAGAAGGAGGGCGCAGCAGACGACGATTCTGACGATGAAGATACGGCCCCTTCGGCGGCAGCGGCGGCGGCAAGCGCGCCAAGAGCCATGATGACGCCTGTAGGCATGCTTGACCAGCTCTCGCTACCCTTCCTGCGTAGTTCATCAGGTCGAAAAGCACGAGCGGCGTTCCTCGACGTCTACGCGACGCTGTTCGAGACGCTGGGCTCCGCCTGGGTCAACGCCAACTACTCGGTCATCCTCAAGCATCTCATCGACGATCTCCCCAACCATTCTCGCGGCTCGTCCCTCACGCACGCCGACGTGCTCAACGTTCGCACCGGCGTCGCGCTCATCCTGCGCAAACTCGTGGGCGAGCGCATGCTCGGCGAACAGGCGCAGGTGATCGCCATCCAGGACATCTGCCGCGACTACCTCAAGAAGTGGCCTGCTATCATGCCGGAACAGCAGCCACCTTCCAAGACCACCTTGACGCTCGCCCTGGCCGAGATCTCGGGCTTGCTCGTTCAGCTCGGAAGCGTACCACCGCAGGTGCTCGACGCCGCTTACGATCCGCTCATCCGCTGCCTCGCCCATCCGAGCCATTCCGTGCAGGTCCAAGCGTCGTGGTGCCTCAAGACTCTGTGTCAGGTGTCGCCGCTCCACCTCTCGCCCACGCTTTCTGCCGTCCTCGAGCTTCTCAACCGCGATCTCACCACGCTCGCCAACGGCGGCGGCTCTGTCGGCATCACCCAGCTCTCCAAGCGTGCCAACGGGCACGCCAGAGGTCTCGCTGCCCTCATCAGCGTCATCTCGCAGCGGCCCCTGTACACCTCGTTCGCCATCAGCTCCAAGGTGCTCTCGCTAGCCATCCAGCTGCTCAAGAACAGCGGAAACCACGATCTCAACGTCTCCACCGTCGAGATCTCGGTCGCATGGACCCTGATAGGCTCGCTCATGTCGCTGGGTCCCAACTTCGTGCGTCTTCATCTCCCTCAGTTGCTCATCCTCTGGCGCAACTCGCTGCCCAAGCCCACTTCCAAGGACACGGCGCCGGGCCCCTCCACCCGTTCCGACGCCGAGTGGGGTTTCCTCTTGCACGTGCGCGAATGCACGCTCTCCGCCATCCTCGCTTTCCTCTTCCACAACGGCTCGAGTCTCGTCACGCTCGACACGGCCAGGAGGATCGTGGCGCTGCTGAGCAATACGCTCGCCTTTGTCGACGGCTTTGCTGCCCAGAATCCGCATCTCCTGCAGGAATATACACCCGTGGCAGATCGTGACGCGCCTTCGCTCCTCGATCGCGAGTTACTCCTGCGACGTCGTCTCTTCCAGTGTCTCACGGTCCTCGCCCACAACCCGGCTATGGAGCCCATGCAGTCCGGCCTGCTCAAGATCACCATTCAAGCGTTCGCTGATCCGGATCGGTACATCGGCAGCTCAGCTCAGGCAGCCATCGCGGCTAGCGCAGGCAATTTCACGAGCGTCTGGGAGATGGCAGACGGCTACGCCTTTGGTGTCACCAGCCTACAGCGCGACTCCGAATCCTTTGTCTCGGATCCTGTCGACGCTCTTCGTGCGTGCGACGCTATCGCCCGTCCGGATCTGCTCAACCGCGATCTGGTCGAAACGCAGCTCGACGCTCTGCAGAGGCGGCCCGTCCTCGGCGCCACGGAGCACGATGAGCTCTTCCTCTACTCGACGCCGCGCAGCTCGACGTCGAACGCGTCTTTGCAGGATGCAGGCGTTTCGGGCACCACGATCGAGCCTCGCGAGTCTGCTGCCATGTCTCCGCCTGCCGCGACGGGCGTGGTCGATGCTGCCATCCAGCTCTTCACCGCTCTCCTCCCTTATCAGGAGCGAGAAGTTCAGGTCGTCGCGATCGAGACAATGCTCGCTCACACCAAATCCACCAAGCTTGACAGGAACCCTGGCCGCAAGCAGGCCATCCAGGTCAATGTCGTGGTCGCCATCCTGGGCGCGCTCAGAGTCGCAACGCAAGGCGGCACAGGTGCCAACGGCAAGCGTCCAGGCGGCTTCAACAACGATCGCCTCAGCTCGTCCATCAAGGATCTGCTGCAGGATGCACTCCTCCAGACCGACGCTGCGCTTCGCGCCGCTGCAAGCGAGGCATACGGCAAACTCGCTGCGGTGGCTGGTTCGCAGGCATTGTCCAGCCAGGTGCAATTCCTCGTCGACCAAATTGTTGGCAACCGCGATCCGGACGCTCGAGCGGGCTGCGCACTCGCCTTTGGCGCGGTGTACAAGGAGGTCGGTGGCTTGGCTGCTGGTCCCTTGACCAAGACCATCGTCAACGTCCTCATGTCGCTGTCCAACGATCCGCATCCGACGGTCCACTACAACGCGCTGGAAGCTCTCCACGTCGTCATCGACTCGGCCAGCTTGAGCTACAGCCCATATGTCGCCAGCACGCTTGGGATGCTCGTCAAGCTCTACATGCTCGACACGCACGAGCCCGAAGGCGGCAGCGCCGGCTCCGTCAATCTGCGCGCCGACCTGCCTGCTCACCAGGCCGTCTGCCGCGTCGTCAATGCGCTCATCGGCGTGCTTGGCCCCGATCTGCAGGAGTCTGTCCGTGTTCGCAGCCTCATCCATCGTCTGCTCTCCGAGTTTTCACGCGAGTCGGATCCCGGCGTCGTCGTCGAGTCGACCAAGGCGCTGCAGCACTACGGTCTCTTTGCTGCCGATTTCATCGACGTTGGCGAATGGATCCAGCAGCTGCACAGGCAGCTCACCGGCAAGCAGCGAACGCTGAAGCTGGCTTCCATCAATGCCTTCTACCAGCTCGTGCAGCGTGAGGCGCTTGCTATGAGCCGAATCGGTGGCGACCAGCTCGTCGAAGAGTTCTTTGCTCAGATCGACGAGGATCCGAAACTCGGTGGAGCTCGCGAAGTCATCCTGAGCTGGTTGCAAAAGACGGCCGATCTGGCGCCGAGCGGCTGGATCGACCTTTGCCAACGCATCATGTCGTCGGCGCCTCCGCGGCAAACGGCAGCCGACGCTACGGGCAAGGGAAGAGACGCGCTGCCGAGCCTCGCCACCATGCTGCAGGACGAGGAAGCGGCGGCGATTGATCTCGGCAACGAGACCAACCTCGTCAAACTCAACGCTACCGGCGGTAGCCGCTGGCGTACTCAGCTGTTTGCGCTCCGCTGCCTGCACCAGGTCTTCGTCACAGTTCGCCAGGCTGGCAAGCTTGAGCACTTCAGCACGCCTCCTGGAGCTGGCGCCAAGGGCCAAGCGTCGCAGCAGCGCCGCCTTTTGATGAGCAACCGCGTCGTCGACCTCATCCGCATGGCCTTTACTGCCAGCACGTCGGCCAACATCGAGATCCGTCTCGAAGGTCTGGTGGTGCTGCGCGACGTGATCGAGTCTTTCAAGCTGGCGCGCGACCCGGACTTCGAAGAGGCGCTCCTTTTGGAACAACATCAAGCGCCCATCGCGGCTGCATTGACTCCGGCGTTCTTGGCAGACTCGACGCCAGAGGTGCTGGCAGCGGCGGTGCAGGTGTGTGCCGTCTTTGTCTCTTCCGGTGTGGTCAAGGAGGTGAGTCGCATGGGTCGAATCCTCAAGCAGCTCGTCTCTGCGCTGGACAGCTGCATGCAGCCTAGCATGACCCAGCTGGGCGACGTCAAGGATCTTTCGCAAAACGCCAATGCGATGCTCAAGATCGCCGTTTTTACGGCGTGGGCCGAACTGCAAACGGCCAGCGCTACGCAGAGCTATCTGGTGGATGTGGTCAAGCCGCACGTAGCTCGCATCGTACCTTATTGGATCGCTTGCTTGCGCGAGTACGCAAAGATCCGCTCGGACCCAGAGATGGACGCAGGCGGTGCAGCCGACGGTCCAGGTCCTTCGATCAATGCCAGCCTTGACTCGCAGTATGCCGATCTGGCGCGTGAGGTGGTGCTGCCCTATCACGAACGCTCGTGGTACACGATCATGCAGGCGGTCACGGGTCTGTTGCACGATAGCGACGCACGCGCACTGGCAGCAATGGATGGCGAGACCGCACCTGCCACGACGGCCTCGAGTGCGACGGCGAACAACGCTCGAAGCGAGCCGTGCTTGTTCTTCTTTGTTTTGTACGGACTGGCGTTTGAAGCGCTGGCGACTCGGTCGTCGAGCAGCGTCGAGTCGCTGCACGAAAGCACGGTGATGCGCATCTCGCTGCGTGCCATGACGTCTCTCAGCAGACCGCAGGTGGCCGGCTCAGCGCTGCTCCAAGATACGCTGTTTTCAGAGCTGTGCAATTTGTGGTATCGTCTGGTCATGACCGAACCTCCTGCAGTGCAGGTGTCGGTGCTCGAGACGATCGGCGGCATGGCTGCGTCCTACGGTAAGCTGCTGCTGTCTGCGGACGACCAGGCTGCGGCTGAAGCCGGCAGGCTGCCGAACGAGGCCAAGCTGAGCCAATGCCTGCGTGTCGTTGTCTGCGTGTTGCAGAATGTGCGCCCAACGCGCGGCTCGGTCGAGGAGAAGACGGCTCTGCTGCGAGTAGCCTATTCGGCTTACATTGGCATTGTCGGTCTGTATCCCAAGGCGCTGCAGGAGGACCTGTTCGCGGTCGGCTTCTACACGTACGCCGAGATGCTCAAGGACGAGACCTCGGAGCAAGATCTCGTCTCGCCATCCTTGGGCGCGCTCAAAGATCTGTGTGAGCGCTCTGCGAAATCGGTCAAGCCCAACAGCGACGTGCTGCAACGCGCGATCCACGGCTTTCTGTCCCAAGCTCTGCAGCACGTCGAGGACCTGCGTACGCGTGATGGCCGTATCGCGCTCAACAAGACGAAGAACAGTCTTTTGGCTACGGTGGTGGTGCTCACGTCGATCCCGGTGAATGTCAAGGTGTCGCAGGCGGTGGCGGAGCATGCGTGCTATTTGATCGTTCAGAAGCTGCTGCAGTTTGAGGAGGAGGTGGAGCAGTCGATGCAGACGCCGCAGGAGGTTGGGGCGGGGGTGCAGGAGGTGGGGTTGACGGCGGTGAATTGTGCGAGGACGGTGGTGCTTGCTTCGTCGCGCGGTAATGCGGCGCTGTTGTACTGTGTGGGGCAGTTGTTGCCGGGGTTGATCGAGTTTGTTTGTCGCGCTGGACCGGTGGTCGCTGGTGGTGGGGCGAAGGCGGGAACGAGCGGAGCGATGGTGCTGCTCAAGGGGGCGGTGGAGGATGTGATCAAGACGTTTGCCGGGTTGATCGCTGTGCTTCCCATCGAGGGAGAGTTCCGCGCAAAAGCACTGGCTATCGTTCTGCCGACGTTGGTGGTGTTGCTTTCACCGAATGCGGTGACAGAGCTGCACACGTTCACGGTGCGACAGCTGATCACGCTGGCGGGACAGCATGCGGCGGCGTTCAAGGAGGCCACTGCGTCGTTGGATGCGGAGAGGAGGGCGCTGTTGGAGAGTGCGATTCGTGCTCAATTGGGTCAGGCTGCGGGAGGGACGGCTGGTGCAGCGGGTGCTGCGGGAGGAGCGGCGGCGGGCAAGCAACCGGCGAGCTCGATCGCGCTCAAGTCATTTGGTAGCTAGAGTGCGCGAGGGGAAGAGCTGTTTGTTTGAGGAGAATGTTACAATTGCATTTGTTTGTCTGTTGCGTAAGGGGTGATGGTGTGATGATGTGTGGATATGCATGGAGGCTAGAACAGGCGGAAGTTGGACATCTGAGCTTCTTCGTCTGCTTTTGAGTCTGGTGCTGATGATGACACTTGCTCCGACTGCGTTGTTGACACTGCAACGATTCCCTCCCCTGTCAATGCTGTCTCTGTCTCCGTCGTCGGTTTCGCCTCCAGTTCCCTCTTGACGCCCGACTTGGCGCTCAGACTGGCAGCGATCCTCCCCTCGGCCTCTCCCCCACCCACCTTATCCGCACCACCGCCTTCCTCCTTCGCCCTCCTCTCATTCGCAGCCGACGCCACGCTCTGCAGGTTCATCTTCTTGAACCTCTCGTACTCCGTCAACACGCTGATCGCTGCCGAATTCTTGACTAGTTCCGCAACGATCCACAGATCGGGATTGTTCAAGTTGGCAGTGTGGATGCGTTTCCTCTCGCCACCCTCCTCCTCTGGTTCAGCGGTGGGGATTTGCGAAGCGATGATCTGGATGACGTCGTTACGCTTCAGCTTGCCGTGCGATCGGATGCGAGGATCGATTTTGAACGTCTTTGCCTCGGCAGGGTTGGAGGAGAAGTATTTGGGCAAAATAGACTGGGCTAGGGTGGTGAGGTCGGTCGCGTTGGCGGGACAGGTGGTGGTGACGGGGGTGAGGCGTTGGACGAAGCGGGTGCGTGGTTCGCCGGAGAGCTCGACGTCGCGGAGGATGGTGTACACGAGGAGGTAGGGGTCGAATGGTGGAGAAACGGAGACGAAGAGGAAGCACTCGGTGTCGGTGGTGATGGATTTGAAGCGGACGGGCGGTGCAGATTTGGACGAGTGGTTGCGATTGGATTTCTCGGTTGATTTGATGTCCTTGAGCTCGGCGGCGATTTGCGCTGCGATGTCGTCCTCTTCTGCTGCGACGGTTGCCTTTGTAGGCTCTTTTGATTTCGTGTCCGCCGGCGGCTCGACAGTTGATCGTGGCTGCATGGATCCAGAAGCAACGCCGTTCCTCATCGCGTCCTCGTCCCCTTCGGCGTCGTCCATGCTGTCGTTCTCCTGTCTCTGCTCCTCCAGATCCTCCAACGGCTGAGCAGCGACACCAGGATAGATACGATCGGCTACCTCATTCAGCAAGTCGATGAACTGCAACGCGGCTTTGCGCTCCTTACTCTGCACACAGGTGACAAAGATTCCTGGACCGGAGATGTTCTTCGAAGGTATACGGTAGACTTGGTTGTAGCCGGGTTTGGACCTTTTGAACGCCGAATTCGAGTCAGCGGGGGCATCCCTGTTGAGGCCTGGTCCTGAGCGTTTGCGTTTCGACGGCATCGCTTAAGAGTCTTAATGTGGCTCGTGAAGATTGAGGGGTAAGGAGGAGTAGGAAGAAAGGAAGAGGAAGAGGAAGTCTAGGAAATTTTTGGGAAACATGCGGAAGTCGGAAGTGGGATTTTTTGGTTTGAGCACGACACTGCGCTGTGGAGGTGTACGAGGAAGCCAATGGACCCTGCTCGTTGGGTTTCTTCTTGACCTCCTCGACCACGACTGCATCGACCTCATAAGCAGGTAAAAGGGGAAACAATGAATTTCAACAGTCAAACTAGGGACGATCCTCACGGCGTTCAGCGGCTGCTTGACATTCTCCGTCGACAGCAGGATGCTAGTTCCAGTGCGCCAGCTTCGTCCTCTTCGGCGGCCGCACCACCACCTCCATCTGCCGCTGCAGCTTCGGCATACTCATCCAACCCATTCTCGCTGGCAACTTCAAGTAGCTCAGTCCAGCCTCCAATCTCCCCAGTCGATGCAGAAGTAGACGCAGCGCAACGAAGAAGGACCTACAACACAACGTCATCCAAGTACGGCGTCCCCGCATCATCGGATGAACCCTTCGATCCGTATTCCTTCAACCCATTCAGCGCCTCAGCACCCGTCCTCTCCACCCCTCCCGTCCCGGCTCCCCAACCCAAGCCTGCACCATCTCCCTCACCACCAAAACCACGCGACTTATCCGCACTATCGTTCTCCGAAGCACTCCCCATCCTCTCCACCCTCTCAACCGACACCTCGCTCCTCAACCGCATACGAATCCTCCGCAGGCAACAGCACGATCTCGAGCAGCGTCTCGTCAAAGAATACCGTCAGTTCGCAGCCACAGCAGACAAGCAATACCCGAATCCCAAGGCGAGGAGAACAGAGGACGAAAGGAGACGCAAGGAGATGCTGGGCCAGTGGGACGAGTGCGTGAGGAACCAGCAGGAGGAGTTGAAGAGGGCGGGCGTGCCAGCGGTCAAGGTGACGAGGGACAAGAGGGAGCTGGATAAGCAGAGGAAGGTGTTGAACGTGTTGGTGGAGATGGTCGATGATGATGGAGGCGATGGTTGAGAGGGGTACCAAGAAATAACAGAAATGCAGAGTCGAGTTTGAACATAGAGCTCGGTTCCAACACTGACACAAGACCGACACAAGTCGAATCGCAAAGTTGCTCTTTCTCTTTGTCTGTTTGAAAGTGTGATTGCTGTCCATGACTCTACAACTCCGCTTCCTCTCCAATCGCCTTGAGCAGCATCTCCTCCGCCGAGCGCAACACCTTCTCCGGCGAGTTCAACGACGACATGAGATAGATCACGTTCCCCAACGGCCTAGCGTGCACGTTGTACGGCAACTTGCCCTCCTCCTGACCCTTCACCGGAATGCTCGGATGTCCCTGCGTCGCGTTCTCTCCAAACCTCAACTTCTTCACCAACTCCACCGACGCCGTGCTCGTATACCCACCTGCTCCACTCCCGTCCTTCAATGCGACCTTGAGAACGCAGCCCATGGCAATCGCGTGATCTACGTTGGGCAGTTCCGCCAATTTCGCCACCGCGGATTTGCTCCAGAAAGACCATACTCCGTTTAGGGTGGAGGACCAGTCGGATCGACATCTCTGCCAGTCCTGGCCTTGCTTCAGCTCGGAGATCGCTTTGAGCGTCTCGAGCGCAACAGCGCAGCCGATGGGATGGGCCGTGTAGCTGTGTCCGTGCAGAAGAGCGTCGACTTTGCTATCGCTCTGGTTGAACACCTTGAAGATCGAGCTGGACGCCAGGGTGACCGACATGGGTACCATTCCACCCGTCAGGATCTTGGCGAGGACCGAGATGTCGGGCGTCACACCGAGGGTCGTTGCTGGTGTGCAGACGCCGAGACGGTAGAGACCGGCGAACACTTCGTCGAAGATCACGGGGATGCCTTGCCAGTCTCCTTCCGCCCTGTTGCGGGTGGTGGGGTTCGCGGTCGGTGGAGGAGTCAGCGGCGCGTCGGAGAGCGAGAAGAGATCCTCGCTCTGACGACATGTATCGATGAGAACGCGTTGGAAGAGTGGGTCGACAAAGATCATCCCACCCGCACCCATCACCAGCGGCTCCAGCACCAGTGCTCCGAACCTGCGCTGCTGCTGCACCGTGAGCTGTTCCAGTTGATCGCGGATCGAAGATCGGTAGAACTCGACGAGCGGGTCGTTGTTGCGTAGTCGTGCGTCGACGTCGTACACTTCTTGCATGTTGGCATACGAGTTTTCGAAGATCAACTTGTCGCTGCTGCTGGATGTGGAGAGGTGCTTCGGCAGGTGTCGTTGACGCATCCTGTCGGCCAAATCTTTATCTTCCACGGCCAGACTGACAGCGACTTTGCCACCAGCGCGCACTTCCACCGTCGGAGCATCGAACCAAAACCCTCTTCCGCGGTACCAATGCACCGCCTCGCTGTACACCGACGGTTCGCACGCATCCATCGCACCGATCGTGTCTCCGTGGTAGCTTCCCTTGAGACCCAGCACTTCCCACTCCTGTTTCGGTTTGCCCGCTCGATATCCAGCCTGTTGACCCGGCTTGGCCTTCTGCGCAGCCTTTTCGGACGAAGCCACCTGCGTGGAGTATCGTTGGATCGATGCTTGCACCGCCATCTTGAGGGCCACCTCCATTCCCGTACTTCCGTCGTCCGAGAAGAACACCCTGTCGGCCCATCCATACCCCGGATTCGTCTCCAGCGACGGCTTTTCCTTCAAATTCTTCCCTGTGAGCAACTCCGACAGCAGCAGCGCAGGCTCGTGCGTACCGTTCGGGAACAAGACATGTCCATACCTACCGCCCGCCTTGGCCGCCGCCATCACCAACCTCTGCGGTGCATGTCCCAGACACTGCGTCCACCAGCTCGCACTCCCATCCAACACCGGTTGGAGCAAACTCTTCTCCTCGCCCGGACGTTGATCGAGCATGCTGAAAAAGTCGCCGTGGGCGCTGTCGATGACGTTCACGTCATGGTTGGTGCGAGTGAGTTGGTGTTGGGTGAAGGGCCACCAGCAGGTGTCGCGGGTGCGTTGGGCGTAGGTGGAAAGGGAGGCGATGCGCGAGGTGTGCTGGGAGCGGAGGTGGCGGATGACATTGTAGAGGCCTCCGGGGGTGTGTTCGGGTGTGGGGGGTGAGGGGTGGCCGTGGACGAGGGTGCGGTAGAAGTGGGTCATGGCGAGTTTGTCCGCTGCGCTGTCCGCGTTTTTGACGGGAGGCGGGCCGTATTCACCGTCCTCTCTAACTCCTCCCAAGCCAAACACCGGGATGCCATGCTCCTCGGCGAAGAACTTTGTCAGGTACTCTACGTTCCCATACCTTGGACTAGGGAACAGCAGCACGGCATCCACATCGTACCCCGCGACCAACAGCGACTCGAACGCAGACCTCGTCGTGCTGATCCCGCCCAACTCTGCCGACCCGATGAGGATTGTCGGCAGCCTCAACGGTCTCAACAGATGCGATTGCGACAGCCCTGAAGGTCCGGGGGAATGAACCCCACCCGCCGTCTCCACATACGCCACTCCCGCTTTTCCCTCTTCTGCTCGTGCAGCAGCATGGATCCAATCCCCTACATCCCTGACGAAATCCTCCTCGCTCGGCGCACCCGCTCCCTCGCCCACCTCCTTCTCCGCCCTCTTCGCCCTCCTCTCCAACTCCACCGCCAGATGCGGACTCACCGGCTCACTAAACCTGTACAGCGTTCTATACTTGACCCGCTCCGCATACCTCGACACGTGCGCGTCGTCCGAATCATCCAGCGCCCCAGTTGAAACCGGCTTCAGGTAGTGCACTTGCTCGCCCTGACCTTGTGCGGAGAACACATCCCGTGGTGGCGCATCTCCCTTGCTGGAGGAGAGTGGCAGGGCGGAAGAGGCTAAGCAGAGGGCGGTGGTGAAGATGGTCTTGCCGACATCGGTGTTAGCTCCAAACACCTGGTGCAGACGGAGGTGTGGGTAGAGATGGGCCATTGTTCTCGATGCTGATTCGTGCGCGAAATGCGAGAAAGTTCCTCTCGAGCTTATATTCAATCCACCACGGCTGATGGAATGCTTGCCTTCCTGCAAAGAACGATGGACGATCTGTTGATGGTGATGAGACAAGCACCCCTGCACCCCCAACAATTTGTTCGGCTTCGGCGCGGCAACTTGGCTTCCACAGTTATCCGGATTTCTTCCAATCGCGGCTTAACTTGGCAAAAACAAGGTTGCACCGTGCACTGCTGCCGCCCGAATTTCTTCCCAAAACCCACGGCTGTCGTCTCGGCTCGAATTCGGTCCATTTGGCTTTTGCCCGCTATCGGTGGAGAGCGCGTATCGCGGATCCCAAAGACCCATCGAACAGCGCCGAATGACTCAAGACTCAAGACGCAAGAGGCACATGGCTACACCACACACAGCATCTGTGTAATATTTACAAGAGAATTGAAATTCAAGAATGTCCGCCACAATCAGAGGGATGACGGTGCTACAGAAGTATCTATCTACATGAGAAAGGGACAATCGAATCAGAAAATAGCGTCCGCAGAAGAGAGGTGGTGGAGGGCCTTCGTCGCATTATATGAATCAGGGCATCACCAGCGACGCCGATGCAGGGCCAATGCCGTTCATAGGCCGACAGGGCAGCATCGTGTTGAAGCGCGATGAAGACAGCAGTGGACGTGTCTTGATCGCGCTCGGTGCGTGATGTGTCTTGAGGGCGGCGCGTCTCGCAGCTGATGCCAGAGTCGCAACAGCGTTCTCCTTGTCAGCCTCAGAGGCGATCAGGCTGGTTCCAAGATGCGACGCCCGAGTGAGAGCAGCCGTTTGAGCAGGCACAGCTCTTGGGCTCGAAATCAGAACGTGGCTCATCGAGACGCTTGCAAAGCCTTCTTCGTCCACCGAGACCCGGGCGAAGCGGTCGGCTGCCATCCGCATGGCCGCCGCAAGGCCGAAACGCGTGGCATGCTCTCTACCTAGCAGCGAGAGCAGCTGCAGACAATCGTCGTCCGAAGCGATCGAGATCTTGATCTGAGCGCCGCTGCGCTCGTGGATCCAATTGTGCAACGCCTCCAGTGGGTCATCGCACCGATAGTCTCCTTTGCCTGCATCGCATCTTTGACCTTGAGGATCATCCTGTCGGCCCACAGCATCAGCCTCGCCATCTTGCTCGCGATCCATGTCCGGGTCGCGAGGCTCCGCTGCCGCCCTTGGTCGCGCGGGCAGGAAGCCAAGACCAGGCGTGGTGCACGCGGTGACCCGCCGAATGCTGATGGTCTGATCTGGAGCAGCATGCACTTCTGGCGTCCAGCTGACACTGTGCGCTCGACTGGGCGTGGCGCGGCGTCTACCCCTCACGGGATCATCGTCGCCGCGATCCTTAGACGAGGACGCCGAGGCCGAAAACGAAAACGAAGGATTGATGACACCGCCTTCGATGTTCACGCCCCAGCTACTGCTGCTGCTACTGCCGATCTGCTCTCGTCGCGATTCTACGGGAGCATCCACATGACCGACATTGCGACTGCTGCTGGCCCCTTGGGGTCGATGAGGACCTCGTTGGCAGGCACTCAATGTGTGAGACCAATTGCCCCAAAACCCTGCGGAAGCGCTGCCAAAGATCTCAAACTCCACCTTAGCGCCGCGAGCTGCGTCGTGCGAAACGGCCACGGCCCAGTCCGAGGTGCGGTCCTGAGCATAGACGAAAGCGAGATCGTCGATACCGATCGACTCGATGCGACCGTACGTCTCGTACATCCATTTGTGATGAGCCTTGATGTACGCCTTGAGCACGCCGAGGTACTTGAGCCGAGTGCGCTCAGTTGGATCGCGAGGTATGAGGATCGCACCGTCCCCGCCGGAACTCTCAAAGCCGATCTTGACGCTGAGTGGAGTGCCCGGAACGGCCGTACCTCCGTTGACACCAAGGCAGCGATAGTTTGACGACATGCGTGGACCCATGTCAAAAAGCTTGGGCACCTCTTGATCCACTGAAAGGGGCATCGGTGGATAAGGACCCTCAGGAGGCGTGCCGGATCTGAGCTTCCGGTGCGAGAGGGTAGGGGACCCCTTCTTGGCCGCTGACGGGAGTAGCGAGTCCGAGGCAGCCGATCTGGACATACCTACGGGCAGCGAGGAGCTCAGACTCACAGGCGAAGTGGCGAGCGATGACCTGCGAGACCCGAGCGTCTCGGTATGAACAACGACGGGATCGTCCGAGTCCATCTTTGTCGACTTGACGCCAGAATCTCGACGGTTGCGCTCGCGCGAGGAGGATCGATCCGATCGTCGAGCCAAAGGAATGCTAGCGGCATCCGAAAGACGACCAGGGCCGTCAATAGCATTGTAAAGTACGATAAATGATCCGTCGCGAACATAGCCGACGTCACCAAGACGGAGCGGCGACGGATTCCACAGAGGATAGCCTTCACCTCCCGTATATAGACACGCAGCGTAAATCTCGGCAAAACTCGGCATAAGTCCGTATGTGTGGGTTGGATTCTACAAGCGGATGCCTCGGGAAGGCAGTCAGCCTCGGATCGATCCGAAAGGCTCGACAGTTGCCTCGTACGAAAGAAAGAATCGTCTAGATGGATAGAAGCGCAAAGACGTCCCAAAGAAATGAGGGCCAAACTTCACGGTTTCGATCTAGAGGTGTTGAATTGGAGCGGAAGAGAGGAGAGAAGAAGAGCGGAGACGGCAAGGCTAGAGTATCGTCGGGTGACCACGTCCAACGAAATCTATCGTCTTCGACGGGCGAAGACGGGGCCTCCCCGTCTCCGCGTAGGAGAGACGGTGTGTAGTTGTTCGAGATGAAGACGTTCAGGTGAGGAGGGTCTGAACGAGATGGTGGTCACGAAGGGAGGAAGAGGTGGTGGTGGTAGGAAGGGAGGACGGAAAGAGCGGGTGGCGTAGCGAATAAGCTATGCAGTGCGCAGTCGAGACCAAAGCTTTGTGCTGCCAAAGTAACGTCGCCGCCGGGGGAGCTAAATGCGCTAAAAGAGATTTCTTGAGCGACCCTTGGCCGGCGACTTGACTCAGCTGCGTAGATTGGTGCTTTGCCTCGAATGTAGTGTCCAGATGACGACAACGCAGTTTCGGCGCTCTGGCCGCTTCTATGACGCTAAGTGGCGCGAGTGACTTGAGCTGGCAAAGCTAAAGCGAAGCGAGACGGTGGATAGGGGAACTTGAACCTTATTTTTTGTTTTTGTGTCTTGACGAATGAAATGTTGTTTGCACCGCTGTTTCCACGGAAGTGTTGTTCTCGACGGGAGACGCGTCGCTGTGCTGAAGTGCCTCGAATTGCGGGGGAAGTGGAGAGAATTCCAAAAGTGTTGGTCTTCTGAACAGTCGTCTGACACCTGTTCTTCTTTCTTCTTTCTTTTTTTTCTTAATTTTTTCGTCGACTTCTTCTTATTCTCCGTCCGATCTTGGGCGTGATGTTGGTGGTTGTCTTGCAGCGTCTCCGACGCTCGAATTCCGGAAGAGAGCTCGATTGGGGTAGGAGCCAAGTGAAGGCGGAAGTGTTGAAGGCGATGAGAAACCAAGAGCCGGGGGCAGTGTGCCTCGTATGGCCCTTGCTCTTCTGATTTGGTCAGATTGTACGTCGAGGAAATCTCGGTGCTGCCGAAAGGGTTGATGAAGGATGCAGGAACGAGAGAAGGACAGACGAGCGTGTTGGTGAATGGCGCTTTGTGTTCGATGCAGGGTACAGAGTGCGTGTTTCGCTTTGCGGCGGGATGTGTCAATCTGGTTTGGTGTCTTTTGTTCTTGGATCTTGAACAACTCGTCACTTGATCTTCTCAAGGGCCCGAATGGTCGCTCTATATATCTTTCTCAAGCTAGGATCTGATTTGCTACTGTCTTCGCGATCGCTCTTGTCTGTCAGGGAAAAGGGACGCGTATGCTTTTGCCGTTCTACTCTAGGTCATCTCGAGGCTTCCTTGGCGCAACACTGCATAGGACCGGTCAATACGCGTGATTTGATTTAGGGTGGCAAACGAGGCGATCAGCCAGGACGGCTCGGAGCATCGAAGCGAGAGACCACAGCTCTGTTGCTGGTGCAGCGGGAACGGAGCTTTCTGAAGGCCGTACAGTTGATGCAGCTGCTCGCGTTAACTGAGTTGCAACAATTCTGAAGACGGTGAGCGTCGAAAAGGCTGGTCAAGTGCCTTGCCGTCGGAGACGACCCGATGAAGTGGCTCTTGCTGTTGCTTTTGCCGAGCAATGACGGGCACTCTGGACCCTCAACATCGCGCCAAAAAAAGCGGTGCGGGGAAGCAACATTGCCGCGGACGCACGAGGATCAGCGCCTCCTGCCGTACACTATGTCTGATCACCCCTGATCTGGACTCGACATCGCTTATCACAAAGCTTTGTCCAAGTAAGCTTTCAAAGTGTCTCGTCAAAGGTGCTGGCACTTCTCTGGCAACATTGAAGCGCAAACATACAGTAGATGCAAAGTCCACCGAGATTTCCGGGGCGTTGGCAAGACTGAGTTTGATTTTTGGTACCTCTGCATCTGACTGTCTAATAAGGCTTCAGATGTCCCACGAAGCAAACTATGGCGTTCGAATTGTTGTGTCCTTGACGCACGATGCAGTGTGCCCTCTCGTCTCATTTCTCCGTGAGAGGACACTGCAAGAGGGCTTTCTTGATCAGATCACCTCCGACGTGGACTCGGATGATTCTGCACGCCAGAACGCCAGCTTGCGATAAATTGCCGCGACCGAAAAAGGACAAGGGTGCTGGATGCAGACAAGTAACTTTGAGCAAGTCGGTATCGACAGAACATCATTCTCACGAAGCACATGCGAGTCAGCTCGCGTTGTCGAGTCACATCTCTCCGCACTCGGTCTGCGAACGCGTGCATTGAAAGCAGTTCCAGAAGCGTCCATTGCAATACAGGGTTTCGCGCGCATCGATTGCATGCGAGGTGCAAAGGCTACGCCAACCTAATCGTGAGAACCTTTTTCGACGACACAGGAACAGCTGAGGTGGATGAGAGACCATAAAGCCATTCTGCTGTTCGGATGTGCCGACGCGTGCGTGTCACAGTCACACCTAATCTCGATCAAGAGCAGAGTTTGACCTCGCTGTGCCGGGTGGCTTGGTGCGCTAACCATGATAAAGCTGAGCAGCGGTAACCTCCGGACCGTTTCCCTCTGTCGCATTGTTCCCTCAGCGATCAGGGTGGCCGCGGCTGCCCCTTTTGCTCCGCGTGGATCGAGCAAAAGTAGTGCATCACAGCCCCGCTCACCGTATTCACCGCCACCACGCTGTTGCCCAGCCGCTTGTGGCATCTAGGACAGGTTCTCGACTCGCCAACTTTGACGCGTCGACTCTGCAGCTTGCACAGCGTCTCCTCCGCCTGCCAGTTGCGGTTGGTCCGGATCTCGCGGATCACCTTGGCTTCGTGCTCCTTTCGCGTCGAGTCCCTCAGGTTGACGTTGACGAAGCCTGCAATCTGCGAGAGCGGCACCGAGGCAGGTAGCAGCTCCAGTGCCGCACGCAAATCGATCCGTGCGGCGTGACGCTGGATCAAGCCTAGGGCAGCATCCAGCTGCATCGAACCTTTTCCTGTCGTGTCCAGGTAGATGCGAAGCAAGGTGAGGAACACTTCGCGGTCCGCGAGCTGCTTCTGCTCCTGTTCCACAAACAGACTCTGCTGATGGTTCGAACGTCCGTTTCGCGTCTGTTGCGTCTGCGCGGAGGTGGCTTGGTCCTGGAACGCTGCTTGATATCGCCACACGTCGCGACAGTACTCTTCGGCTCTGGTCGGATCTTGAAGCTTGCGAACGTAGATGCTGAGTGCGCCTTCGTGTTGGCCCATTCTCCCCAGCAGCAACGCTCTTGCTTCGAGCATATCTCGATCGTCGTCGTCGGCAGGCAAGCGCACCAAGATCTGCTCCGGACGGTACTGCGTCGACGTGCGCAAGAAGGCGAGCAGCTTCCGCATGAGCTCGTCCCGCTCGGCCTGCAAAGGTGCGGATGTTGACAAGCCTCCACCATCTTTGTCGCCATTTCGGTCTGGCTGACCTTGGCCGGACTGCAGCTGCTCCCTGAGAAAGGCGGCCCTTCGGAGATACAGCCGTATCAGCTTATCGTGAAGCGCTGGATCCGCCTCGCCTGCGTTCTCGATGATGAATTCGAGGTAAACGGCACACAGCGTCTTGTCGAATCTGTTGAGGTCGTCGACGATCTCGAGTCGAGGCCATGACCCCACTTTGCCCGTATCCGCAGTGAACAGTTCCATACCGAGCTTGCCGTCCACTTCGAGCAGCCAGTGCGACGTCTCTAGAATGACATCGATAAACTCGGTTCCCAGATTCTGCAGGTACTGCACCGTCGGCCTCATTTTCTCCTCAACGTCCTCCTCGTCCTCGGCGAACTGCTTCAACAGGCCCAACGCTTTGCTGTGCATCTCCTTGCCGCCATACAGTGCGATCAGCTCGGAAAACTTCTTGCGCTCCTTGAGCAGCTCTTCCACCTGCTCGACCTCACACCAGTTCTCGATACGACACAGCGGGCCAATCAGCGCCGGCTTGGTCAGCAGGAACGTCTTGAACAGTGCAGTGTCGACCGTCTGGGCCACCGCAATCAGTTCGTCCTTTTCCATCTCGTCGAACGGTTTGTTGCCGAGCGAGAGCAGCCAGTGCGTGTCGCGCTTGATTTGCGACATGGCCATGTGGTTCTTGGATTCGTGGTGCGTACTCGATTCGAGGATAGGTTTGAAGATACGTCGGCGATCCGCCAGAAACTTGCCCAGAGCATCGAGCGCTTTGCGTGAGGACGTTTCGGCGGCGGCCGCGCGACTATCGCGGCTCGCGCCTGATCCTGTCGCCTTCATCTCTGGCGCCTCTCGCGTCGCTCTGACGGATCGGATCGAGCCTGTCTCCAGGTGGCTGTCGACATCGAGCGCTGTTGAGGCGCTCGCCCCCATCGAGGTGGGACCAGCTTTCGGTCTATTCGGGCTGGCGTGCGACGGGCTTGAGCTCAAGCTGCTTGCTACAGCCGGCTCGCCGACGATGCTCGCAGGCCTTCGACTCGGCAGGAAGGCGCCGAGACGACTTTTTGCTGCACCTGTTGTTGAAGATGCCAGCGTTGCGTGGCTTGGTGTCGGACTTGCTAGGCCCGCATCCGAGGTCGGAGCTTGCAGCTTGGCGGGCGTCTTTCCACCAAAGATCGGGAACCATTCCTGTCTGCTGCGACTCAGATCGCCGGCGACATTGGCAGGATAGAGCGCGATGACCTTGGCCGGATTGGTGTCGAGCTCCATGAACATTTCGATCGCTTCGTCGAAGCGCTCGTCTGCAAACAACGACACCGCATAGAGGCCCTGTACGTAAGCCCTGCGTTCGTCCTTGTCCTCCAAGATGACATTATCGACACTGTCGAGCAAGCCCAGCGCCTCTTCGAACTCGCCCTTTTCGACCAGCTCGTCGATCTGCTGACCCCAGCTCTGCATCTGCAACTGCCAGATGGTGCTGCCTTCTCTTTCCAGCGTCGCGCGGTCGGTCGGGCTGACAACGACAAAGATGGGAGGCTTATTCCCGCTCGATGGCGTCAGCAGCCGCACTTGCGGTGGTGATGTAGAGGAAGCGGAGGGAGTTGACCTGAAAGAAGTGCCCGATGCCGATGCTGGCGGGAAGCAGAGCGTCTGGACGGCGAATAGCGTACCGACCGACCGGATCTGCAAGACTGGATTGTTGGCGTTCGGCAACGAACTATTCTTGAGCGAGGGAACAGATCCGCTGGGTAAGACCGCAAAGACGTACGGCTTTGCGAAAGCGACTTCGAGCGGGCTGGCGCTCCATTCGACCCCCTCACGGCGAGTAGGTCGGCCGTCGGCACCGAGAAAGATGCCTGTGCCATCCCTGACGAACAGCACCTCACCGCCATCGACGTGCAACACAGACATCTTGCCTTTGCTGCTCAAACCCATGTATCCTCCAAGCCCACCTAGTCCTCCTAGAGCGGCGCCAAAGCCGGCCCCAGCGCCTCCGGCGATGGAGATGCTCGTGCTTGCGTGGGCCCCTGCCGAAGCAGCATGCGACCCCTCGTTGCCTGCAGCATTGCTGGCCGACAGGTCAAAGTCTTCGACATGCCATGACGACAAGCTGGACGAGGTGAGGTCGACGAGAGGACCTGAAGTCGAATTGGTCGGTGGGTGGACGTGCGTCTCGCGACGAAGCTGGCCACTGCTGTTGTTGCTTGCGCCTCCAAGCCCTGACGTCGGGTGTGTGTAGGAGACGGTGGATTCGGCAGCGAGCGGGATCGAGATGGTGCCGTATTCTGTTGCGTTGTATCCCATGAAGAGTCTCGTCGGTGTGACGAAGGCCAGGCTACGTGGTGTGTGGTGCAGCGCCACTTCGCGAGTGTCCCAGAATTCACCATCGACCCAACGGAAGACTAAAAGCTTCCGCTTGACACCGATAGCGAGTACCGTGACGAGCGTCATGACTCCATCTTGGCCGTCTGCATCCGCTGAAGCGCCTCCGAAACGTGCGCCTTCCATGGCCTTCCTTCTCTCTTCTTCTCGATACCTTGCAACGGCATCCATGCCCCTCATGCTGGCCGCTTGCCAATCCTTGGACGGCACCTCAAAGACGCTCGATCGATTCCTCGATACGGTCCCCGACCCTGCTGCTCCCCCACCAGCGCCCATCTGGTTCTGATCGCCGACGGCACCGGGTCGAAATGCTCGCGAGCTGATGGAAGCGTTCGGATTGAATTTCTTCGACGCTCTTGCGCCAAGCGGACCGGGTCCATAGTCGGGTAATTGAGGAGCTATACGCTTCTGAATTGATGTGTCGATACCAAAGGTGGTCGCACCCTTGGTCTGCAGCAATTGGGATCGCAATTCTAATGTCGACAAATCGTGGAGCGATACGAATCCATCGGACAGCGACACGAGCGAGTTGGCCTCCTTGATGACGCCAAGCTGGTCTATGGAGCGCTTGGAGAATTGCGATACCGCCTGGACTGGGATCGATGCGGGTGTGGACGGTCTGAGCTCTCTGGTGGAAGCGCGGGAGGAGAGGATCGAAGCTGGTTTGGTGGGCGATCCATGGAGCGAAAGGGGCCGTTTGGATGGAGACGAAGACGTTGACGCTTCTGCTTGCTGAGAGGAGGACGTTTGATCCGTTCTGTAGACGCTCACAGAGCCGGTCGATGATCCGACGATGAGCTTGGCGCCGTGTGCAACGATCGCCTCCGGTTTGCCCTTGATGCCCGTCAGCAATGGCGAGCTGTCGAAAGCGGTATGCATCTCGAGCGGTCGAACACGCTCGCTCGTGCGGGCGATGACTTCGGCGGGTCTCGCTGCCCGGGCTCAGCTCCCAAATCGCCGCGGCTTCTGTCGTCGTAGGCTGGCGTGGTTGTGTGGTGCGGACGATGGTGGTGGTGAACGTAAAGGAGTCGACCGAGCCGAAATTGGGATCGCGACCCTGAAAGCGGTCCAAGCACCGAAATGCGCTCAAGGTGGAGGCGAAAATCACCACAGCGTCCACACAAGGGTCTGTGCATGATTGTCATGCCTTCTGCACCGGCTGTCGAGTGCACATCGAAACTTCGCCTCACACTCGAGCAACTTCATTTCACATACACGAACTTCTCTCCTGTGACACTACACGAAACGTTGCGATGATGCCAAACTACAAATAATTTACACTGTATGCATGCGAAACAAACGAAGACTTCAACGAAAGAAGAGCTGAAACAGCCGAAACAGAATCTCACCTACAACCCTCACACATCTACGGCACCACCCTACGACTCGTCCAGGTTCCCGTAGCAGCATTCTCGCCTTCCACCAGCTCGTAGATCGTCCTGGTATCATCGGCCAAATTGACCAAATCCACCTTGTACGGTTCGACGACGACGAGGGCAAAGTTCTTCTCGCTCTGTTCGAGCTGCTTCTTTTGCTCGTCGTTCTCCTCCTTTCCTGGTTGGGGTAGCTCTAGAGGCCAGGGTGAGCTGGTATCGTCCTTGGGTTTGGCCGAATCGAGCTGTTGGGAATTGGGATGAGGTGTGCCTGGTGTAGGGCGGCAGAAGGACGCCAGCAGACCGGGGTTGAGCTTGTTGAAGATCCTCGTCCTTTCGCCGTCCCAGTCGAACGACTCCGCGTCTTGGTCCATGGCATCAGGTGCTCGCGGGGGCGAAAGACGTTCGAAGGGGAACAAGGATCGTAGCGGATGATCTTTGGTCGGCAACACATGCACAGTGCCGGAGATGCGGAACTGCATCTGGGTGGATTCGATCCACCAGGCGATCTCGCACTCTCCGCCACGACTGCCGTCCTGACCGGAAGCACGGAGACTGCTCTGCGAAGTCAACTGCGCTACCTTGGGTGTTCGAACGTCTGTCGTCGTCATGAGACACGGACTGGATCCGAACGATGGGTTCTGAGGGGCGATGCCGCCGTCGGCTTCACCGTCACGTTTTTCGTTGACGAACCCGCGGTGGACGACGTATCGCACGTGGGGCTTGGCAGCATCGTGGACGGACGAGGGCTGCTCGACGGTGGAAAAGGCGTAGTAGAGGATGGACTTCTCGTTCTTGATGTTCTCGCCGATGCCGTTGGCGAGGATCTCCTTCCATTCGGGTTGCGGCGAGTTGGAGGTGGCCTTCTTCTGGTTGTCGCCTTTCGCGTGGCCGTCGTTGGTCTGCTGTCCACCGGCAGAGCCTTGGTCGGACGATTGGGAAGCGTTGTTGATCACCGCTCCGAGGCGCTGTCCATCGAACCCGGAGCTGTGTCGTTTGATCCTGGCGTCCAAAGCTTCCCTGAGATCCTTGAGGATGTCCTCGGCGACACTCTGCGATCGGACCTGTTCGACGTCTATGCCGAACACGTTTGCCAGTTCTTCGTGGGTTTTTGCTTGCGAGATCCCCATCCTGAGCGCGGCGAGTTGCCTCTTCGACAGACCGTTGACGTTGCCAGCCTCGGCGGGCTTGAAAGCCAACTGCGACATGCAGTACTTTGTATTTCCGATCGGGTTCTTCAACGCAATCGAGTACTTGACCCATTTGGGAGCGATCACCTGCGGGATGCTGACGTTACCTTCCTCCCTGAAGCAGGACGGGTTGGCCTCTGCACCTCTCGCGATCATGGTCGACGTGACGCCGGTCAGCTCTTTGATCTTGGGAGCGGTGGCTGCGTCCCAAACGTCACCGTTGCACACCACGGGGATCGCCCTTCCCATCTTCTCCGCGATCGAGTTGACGTGATCCACGATCTCCCGCAACCTGTGCAGCAGAGCGGGTTCGCGAGGACGCATGTCTTTGGTACGACAGTGGACGGTGAGGCATTCGATCGCGCCGGTGCGGACGATCTTGTCGACGAGCTCGAGGGTAGCCTTCTGCGTGGGCAGGAGACGGATCTTGCAGGTGACGGCGACGGAAGGTGGGGCGGCACGACGCATTGCCTTGAGGGTGTTGCAGAGGAGTTTGGGGGTGGAGAGCATATTTGCGCCCATACCGGCGTGGGTGGAGAAGGGTTTGGGACAGCCGCAGTTGAGGTCGACTGCTGCGACATCGTCCGCCTGCGTGATGGTCCTGATGGCCTGGAAGGCGAGGTCCGGATCGGAAGATCCGAGCTGGTAGACGAGGTAGGGTCGTTCGATCGGGTGGCAGGAGAAGATCTGTTTGTGGTCCTTGAGGTACTCGACTACGCCGGTGTGCGGGTCGACTTTGCGTTCGCACCCGATGATGGCACGATCGACGATCTCGGGACCCCACACGAGGTCTGCTCCGTACTCGAGCGAGAGGAGACGAGTAGGGAGAGTGCCGATGCGCACCATGGGAGCGAGAAAGATGCCGTTTCGGTATGTGAGCGTAGAGGTGCAGGTGGGGATGGGATCGAGATCGTCGACCCGCTCGCTCTCGGTGATGGCGGGAAGAGCAGCAACGTCTTGGTACGAGGTGGAGTCGGCAGCGACTGCTTCTACCTCGACGGGAGTCGATGAAATGGACTCCATCTTGGCGCGTTTAGCGGGTGGAAGCATAGGGGGCTGACGAATCTCGGCGACGGAAGGCATGCTGGCGTGGGCAAAGGTTGCTGCACTGGGAGACGTCGCAAAGGTGCGGATGGTAGATGGGATGGCGAGACGGCTGAGTGCGATGGTGTTGGTGAACGGCTTGGATCGTATCAAGGGCGATGATAGCGCCGGCAGACGTAGCATGAACTTGCGATGGAGGGTGATCTTTGAAGTCGTGGTGAGAAGGTAGGGACGTCCGGGCCCCCGCACGTAGCTGTGCTTGTACCGCAGATGAGGCTGGTCCGAGCGTCAAGCGCCAGAGTGAATCAGCGCTGATGGAAGTCGAGCAGCACTGGATATCATGCGAATGCAGGGTGTAGGCAATCAAACGGTGACTTGGAATGGCACGCCGATCGAAAAATCGCACACTGTGCTGTGCTGTGTTACAAATTCGTTTCGGCTGCCAGAATGTGTGGAGGAAAAAGATGGGCGAGCAATTCTTTGCTAAGAGCCGATCGCGAAGACAGCAGCACAGGCAGACCATGCTTTCGATAGCGCTCACACACAACGCTTTCTCGGTATGACTCTGTCAATGGCTCTGTGTCTGTGGTCAATTAAAGAGGCTGCTGCAAAGATCTCAAAGGAAGTCCATCAGGAATGAGGAAGATCGCCTTCGGGGATGGTCAAGGTAAGCTCCCAACTGCGCGAGCATAATAAATAAATAGGGAGCGAGGAAAGAAACCAAAAATCGGATTAAAAAAGAGGAGCAAAAAATGTCCAGAAAAATGATGATGTTCATGCGATCTTTTCGTGCGACAGATCGAGTCCCCTCGCAACCCGGCTACTTCGGCACTCGACCGGTGGCACAAAGCTGCGCTGTCAAACGAGAACTTCTCAGGGTCCAACTTCAACACTCTCCTCATCTCGTCCATACGATACCCTGCAGTCTCTCACCCTTAGACCCCAAGCAAACCACTGGCTCAGCTCACGATGCTCGAAACGATCTACATCTGTCGTCACGGCTTTCGCATGTCCTGGATCGGCGCCGAAAACTTCCCCACCACCAATCGACCACGAGATCCTGTCCTGACCGCCTACGGCCAATGCCAAGCACGGCACCTCGGATGCTACTTCTCACATCTCCCCGCCTCGGAGCAGCCGCAGCTCATCATCAGCTCCCCCTACTACCGATGCTTGCAGACATCCGTTCCCACCGCATCTGCACTCAAACTGGAGCTGGTCGCCGAACCAGGTTTGGCAGAATGGTTCCCTACAGTAGCCCCGGACACGGGCATCCATCCTTCCCCGGCTAGGGCGTCGTACATGAAAGTGTACATTCCAGAACTGTCACTCTCATGGGAACCGCTCCTGTACCCGAATAACGGTGGGGAAGACATCTCGGAGCTTCACGCGAGAGCACGTCGCGTACTCGAGCTTATCGAACAGCGATGCGAACAACTCAACATCACAAGGGTGCTCATATGCAGTCATGCTGCAACGATCATCGCCATGGGAAGAGTGCTGCTGGATGACGATGCGGATGGCAAGAGGACCAAATTCATAGGAGCGGGGACGGCGAGCTTGAGCAAGTACACGAGGCAGGGCAGAGGTTGGAGGCAAGAGCTGAATGGCGATGCCAGTTTCTTGCCCGGCGGTGTGGAGAGGGAGTGGCACTTTGGGATGGTTCCGGATAACGTCACTGAGCATGGCATGGGAATAGGCTGGGTAGACCCGGAGGCGCCGAATGAGAGTGGGGCGGGGCAAAGAGCGGGCGTTCAGACCAGGCTGTGAGGGAGGTTCGAAGGTATACCCGCTCCAATGCTCACGTTTGGCTCGGCTGCAGTTGCAATTTGCATTTCATACCATGTGCAGACAGGTGCTCACCACATCATCGATCTCAGTGTGGCAGACGAACGGAAGAACATCCGGAACGACATGATAGAACGAGAGACACGACACTATATACAGAAGCTTCTAGCGGGAGGCGTCTTGTGCAGCGACCATCAACCGCGAGCTTTTTAATGGCTTCAATGCCTTATAACGAGATCTACCTGATCGGCTTGGCAATGCTTCTCCTGTACGCCTTCTGCGGAGCCGGACCGTTGCTGACGGTCTTGTACTCCTTGCACTGGCTGCTCTTTGCAGGCTTGTGAGCAGCGGGGGTCTTCTTATCGCCCTGCCTAAACGTGCTCGTACCATACACACCTACGAAATCCCCGCTATCGCCCTGGCAGTCTTCGAAGACGCCCTTGTCGAACCTTCCGCCGTTGGTGTTGTAGTAGGCACCCATGACATCGTACACGTGCGGAGCATACTGAGGGGCTTGGGGACCGTACGCTGCGCGGAAGGAGAACTCGTATGCGCTCATAAAGTTGTTCCACTCCTTGATCTGCGTCCACTGGCCCTCTTTGCCGGGGACGTTGTTGCTGTACACGAGACCGCCCTTGGGATTACCTGTGCCATCGGCACCGTGAGGGTCAAGCTCTCCACCAGCATCGCCGCGTTGAATGTTCATGCCCGTGAAATCACCCACCCCTGTGACCTGAAGGAAGTTGGGTGTCTTGAGGAATTGAACACCTTGGATCGCTCCATTCGGAATCAATCGAGTGCCGTAGCCGGATTTGAGACAGTAGGAAACGACCGATTCCTCACTGGCTCCGATCTGCGAGTTCGGATTGATTGGTCCCCAAAGGCAAAAATCGTTGGCGTTGTTGATGAAGACGTTTTGACAGAGGGACTTGGAGGAGGAGGCGCCCCATTTGGTGCACTGGTTGGATCCAGATTGGTTGGCCTCCCATTTGTCGGGGAGCGCGTTGATGGCAAAGTCGGGTTTGTTTTGGGCGAGCGTCAGCGTGGCTGTCGCTGCGACGAGGAGGGTGGTCAAGAGTGTTCGCGTCATGATGGTCGTTGCTGATGGATTTGTGTTTGGTCGAGGACAGATTCGAATGGAACTAGTCAATCCGAGACTTATATGTTTCTCTCCACCTGTAGACACGGTGTGTACGAGAAACATAAACAGGGCTGTGGGCAAGCTCAAACGTGGGGTACCACATTCTCGTGCTTGACGCATTGAACGCCGACAGCATACCACGAGGCGGAATGAGCGAGGTGCGCAGACTGAGAATCGAGCAATGCTCCGATTGACGCTAGCGATGATGGCAGAAGCGGCGCACGAGTCTTGCCCAACATTCTACCCGAGCGGTTCGACACGAGAAAAGAAGTCGCCGACAGATCACGATGGGAGACACAGCTCAGAACAACTTTCTGTTTTCGGCAAAAGATTCTGCTGCATGAGGGGTTGCAGCAGACCGCCTCGATTTTGAAAGCTCTACGATCGTCAAGATGCAGCTCGCATGAGAGAACCTACACCTCGGCTATCGGCGCGCCACGACGAATGGTGGAGAGGCGCTAGTATTCAAGCCTCGTGATGGCAATTGAGTGTGCATTGTCGACAGTGTAGACAGGGAGAGAGAGAGAGAGAGAGAGACCGTGAGGACTAGGAAGTGACTTGTGGCATGGGTTGGTCGCCAAATTCTCCGGTATGCAAGGAGGCGGGCTGTCTGGTTCAGCGTGGCTCGCGCTGTCCGACAGGTTGGAGGGGAATCGGGCGATGTTAGTGAGTGCAATTTTGATCTTTTTTTAAATCTTGGCAGCTGTTAGACCATGTATAACACGTACTCAATCTGAACAATCTCGTAGTTGTCACCAGACAGTGGGGCTGGAACCAATCGGAAGACCTGCATTTTGGCTGCTTGCTTGATTAGATGAGGGCGAGCATCCAAGAGGTGCAGCAAATTGCACCATTTCCCACCGACGATGGCGTGCTCCCCCACATTCGCCTTTGACAGGTCAATTTCGAAATTCTGCTGCGTCCGCCAGACTCTCTGGAGCCCGACACAATATGGAGACACCCTCGGCTTTCTACCGACGTTTAGGTGGTGGCAAGTCCTGCCTCGACCGGTCCGAAATTGCTCTTTTTTCTCGCTAAGTCGACGCAATACTGTCAGGGTCCCTCCATGCTCGCGATTGATGGACCCTGATTTGCTGTGCCGTTGCCAGCGATGGCACTCGAGATCATGTCAGAATGTCTTCGATGCTCAACAAGGGTATTGAACACTCATCTCCAGAGGTCTATCATGGGCCTTGAGTGTATATGAGAGGTTGTGTGATGGTCGATTGCAAGTCGACAAGGCTTCGACGAGGAAAGCGGCGAAAGGAGGCGGGCGAGCTTGCTGACTCTAGCAACGGAAGCAAAGCGGGCAATGAATGGTGTGCTTCTTCGACGTTGATTGCTTGCTAATCCGCGCATGTGCGACTCGCCAGCCACGGCGTTCGGAAAAGCCGCGACGGGCGTCAGTTTTAGATTTCGCACTTTTTCTCTTTCTTCTTGTCAGCCCTCACTTGCAGGCAGACTCACTTAATCCCGGTCCACCTGTTCTAGCCTTTTTCGCCGCTAGACTGACGCTAAGTGTCAAACATGTCCAAGAAGATGGCAGTCAGCAAGCAGTCTGTTGTGGCATAACTTTTTGTGTGGAAAATGCATGGCCGAAGTTGCACAAAGCGACATGCTCCGACATGGGTCCGAGTTGAGAGAAGTGTGAGAGGCAAGACTGTGGCTGCTTTCCTCATCTGTCCTCTGGATTGATAATCTTCCAGCGGGCAAGCTCCAACGTCGACGCCTTACTTGGCCTCCCACAATCCTCACCTTGGCGGTTCCACATAGTACCACGCTCCGGTATCCACCTTGCCATCAGTCAGAGTCACTTTTTTCTTTTTGGATCCTTCTTGTCCCGCTCGTGGCGGCAATCTTCTCATCTCGTGGATCCCCTCCCCTCCCCTCCCCGTCTCGTCATCACCACCACCTCTTCCTCCCTCCCCATCTTATACGAGCCTTGACTTCTATTCTCGTATAGATCACTCGGAGCCCTCTTTCAAAAGACTCGAGGTCGTCCCCTTCCGGTGGCGTCTGTCTTCCGTCCCTCCTCCGGTGTCTAGCTAATCACGAAACATCGCCTACGGACGTTTCGCTGTTTGGCTTTCACCAGTGCCACTGCACTTTTCGGGAAGCTCCCTTCGCTGGGCTCACTGCTTTGATCTCGCTCTGCATCCTATACAATCTCCTTCGACATGAGCTCCATCTCTGCTGCTGGCGCCGTCGCCAGGATCGCGGCGCTCGCCTCGGCCACCCTGGTCAACGTAGCTCCCTCGGGCAAGGCGTCCACCTCCTCCTTCTCCCCCATCGCTGACAAGGCCACCGAGATCAACGCACAGCTCGACGTCGAGCAGCTCAACCACCATGTCGAGCTCGGCTCGGTCCTTGCCCAGCTCAAGCCTACCGGCAACGGTCTCATCTCGGTCCTCTCCCACGCACACCAGCAGACCTTCACCCGTCTCGTGCCTCACCTCCCCAAGCTCGTACACACGCCCCTCGTCTTTCACGTAGCCAGCGCCGGCGAGCACAGCGATCTCATGGCGTTGCGCCAGTCTGGCTTGGTGCTCCTCCACTCTTCCACCGCAGCACAGGCCCACGACCACGCCCTCCTCGCCACCAAGATTGCCACCTCCGCCAAGCGCGCTGTCCTCCACTTCTTCGAAGACGTCTCTGGTCCCGTCGAAGAGGTGACCAAGGTCGACCTCGCCTCCTTCATCGGTTCGGTTGCTGCTTCCACCAGCACTGACGCTGCCGCTCCCAAGACCAACGGCGTCAACGGTCATGCCAACGGCGTCAACGGTGCCAACGGTCACACCAACGGCCACGCCAGCGCTGCTGCCAGCGAGTTCGGCTTCGAAGACCTCGAGTCTGCCATCGATGCCGCCTACGAGGACGTCGCTGAGCTCGTCGGTCACGCCGTCGAGCCCTTCCAGCTCGTCGGTGCTTCCGATGCTCACAACCTCGCCGTCGTGCTCGGTGCCGGTTCTGAGACGCTCCAGGATTACACCGCCCCTCACAACGACCTTGCCATCCTCGATATCCGCCTTGTCCGCCCCTCGTTGCCACAGCGCCTCCTAGACGCCATCCCCGCCGGCATCAAGCGCATCGCTGTCCTCGAACAGAGTGTCCGAAGGACCACCAAGCTCGGCCCTCTCTTTGTCGACGTCGCCACCGCTTTCCAGGGCTCTGAGCGTGCTCTTCCCTCGGTCTTTGTCAGCGGCATCCTCGGCCACATTGACAACGGCGACAAGGCTGCCAAGGAGCTCATCAAGGCGCTCGAGGCTCCTAAGGTCAAGCACGCTTTCGTCGTCGGTGATGTCAAGAAGCTTTCCGCTCGTGCTCAGGCCTCTCCGGCTGCTGCCGCTACCAATGCTCCCGTCCAGCCGCCCAAGCACGAGGAGGCGTATAACCTCATGCTCGAGCAGGTCTTCGCCGAGCGTCTCTCGGTGGTCAACTCGGCCAACGAAGAGTCCGACGACCACCCTGCCGCTCGCAGCCCCGAATACGCTTTTGGTCAGGTGCTCGCCCAGCTCGAACAGCGCGACGAGCTCCTTCGTGCCGTCAACGACGTCCTTCGCGAAGGAGGCGTCTCGACTGAGCTCCACGAGGCCCTCTCGCAGTGGCTCGTAGCCAAGCACGACGCCAAGAAGAACGTCGCGTCTAGCAACAAGGTCGCCTCCCTCCTTCAGTCGTCCACCTCTGGCGCTGCGCTTCCAAAGATCAAGTCGCTCTCCTCGCACCTCTCGCTCAAGAGCAGGTGGATCGTCGGCAGCGACGCTTGGGCGTACGACGCTGGCATGGGTGGTGTGCACCACGTCATCGCCTCGGGTCGCAACGTCAACATGCTCATCTTTGACAGCGTCCCCTACTCCAAGCGTGATGCTCAGGCTGCTCACAAGCGCAAGAAGGACATCGCCCTTTACGCCATGAACTACGGCAACGTCTACGTCGCCAGCACCGCCATCTACGCTGACTACACCCAGGTCCTCCACGCCCTCATGGAGGCCGACAAGTTTGACGGCCCCTCGATCGTGCTCGCCTACGTCCCTTACCGCACCGAGGACGCCCCCGCTCTCGATGTATTGCGCGAGACCAAGCTCGCCGTCGACTCGGGTTACTGGCCTCTCTTCCGCTGGGATCCCAGCGCCGAGGCTCGTGGCTCCGAGACCTTCCGCCTGGACGGTGTCCGTCTGCGTGAGCAGCTCCAGCAGTTCCTCGACCGCCAGAACCTCTTCACCACGCTCGTCAAGTCGCGTCCCGAGTTGTCCTACGACATTGCCGCCTCGCAGGGCAATGCGCTCCGCGATCTGCAGCGTCGCAAGGCAAAGGAGGCCTACGAGAAGATGCTCGGCTCGCTCGACGGTCCTCCCCTGCTCATCCTCGTCGCATCGGACGGCGGCAACGCCGAAAAGGTGGCCAAGAAGCTCGCCGTCCGCGCCAAGGCTCGTGGTGTCGCCGCTCGTCTCCTCACCATGGACGACTACCCGGTGACCGAGGAGCTCAAGGACGAGAAGAACGTCGTCTTCCTCACCTCGACCGCCGGTCAGGGTGAGGCTCCTCAGAACGGCCGATTCACCTACAAGGCGCTCCACGCCATGTCCGAAGCTGCTCTGCCCGACACGATCAACTTTACCGTCTTTGCCATGGGTGACAGCCACTACTGGCCTCGACCCGAGGACGCACACTACTACAACAAGCCCGGAAAGGACATTGACGTGCGTCTCGAGCAGCTCGGTGCCACGCGCATGGCTCCCATCGGTCTCGGTGACGACCAGGACGCCGACGGCTACCAGACTGGCTACAAGATCTGGGAGCCTTTGCTCTGGAAGGCGCTCGGCGTCGACACGGTCGAGGTCAAGGAGGCTGAGCCCGAGCCGATCACCAACGAGCACATGAAGATCGCCTCCAACTACCTCCGCGGTACCATCAAGGAGGCGCTCGTCGACACCTCGACCGGCGCCATCCCCGAGACCGACGGTCAGCTCACCAAGTTCCACGGTACCTACATGCAGTACGACCGCGACACTCTGGAGGAGCGCAAGGCTGCCGGTCTCGAGCCCGCCTACAGCTTCATGATCCGTGCGCGTATCCCCGGTGGTGTCGTCACCCCCGAGCAGTGGGTGCAGCTCGACGACGTCGCCGAAAAGTACGGCAACCAGACGGTCAAGATCACCACGCGTCAGACCATCCAGTATCACTGTGTCGTCAAGAGCAACCTCAAAGCTGCCATGCAGGGCATCAACAAGTCGATGCTCGACACCATCGCCGCTTGCGGTGACGTCAACCGAAACGTCATGTGCTCGCCCAACCCGAGCCTGACCGAGCTGCACGAGGACGTGTACGAGTTCTCCAAGTCGATCTCGGAGCATCTGCTGCCGCGCATGAACGCGTACCACGAGATCTGGCTCGACAAGGAGACCGACAGCTCCAAGCAGCTGCTCATCGGTGGCGTCTTGCAGGACTACGAGCCGCTCTACGGGCCTTACTACCTGCCACGAAAGTTCAAGATCGCTATCGCGGTGCCTCCACGCAACGACACCGACTGTCTGGCGCACGACATTGGTCTCATCGCCATCGCCGATCCCGTGACCAAGCGTCTGGCCGGTTTCAACTTGGCTGTCGGTGGTGGTATGGGTGTCACACATTCGATGAAGGCGACCTACCCACGTCTCGGCAGCGTCATCGGATTCGTCACGCCCCAGCAGACGCTCGACGCGTGCCGAACCGTCATGCTCGTCCAGCGCGACACGGGCAACCGTGCCAACCGCAAGCAGGCGCGTCTAAAGTACACCATCGACAAGCACTGGGGTGGTGCCGACAACTTCAAGGCCGAAGTCGAGCGTCGTCTGGGCTACAAGCTCGCCGAGGCCAAGTCGTACAAGTTTGACACCAACACGGACCAGTACGGCTGGACGCAGGATTACAAGGGCAACTACCACTGCACCTTGTGGCTCGAGAATGGGCGTGTCAAGGACGAACCTGGCGCGCCGTTCCGTACCGGTCTGCGCGAGCTGTGCAAGATCCACAAGGGAGCCTTCCGCCTGACGCCGAACCAGCACATTATCGTTTCGGACATCAAGCCCGAGGACAAGGATGCCATCGACGCCCACCTGCGCAAGTACAAGATGAACAACTGGGAGCACTCGGGTGTCAAGCTTTCGGCTAGCGCCTGTGTCGCGTTCCCGACGTGTGGGTTGGCGATGGCCGAGTCGGAGCGATACCTGCCGTTGCTGATGGACAAGGTCGAGGCGATCTTTGAGGCGAACGGGTTGCGCAGCAGCGAGACGGTGTTCCGCATGTCGGGTTGTGCCAACGGCTGTTCGAGACCGTGGATGGCCGAAGCGGGTTTCGTCGGAAAGGCACCTGGTCAGTACGTCATGACCTTGGGTGGTTCGCACAACGGTACGCGTCTGTCCAAGATCTACCGCGAGTCGGTCGACGAGAAGGAGATCTTGGAGATCATGAACAAGCTCGTTCCGCAGTACGCGCAGAACCGCATCGAGGGCGAGTCGTTCGGCGACTACGTCATCAGGGCTGGCGTCATCAAGCCGACGACGGAGGGCAAGGCTTTCTACGAGGACATGTGCCCCTCGGACGTTGTTCCCCCGAGCGCGGCGGCTAAGAAGGGCCCTGCGCAGGCGGTCGAGCACTACGACCGATCGTCGTCGGCGTGAGCTACCCTCATACCAATTAAAAAAATTCTATAACACCCTCTGCATCATTCCAATGTAAATAGTAGGCCTACGACGCTGCGACGTCCGTATAGTCAGTCTCGTTTGTTCTCTACAATATAGATCCGGATTTCAAAGTTCGAAGCCTTGTTTCGAAGCCTGGTTGCGAGGCGGTAGTCTTTTGAGCGGGGCGAATGAGTGTACTTGTCAGCAGCAATTCTCTTGTCACCTGAATGTAATCGATCACAATCGAGCACATGCTCGTCCGCGTCCTGACGAAGCTCTATGAATTGCGAAGTATCTCAATCCACATCCGCGGCTACTGATCTAGTGGCCATTCGCCGTCGGATCGTTGTCCTTCTGAATCTGTTTCGCCAACTCGCTGATCCCTTTTGCCTCGTGCTCCTCCTCCGCCTGGATGGTCAACACCAACGCGCTGCCATCCTGCTTCCATTCAGCTTTGACGCTTCTCAGATCCTCGACAATGTAATCCGCGCCTTCCTCCTGCATCTTTTCTCCATCGTGTGTTGTTCGCAATGCCAACGTCTTTGCACCTGCCCTCTTACCCGCTCGAACACCGGGGGGAGCGTCTTCGACGACCAGACATCGGCTGATGTCCTGCTTTGTCTTTTCGGCACCCATGAGGTACGGTTGTGGGTCTGGTTTGCCCTTGGTGCAAAGATCCGAGGTGATGAAGACTTGGGGTGGGTCGCTGACACCAGCGGAGGCGAACCCTTGCTGTGCGTACGCCTGGGTTGCACTGGTGACGATCGCCCAACCGTAGTTGCCTCGCTTGACGGCGGTTTCCGGCCGGGTCGAGTTGATCTGGTTCAAAAGCTCTTTCGCTCCGGGCGTGGCTACGATGGAACCACCTTTGCCGGTCTTGGCGTTCTCGCGAGCGACGACGAGGATGTTGGATTCGAACCTCTCGACTTCCTTGGGCAGATCGGCGTCGGAGATCGAGGGGATGAAGCGACGAAGGTTCTCTACAGTGCGGTAACCGTGGCAGGTCTGCATGACGAAGGAGAGATCGAGGTTGTATTGATGAGCGAACGAGGCCCAGGTTGCGTTGACGGCCGGGGTGGAATCGATGAGCGTGCCGTCCATGTCGAAGAGGATGGTATCCACTTCGAGGGTGATTGTCTTGACCATCTTGAGGAACGATCGCGATGTCTAGTGTGAGATGATGGTTGGTGTGGTGGTTGAAGGAGATGAAGTTGTGGGTGTGTATGCGGGAGATATGAATGAACGTTGCGGGAACATGCTCGGCTATGCTTTCGGAAAGAGTGCAGATCCCTCCGAACTTCATCATTCTAGCGTTGACCGGATCTTCTCGGTCCACGTTTTCTGTTGCCATCACGCAACGTGCTGCTGCTGCCACGATATCCGGCATCTTCGGTGACATTTACACCCATCAGTCGGCACCCTCATCTCATTGGACGGCCCAGCGTGCCACAGTTCGTGAGCGGTTCAAATCATGCAAGCCACTCTGCCCGTGTAGCCTCTTCATTGATCCTCGGAAGGAAGGAAAAAAGGGCTGACCCGCGGCCATTTTAAACACCGACATTGTCGACGCAACTCGCAACGGTTCAGACGCTCTAACATCAGCCATTCTCCTCATCCCGCCTTGCACGCAGTTCCGTCCAGCCTAGTCTATCGGCAGGGACGGTTCGGAAGCAGCGAAGGCCCAATACGCAGCACAAAGACATGTTCATCAAGCCAGGATCAGCTGGGCTGATGCATGTTTGGGGTTGAGGTGTGGCTGACGAGATTGTTGCAAGACAGGCAAACGAGGCGTGGCCAAGCAGTTTAAGGGTGAAGCGATAGGGTGTGTACTGCATCAACATCGGCTCGTTCGAACAGCGAACATATCGGCGATCAGGAAAATTGTCTATAGAAGCCGGTTCGTCAAAAAGCACAGACAGCACGTGACTCGCCCTCGAAAACTGTAGTTTTTCCCGAATTCAATGTTGAAAGGGAAGAATTCTCAATTTGAACTCTTCTGAATTCCAAAATTGCGCGGCATGAGAGCGCAGTAAAGCCTCGAATGGAAGCAACGTTTAGCCAGACAAAGCGGCAGCGAGAGAGACACACTGAGGCCAGCCAGTTCTGTGTCTGTGAGAGTAGTGCAAGACGAGCTAGACTCGAAAGAGAGTTGACCGCCCAGAGAAGCGTCCCAGGCCAAAATTTCAGCTGGAGCAGCGCAATCCTTCGACACGGAGCCAGGCAGCACGCAACCCAAGGCGGGCTACAGGGCTTTGTCGCCATCACAGTTTCGCATTCTGCCCTTCATCTTCGACCATCCACCCCTCAAGATCATATCAAAGTACGTATCTGGATGGGCCATTCAGTCAACACTGCAATGGCATCAGAAGCAGCATCTAGGCAGGCAAAGACAGCATTCCGTTGGACAGCATCGACACCATTTTTCGACTATGGCAGTGCAGCAGCAGCATCACCCTCGACAACAGCATATCCCACAACAACACATAATACCAGGCAGTGCGACACTCATGATGGGGCTGCACAGTATCGCATATGATTGCAGGACGCCGATGTCGACATGATTGTTCGACGCCGATAGTATGGTTCGATTTTGGACGGCGACCTCGACACGCATGTTCAAGTGGCAGCTATGTAGCCACATGCAGGGAGACAGTACTTGCCGGAGACGCACAGGATGGATGTTCATAATCGTGACATTGCGACATCGCCGACAGGAGATGATCTACCTTTCTTGATCCGGTCTTGACGAACTGCAGTCAGCGTGTCTTTCGGTGGCAAGTAGCAACTGCACATCCGTTGGCGTTCCAGCGCACGACGCATTACCGATTCCGACTGGATAGTAGCTTCTCGCTGTCGTGGGAGGCACATGCGACTGTGGCTCATCCCGTGCCTCTGCCATTCTCAGTACCAGCTGGTCCACCGCTATGCAATTGGAAAGCAAGTGTCACCCAGCCTCACCAGGACAATCAGGATGCACGGGAGGACTCTCCCGGTCTTCTCAAGGTGGTCTTGACGCTTGCAACATCCCATGCCGGCATCTCGCTCCCATTTCACATCGCAGTACTGGTTCCGACATTCGCTCGCCCCACGCTACTTGGCTTATCTCGACATTGGATGTGCGCAACATGATCCTCCTATCGCCGCAAACTGCGTCTTGACCGTCGTCCAGTTGTCCAACATCCGACCGTGCCGTTCTTTGTCCTGCCTTTTTCTGCAAATTTTCAACACATTGCAAATTCAGAATACACGAGACTGACCTACTTTGTTTTCTTCCTCAATCCTCCAACTTGCACTACCAACCCGACTCGACTACACCCATCTGCACATCATCATCGCCTTTCAATCTAAAAGATGGCCGTGAAGCACAACAACATCCTTCACAACAACCACTTCCGCAAGGATTGGCAGCGTCGGGTCAAGGTCTGGTTCGACCAGCCCGGTGCCAAGAAGAGGAGACGCACTGCTCGTGAGGCCAAGGCTGCCAAGCTCGGCCTGCGCCCCGTCCAGCCTCTGCGCCCCGCTGTCCGATGCCCCACCCTCCGATACAACACCAAGGTCCGCTCCGGCCGTGGCTTCACCATTGAGGAGGTCAAGGCTGCCGGTCTCGGCAAGAAGTACGCTCGCTCCGTCGGCATCCCCGTCGACCACCGTCGCCGCAACAAGTCCGAGGAGAGCCTCAAGCTCAACGTTGAGCGCATCAAGGCTTACCAGGCCCGTCTTGTGGTCGTCCCCAAGCTGACCAAGAAGAACAAGGACAAGAAGGTCGACCTTTCCAACGTCGAGGCCGTCCGCCAGGTCCAGTCGGTCATCCCCTTGCCTGCTGGTACCGAGGCCGAGAAGCCCCGTGCCATCACTTCGGAGGAGAAGGAGTTCAACGCTTACGAGACCCTCCGCAAGGCTCGTGGTACCCACCGTGCCGCTGGCAAGGTCAAGGCCCGTATCGCCAAGAAGGAGGAGGAGGCTGCCAACGCCAAGAAGTAAATTTGCTCAACGCGATTCCTCTTCTTTGTTTGTATGGTTTCCTTTCCTTTCTTGCACCTTTCTTCTCGTCTGCATGCAGTCCTTTCTTCTCCCACCCATTCATCGTTTCATTCCGTCCAGCTCTGATCTAGGATCGGTTCACATCATCGACTTTGTTTCTCTTGGATTCCGCATGATGTATCCGCATTTGGAGATCGAGAGTCGGCATCGATGAGGGCGGGGGGTTTCCCTTTTCAGTAGTCAAATGGTTTCTCGTTCCATTGACTCGGTGTATTTTCAGCATATCACACAACACACTTTGCACACATTACCGCTTTCCTGTATCCACGCGAGGGTCTGGATTGCCCATCACGTTCTCACACACCCACACACCCCAAAAAATCTAAAGAGATTGATCCTTCGCTACTTGATGTCGTGATGTGCGTATGTGAGGGGTGTGGGGTGGATTGAGATGAGGAAAGGGTTGTTGGTTGAGGAGCTGAGGTTAGGGCTGTTCCCGCGGACTTGCTGCTGGTGACTGTTTGGCTCTTCTATGTGTCAGTGCTCGTGGGCTTCCGAGGATGTCCGGGTTGACCGCGTGTTTCGATCCCAGGGAGACGAGGCTTGACAGGCACACGCGAATAGGCAGTTGAACCTGACTACTCCAGAATGCTCGCGAAGGGCCGACAGGCCACGCAGACCAGAATGTCGCGGTGCCGCCGACTCAGCTCAGTTCTCCAGGGTCTAGATCAGCAGCGGCACGTTCTCGCTTGTGCCGTCAGATCCTCTTGTACTGCTGCTGCGTCAAATTTCAACAACAATTAGCTTCGTGTTTGTGTGACGTCGAACAACACTCCTTTTTTTTTTTCTTCTCGAGGTAACAAAGCTGCGCGGACCACCTTTTCTTATTCCTTCTTCTTTTGCGTTCGTCATCAGCCACCGACCACGAAATACAGCAAAGGATGTCGATGAAGATGGCTCTTCGTGGGCTGTTGGCAGCACCGTTGAGGGGTGTCTCGAGAACACCTGTCAGAGTCGCTGCCGCCGCTGCCAGGGTTGGTTCCTCGTCGTCTTCTTCTTCTTCACGGCTCAGTTTCACCAGTCGATCTCTTCATCAGCAACGTGTCCTCACACTCGACTCGACACCATCGCACTCGCTGCTATTCAAGCCTGCGTCGGCTTATTTTGCCTCAGCCTCACCGATCATCCTCTCTTCACGGTCGATCTCCACGACATCATCGACGAGCAACACCAGCTCCTCCTCAAAGCCCTCCTCCACTCCACCACCACGACCCGAACCCGAAGCAGAAGACACCGACTCTCCACCGCCCAAGGCAACCCTTCGCGAGCGGTTGAAGTTCCTCACTCGGCGCTACGGCTGGTGGGCGCTCGGCGTCTACCTTCTCGCCTCTTCCGTCGACTTTTCCCTCACCTTCCTCGCCATCCACCTCTTGGGTGCCGACCACATCCGTTCCCTCGAAGCCTCCCTCCGCAAATCCATCGGTCTCGAACAACGATCCGAAGATCCCGATGAATCCTCGAAATCCGGCAACAAGAGCAGTACCATCTGGACAGAAGCAGTTCTCGCATACACCATTCACAAGACCCTTCTGCTCCCCGTAAGGGTGGCGTTCACTGCCGCGGTCACACCGAGCTTTGTCAAATGGCTCGTCAAGATGGGTTGGGCAAAGGCGAACCACCAGGTCAAAGCGAGTGTCGGGAGGAAGGCTGCGGATAAGGCGATCCAGGATGTCGTGAGGAGAAACAATGCCGTTAAGAAGGTCGAGGAGACTGCCAAGCATCAGTAATTCGGGAAACAATGTCACTTTTGTCACCACTTCAGATAGTCGCGAGAGAGTATGTGCGGGGACTGTGTGTGGTGAAGGGAGACGAGGATGAGAGACTTGCACATGCGAACGAAGGAGAACACGGAGAGGTTGGGATTGCATCGAGGGGAAGAGAGAGACAGACGCGACTGAGAAGGCGATGTCGAGACGAGCGGGCAAAGGAGTGTGATTGTGATTGGAAGAGGCACAGACGGAGCCTGCATTCTGGGACGAGGAACGACACGATGAGAGACGGGACAGAAACCAAAGACGACGGGGGGAGGGACAACCGAGACGCAGCGACAGAAAGAGAGGTGATGGCAAACAAGCGAGTCCGCTCACCATTGTTGATGGTGAGGCTGTAAGGAAATATCGTCAAAAGAGCTGTCGTCGAACCCTGTACAAGAACCTACCCTTCCTTACAGTCGGCACATCTCTCGTCTCGACACTACCACCAGTCCTTGCGTCATCACCGATTTCATCCATCATCGCCCTCTTTCCCTGTCCATCCTTCGATTTAGCCAACTGATCACCCGAAACCTGCTTACCATCCACCGTGTACGTCGCCTTGTGAGAATCGAGCAAAGCTTTCAAGCCGGTTTCGAACTTAGCCAGCTGTGTGTGGGTGATCTTCATGTGAGCAAAGAGGTGGGCGAAGTCGCACGGAGCGATCTCGAGCGTTGCTTTGGACGATTCGGCCGGACACGAGGCGGAGGAAGAGTCCGACGGACCCGACGCACCACCAGAAGACGCGGCACTGGGGCCATTGCCGCTGGCGTCTGCAGACGATGCACCGCTTCTCTTCTGAGGCTTGCTGCTGTCGTCCGAGTCAGTGCTGCATGGAGGAGCCGATGGTGGATTGGCACTTGGACCGCCAGAAGTGATGTCCGGAGGAGGTGTGCCTGACGGTGGCGAACTGGGAGATGGCGACGAATTGTCTTGTGGATTGGCACTTGTACCGCCAGAAGTGATGTCGGGAGGAGGTGTGCTTGGCGGAGGCGAATCAGGTGGCGACGATCCCGACGGTGGCGATCCAGGTGGCGACGTTTCCGGAGGCGCAGAAGATTCAGGTGGCGACGCATCGGACGGCGGAGCTCCTCCGCCAGACGAAATGGGAGGCGTACCACTACCACCACCAGAAGTCACTTCTGGGGCCGAGCCGCTTCCAGAAGGCATCAACGTCTTGAGAATGTGCGTGAACTTCGCTGCAGGACCACAGCTTCCACCATCGCCTTGTCCAGGACTTGGAGGTGGACTACCGCTGCCAGACCCATCCGGGGGAGGACGCGAGGACGACCCGCCATCTTTAGAATCGCTGCTGCCAGAGGAGCTGTCACTCTTGGACTTCGATGTAGACTTCGACGAGTCGGAGTCTTTGTTGTCGTGACATTCTCCCTCGGACTTAGACGGAGTGGTACCCTTGTCGTCGTCGCAATTTTCCTTGTCGCTCGAGCCACCGCCGCCGGATGGCGAGGAACCGCTGCCTTCGATGTTATTGATTTTGTCCATATCGCAGTCTTCAGCCGCATCGCCACCCGTTGTCGCTTTGCCGGATTTGTCGCTGCTCGAAGCAGAGTCGGAAAGACCGTCAGCTGCAGTGCTTGAGAGTTCGCATTTATGGCACTCCGGTCCTCCAGCAGCGTCTTCTCCCCCTCCTCCCCCTCCTCCGCCACCACCACCAATACCACCTCCTCCTCCTCCTGCTCCTCCCCCTCCTCCCCCTCCCCCAGCACCACCAGCACCTCCTGCACCTCCTTCACCTCCTGCACCTCCCGCACCTCCCGCTCCTCCACCACCACCAACGCCAGATCCTTCAGGAGATTCGATAGAACCAGGCATTCCTGAAGTTCCGGTTGATCCCGCGCTAGCCGAAGCCTCTAGGGAATCACAGTCATCTGGCGATCCATTCGATCCATTCGATCCAGGAGAGCTCGAAGAATCGGGGGAGCCTACGGCCGGACTGCCGGGCCCACCAGGTCCTCCGGAAGCGCCTAGTCCACCTGGTCCGCCTGGAGAGCTCGAAGAGTCGGGTGAGCTCGAGCCTGGACTTCCGAGACCACCTAATCCATTTGAGGAATTGGAATCACTTGGCGAGTCCGGAGTATCGAGACCACCTGGCGCACTGTATCCGGACGAATCTGGATAATCGGGCGCGGGCGAACCCGAGTCTGGGGAGGCAGTCGAAGTGCCGCCAGAAGGGGGACTCGAAGAATCAGGTGTACTGTCGCCAGGCGTCATGCTCGCCTGCAGCGCAGCTGTGTCGGGGGACGACGGCGGAGGAGTGCCCCTCGACGCTCCCGCACTCAGCAGTCCAGTTAGCGCAGGGAGTAGAAAACAGTCTTCGGCAGGAGCTGGCGCGACGCCGCCTCGAAGTGTCTTGGGCGAGGAATCCTTGGAAGCCCGATCTTTGGAGGATCCATGCTGGGGCTGAGAAGCTTGAGGGTGCGGAGCGTTTTCGGCAGTGCCGCCGAGGCCGATGGACAGATCGATACCGTGGTAGTAGGGGGTATTGGTGACAACGATCGTTGGCGATGCGTTGGCATGATCGATTTTCGTAACGATGAGCGCGACCAGTACCAAGGGTAGTAGTAGACCCTTCATACTTGCGAGTTGGTCGCGGGCTAGGATGGGAAAGGAGCGTGATGATGTCTTGCAAAGTTGCAGAGCAGTCGAAAGATAGAGAATGGTATTGTTGAGGGAAAGAATGACACGCAAGACCATCTTATATACCATTTGCAGCGTCGAATGTGCTGCTCCTCGAGTGCCTCCCGGGATGCCAGGGACAAGGTGGATCCAGGCAGCAGTCCCGCTTCATTTGGTCTGCACAGGCTGTCCTACCGATCCAGTGACAAAGGAGCTGCGAGTGAACGGTGTGGCCGAGTGCGTGAGATGAGGTGGCCACCTCCGCCAAACGAAGCGCAAGGGAGCGATGTGTATCACCCCGAGGAAGCCGGACCACCGATTGCATCACGTCTGCAGCCTCGACCCGACGATCATGAAACAATTGGGGTGTCCGACCGGCGTGTTTCACCATCTGTCACATTATCTCCCCTCTCTTTCGACGGTCAGGATGATGAAGAGAGATGAGCTCAGACGATTGAATCGCAGGTCTGTTCCCCTGGCTCCGAGACGAAGCTAAGAAAAGCAATTGTGATCGACAGGGAGCGGTGCGTGCGCATGTTGACACGCCCTCACGCTTTCGTCTTTCCCTCAAGTCTTGCGAATGAGCCTCTTCGGCACAGCCATGGTGTCACTTCAAGCTCCACTTCAAGCTCGAATCGCTCTTCCTGCCAACAAGATACCTCATCACAGCTGCCATTCACCGCACAGCCTAGAACACAAGACTCTGCTGCCACGATCTGACGACCTCAGAACAACAGCGCAACGAACTTGATCTCCATCACTTTCCCAACCGGAAATGAAACCGACGCACAGCGCTTCAAACCCCGTGTCAAAGATTGATTAGACGAAAGTGGTATTCTCCAGATCGAGCCCGCGCAAAAGACACGGCAGACAAAAGGCAAGTCCTTGAGATAAAAGCAATGCCAAAAGAAGGTGATCAAGAGAGTGCTCAGAAAGTGACTATATGAAGAGAGATCACTGGTAGTGACCGTGTGGGTATTGTTGTTGCTGTTGAGGATGCGACATGCCAGCATGCGCATATGGGTCTACACCGTAGCCATTGTCCGCGTAAGCGGCGCTTGCACCAGGAGAGGTTTGCATACCGTACTGATGGCCGCCGTACATGTGATGGTCCTGATAATACGCAGCTGCTGGATCGACCGCATATCCATGATCCATTCCGGAAGAATACTCGTTGACGGCGTATCCAGCAGGTGGAGCTGCAGCTAGAGCCGTAGTGGAAGCGGTGAAACTGTCCCTGCCCTTCTCGCCCATACCTGCATGTGCATCTTGTTCACCCCCCTCGTTGTCCGAGTCGTCACCCATGTCGAAACCGGCACCTCCTGTGCGACGCGCGGGGAGAGGCTGCATGACATTGGAATCGGGATCGTGTTTGAGTTCCGGCCACTTGATGTCGGCATCTTGATCTTCAAAGTTGCTGAATCTGCGGGTGCCAAACTTGAAGTAGAGGAAGATGAAGGCGGCCAGGACCAAAACACCTCCGGCGACAGACACGCCGATGATGAGACCCTTGCTAGCACCGCCGGAGCCGCTTCCGGAGCTCGACTGTCTGTCGGCAGATGCTGACGAGGTGGACGCTGTTGTTGTGGGGGTGGCAACGACGGTGGCGGTGAGGGTGGTGGTGAGGCCGGAGGAAGTGGTGAGCATGGCAGAGGAAGCCGAGGCACGGCTGACTGAAGCACTGGCTGCAGCAGCGGCGGATTCGGAAGCAGCAGCATTGGCGCTGGAAAGGGAGGCAGCGGCTGATGAAGCGGCAGCAGCAGCGATGGAGGAGGACTGTGCGGCCTCAGCTCGGGAAGCCGAGGCAGAAGCTGAAGCGGCTGCTGCTGAGGAAGAGGATGCGGCAGCGGCGGCAGCGGATGAGGAAGAAGCGGCAGCCGAGGAAGAGGCGGCGGCTGCGCTTGCTGACGAGGCACCGCCAAACGGGTCGAAGGAGGAAGCACTGCGCGTAGCTGAGGCCGAGTCGGAAGAGCCGCCATCGCTACCGCCGCTGTTGCCTCCTCCCAAGCCGCCAAGGAGGGGAGTCGGCATAGGTGCTCGTGGAGCGAGTCGAGCAAGATGATCTGGACGACCTCGAATATGATGTTGAGAGTCGGCCGAGACTGCCGAGGTGGCGACGAGCGCGCTCAACAAGAGGTAGCCAGACGCCTTCATGATGTGGAAAAGCGCGATCGGTAGGAGAAGGTCCTGAACAGTAGTGGATTCGAAGGATCGTGCTTATCTCAGCAAATGGACGGTGTAGTCGTAGAATGCGTCGATTGGTATCAGGAGCCGTGAGGTAGGTGCTTAGTTGGAAAGAATGTGGGCGGTCCGACAAAATGCGGCAGACAAAAGCGATGACAACACGGACGTGCAGAAGCCGAGCTGGAGCGAGATGAGCAAGAGCGATCGATACGCGATGCTGTCTGAAGGGAAAGGAGGGAGGATGCTGGAGATAGCGGAAGAGAAGAGGGATCACTTAAGCTGAGGGGGAAATGTGTTGGTGGTGATTGATGGTGTCGAGCAAGGGAGGTGTGAGGTTGGAGAATGGTGAGGTGAAAGGGAAACCAGTGCAAGTCTGATGGGCAAGCAGCGAAGGCAGTGCAATGTTGACCTCGGGCCCCTTGGTGTGATCTGCGGCCGCTCAAAGGATCGCAGGCAGAGGCAGCCCAGCCTGCACATGAAAACGTCAGAAGGCTCCCAAATTGGAGCGGAGTACTATAGCCAAGCAGAGTTAGTAGTCCGAGCCGCTGCAATCTGCACTGTAACCTTGCCTCGTGTTACCGCTTCCCCAACACGAATGTTTCCACTCAATATCACAGCGCCTCACGATGCAAGCCGCAACAAGGCAGACCCATCTTGGTACTGTCGATGCAGACATGGTTCACTCGAGTTAGTGTTTGAACGCCATGAAAGGGGCACGCATGGTTGTCGCGCAACGGTGACTTGGAGCCGAGCAAGCGCTCGTGTCTGGCCGTCAGAAGCCGAATGAGCAGATGGACAAGCAAGCGCGGAGAGAGGCACCTTGCACAAAAGCCCACGCTGCACCCGCTGCGCTTCGGCAGAGTCTGGTTGGTGGTGCAGCACCGAATCCTCAACCTGCGGTCTGTAGGATCTGCAAATTATCACAAACTATCACAACAGCTGCTCCGAGGGCGATCCAAATCCAAACTCCGATCCAGCAACGAGGCACAAAAGGGCCCTTACGGTTTGCAAGCCAAAACATGGCCAAAAGTGACACAAAAGACCAACACAAAACTCACACACCGACACACGACCCTCAAACCGGCACCCTAAAATCTCAGGCGAGCGTTTAAATTTGTATTTGTTTCGCAAGCGAGGATGGCACGCTGGCGCCGATCCAATTACAAAGCGGAGTGAAAGTTTCACAAAAGGCGCTTCAATCCAAGCGAACACCAGCGCCGATCCACGCCAATCCGTGCAGCTGCTCTTTGCTCAAGAGCTCTCCCGGCCTCAATCACGGCGTCTTCGCTGTACCAGTAGAACGACTCACAATGGCTGCCTGCTTGTTGTGGTTAGCAGCGAGCGAATTAAGCCTCGGGAACGGGTTGCCAAAAGCTGCGTCAGATCGACCGGCCATCGCTGCTTGTCGTCGATCATGCAGTTCCGCCTACGGGGTCGATGAAACGCCCTTCGATCCCGCAATCGACGTCGATCCAGGCTTTGAGCTGGTTTAGGCTTGTCGAAAGCGAGTGTCGATTGAAGTTGCGGTGCGTGCATCGCAGATGAGACAGCATGTAAGCCCCACGAAACGCGGGCCAAAGCAAATGCACGGTCCGGTCTAACAATTTACCACTTTTTCGTTAGCCGCGAATCTGTCGCGATACGCGCAAGTCTCAATGCTGTCTCTGCTTGGCCAAGAAACTCGAACGCGCCAAATGCTTCGAAACGCACGGTGCAGCGCATCAGGGAAAAAATAAATCCGCGCTCTACAAACCAACACAACAACATCATTGCGCAAGTCCTTTCTGAAGGGATCGTCGCTGCGGATCGCGAATGCTTTGGCGAGAACCCTCGTCGTTCATCTTCTTTTCCTTCTTCCTTCATCGACTCGAAACCGATCCATATTTTGCCTGCAAAAATGTCGTCGGCACCACCGCCAACACGTCCGGCCACCGGTCGCAAACGTGCTCCCTCCTTCTCCGAAGCCATCGCACAAGTTCCACAGAACGCCAATGCCCAAGACGAGACCGCCGATCCCGCCGTGGCAGACCGCATCGCTGCCGCTGACGCTGCGGCAACCAAAGATCCCGTGGCTGCATCCACTCGCGCTGCCAGCAAGAAGGGCAAATACTCGTTCCAAGATGACGAGATCTACCGTTCGCAAGGTCTCATCAAGGACCTCATGACGTTCCGATGGATGACCGCTCCCGCCTCCTCTTTCCAGCTTGCTGCCATCTTCGTTCTCGCCTACTTTAACTGGAACTTCTTCATTGGTTCTCCCGAGAACAATCCCGTCGCACCGTTCCTCATGCTCTCGCATCGCGTACCTCAATCTCAGGTCATTCTCGATAGCCTTCCGCCTAAAGACGGTGTACAGCAAGCACTCCAGAATCTCATTCCACGATCAGCAGAGTCTCTCGAAGCAAGATACCAGAAAGGATACAACGATTTGCTCTTCCTCGTGTTCTACGTCATTGTCTTTTCTTTCTTGCGTCAATCCACGACGCTCTACATCTTCAAACCCTTTGCCAAATGGTGGGGGATCAAGAGCGAATCCAAGCAGGCCAGGTTCACCGAGCAGGGCTACGCTGTACTCTACTGGGGTAGCGCCGCCGCTCTGGGCGTCTACGTCATGAGCTTTCAGGACAGCTGGTGGTACAACTTTGAACACCTCTGGCTCAAGTACCCCCACTGGCAGATGCGCAGCGAACTCAAACTCTACTACCTCCTCCAGTTCTCCTTTTGGCTCCAACAAGCTCTCGTCATGCTTTTGCGCCTCGAGGCACCTCGCAAGGACTACTACGAGCTCATTGCGCATCACCTCGTCACCCTCTGGCTCATCGGCTGGTCCTACCTGATCAACCTCACCATGATCGGCACCACCGTCTTTGTATGCATGGACATCCCCGATACATGGCTCGGTTTCAGCAAGGCGCTCAACTACATGGGTCTCGACAACATCACCGTCGTCATCTTTGCCATCTTTATGGTCATCTGGACCTACTTCCGCATCTACCTTTCAGCGGCAACGTTGTACAGCGTCTGGTATCAGTTCGATCTCATCCCCACGTATACCAGGGAGTGGAATCCGGTGAAAGGCTGGTGGTTGGTTCCGTGGATGAAGTATCAGATCTTCGCTCCGCTGTTTTTGCTGCTGCTGTTGAACCTGTTCTGGTACGTGCTCATGTGGAGGATCATGTTCAGGGCTATCAAGGGAGATGTTGCTGATGAGAGGGAGGATGGCGAGTACGATGACGAGGAGGAGGAGAAAGAGGACAAGAAGAAGCAGTGAGACTGTAGAGTACTGTGTCGGTTTTTTGAATGGATTTGCAAGTTGACTCGATACACAACGCATTGTGATTACAGCAGAACAACTGAGCCTTGATAGACCAAGTGTCGTATGGATCTGTAGCGAAGCAGGTGGACGGAGTCGTTGCTGAGTGTAGCTTCTTCGTTGCTGTAGCGGAGAGATGAAGGGTTAATCAGCTGCCTGACTTCCTTTTGATGTGAGGGAGGGGAAGAGCTTACTCGGGAAGGCGGATCGAACCGCAGTCTTGCAGACATCTGATGAACACGGGTGCGTCCAGATCCGGACCTGGAACTGTCAGGCAGTAGTCGAATCGAACGAAACTTTGCTGTCAGTTTCACCGACCAAGTCGTAGAGCAGGACTTGGAAGAAGGGGGGGGGG